GCAACGGATTCCCAGAGCATGTTACATAGCTGGGTAGGTAGTTTGATACGAAGAGGCGGAGAGGCGGAGAGATCTGTGGAAGCGGAGGTATAGATAATACCTAGACAGGTACTCTAGATGCGCCTGCCACACTCCAAGAACGAAAAGCGGAGAGCTCGTAGCATAGGTAGCATAGGCAATAATGGAAGTAGTGGGGCCGGTACGGCCGGGAAACTCATACCGATCCCCCACTACTACATACACGACCACTCTGCCCTCCCCGGAAGATCCTAATGACGGTGCAAGGTTCGATATTGCGGCGCAAGGTTCCCATCCTCGGACCAGAAGCCCCCACACGACTAGCGCGCGTTTTCTGTCAACCCTCTGGCCGTGGCGAGCCACCGTTCTGGCTTAGGTTGTCAGTTTAGTTAGAGTGGTTGGTTGATCCATCCTGGCTACCGATTGGATGGACGCCCGGACAAGTCGACAGCCATCGTACATGAGTTACATGAGTTACAGCTCTCCAGGAATCCATATCTAACTAAAGTCCAACACCGCGGCTCGCAGAAGCATCTGGCGCTTGGCACTCTATCATTGCACGCGCAGCAACTGCAGTCTGCAGCACCTCCGCATAAACCCCATGGGGCCGTGGGGCTGCCGAGTGCAAGTGTGCGATAGATGGTACGTGAGTACCCAAGAAAGTATGATGTAGATATGCAGAGTATGTACCTGCGGTCTGCACCCACCCCACTCCAAGCCGACGACGACGACGACTGCTATGTAGAGTGCTGCTGCTGCTGCTGCTGCTGCTGCTGTTCCACCCACCCACCTCCTTCGCCATGTGCTCGCCTAAGTGCTGGTAATCTGCCATGCACGCACGTAGATACGCACATACAAGCAATCGGAAGATGAGGGGAATGGGCATGATCATGTCTGCCTCGGATCGCGCAGCTGGATGCAGTGTGCAGCTGACCACAAGTACAGTATTCGTACATAGATAATCTGCGTGGATGGCTCTAGCGAGCGAGCGAGCGAGGCGATACCTAGAATCCTAGATATGTACCTCCGTCCGAGCGCGCGAGACCATCACGACGACCATGTCCCTGTCGAAGTGCCGGTAAGACAGGGTCATTTCGCCGTTCTGCCGCTCCTCCTCAGGCTCTCCGTCTTCGCCACAACTTCCACCATGGCCAATGTGGAAACAAACACCGCTGCGGCCACGGGTGTGGTCTGCGTGCCTGGAGAGTCTAGGGCGGGCCATGCGCTTGCTGCCCGCCTAGTAGTTAGCCGCCGCAATCACCGCTGCCATGCCCTGCTACCTTCCTTCCTTCCTTGCTTCGTGCTGGTGTTGGTGGTGGTGGTGGTGGTTTGCGGGGTACATATGAGTAGGTCCTCTAGTTGCTCTAGAGCACTCGGTTCATGTAAGACACTCGCCACCACAGCATACAAGGGACATCGCTGCTGCGGTACATAGATTCTCGGTATGTAGAGTACCTGGCATGTGCGTTGGTTATCTACTACTTGGAAGCACAAGACCAACAACACACTTGTGACTCGTGAGCGGTGCGCTTCAGCCTTCTTTCCTGAGTAGTCCTCGGCTGCCGAAGGGAATTGACGTCGGTAGGCAGCGATAGGCACTTAGATACGGCAAAGTGGGACCTCTGAACACCGCCGCCGGGATTGCTATGAATCCCAAGTTGAACGGGTAAGCCGCGAGACACGGAGATGATGGCGGCGATGACGCACATCCAAGGGAAAGCCGGAAAATATCCGATGCGTGGACTGAACATCGATTTTAGGAGAATAGGTACATAGAGGCCAGATAGGTATGATTCCGAGAGGGTGTATCAGACAGAGTACGGTATGGTGTGTACGTAGGATGTACGAGCGTTGCGGCCACATGGGGGGCGCGGGTTTGATCCAAGTTGAGTTGAGTTGGGTTGAGCTGGGTTGAGCTGAGTCCTACTCTAGAGAACGGGAATTTCCCATGGCCCCTCCCCTCCGCCGTTTGGGGGCCATGCCATGCGCTGCACACGGATCAGGATAACCAAAGGTAAGTAAGGAAGTACTCACTTCCTTATCATCCTGGCGGGAAATAGGAGCATACTCTACATTCAGGCTTCCTTCCGGTTACATACATCCCCCGAGCGCAGTGCGCTCGGGAACGGAGGATTGACCAAAGTCTCACCGCCCGCCCGTCCATGCTCATCCAACATCTCTTCCAGGAACAAAGCAATCGTCCGGGAGGTTCAAATCTCCGTGGGAAAATAAAATCCCCGTTCGGTCCCCGTGTTCGGACAATTCCAGTTCCTGTTCCGAAAAATCCTCGATGCTGCCCAGGTGGGAACCGCATAGATACTGCGACAATATTTCGGGCGGCCGCCGGATGTTGATTGCGGTTCCCCGCACTCGTCTCTTCTGTTCTGTTCTGCTCTCCTCTGCTCTTATCGCACCGGTCGGGAGATGCGATGTCAGAGAGGCTCACTGCCGGCGTTCAGTAGTTTTGTAGGTGTGTACAGTACATGCCTCATACCGTGTTATACGCCAAGCAGCAGCACGTCACCTGAGAAACCAGTGTGGTTTTCCGTGCCCAAGTACACAAGTAAGTGCACACCTAATATATCGCATGTATTCAGATATATCATCCTGGGCACTAAGTAGAGTAACTATTGCTTAGCCGAAGCAGAATCGCAGTCGCTTACGGCGGGGAAGGGAGGATGAGGGGGTGGGGAGGGAACGTGGCAGCTTCGGTTCACACACATCCTCGACACACACTCTCCCTCACGGTTGTTTATCGATGAGCTCGCTTTCGCTGTCGCTGTCGCTGGGCTTCCCCCCCCCCGTGCCGGGCCTTGCCTGGCCTTTAGGCACCCGGCTGGCCGACGTTGACATTATGTAAGTAAGAGGTACCTAGCACTGTTTTCCGTCAGTCGGTCAGTCCTGGAAAAACAATTCTAGAAATGCAAAAGCAGCATTGCACTGGCCGTGATACACAGCGAAGTACGGTACATACATCAGACACGGTAGAGTAGAGCACGTACATATTCGCATTCGTGATTACAGCCGCGGAAGAGGCAAGTACCGTGAGTACAGTACATGTCTCATGTGCACTCCGAGGGCACTCCGGGGGAAGGAGGTTACAAAATCCGAAACACAGCCCGTCAAACCACGCTAGAACTTTTGCCGCAATATTTCCAAGCCATGTGAATCTGCCCTGCAGTTCTTGCAGTTCTTGCAGCGTCTGAAACATCGCGACTGCAGAATACCGTAGTAGGTGGTCGAGGATAGATTTCTTTGCTTTTCTTCCGAGGATAACTGGGTGGAGAGAGAATGAGGCGACGACGGTGGGGACTCGGGAGCCCGATACGATAGTGGAGCCTGCGTACGTACCTCGTACTCTACGTACTGGAAACCACATGGTGGAAAAGAGAGAGGAAGAAAGGGAGAGAGAGGGGGAAACATCGATCCATTGTCACGTGCAGCTTGTCCAGTCCTGTCCAGTGTCCAGTCCAGACCATGACGACCGCTTACACACCCGACCTTGCCTACCAATCCCCACAGAGCGCCGGGGGGTGAAGACGAGTACCATTCCATGACCACACGCGAAGTGCCCCATGATATGTACTACATAGTATGTACGTCTTCCAGGGCGGGCCGCCATGTAACTATCCAATACCATCACCGATCAACTTTGAAACGAGCCGATCGAGCGCAACTAGAGTACATACCATAGAGGACAAGCCAACCGGTTAGTTATCGCCTGGTCCCCCCCGGGATCCCAACCCCATGACAGCCGCCTCGTCGAGCACGAGCTGAGCCACGACGGGGCTGCAGCCCAATCGCAAGCTGGGGCCTATCTCAACCCAGACGATAGCCGTTGAAATTGAAGAAGCCACCAACTATAGCAATCAGCCTGGACAAGGGCAAAAGGACGCCATTGAAGATTGGCTACGGGCTTACCCCCCGCCTCGCTCCCATGATCTGGTACGTAGCTGGCCGCTCCGCTCCGCACCCTGACCAACCCCACAAGCGTGCTCTCGCGTATGTGTTCCGTGGAAAATCAACCTCTCGGTGTTTGCGGAGAGAAGGGTGGTATTGTTGTTGGGCGGGCGGGTAGACTAGACCAGACCAGACCAGCTGATCAAGGCCAGGACCAGAAATTTCCGACAAAACTCCGGCTAGATTGTTGGCCGTCCACCGTATGTAGATGCTAATTATTAGTTTCCCACTGTTTGATCGTGCAGCAGGGAGTGCACGATCTGCCTGCCCGTCTGTCTGCCTGCTTGTTTGCCTACTGCAATGATCAACCAGTGCGGCTGCAGCCAACGATATAGGTACGATATCATAGTATAGCAGATTGCCCCGCAAGTCTAGTTACTACACAGGTACATACTCGTAATCTTACCATCCTACCATCCATCCATCCGTTGGTGCGCGGATCAGCTACCTATCCACGAGCCATGCCCTCGCGGCGGATGCATAGCCATCTCGTCCGGCCTCCGGATCAAACACATGTCCGTCGATGCAGCAGCACATGCTGCATGTTTTGATACTGGCTTTGATACTGGCTTTGATGTGATGCCTCGACACGGATGTGCCGATGTGCGGATACCTATGCTACATACACATATATGATCGTGAGTATAGAGCAGCATGCCCAGGTAGGTAGCAGTGGTTCTGGTTATTGTTCTTGCTCTTGGTCCACGAACCTGTTTTTAGCCACGATCTCCAACCCGCGAATAATCAAAAGAGATGGTATACCTAGCACCTACCCTACGAAATCAGCCGGGGATGCTAGCAGTCGGTCGGTTGGTGTTGGTTTTTCGCACATGGTGGAAACCGCAGCATCAGCAGCAGCAGCAGCAGCACAATAGTAACCGAATCCCAATTGGGCTATCATGCCCAGCAGTCTGTAACTACCGCCCTCTACTCTATGGGGGGTATCGTCTAAAATCTGACGAAACACAGGCAGGGGTGGAAGCTTGCGTGCGTCTCCTCCGCTTAGAGTGGTTCGTCAGGCCTCGCCCGGGTATGTGTGTATCTGGGTATGTACTACCTTGCACTGAAGCAGGGCCCGTGGAATCCCTATGAGTACTTACTCCACCCGCTCCCCCCCCACCGCTGTGAAGATAGACAGAGAGAGATAGGCACCTGTTGATATCACAGCTCACACTTTAACCTCCTTCGACATTTCCTGTGGATTTGCACCTCACAGAGCTGGTCCTCTTCACCCATACAGAAAAAAACACCAGCCTAATCTACTATACTCGCTCTCCGAATTCGAATACACGAGGAAGAAAGAAGAAAAGAAAGGAAAAAAATAGAAATGGCGTCTTCCAGAGTGCGGGTTCGTGGGGAATCTCGGTCGGTAAAGAGGAGTTCGGAATCGCCGGTATACCTGCATATGACTCCCTCGCCGTATCCGCCGCCTAGTGGTCGTCCACCGCCGGTCCCTCCGAAGAAATCGCCTATCGCTCTTCCTCCCTTGAACTGTGACGCCGCTGGGTGCCGTCAGTCGGAAAAGATTATGGACAGACCGGTAAGCTCTTTTTCATCCGCAACATGAGCCCAAAAAAGACACATTGACTGATTGGGTGCGCAGAGATATCGGAGCCCGCTGAGCAGGATCCCCAGCTTCTCCGAGCTGCGGAGTTCTCCGGCTGCAGCGATCCGGACTGTCCGCTCTCCCACGCCCGAGCAATCATCGTCTCCCACAAAGCAGGCTGTTCCAAAAGGTTTCATGGCAACATTGTCCGAGATGGACGGACGGATCTCACCCTCGAGCCCGAGTTCTCCAACCTCAAGATTGGTCAGTGCGAAACAAAAGGCCAGAGACGTGTGGATGTCCCTTCGCCAAGGTAACAACGCCGCCGCCTCCATCGCCGCCGCCGCTGTCGCCGACGTTGAACCGCAAGTCAAGGCCGTCAGGATACTGGCACCGTGCTTGGATTCCCGTGAGTTTCTTTTCCTAAACAGCCCCTCTGTACGGGATTTCAATCGGCTAACCGGCCCTCCAGCTACCTTGCCGGAACATCTCATGATCAACACGAAGCATAAACGACAATTCAGCGATCCCATAAGTGTTATGTCGAGGGACCTGCTCGATACCGAAGCCCTGGCACCAAGGCAGCGCCGGCAAACAACCGTCTCGGGACCACCTCGTGGTTCGTCTGCTCGGACCTCCCCCACCGAGGGACTCCAAACTCCGCCCACATTCCTACTGGATGAACTGAAAAGTCCCACCGGGCGAAAGCCCAAGGTGCGGACGCAACCACCAGTGGAATCGAAATCAGCGGGATCAAAGAAGCACAGCGATTCCCCAAAACAATCACCCACAACAACAAAGAAAGAGGAAGATGTGGGCGAGAACGGAGCGATGCGACACAAGCGGAGGAAAGGGAGCATCTCAAAGTCGGGTGTCCGGAGCAACAGTGTCCGAGTTTCCGAGGCGCAGGCACAGCTGCCACAGGCCGAGATCGCATCGCTGCAGAGGAAGGCGATGCGACAATGCGAGAAATTCAATGTGCTGTCGCTGGAAGACGTCGGAGTCCTGTCGCAGGAGCTGCTCGAGCTCGACTCTAGATGCGACTACCTCCGGAGCACGAGGGCATCGCTGCGGCAGGGCCGGAGAGCACTGCACACGAGGATGATCACGTACCTGAGGACGGCTCGCAGCGGTGCATTCTCGCAGGAGAATCTGTTGAGACAGGAGGAGGCCCTGGCCGACCTCGACACCGCCATCGAAGACTGGGAGTCAAAGCTGGAACAGGTAAACAAATCCTCCCCCCCCCCCCCCCTGCGAGTTTAGTGTCGATCTAGAGGCTGACATTGTTTTCCCCTAGGCCGAGCAGCGCAGAATGGAAATCAAACAGATGCTCCTGGAGCACGTCGCGGCAGCTTTAAGCATCGTCAACGGCCTACCGTCTGCATCAAAGGACACGGCCGACTCGCCGCCCGCAACATCAGAGCAGCAGAAGCAGCAACGCCGCGCCGAGCAAGACTCCACCATCACGGTTTACGCTGTCAAGCAAGAAGTTCAACGGCGAGCCTTGTGTCCATGATTCCATCCACTATACATATCATACCTTTCTTTACCTTTCCAATGTTTTTTTCCTTTGTGTACATACATTACCTTTCGTGTGTTGAGATTTCTTTTTGCCGGGCAACCCTATTCTTTTATTTAATGACGATAACGACACGGCCAGTTTACCTTCTACCTATGATGCCATGCCATCTCCCCCCTTTTTTTGTTTCGCTTTCTCAAGTCTTCCATCTGTTTCTGTTCTTTACGGCTTTTTTTTTGTATTGATAATACCTTGCCGTTCCCCTATAGATTGGAGGATCATGACCCGGAGTTTTGCTACATACATAGTAAAAGACTTGCTCCTGAATATAAGAATCTCATTCCCATATGTAGCTGGATATTCCCTTGATCCGTGCGATTACTCGCCATACTATCGGTACCGGAAACCAACACCACAAACCTGCGCCATGACCCACACCACACCAAAGCCATTCACAAACTCTCACGCCAGCATAGAAATCAGAATATAAATGTTAATCTTACCAGGCCGATCATCAGGTTCTATAGTGTAATGGTTAGCACGTCGGATTCTGATTCCGGCAATCCCGGTTCGACTCCGGGTAGGACCTCAACGTGTATGTGTTTTTTTGCTACCATAGCCTAGGTACATACGGGAACAATAACATTGATCCAACCAGTGACGGAAAAAGCAGCCAGGCTCCACAATCGACATCCCCTTTGAGCAACGAGGGCTAACTGGCATCTTTGCGGAGCGTCTTGAAGTTGAGATCTTTCAAGTTTTGTTTTTTGTGTCGGTCCGTCAATGGGAAAAATAATCGGGTGCTACGGTGTGCTTGATCCAGGTAGGTATTCTCTTTCTACCTACCACTGTATTCAGACAGACGGGTCTACACTCCCATTACTACCTACTCTGCCCGGACACACCAGCCTTCACCCCGCGAATCGGGAACGCGAGGGCTCAGGGAAATGGCCGCACAGAAGAGTGACAGCTTGTGATGCGCATATAGCCCTGTGGTAGCCGCGATAAGCGAGGCGCGTTCAATGTTACCAGGTGTCAACTCAAACTTGAGCTGAGAAAAAAAGTATGTATTCTATCGATCCTCCCGCACGGCAGCATTGTCTCAAGCTAACATACCAGACTCGACGACTCGACACGACTCGACACTTGCCCCCCGAGAGCTGAGAAAAAAAGAGAAGCAGGAGAACTACATGACCGTGTTAACTTGAGTATTTCCTACCATATTCGAAGATCCGCTCGTTCCCGACTTCGAAAGGACCTCTGGCTTGGCACCCACGGAGCCCGATCGGGGAATTCAACAAGTGTGAAACTTTACCAAGCTTCGAGCCCATCCCCTTCCCGCCGCGACTCTGTCAGCTCGTTAAAGCAATCTTAATCTACTTTCTCGACCTCCGGAAGATACCAGCTCCAGCACTCACCCGCCCGACCGCTCGCCCGCTGCGCCCGTCCGCCCGCCCAGCAGCCCCACCGCCGAACGGCCCTCCCCCCACCCCCCCCACACTCGTTCTTCTCCTATCTACTATCCACACACACGCGCGGCAAAAAAGAAACCCCGAAAGATTGATAGAAAATGCACTTTGCGCTCCCGACACGGGGGAACCACCGGTCTTCGCCGTTCCTGACGAACTCGGTATCGCGCAGCTATATCCCTCGAGGACTGCACCGGCCGCTATGCGTTCTCGTGGTCTTCCTGGTGGCCGTGTTCGTGCTCCTGCGCACCCTGTCTGGCGATGGACGGCCGACCGATGCCCCAAGGACCGTCATGGTGCTCGTCCTCAATCGCACCGACCACTCCAATGAACATATCAACAGGATCGTGGCGAACAGACAGGAGTATGCGAAGGCTCACGGTATGCACCCCCTTCCTCCCACCCCCCATCGTGGAGCAACTCCCCCGCTGATAGACAGACATAGGCTACGGTCTCTCCATCAAAAGCGTGGCCGACTACCCCGGCGGCGGCGCATCCAGCGAGTGGGCGAAGGTGCCCGCGATCCGGCACGCCATGGCGACCTACAAGTACTCTGAGTACTTCTGGTACCTCGACCAGGACGCGATCATCATGAACCCGTCGCTATCCCTCGAGGAGCACGTTCTCGGCCGGCTCAGCTCGCTGATGCGGCGCGACGTACCGATCGTCCCGCCCAGCTCGGTGATCAAGACGTACCGCCACGTGCCCGCGGAGCGCATACAGTTCATTCTCACGCAGGATAGGGAAGGCCTCCAGCCAGGGAGCATGATCATTAAGAGCGGAGCCTGGGCAAATTACTTCCTCGATGCCTGGTATGACCCGATGTTTAGGTTTTACAACTTTGCGAAGAAGGAGAGACATGCTTTGGTACCGCTCACTCCCCTCACCCCCCCTCCATTCTCCCCGTCCCCCCTTGCCTCACGTCAATGCTCCCCCCAAAAGCGTTTATAAACGTCTTCGAATCTAACGGCACTTCTACATAGGAACATATCGTCCAATGGCACCCGACCATCTTGACGAAGCTGGCACTAATCCCGCAGAAGGTGCTAGGCGCATACACGCCGGCTGCCCAAGCGGGCGGTGCATACGAGGACGGGGACTTTGTAATACTATTCCACGAGTGCTGGAAACCCGGACGGAGCTGCGAGAAGGAGTTCAACACGTACTGGGAGAAGAGACAGACCGCCGAGGAGTCATAGATGGGATGTAATGTGCAAAGAAGAAAACGAAAGAAAAAAGAAGAAAGAAAGAAGAAAGAAAGAAAGAAAGAAGAAGAAGAAGAAGAAAAAGAGATACAACGAGTGTGGCGTGTGGGAAGGGATGAGATGATTGAGTGTTGTTGTTGTTTTTGGGAGGGTTATATGTGGTTCCTTCTTTTGTGTTTCACTGTCACTCTGTCACTCTGTGTCTCTGTTGCTTTTCTTTTTTGGGTTCCGATCTGCTTGCTTGCTTGCCTGCAGGTGGACGGATTATTGGGAAATACGTTCGTCTATAAGTATGTGCTGGAGCGTTGCTGCGTCGGTCGGTTATCATAAACGGAAAGGGCTTTGTTTTTTACTTTGGTTCATAGGTGTATGTATCTTCATCGTCATCATCCCCCTTTGCAAAGTAATGGAAACTGTTTGTTTGGGGTATCTCTCTCTCTCACACACACACACTCTCTCTCTCACACACACACACTCTCTCTCTCACACACACACTCTCTCTTCCCATAATATCTCTAAAGAAAAACACACATCCTAGAGTACTCACTCTCCCACTATCCTCTTCGAGGGTATTATGATAGATTCCCGTCCGCAACCAAATACGCCAAAAATAAAACAGAACGGAATTGGAAAAGAAAGAAAAAATGTACAGAACATCGCACCGACCCAACCCAACCCATTACAAGACAAGACACAAAAATTCATGATCCCCCCACCCAAGTATCTACACCGCATCCCCCCTATCCCTCCAACTATGCGTCGGTATGATCCAGCCTCGTCTCGCCCAACACCGCCGACGGTGCGCCACCACCAGAGCCGGAGTTCTTATTCGCGGCGGCATGCAGCTGCTGATCCAGCGCCTTGAGGGCGAGCGCTCTTCTGCGCTCCGCCTCGGCACGGGCACTGCCGACTCGTCCGCCGCTGCCCGGGTGCGGGCCCAGCAGCGTGGAGAGGTTGGCGGAGTCGCGGGCTTGCGCTTGCGAGTTGGACGCGGATACGTCCGCAGCAGAGAAGGGAGTGCAGATGTGCAGCGCGAGCAGGATGTTGTAGATTATGCTTGAGAGCAGCGCGATCGGCGTGTGCAATGGGTCCGGGAAGAAGTAGGCGCTGGCGGTGTTGGCATTATTAGTGGGAGAGCTGTGGGGAAGGCGTGGGAGGTGGCGGGCTAGCTTACATCGCGAAGATCTCGCTCGCATCGCCCTTCAGCGATGGGGCTTGGTTGCTTCCTAGGTCTGGGAACGAGCGCTTGTAGAACCGCAGGTAGGTCCAGCTCGAAAAGAACCCCAGCCATGCGAGGACCGCTGCCACATCTGTGCCAAAGATCGGACCCGAGAGGGTGTTGACCAGCAGGAACATGGCCGGAAAGTGCTTCACGCGGATCTTGACGATGCCTTTGAACAGCGTCACTGTGTGCTCGGGGACTAGTTGCTTGAACGCCACCAGGAAGCCGGCTTGGAGGGCTACGCCGCCGCATATTGTCGTGTAGCTGGGAGAGTCAGCGGGAGAGGAGCAAGAGGAACGGGGGGAGCTACGATCTGAGAATGTTCCCCGTGACGGCAAACCAGGCGATGTAGACGACGAACGCCAGGAAGTTGGGTACTATCGACACGACCAGCAGGAACTTCCCGAACTCTGCGGAACCCCAAGCACGCTCCAGGTACTTCCCGCCGTAGAAGAGTGTCGCCAAAGTGATGGCCAAGGTAAAGATCTATGCACCACCCTCCATCGTCAGCGAACGTCCGTAGTTAACTCCTCGACCTGGGGGGAGGTGTTCTCCGCACATTCGTCTCTATTAGACTACTCGTGACGAACGTCCACGGATACACGATCGACAGTGCAGGTACCACGGTCAAATACGGCACGGTAAAGAACTGGCCGTGACCTTCCGACTCTCCGGAACTGTCTGACTGCGATTGTTCGTTCATCCGAGCGCGGTATCGCAGCGCTCCCGTCAGGATCGATAGACATGTGCAGATGAGAAGACATGTTCGTGTGAGTGGCGGGATGTTCAGCCGTGCCATTCTGGGCGGTGGGCGGGAGGGCGGGAGGGCGGGAGGGCGGGAGGGGCTGAGGTTGGGGAATAATTTGTGGGATTCGCCGAGGGTGGAAAAAGGGTCTCGTGGGATGGAGGGTTTGCGGGCTGGAGCTAGGCTTGGCGCATACGAGTGTCGATCGCTATGTAGAAAACGGCGGTAGCGATAAACGGGCGCTTGGTGATCATAGGTTATCACGCTCGAAATGAGTGGAGCCTGCAAGACTGGAAGAGTGATTGGTGAATTATTCACACTGTTCGGCTGGTGAGGAGGGTGAGATCCAAGCTCTTGGAAGCTCCTCTAGGGCCATTCAGGGTCCTCTTGGAGGACTGTCAGCACTCCAGGATCGGAGGATCCCGAGTGATAGCTTAGTCAAGACTGGCTTCTACACTTGCTTGGAATTCGAACACGTTACACACGTCGGAAAGCCATGATGCTGCTTTAGTCGCCAGAAATCGCGAGTTATGCTTAACACGCTCCCCGTCCATATGCACGCCAACTCCAGGGGCAAGCACATCTCTTGCAAGTGAGCAGTTACCGGGTTCCTCCGTCTGTGCGGAAAGCCTGACGATGGTTCGATGTCGGTCTGTAGAGTACGAGGCCAGTAGCCCCGGCGACTGCGAAGAGCACATAGGGTGGCAGCAAGGGGGAGTGTATCGTTCAAGCCTCTGAAAACCGCTCTGTACAGTCTTTTGTTTCCCGATGTTTCCCGGCATGAGTCGCTGTACGAGAACAATAATGGGGTTTGATCATGCTGGAAAGCAGTGCGTTGTGGTTCGACCTCCCTCGTTCATCAGGCGTTGGTGGCATGAATGGGGGATGGATGATCTGCAGCGAGCAGATGTCGGTGCCAATGGCGGGGTAGTTTTCAAAGAGCCGCAAATCACACTTTTAGGTTGCCCCCACATGGAGTACCCAGCAGTCAAATTTTATTCCTGCCTTCTCAGCACGAAGACCCGCCCGAAGTCTTCCGTAAATCTTCTCCTCCAACCCCAATTGATCCTCGTACAAATAGCCCTTTCGATTGCTGTTCCGCTGTCTGGACTTTCAGAAACAAATCCGCAACCATGGCTTCCAACAACAACATCTACCAGACCCCCCTCTCCTCCCGCTATGCCTCCAAGGAGATGGCTGAACTCTTCTCGCCAGCTACCCGCTTCAGCACATGGCGCCAGCTCTGGCTCTGGCTCGCTAAGGCTGAGAAACAGCTGGGTCTTGCAATCTCAGACGAGGCCATCGAGCAGATGGAGGCCCACCTTACCCTCACCGACGAGGACTTCGCCGTCGCCGCTGAGGAGGAGAAGCGCCGGCGTCACGACGTCATGGCCCACGTCCACGCATTCGGCCAGAACGCCCCGGCGGCGGCTGGAATCATTCACTGGGGGGCTACCTCCTGCTACTGCACCGACAACGCGGACCTGATATTCCTCAAGAAGGGACTGGACCTTCTGCTTCCCAAGCTGGCGAATGTGATCCACAAGCTCTCCCAGTTCGCCGTCGAGTACAAGGACATGGCAACTCTAGGCTACACCCACTACCAGGCTGCACAGCTCACCACCGTCGGAAAGCGTGCATGCCTCTGGATCCAGGACTTGCTCTTCGACCTGCGCAACCTGACCCGCGCACGCGACGACCTCGGATTCCGTGGAGTCAAGGGAACCACCGGAACACAGGCCTCGTTCCTCCAGATCTTCAACGGCGACCACGACAAGGTTGAGGAGCTGGACCGCCTCGTCACCGAGTTTGCCGGTTTCGCGTACGCTTACCCCATCACCAGTCAGACATACTCTCGCAAGATCGACGCGGATGTGATCTCTGCACTCTCTTCCTTCGGCGCTACATGTCAGCGCATCGGCAGCGACATCCGCCATCTCGCCGCCACCAAGGAGATCGAGGAGCCCTTCGAGAAGGACCAGATCGGATCGTCCGCCATGGCCTACAAGCGCAATCCCATGCGCAGCGAGCGTATGTGTTCCCTCGGCCGTCACCTTGCCAACCTCAACAAGGACGCCCTCGACACCTACGCTGCACAGTGGTTCGAACGCACGCTCGACGACTCGGCCATCCGCCGCATCGACATCCCCAGCTCGTTCCTGACGGGCGACATCCTCCTGCGCATCCTCGACAACGTAGTGTCGGGACTCGTCGTCTACCCCGCCGTCATCAACCGACGCATCAAGGACGAGCTGCCCTTCATGGCCACCGAGAACTTCATCATGCGCCTGGTGAACATGGGTGGTAACCGACAGGACGCGCACGAGAAGATCCGCGTGCTCAGTCACGAGGCCTCGGCTGTCGTCAAGCTCGAGGGCAAGGACAACGACCTGATCGAGCGCATCAAGCGCGACGAGTTCTTCAAGCCCATCTGGGGCGAGATCGATACCCTGATGGACCCGAAGACGTTCGTCGGACGTGCGCCCGAGCAGGTCGTCAAGTTTGTCAACACCGAGGTTGCGAAGGCGCTGGCGCCGTGGAAGAGCCAACTGAGCACTGAGGTCAGCCAGTTGAACGTCTAGACGGGATGAAGATGAGGTGGTGGGAATGCGTGTCGTTGTATCCGGTGTATTGGGTGTATCATGGTTGGTTGGCTGGGGTCTAGTAGGGGATTTGGATTTGTTTTAGATGGGAGTTTTCTCTCTGTCTCCGTCTCTATTCGACGTAAAAAAAAAGCAAGATTTCGTATCGGGACAATGCGGACGGGTTCGATTGAGATTTGGGTTGCTGCTGGAGAACGAGAGGAGAGATGACTCCTATCACCGGCATGCAAATGCCGTGTCATCCTTTTTCCTCCCCATCAAAGTTATCCCCAATCTCAGATCACGTGCCAGGGGGTGCAGAATAGCATCCAAGAAACCTAGGCAGGATTCCAAGGGGATCTCTTTACTCTAGTTAGCCTCCGCGCACCATTTCGGACGCAAGGCATGGGTGCATCTCTAGAGCAGAGTAGGCAGTCGGCCACTCGGCCACGGTATGTGTCTATATATCGATCGTCAACTTCTTGGGCTTCGCGGGATGTTGAGAATCGCGGCGGGCTTGGCCACGACCTCGTCTACTAGTAGTTCATAGGTGGACAGCACTATGACAGTAACTAAGGAGATGCCCTTGGAAGAATTGCGCGTGTGGGCAGCAGCACCAGCAGCACCAGCAGCAGCAGCAAGCAAGCAAGCAGCACGCAGACAAGCCCCATTCATTCTGCAGACAAGCCCCGTCCATTCATTCGGATTCTCCAGACTTCGCCTCGCTCCACCCTGTCCCTTTCCTCGCTCGCTCGGTCGTCCATCTGCCCGCTCCGCGCCCGCGCCCGCCCGCCAGTCAGTCATGCGTGTCGACCTTCTCGAGCCTACGACTTTCTACACGGCGTCGCGGTAGAGAAGAGTACAGGTATCTAACAACTATCTCCGTCCCACCCCCGTCCGTCCATCCCACATCCCACATCCGTCGTATCCATGAAATCTTTCCCACCAATCAATCCCAATCCCCATTCCGCAAGCACAAGCACAAGCACAAGCAAAGGCCCAACCCCATCTCCTGGAAACCCAGACACTCAACAGACAGCCAGACAGACAGACACGCAAACCAAAAAGCTCGAGAACCTAACGCAGCGCAACGCAACGCACGCAACGCACGCAACGCACGCCCGCCCTGCCGCCGCCGCCGCCGCCGCTGCTGCTCGTTACTCTTCCATACATCTTACCTATCCCCACGTTAATCCAAACTAACTACCTAACCCAAAACCCTCTTACATACACAGTTCAAACCGCCATCTACCTATTACACATACATACCATCCTACCGTAGAGTAGCTCGACGTCCTGTTTGCCTATCGATTGGGCTGCCTGGAAGATACATCTCAACCCGGCCCCCTCTAGAGTACACTGCTCCGCCGCCCATACCAACCACATCCAAACTCTATCATCAAACAATATCTTCCCTCTACATACCATACCGTGAAAGACTTCTCGTAGCAACAACCGCAACAACCGCAACCACACCACGCACCGCTGCAATCCCCCCATCCCCCCATCTCCACACAGCCAAGTCAGCAAGTCCCCGTCAATCACACAGAGACCCGCTCACACTACCACCCCGTCCAGGTCCCTCATCCAACATCACAGGCAACCATACACCCACCACCACCACTACCACCACCACAACCACAACCACCCACCACAACCACCACCACCAACACCCCCGGGCTGCCAGCTTACTCCTGCTGTCGCCCTCTGGTCACCCCACCATCTGCTGTCGACCCCGTGACCCGAGTGGCTATACAATCATCATGGCGGACTTGCTCTCTTCGGACCAGGTCAATTACATGATCTGGAGGCGAGTACCACCCACACCCACACGCATACACACGGACGCAGGCGCGCTTGTGGTTTGACATCCAACCGTACAGTAAGCTAACGCTCTATATATTCGAACGAAGCAGGTATCTCCAAGAATCAGGTTCGTAGTCGGAAAGTCCCTTTCCTTGCTCCCAGCACTCCACGTCTTTCCAATCATCCCTCACCCCCCCGGTTCTCAAGCGCGCAGAGTACTGATTACGCATCCACTGTATACAGGGTTCCGCGATTCGGCGTTTGCTTTTCAACGCGATTCGAAGGTCGAGAGGCTCGATCCAACCTATAGGACACACGTCAAAGTTGGCTTGTTGATTTACCTCATCCAGCGCGGATTACAATATGAGGAAGTGGCGGCGCAGGTGGATCGCGTATGTTTGTCCGTCCCCGTGTGTGTGAGTGGTGGTTGTGGTTGTGGTGTTGGCTGCGGTGGTTGTGGTGGTGATGATGGTTGCGGTGGTTGAGGTGGTGGTGGGGGGGTCGGTGGGTGTGCCGGTGTGGGTGGAAGTTGTGATTGCGGGGAAGACAGTGGCTCGGATCGCGCTGACGACTGTCGCATCCGATCCAGGATGGAACTATCAGGAAACCAGCCAAACCATTTCATTTCCTTCCCTCGACTGCAGCACTAGTTCTCGACGAAGATGAGGGCGTCGGCTCGGACGGACACCATTTGGACGACGACCTGGATGCGGATGGGTCGGCGGAGGATGTGGGCGAGGATGAGGAGGATGCAGATTCGATCACCCTACACACGAAGGCTTCGCCAGCTACCGCGTCCGTTACCAGCGCCAGTGCGAAGAGGCAGCATGTAATGGAAGACGGGGTCAATGGGGTGTCGAAGAAGCGGAGGAAGAAGACCGGCAACAGTGTCACTGACGATGGAGATGTCATGATGGCAGATACTGTTCCTTCGCCACCCCTCACTGAAGAGATCCCCATCACCAACGGACGCAGCGTCGGAACGCAGATAGAGGAGCCGGTGGAGATACTGGAACCTGATATGGTCATCGTGGAAGACGGCGAGAAGGGGACACTGTCCTGCGCCTGGAATCCCGTGGTAACAACCCTGCTGGCTACAGCTAGCATGGGTTCAGCCGCCTTGATATGGAACGTTCCTGAGGAGTCGACTTCGGCCGAAGCACTCGAACACATTGACTTGTCCCATGAGCCCTCACGTAAGAGCACGGACAAAGCTAAGGTTACGGCTATACGCTGGAGTCCTGAAGGCAATCAACTGGCCAGTGGCTCTTACGATGGACAGACACGGATATGGTCGGTGGACGGTAGATTGGAGCACGGCATGTGGTTACACTTTGCTCCACCCACGTCGCTGAAATGGAACAAGACGGCCAAGGTGCTGCTTGCGCTGTCGTGTGACGGAAAGATGATCGCCTGGGACACAACGAACGGCGAAACCATCCGAATGTTCGACATGGGCAAGGAGGGGATAAACGAGATTGAGTGGATTTCGACGATGCAGTTCATTGCATGTGGAGACAACGGTGATATCCATCAGTTTGACATAGGAGTCGATGGGCCATTACATTCACACACAGCGCATCAGGGAGAGGTTGCCTGTATCGCATGGGACGAGGCGACCGAAACCGTCGCCACTGGCGGCGCTGATGCATCGGTTCTTGTGTGTACACGCATCATTTTGGGCTTTCGTTCGATGGGGATGGATTGCTAACCTGCTCGCTTTAGATATGGCACAAGCCTAGCAAAGAGTCAAAGCCAGAAAACAAACTCCAGGGGCACACGGCTCCTATTGTTTCGGTTGCCTGGCAACCCGGTGCCGAATTCGTTGCAGCATCGCCCAAGCGAATATTGGCTTCCGCGTCGGATGACTGTACCGTGCGTATATGGGAGGTGGGGTCTCGGACCTGCCTTCGTGTGCTCTCTCGACACCTCGATCCCATCGAGCGTATATGTTTCTCGCCCGACGGGAGCCGGCTGGCATCAGGGGCGAATGGAGCCGTCTTGGTTTGGCGGGTTGAATCGGGGACTCTGACACACGTTTACGATCGGTCCAGATCTCAGCGGAAAAATGGAACAGTGATACCCGACGATGTCAGTGAGATTGGCGAGATCTCATGGGATGAGGGCGGCCAACGTCTCGCCATCGGGGAGGGGTCGAACAAGGTGAATAGCTCCGTTGACATCCAACATGACGTAGGTGAACGGGATATTAACCGATATATGCAGTGCGCCGTCATCACCATAGGCTCGAAAGGATCGACGACACCAGCGCCGACGACGAGTAATGGATCGGCATAGGACGTATGTTTGAGATACGGCTTTTTTTGGTTATTCCGGCGTTTTTTTCTTCCAGATTGGTTGATATCGAGGGGGTGGGTGGTGGAGGTGTCCCGAGATTGTTTTGTCCGAGACTAGCTCGCTCTATACATGGAGAATCATGTCTTGGATGATTCTTCAGGCGGGACGTAGTTGAATGGGCTTTGTGGACACCAATTGAGAGTTGAGGGGGTGAGGGGGTGAGAGGACTGCTGTGGCTTAATCTAAAGACTTTACAGGCGATCTACGGATGGATTGGATGGTGCAGGGCACTTTGTTGACGATATACTTCGTTTTCGATCTTTATCTTTTTTTGTTTCTTCTTTCTTTCTTTCTTTCCTTTTTCTTTTTTCTTTCCTTCTTCCTTCCTTTTTCTTCGGTCTTTCTTCTTTTTCTTCTTCTTCTCGTTTCCCGCCCACAGGATGGATACTGTAGATGATGAGACTCTTTGCGGGGTGGGGAACTGTATTACTAGCATTATTATGGGAGAGGGGTTTGCTTGCTTGGATGATTTATTGGTTCGTTGGTTCGCTGGCTCGTTGGTTCGCTGGCTCGTTGGTTCGCTGGTTCGTTGGGTTCGCGATCGTCGGCTTTGCTGGGGGAATCATTTGCTTGCTTGGTGCTTGGTGCTTGGTGCTTGGTTGATATCGTGGCTCTTTTACCTATATTTTATTCCCTCACACGCAGCCGGCCAGGTGAACTCGAAGTTACTTGCTGCAGAGTGTTTACGTGCTGGTGGTGTGTTGTTGTGCTTGTGCGTCTCGTATATGGAGTACCTATGGAAGTTTGGAAGTTTGGGACCGACAGATCGTCCGATTGATTGACTGATTGATTGATACAAGCTGGATGTCACTCGAGGGGGGGGTACCGTATACATAGAGTATAAAGCTGGCTGCTGGCCGGGGATGTCTGCAAATCTGACCGAGTACTGCGCCTCTCCACCCGGCCCCGGCCCGCACTCGGTGAGGCTTGAAGTGCAGTGCAGTGCAGCGGTGCGGTGTGGTTCAGTGCAGTGCAGTGGCGGCAGTGCAGCTGTGAAGCCGGGTACTCTACTTTACAGTGCAGATGTTACCCCCCCCTCTTTAAACAATAGGCGTTCGGACTCCAAGCATAAGCTGGAGCTGGCAGCTCGTCATGGCGGTGATAATAAATTCTGCGGCTGAGCCACATGCAGCCACTGATCTATGTAGTCCCAAACAATTACCTGCGGCGATGGGGGGGAGGCCAAACTTTCCGGTCGTGTGAGTACCATTTACAGTCTTGCTTACATAACCCCATAGTCATGGTGTGGTGTGTTGTTCCTTCAGGGTTCACGCCACATGCAGCCAAGCTTCGGCCGGCCGGTCGGTTCGCGACATGGATCATTATGGATGTGGATGGGGTGGGGTGTGGGTTGAAGGATCAAGCGAGATCCTGCGAAATTCTGCACAAGGGACAAGGGGGACTAGAGCCGATCCGTTGGCTGAGAGGGGGTCGTTTGGGTAGGTGGGTGGTGGCTGGGTGGGCACGAATGGGGGTTGAGATTAATGATGATGATGATGGTATTGGTGATATTGGTGATGTTGTTGGTGATGGGGACTGGTGGTGGTTATTGGTTCCAAGGGCTGTAAGTAAGAGAAGAAGGAGAGTGGGTGCTTGAGGGGCTATGTGCTCACATCTGCGGGTGTCCGCTCGCTCGCTCACTCACTCACTCACTCACTCGGAGCCAGAGGGAGAGGAGGAAGAACATCTGAGCCTGAGTGGGGAAACGAGACGGGGAGGAGAGGGGAGGAGAGGGGAGGAGAGAGAAAGCACTGGGCTTTGTTCGCTGTGCACGAAGCCTGCCATCATCGCGCACGCAGAGTTGAGTAGAGTAGGTGCCATAGAGTACCACTCCCTCACGGGCACGCACCACCACCACTCTTATTGCTTTTATTTCCTTCTGTCTCTCCCCGTTCCGCTAGTTGGTTGGTTACCACCGACCTGCCTCAGCCAACTAAGCAGCCTGCCACCACCACCAACACCACCACCCCTTGTGCCTGCTACTTCTGCTTCCGCCTCGGGCTCTGATCAGACACAGAAAACTTGTCAGCAGCCGTTGCCTTTGCTTCCTCCACTCGCCCTTCGAATCTAGAGTAACTTCTCCGCCCTCCGCCCTCCGCCCTCCGCGCACATTTGCTGTCATTGCAGTCTTGTCTTGCAGTCTTGTCTTGCAGTCCGCTCATTTTTTCGAACCCCCCAGCCCTCGCACACTGACTCCACACGCACACCCCTCCCCTCCCTCCCTCCTTCCCTCACTCCCTCGCTCAACATCGCCTACACTTTCCTACACCAATCTGAAGCCCAGTCACTCCATCATCACCATCATCATCGTCAACGCAAAACCCAACCACAAGCCACCCAGCACCCAATTCGGGGAACCGCTCGCGTCAATCTGAAGCCAGCTCCCATCATCGTCTTCGCACTCACTCACTCAACTCGATCCCATCCCGCTCAGAGAACCTCTCCTTTCTATTTGACACAACAGGATTGTACCCAGTCAAGGATCACGCGTTACCAACCCAACCAACCCCCCCAGGGCCCAACCGGCCAGCTTATCACACGCCTGCCCGCCCACCCGCTCCAACAACTCGCTTTCCCACCCCCCTCCCCCGCAAGCCCGCTAAACTAACTCTTCTGCCCTGCCGCCAAACGTCTGCACGACATATCACCCCCCCTCACATACTGTCATCTCTCGTCTCATATCCGGGTATATCTGGACCTCCATCGATGAAGAATTAGCGCCTCTGAACGGTCGATTGAGAACTTTACTTCCGTTCCCCACAGTCCTTTGCCAGCCTAGGGACGAAGACGGAACAACAAAGTAATGGCTGGTGTCTTCACTCCCGCTTCGAGGTCATCCACGGGCGGATCCGTGAAACTCACCCCTAACAACTCCCCCGGATACTTCTCTCGGGGAGGACCCAGTAGTAACAATAGCAATAGTTCGAACCCAAAGGCGCCGACGAAGCGTCAGTTCTCGGCCTCCACCAGCTCCACGTTCCCCGACAGCAGTCTGTCGCTGAGGCGCGTTATCGGCTGCTCGACCAATGCCTTCGATAGCCACCCTCCCACGCGATCGTTTGCGTATACCGCCGGTGCTGCCGCCGTCGTAGTCACCCTCGATGACAACCTACATGTCACCCAACGATTCTTCAGGGCGCGGCCGAACGCCCCTACGCTTACATCCGCTGCAGCGGGGGCGCATCTCACACCATCATCCACACCTCAGAGCGAAAGTAGAGTCCGTGCGGCGGCTTCCCTACGCGAAGCGGGTATCGGATACACACCGTCCTCGGCCGGGGCGTCGTTCGGCGACGACAGTTCGAACGGAAAGACGTGGACGGCGAGGGAGAGGATAAAGGCGGCCACGTGCCTGTCGTTCAGCCCCGATGGAAAGTGGTTAGCGGTCGGGGAGACGGGATATAACCCGCGCGTATTGATCTTTTCCATGTCGAAGGATGTCCAGAGCGACGTGCCTGTGGCGGCGATGTCGGAACATACTTTCGGCGTCAGAGATGTAGCTTTCAGTCCAGATTCAAAGTACTTGGCGAGCATAGGAACCGCGAATGAGTAAACCTTCCTTCCCCCCCTCCCCCCCCCCTCTCTTCCCCCGCTTTCTGGGAGGTTGGTGGTATGTGTGTGGTGGTGGGCATAGGTTGACACTTTCGACTGTGTGTGTGTGCGCGCGCAGCGGATTCATATATGTTTGGTCGTTGAACCCCAGCAAACCCGGACTCGTCCAACTCCATGCGAGCAATAAATGCACGAGCTTCATCCGACAGATTGCATGGATGGGCAGGACACTGGTGACGTGCGTTTCAGAATCCCGCAGAAAAAGAATAATTTCAAAGGAATCCCTGCCGAAAATTGCAATTTATGTGAGGCAGGTGATAAGCGCGAAAAAAAAACAGTAGTACTGACTTTGTCGTTTCTTGCGTTTTTACAGAGTTGGAACCCGCCACGTGAAATTATGGAGAACCGAAGAAGATGTTTGTGACGGCCGAAAATCGAAACGAAAGTGGAGGCTGACCCGCAAGCAACAGAAGCCAAATGCCTCGGGTCCGGTCGTTTTGCACGGCCGTAACGCGCTCCTCGGGAACATGTCGGATTCGACCATGAGCTGCATCGTGGGGATATCGGAGGACAAGGCCGTGGTGTGCTCGGAGCGGGGCGATATTTGTCTGCTCGAAGAGGCAGGCATGCGGTTCTCGAAGGTGGCCGACGCCGGCTTTGGCGTGCATTGCATCGCGGTCGACGTCGAGCGCAAATTCGCCTGGGTCGCCGGTAAGAATGGCAGCCATAGGTATGTCAATCTGCAGAAGGATGGGGAATTTGGATTCAGGGGGGTTTGATGGTCCTAAGGCTGATTCGAGGGGGTGTTTTAGTGCTCTGGTACTGGCGAATATCGTCCCGCCGACCCCGCCGGCTTCTCCATCGTCTTCGCGATCCAGCTCGCCGGTTCTTCCGTCGGGATGTCGCCGTGCCGATGTCGTCGCCATGGCCTCAATGTTTGGCCATCTGTTCACCCTGGATTCGAATCGGTCTCTGAAGATAATTAATATGTCCACGGTCGATGGCGTGCCCGTGCCGAACTCTATGGTCCGTGAGCTCCCTGCGCACAAGGATGCATGTTTGGGTGTCAGGCCGCTCCCTCGCAATCACCCCTCGGAGGCAGCTTTCTTCACCTGGTCGGCCGGAGGTGCTGTTTTGTTTTGGTGCTTGGATGGAATCTGCAAGGCCGAATTCCAGGTCATGTTGGAGCAACCGGCAGAAGGCGAGGATGATGTCAGCAACGAACTGAAGGTTGTTAGGGTTTCGGATGATGGGACGTTTTTCGTGTCTGGAGACAAATACGGAGTACTGCGGTAGGTATCGATGGACTCGAGAGGTAGGGGGATGGGCGTGCTGACGGGTGTCACACAGTGTCATCGATGGCGAATCTTTCGAACATTACTACGATGTCAAGGCACACAGCGGCGAGATCATGGATATCACCATGCACCAGGATACCATCGTCAGTTGTGCCAGGGACCGCACGGCTCAGGTGTTCAAAAGGATAAATGGAACCTGGACTTTGTCTCAGACGCTGGATGATCATACCGCCAGCGTTCAGAGGGTGCTCTTGTTGGAGAATGGGAACAAACTGTTGTCCTGTTCGACGGACCGAACGATAGTGATCAGAGAGTTGTGTCACCGAGAGGCACTCGACGGTACCGTTACGGACGCTTACATTCCGCTGCGAACACTCAACACCAAGGCGTCACCGATCCATTTGGCACCGCTGTCTGATTCCGCTTCGACGTTGCTGGTGTCAACTCTCGACCGTCAGATCATCAAATACGACCTCACTAACGGGAAGATTATCAACAGCTTCAAAGTCACGGATGAGACTGGGGATTCCGTCGTCATGGATGCCATCACACTATCGGAGGACAAGGGAAAGCCCAGGATCATCGTGGGCACTTCGACTACGGACAAGAGCATACGACTGTACGATCTCAACGGAGGTTTGGTTGATAAGGAGTGGGGGCATACGGAGGGTGTCAGCGATGTTTGTCTTCTGGAAGTCGGAAAGGAACGGGAGGGAGGAAGTACGACTGTCATCAGCACTGGAACGGACGGCACGATCATGATTTGGGATTTCTCGGAACGGGGGTCACAGGGAGTGAACGGCAACGGGACACCAAGTCGTGATTTGGAGGTTACACCGCAGAGGGATCTGACTGCAGCTCGGACTCCGTTGAGGAGGGTTCTTAGCAGGACGGAATTGATGGACTTTACACCGAGAGGTGGTAGCGGTAACAATTCGGAATTCTCGGGGGTCTCGGGCAGCAAGTCGGTCGGAAGCACATCTCCACCGAGGCCGCTCAGGAAGAAGGGGTCATTGTACGGACTGAATAGAACCCTCTCGGCGGTTTCGAAGGCTGGGAATGCGGTCCAGCAACAGACTATAACGCAATCGCAAGCGCAGCAGAACCAGTCGTCCACCTCATCTGAAGACTCGTTGGTCTCGCCGTCGACGCCGACAGCAGTAATAAACCCCGCCAATGCCAATGGCCGGGAAAGCCGGAAAGCCCGCGGGAGGACACCGAGTCCACCTGACGAGAAGACGCGGCTGGCTGCACCGCCAAGACGGTTAAGCTGCGATGCTAGGTCGTCTACCAGAGGACAGAGTAGAACGCGCGTCAAGAGCGATGCCAACAGCAATGGTCCCGGGTCCATGAACGCACTAGCGCAGAGTCTGACGCGGAGTCTGCGGAGCTTCCGAAAACGTGTCGAGCAAACGGGCCTGACGGAAAACGGTGCCCTCCGGCCAGAGATCATGAGAGGCCTTCAACGCGAACTGGGATTGACCGTCAAGGAACTGGGTGGCGATGACAAGAGCGGAGAGCGTGACGGAGAGAGCAGTTCCGGAGACGACGATACAATGGCGGCGATGTTGGAGGCATATTCGAGCAAGCTCTTGAGTATGGTGAACGATAGACTGGAAGAGCAGTTCCAGAAGAAGGAAGAGGAAGGGCAGCCGAAGACGAATGGCATAGCTGCGGCCAAGATGGACGTTCGCGTCAATGGAGAGAGTAGTAACGGCAACGGACTGGACCGAAGGAAATCCGGAAGAGCCGAAGTGACAGGAGAGGGTTAATCTCTCTCACAACAAGCAACTGCGTCTACCACGTTTTATTTTTCGTTTCGTTTCGTTTCGTTTCTTGGATTTGTTTGTGTTTGTGTTTGGGGCGTGGGTGTTTTTTATTTTTTTTCCTCCTTGAACTTGTGCAGCTAACGGTGGCATCGTCGAATTTGGTCCGTCCTTTGATATCTTTTTTTTTCGTTTTTCTTTCTTTTCTCTTTTTTCTTTCTTTTTTCTTCGCCTTTTTGTACAGCGGCGTAGGAGTTTGAGACTTGACATTGCTTGTTACTTTCCCTAGGTTTTTTTATGTTCTTGTCTTCGGGGGTTGTATTACTATTTTTTTGTTTTTTTACTACTCACGTTTTACTCCATTTATTCATCGGAGCCTTCCCTTTCCCTGGTTGTACATTTTTTCTTTCTTCTTCTTCTTTTTTCGATTCTGCTTCCTGGTTTGGGCTTTTCCTTCTTACTTACTTTGTACCTCACTTTAAAACTTTTAAGCTTTTTACTCATGTTAGGGTTTTCTGGTATACGGGGCGGGGGCAGGGGGGATGGTTTTTGGTTTGGTTGAAACTGCGGGATTAGTTACTCGTGCTTCGGGTTGGTTGATGTTGGGATTTTGTTTTGTTCAAGTTCTTTTCGTCTCTTTTCTTCTTCGTTGGGGAGGGCCGAGTCGAGTCTGTGTCGAGTGTCTGTGTCGAGTGTCTGTGTCGAGTGTCTGTGTCGAGTGTCCGTGTGTCTGTGTAAGAAGTAAGAAGTACTGCTGCTGCTGCTGTTTCGTAGATTGGTGGATTGGTGGATTGGTGGATTGGTGGATTGGTGGATTGGTGGATTGGTGGATTGGGCTGTTAATCAACATCGTCTGCCAGACTGCCTGCCTGCCAGTGTTTACTCTACGGTACTACCTACTCCATATTGAGCAATGTATAAAGTGCTACTGCTCCTCGCCGCGGACCCTACTATACCGTGGCCGGCCGGACTGCGGTAGATGGCCTCCGAGTCTCCAAGACGCTGCGGCTTTTGTCGGTCATGAAATCATCACTCGAAATATCCGGCGGGCCCCATGTACTAGTTAGTACCCATAGAGCATCAGTTCTCATGCCAGACCGATGACTGGACTGGACTGGACTGTCACCGTCCTCTAAAGTACTTACATACCAGGCTGGAATAAGCTGCCGAGGCCGTCAAAAGTCGGTCCCGTCTGAACTGGACCGGACCGTGATAAACGTCGGTGACTAGCCGGTATATAGAGTAAGTATACGGCGGTAAGATGATCTAAAGCTGTATATAAGCTCGGGGTTTGTGCTTTGATAGTGCAGCTTAGCAGAGTTCCACTATATATGAAAGTCAATACTGCCTGGCGGGGTAAGATCAAGAGGGGCGGTGATGGTAAAAAGTAGCGTCGGTTCAAACCTTTACACATACGACGCCGCACCTACCGTCCCGCCTATATCTGCCAAGCCCGATCAACGACTGCTTATTAATAACCAGCTCCCAGGTCAGCTCCTAGTATCGACTCCGAGCTCAACCCTTACCACCATGGCTTCACCGACCACCTTCATAGTGGGCCTATCCGGGCTATCCTCGACAGGCAAAACGACGCTGTCGCGACTCCTGCGCTCCCTAATCCCGTCCTCGTTCATTCTCCACCAAGACGACTTCTACCACCCCGATGGTGCCATCCCACTGCACGCAGGTGGCCTACAGGACTGGGACTGCGCCGGCTCCATCAACTGGGAGTACCTATGCCGGGTTCTCGACAGCGTTCATGAGTTCGGCGCTCTGCCCGCAGATCTGAAAAGCCTCCAGGACGACTCTCCCGTCGGCGCGGAGCCGGAGCAGAAGCTGGTTTCGCCCGAGACGATGCGCCGGCTGAAGAAGCGCCTGGATGATAACATCCGCGCGGATGTCAGGGTCGCTATTCTGGACGGGTTTCTCATGCTGCATAGGGACAGTCCGGTCGAGGAGAGGATGGATGTTAAGGTCTTGCTGCGCGTGCCGCACGAGACGGTAAGAACTTTCCCTCCCTCCTGCCCTCCCTCCCTGTCTTTTCCGTGGACGGAGAGGTGATGGTCTCTGTGTGTGTAGGCAAAGCAGCGGCGTGAGGCTAGGAATGGATATGTCACTATTGAAGGTGGGCAGCGCTCGCCCGGATAAACGGCGGGTGGGAGATGCTGATGGACACTGTGCAGGATTTTGGACTGATCCTCCGGGTTACTTCGATAAGATCGTTTGGCCCAATTATGTACCGCACACCACCCATCGCGCCAACAGATCTCCTCACTAGCTGACCACACATACACACGCACAGGTCGATGAACACAAGTACCTATTCGTCGATGGCGACGTCGAGGGCAGGTTGACTTCTGAGGCGGAAGAGAAGAGGAGAATACATACGCCCGAATCCCTCGACGCATCGATGGAGGAGACACTTGAGTGGGCGGTCAACATCCTTATCTCGGAGCTCAAGCTCAAGCTCGCCTCTGCTTCTTCTCCCTCCTCCCTGTAGAATCCAAACAAGAACATACCCCATAAACTCCGTTTATTTTGAGCCCATGAATGATATAACGAACGCAAGCAAGAACAAACCCCCCCACCGCCGTCAACTTTAGCATCTTCGGGATCTGTGCCTTGGGTAGATATAACAAGGCCAGAAGTCCATCCATCGTCGCATCCAATTCCATCACCTCTCCATAAGAACCCGCGACATCCCAGCCCTTCCAGGTATCGAGACTCAACACTCCTAGTGTAGAATCTCTCCCTCATCTTCAAACCCGAGCGCCCTAAGCTTCTTCCGGTGAACGCGATCCCTCCGTTTCGTCTCGGCCGCCTCCAAATTCTGCAGTGGCAGCAACTCCTCCCTCGAGCGGCACGGAATGGCAATATCGTCTTCGCGGTCCAGATCCTTTTCCGCACCCCTCCTATCAGCCCCCCAGATTTCCACCTCCACAAAGTAGTAGCTGGAAGAAACCTACGATCTCACCGAGCAACAACACGTTCTCGCCACGCACGATGTAGATGCCCCGCGGAATGTCGCAGTACATTCCGCCCGCGAATATGCGCTCCGTGGTGTTCTGTATGACGAGATTTGCTACAAGATCGCAACATGCCGACTTCGTGAGCACGGGTTCTCGAACGGGAGTATGTGGGAGTGCTATGCTAACCATACTGCCGGTCGATGAAACGAAACATTAGCCGTCCGCGCCTCCATTCGCAAAGCTGGCGGTGAAAGAACGGGGATGGGAAGGGAAGGGTACCTGATCCCACGCCCTCAAAACCCCAATCATCTTCTTTCCATCCCGCAGAGTGATCATCAATTTCTCTAGAGAATCCCGCGTGGGTTGCGTAAGTTACGTGTTTCATCCCATCCCCCCCACCCTCCCTCCCCCCCGCCACTAGCTCCAGGAATACCATACTATCGGTAAGATCCAGCAATTGCGCCGAAGTCGTAAACATCTGCGGCGGCAGCGTCGGTGGATCCGTACCTTCCATTCTGTAGAGTACGTGTGCGGGCGGAGGCGGGAAAGGGCTGTGGTTGGGCGTTTCGTTGCGCGCGTGAGATCGAGCGTGGGCGTGGGCGTGGGCGGGGGCGGGGGGTTGATCTACTTAGATAGAGTAGGGTTGCTGATTCCGGCTTTGAAGCTGTGTGGCTTGCAGGCCTGAGATACGCGAGCAATGGTACGTCACGTGACAGCCATGGCATATCACCCAACTTTGGACAATCTTCGGGCAGCTTCCACTAGTTAACTACCTACATCAGTCCACGCAATACGACAGTGAACGGGGTCTTTTGTTTTTGTTGTGGCTTGTTTGGTAGGCTGTGGTGCAGCATCCATCGAGCCGCGGCGATACGGCTTTCTATCTACCCCCGCGGAGCTGGTAGTTGTACTGGTCGCCATGGTCCAGTAAGGCCGTATGCAACAATAAATTCATGTTCTCTCTCTACAATCCGCGCAATCCCACCCCAAAGTTCGATGTCTCGGAAGGTGGACTGCCGGCTACTCGCGGGGTTTTGCTGGCAGCCATGTACAGAAGGCGCGACAATCATCATAAAGTCAGTCAGTCAGAAAACCATTCGTCCGCGAAGGGAACTTGGGAAGAGGGGGAGAGTGGGGGAGAGACCGTAGGTGGCCGGATCGCTTCGGATATCTCGTATAACAACTGCTTCCGTTAAGGCTCATCCAGCAACATCCATAACATGGGCAGAATGTTTATGAAAACCCACTTGCACAAGGCATTTATTTCACCTTGTTGGGAAATGATCACACATAAGCATAACATCCATGTATGCACCATTGTGAGTCACTGCTCCCCGAGCACTCGCACCAATATATATCCTGATGCTTCCGGGAGAATCGAATCACCATACCAAACAATATCACCCCGCAATCGTCACAATGCCCTCGCCGGCGAGCTCTCGGTCTTTACTCTGCTCTGCCTCACCGGCACCAGAACCGGCACTGCCCACCCCTCCCCCCTCCCCCAGTTTCAAGATAATCGTCCACCGCCCCATTGCGCACCCTCTCCCACCAGCGCACATCGCCACGCTGCGCTCAATGATCAACACCTCCTTCCCGGCAGCGGAGCTAGCCAGCTTCGCCAACCTACGCCTTCCCAGCGAAGCTGCCGCCGAGCTGTGCAACTCTGATCGTTGGATGCTCTGCATGTACAGCTCTGGCGCACCTCCTGGCGGGCCAATCGCCGCTCTCCCTCCCGCCGCGGATCTCAACGGTATCCACCACGACTTGCACGGGTGGTATGTGGTGGGAACGGTGTCGTTGTCACTGGAAAGGGAGGGCACGGTCGAAACGCACGGGAACGGCGTGGCTGAGGGCCCACTCAGAGACGGCGGGCCGCGCGAGTGGCATGTTCATCTGCTGGGGATCAACCTTACGATGGGAAAGTTGGGTCTTGGAGCGAGGTTGTTGGAGGCCGCTGAGGAGTTTGTTACAGGCCACAGTGCCCAGGGAGAATGCGAGACGCTTGTTGCGTACGGGATCGTGGAGTTTGGGAAAGCAGAGTACTATGAGAGAAGAGGGTTTACGGAGGTGGGTGAGAGGATCCCCATGGCGAAGGGACAATGGGGGTCCAAGATTCCGTTCACTTTGGCGAGGATGGTCAAGATTGTTGGGGGAACGAATGTGGGTAATTAGGCTCTACTCGGGCATAAAACTTACAACTTCGCACTCTTTAGAAGTCACATACCTGGGTAGATACGCAGGTAGAACACCAATTAGGGAAGAAGAGCGGTTTATTGCTCGCGGTAGATGGAGGTTGATCTTGTCTGATGGCTTTTCTGGGGGCATGCAATCGATGGTAGATAACAGTGATTGAGAGAGCTAGAAAGCCGGTGATAAAGCGTGAAGCTTGCTCTCGAATATTCATCATTCATGGCGTAAGTAGGTAGATATCACTCGCACACTCACCCTACCATAGGTACTCGAACATTTCCACCGCACATAACTGCGTATCAATTAATCCCTAGCGGCATGGGTTTAGTTTGCACTGTATCATGCGATGATATGGTCATCGCCAGCATTAGGTACCGCACTTTTTACGCTACCCTCGGGTCCAGAGGCCTTCCTGTCTCGATACGCTTGCGACGCTGTTGCGCAAGCATCGTATCAAGTTCCTCGAGAGCGACGATGCCAGCGTCGAGACGGGTTTCGCCAAGTTCTGTGACTTGGTCTGTGGAAACGTTACGCAAACACAATCACATGGAAATATTGTTTCGGCGGCACACGCGCTGCGCCGCAATGCGACACTGCGGCAGTGTCTTCTCGACAAGATTGGTGATACCCCCGAGACCACCCGTATCCTCAAAGATATCCGGTTTCTAGGACGGCTACATGCAGCATACGAAACGTTCACCGAGTGCGCCAAAACTTTCACAAACTTCAAAGGGCTGAAGTTCGAGTATATTGCCGGCCGGGCACCGCAACCTCCTACGAACCCAAGCAACAACAGTGTGGACAGTCTGCTGCAGAGAAAGGGATTCGATCCTTCGACGGTTTTCCGCGGCATCGACCGCAAGGAGTTTATGCGGGAATGCCGCAAGCCCCTGCATGTCCATTGTGAAGTGAATCTGCTGCTGGAGTTGTTGAAGTCCCAAAACAACTCCACGGAATCCTTGAAGTATATTGGCATCAGCAGGAGATGTTGCTTTCTCTGCTTCCACTTCTTGAAGCTCATGCGTTTCGAGAATAAGGGGACTCATGGAAAGGTTTATCCGTAGTGGGACATAGTAGTACCATCTCCCGCCGTGCTTAGTACTGAGAGTATAGCTTTTGCCTCGAGGAAGATGGAGGAGCTTGTCGCCAGCAGGCTTTCACAGCCAAAGTCCACCGTGCACATGGTAGCGGAATCCTCCACAGCCGTTACCACTGCGCGAGAAGATGTTGCGGTCAACGCACTGAAGAAGAAGGCGTTGGAAAGAGCGCGTCAGCAACAGAATCGCACGAACATCCCCTCCCCTCATCATCATCATCATCATCATCATCGATGCCTTCTAGACCAAGGGATTACAAGCCATATTCGAAAACGAAAGTCTACCGGCTCCCCGCAGATGGTGAGGCACCAACCATCATCTCAGTGCCAACCATCGATATCAAGAATATTCCTAAAGACTTGGAACACAAAACTTGGGATTTGCACCTTACGCACGTTCCGGACCTACGTCCTTACTGGTCATACGGCTTCCTAGACCGCGAATCGGCGCGAATCGAAGTCGGCGGGCACGGCGCTGCCATCGACGGTGTGTATCTATTTTACTTCATCACCGATCCCGAGTTCCCACGCAACGAAACGATCCGCAAAATGGTCCAGCAATTGATCGACAAGGATGAGGACTACGAGGAGAGATTGTTCTGGCGTGGGGATGTATTCTTTGTCGGTCTTGGAGATCCCGAGTGGGGAAGGAATGGGTATGCGAATTACAGAGACGCTCCGAAGGAGCTACTTCAGATGCCGAATTTCTTGACGCGTTACTTCCAGCACTCGTACGAGGAGAAATTCCTGGAACAGAATGTAAAAACCAAAGCAGAGTTGCAGGCGTCACCGGAGGAGCATCAGAGGAAGAAGGATTTGGTTTTTGCGAGGATGTGAGTTCAATGCAATACCAGACTAACTAGTTCCCCGTGTTCCAAAAGTGTGCTGACGGAGTGCGATGTCAATGCAATCAAGGACATTCAGCTAGCACCGGATCCAAACGATCCCGGATCATTGATCGCAACGCTTGATTCAAAATCCAGCTGACTTTGAGAATCGGCTCTAATGTTCCACGGCGGTGCAGGAAGAGAGGGGAGGGGGGCGGGGGTCGACAGCTGTTCTTTTAGTTTCTATGTGTTTGGTCTCAATTTTCCTTTTCCTAAGTTCTCTTCGGATGCTTTTCTTTCTTTCTTTCTTTGTTCTTAGCAGGACCTTCTTATCCGCAGCGAGCAACCCAGGGAAGGGAGGAACGGTGAATTATGCTAAAAGTACTGGCTACCATTGTCTTCTCGTTCATAGCAAGATTCGATGTTGATGAGTGATGGCTCGTGATGTCAATAGCGGTTTCCTCGGCCTTTGTCGGTGGATCAGCCTCTTATGTACTCCTCTCGCCCCCTTCCTCTATGTAGGTACCTAGTTACTAGTACACCATGGTAACCATTAAGCGCGTGCTTGGCTGCCCTCCTCGATCACAATCTACTTTAAATACCTACTATAGTGAGGCGGCGGGGGGGGGGGGAGAAATGGTAGCAATACAATATCCCGAATGACTACATGTCGGGCCAGAGCATGGTACTGCTATGCAGACGCTATGGCAAAGATATGCAGACGCTATGGCAGAGATAATCCGATACGTAGAACCACGAATATGTACCTACTTCATAATTGCAGGTGTACTATACATCACGGAGAAACAGTATCACCAAAAGAAAGCGTATTGTATCGTTATAGTATGTCATGTAGGTACGGTGTGATACACATGAAAATGTAGCCCAACCATACCTAAGTACCTACTGTTATGTATTGAACATGTATCGAGGAAATCAAGTATTGGGTACATACCGAGGTACCTAAGGTACCATATCGGGTTTTGATGACCTGTGGTACTAGTAGTACCTACATACTCAAGTGTGTAGCTGAGCGTATCGATACGTATCTTAATACATACACTCACTTGCGTTCCCGCAACGTATGACCGACCGTTTTGTGGGGTGGGGCGAAACAGCATTCACATGCATATTAACATACCTATATCCGCGGCAAAGACAGTGTACTTGAGTGGGTACTACCTATCCGTGGCGACGATAGGTAGTCTGGTATGTATCCGCAGCGAAGCTGGCCCGAAGGCTGGTACTGACGAGATCACCCCGAGGACCATGAAATGAATACGCCGGCAACTCCCTGACGTTTAGTATCATCGAATATCCGGACGGCAAAGAGACACACACTGTAAATCACCATTCACCGGACCAAAGCTAATCTCCCTAGAGGAATCACACTTCGTCTAGATGTTCACAAGTAGTTCCCACAAATACGGACGCAAACACGCCCTGCGACGTTTTGGCAAGTACTTGATCATCGCCTTCTTCATCATCCGGTATCCAGTATCAATTGTAAAGCAAGTCAGATACTATGTGCGTAGTTTAAAATACAATCGTGATCCCCCCCTCCCCCCTCCAAAGGAACACATCGGTTCCATGCTTCTATGTATGTCCAACACAAGTAAAAGAAAAAAAAGAAGAAAAAAAAGAAAAACTAAAACGTGAAAAGAGAAAACCAAATCTCGAGCAGAGCAGAACAAAACAGATGGCAGCGTAGCGTACTCTAGGTAGGTATGTGGAGGGAAAAAAAGGTATGTACATGAAGAAGTCATGAAAATCGTACAACAAGCAAGCAACCCATGAGCATACCACACGCGTCATTAAGAGGTTTTCATGTCGTACCCTGACCAGCCGGCCCCGAAAAAAAAACCCAAGGAAATCCTAAAGAAACATAATCCCTTCCCCGTAGTACTCCATGTAAATCAAACCCAGAAAGAGGGCCCGTCCAGTGAAGGACGGGAAAGAAAATAAAAGTCCTGGAATCCAAGGGTGCCATTTATGGGTGCCGCTGAAAAGACGAGATGCGAAATAAAAGCCGTGAAAGAAATCTGTACAAGAAACGCTATGGCACTCATTAAATGGGAAATCGATGCCGGGAACATAGACGAGCGTGGTCGGATCAATCACATCCATCCACGAGCTCGTTCCTGGGCCAGTCATATCCGGTGGCCTCCCAATTCGTAAGGTTGGGGTTCATAAAGGCCTTCTCGTGCTTCTTGATGTATTTGGTGGTCGGGTATCCCGGGGGATCACAGGTCACCGAACAGTCCTCGCAATCCTCAAGCTGCCAGATACGGATCCTATCGAATGGATTAGCAAACAGCGCAGCTTTCGGGTTCAGGATGGCTAGAATTACCAATCGATCCTCATCTTTGCGGGGAACAACGGCAGGAGCTTCTCGAATTCGACGAGAGCGAACGAGGTGGACATTCCGGAGTTGATGATGACAGTCATCGGCTCCACGGGAATTGGTCTCTGCCCAATGTTTCCGTTGGGACCAGTGGCCTCACCGGTCATCTTCCAGGTTTTCTGATCTCCAATATTCCAGGTAATGTGCCCATCGTCACCAGGAAGGTACTCGAATCCATAGCGCTGGTACTTTTTACCGTCGTACCAGTCATTGTTCAGGACCGATAATCTGCACCCACGTCAGAACCATCCAAGCGGTGAAGAACCAAGAAACCCTACCCTGAGATGGCCTGCTGATAATATCCTCCCCGGTAGGTGTTCATGGCCGTAAATTCGGGATTGTAGACTGCCGCAAAGTCGTAGTTTGGCTGATACCACAGGTCGAATGGTGCGACCTGCGCCGACTGCGAGACCAGCCCAACCTTTCCTTTCCCATCTCCAATATCGCCGACAGTTGCCTCGAGGATATCGATTTCGGGAGCGCTTCTCGCTTTGCCCTTGCTCGGATGATCCTCGCCTGAGCAAGTGCAACCAGGAAGCTTCATTCCCGGTAGATAGCTGATGCCATCGGGGCTGGACTGATTCGCAGTAATACCGGCATCGCATCCGTCGTGGTAGGAATACGGCCACATTCCCTCGGTGGTCGAGAGATAGCCTGGCCGTCCGAGGTTTCCCATCGTCCAGAATCCGGGCCACAGACCGGAAACATCTCCCCTACCGGGCAAAGATATACTAGCTAAAAGATCTTCTAGTTAGCGCGGACGCTTGCTTCCCACGAATTGCCCAAGTATATACCTTCAATCAAACCACCCTTGAAACACATCTTGTTCCAGCTCTGAAGCATCCCCGAGCGATAATCAAGGTCGTGGTTCTTGATGGCATCGAAAGTGATTTCCAGATATCCGTCCTTCGTTGTGATTGCGTCTGGGTCGTACCACTGGAGAGAAATAGCATGTGTCAGTCCTGCTAATCTCAATCAACTTGATTCAGCCGGTAAATACCTCGAGGTCCACAGTCGCAGCGCTGATTCCTAATTGTCAGTCCGAAAACACAACAGAAGCGAATCATTCGTTTCACTCACTAATGGAGATCCATTCCTTCCCTGTAAAACTTTGTCAGCTGCAGGTACAGAAAAACAGAACAAGAAAAAGCAAATCACAAACGGCTCAACATACCAGTACGAGTCTTCATTCGGATAAAACGTCCGGCCATCAACGTTGAATTCATCGGAAAACTACACGCTTATCAGCATGATCGTGATAATAGCGCCCAACAAGTTGCTACCTACCACAAGCTTCATAGCCTTCCCATCCGCGGATTTCCTCCACTTCGCACTAGCTGGTGTATCCGGGTCGACGAGGGAGCTTCGAAAATTCTGGAGCAGGTCTCTAGGACCAACATCCAGACAGAGGTCTCCCTGCGTACATATATCTTTCTTGCTGTCGGCAACGTAGGCGCGCACGGAAGTTCTATCACCGGCAAGTCAGCAGCAACTCCGGCGCAAATCCACAGGATGAGAACAGAGCAAACTGACATGACCGGGTAGCCAATGAAGAGAAGCAAGATTCCTATTGTGATGAACGCCAGTCCACCGACGTTGACCATTCCTCTCTTGGTGAAGATATCGCACTGCCGATCATTATCCATTCCCGTAGCTGGATCGTGATAGACATCGTCATCCTCCTTGTCGTTCGGATAGAGTAGTAGGTCTGACGTTGGCGTGATGTTGTACTTCTCAGCGATGGTCTGCAGGAAGATTGGATCGGGGTGGTCCGGGGATCCCGTTCGTGATGCCGCCATACTGGGAGAGTCTTCGAATGGTGAGGCGAAAGGACCGTATCGGGAGTCACCATTACCACCGGCGTCGGTACTCCAGCTCGAACGGCGCGAGGAAATCGGACTGTCGAGGTATGATTGGAATCTTGTAGCTTGTGACGACGGAGGCACCAATAACTCTACGGTGGAATTGATGGGACTCTGGGACGAGTAGGGACCATAAGGCGTGCTACGACCACTTATTGGGGATGCGACCACCGGCACCTGTGGTGTCAATGTGCGGGTCGGGATATTTCGAGTGCTTTCGGCCGCTCCCTCTACACCGGCCGCCCCACTGGAGCTGGGGCTGTTGCCATCGTTGACCACTATTGGCGGCAGGCTCGGCCGTGACATTGTGAGCGAGTGAGTGAGTGGAGTACAAGGAGAAAAAAGAATCCTTTGTTTGCGGGGGCTGGGGAATCGAGCGCCTTCAACTGAGATGTTATCAGACGGCCAGCAGTTTCACCGCGAGGAACAGGGTCGCTCTAGCTGCTGGAATTGAAATCGGGTACGGTCGAGAGCGTAAGGATGGTGGTTTTCCGGATATGCGGGGGGTGGTGATTGTTGTAATGTATATGTTGTGAGAGCTGTTTGATTGCCCTGGCAATACCGATGATGCAGCCGTCTTTGTCCTATTTATGTGGTGTTGCCTTTGTGCTGCGGCCGAAAATGGCAGTAATATGGGAACGAAAGTGGTGAGGAAATCGTAGTCAAAACCAGCGAGTGTGTATTCGAACAACTGAAGAATCTTCAGAGGATGGTGGGTGGCGATTGTGGTTCGCAGTGGTGGAGGTAGAGGTATGTAGAGGTGATGTCCTGCAACAGCTTCGACGAACGGTAGTGATGGTGGTTGTTGTGGTAGTGTCAAGGAGGAGAGGTCATGGTATGTACACAAGGAAGAAGTCAAGTGTGCGGGAGTTGATCTAGGTACCGCACTCTATCGCTGTGTGTGCGGAAGGGGAAAAGGGCCGCAAGGGGTTCACGCAATTGAAGCTGAATCCCTTTTGGTTGCGGCGGCGCAGAAGAAGAAACTTGGTTTTACTTCTTTCTCACCTGTCCAGCGAAAAGCCGCCGGAATAACCTATCATTCGCGCACCTTACGCCACTGAGCAGGGGACGACATGGGTGAGCAAGGCTAATGTCGACTAGGGAGATGATGGACATGCTTTGTTTTTTATTAGCGGCGGGATAAGGTCCCTAGAGCATGCTACTTGCTCGATACAAAAGGACTGGCCATGCCCTGCCCCTGCGCAGAGGTAGTTGTGATCTCGATGCCAGATGGTGAGGAATCCAGATGGTTATCTAGCTGGAGCCCGCCCTACCGTCATCCTGTCTGCGTGCGTGCGTGCGCTTGCAATCCAGCCGATGTGCGGGCGAACGGGGAAGAGTAATTTCCATCGACGGCAGACGACTGGCTGCACGTGAAAGGGTGTCACCGATTACATAATGCGGCTACCTGCTGGCGCGTGTGCGATGGGAGTTGTTAAGCGCGTAGAGTGTAGGAGTGCCGCCACGGGCTGGCCCGCCGGTCTGCACTTGTCGATCAGCCACGCGTTCCAACGTCCCAGCCTCCTCTCGCCGAAATTCACGACGTCCAGTACCAGGCAGTTAGGTAAGAAGTATCTATGTAGAGGGGAAGATATTCAGATCTTCTTCATCTTAGGTACTCTGGATGTCACATAACGGCGAAAATCTTCGCCCAGAGAACGGTTGATGTCCGGAAATCGCGGAGATCGACCCGCTTGTTGTTGTGGGTGCGATTATTTATAGGATATATATGCTCTAACGCGTCGGGGAAACAGGTCGGATAAGGAGGTGGACAGGCAAGCGGCGAGTTAGTTATTTGCCGATGACATAGGTAGGTAAGTCGGTTAGGACTTTGTACTTCTAGTAGTGTATGGTACATACACGAGTGAATAGGTACCTATCATGTATCTACTAGCAGTGTGCAGTGTGGTTAGATATGATCTCGCCTATGTATTCGAGACGTGTGCCGAACCTGGCCCCAAGCTTTAGCTACACTCGGCCACGCACAAGGAAGATGAAGAAGGCGAGGGAGAAGAAGGAGATGTGCAAGGAAAAGAAAGAAGGCGAGGAACAAGAGGGAGATGCGCGACCGTTTCCTGCATCAGACACGCCGAGTGCCATAGTGCTTCACTCTGGATGGAGGAGGAGGAGAAGGCCTCTCTGCGGGAGCATGGAATAAAAACTGCATTCAACCGCACCCACCGGTACCCGTGGGTCCTCGCAGCCGCTCTGGTGATAACTCCGGCAAACAGCATGAACCGGCAAGTACCGCACCGAGCCCGACTGCCAATAGGGGCAAGAGCGAGCCTGCCAGCTGAGGACCGTCGAGCGTCGAACGGAAAGGGGGTTTCTCTGCATAGAGTACCGGTAGAGTAGGGAAGATAGGCGTCGCTGCAGGAACAGAAAGCGCAGGCGTCGATCCCCCTGGTTTTTCATCTGTTTTTTCCTCTCTGTGTGCTGTGGTGGTGGTGTCGTGGTGGTGTCGTGCGCTGTTGGTGTCTCTGATGGGGGTTTGGTCCAGTGGGCTGGTGGTGTCCTCAGCAGCTCAGCTCACCGCGCAGAGAACATCTCACATACCGCGCCTCGCGTGGACGGGGTTAGACTTGGTCATTCTTTCTCATCAGCCATCTGCAAGCCACGTTTGAATGGTAGAACTAAACAGTTATCTACAATCGGATGATTGGGTTTTCGCGATCGCAGTCCGAGCGCAAGCGCGTGCGCCGCGGTCAGCGAGCAAACGTGGCCACACGGCTGGCTGAGACACAATTGCGATATCGACTGAGCCACATCGATCGCCGCGCCGCAAGGAGACCGCTAGGCCGACACTCCGGAGACATCGGCGGTGTTGCAGAGGTGTCTGAGCCGGCCGACACGACGCGCGTAGTATGTACTAGGTATTGTGTGTAGATACGGGGAGCGGTTCGGGGCGGCCGGTGCAGAACGGTGCAGAACGGTGCAGAACGGTGCAGAACGGGCCAGCACTGGTCAAACGGAGCCGGCTCGATTTTCCGACATCGCGAAAGATAAGAAGGGTGGGAAACTGGAAGATGCCGTCGATAGGTCGGTTAGGTAGGTAAGCTTGGCCGACGCGGAACTGCTAGTACTACATATCTACTCTATGATATCGGAGTAGTGGTTAGACAAGTGAGAGACACAAAGGTAATCTTGTCACCATGAAGCAGAGATAGACGGGAAGTATAGAAATACTATGATAGCAGAGTAAGAAACCGATGGACGAAGAAGCTTTGCCGCGTACAGTCGTGGCTAAGTTTCTTGGCGCGAACCATCCAGAGCGAGCGATCGTGGTGTTCCAACGGTTTCCAGATGTGACCCCCCATCCCCCACACACTCCCAAGGAGACCAAACCAAATCATGTGGCTCAGCACATTGCGTCACCGCACCTCTCTCCGCGGCATCCTGAAATCAGCATCAACCACAGCACCACAGCTCCACAGAACAACCCGCCTCATCGTCCCCAACGCGCGCATCTCGACCACACCACGCGCAAACATGTCCTCCTCCGACGACGCCTACGCCGCCTTCCTCAAGAAGTCGCAGAAAGACTACTCCGGCGGCACAACGGGCATAGACGATGCCAGCCCCGCACACGTCACCAACACCCCCCAAATAGAACGGAACCCGCATCCCGCGATCAACGCACTCGGCAGCGAACGCTTCTACACGTCGGACGTCGACGAAGCTTTCGAGCCAGTCTCACTCTCCTGGACGAAGGAATCGTTGCCGACCGGAGGTATGTGATATGATGTCATCGCATCCGTCCATTCATCCATCCCCTTCGTACCCGTACCGCTACGACCTAGGAATTAGGAAGAGAGAGGAAAAAAGGGGGAAGGGGGGGATCATCGGTTTCGAACGTTTCTGATAAGTGGCGGCGCACAGACGAGTTTGCGGAGCTGGTGGGTGGAGGCAGCGATGTGGAGGTGCTCGAGCCGAGTGAGTGGGATCGGCGCGGCCAGTACAAGGATGTTGTGGACGCCGTTTCGGCCGCGTCCGAAGCTGCTGTAAAGGTGTATCGGGCGGAACGGGGGACGAGGGTGGTGTACTATGTGGTCGGACTGGATACCAAGGCCGGCAAGGTCGTCGGTATGAGGGTCAAGGCCGTTGAGTCGTGAGGGTTGTAGTACCGAATAATTCATGGGCCATCACTCGATTGTGGTCCCAGTTGTGAGCGATGAGCACCCTATGATAGTAGAGTAGATATCGGGAAAGCAACAATAAATCCATTTTCTCTCTTGGATATCGGAACAACATTGCCATGCTCAGCGTGTCGCACGTAATCAAAGTTCAAACGCTGAAATAAAAATAAATGGAGATCGGCAAAATGAACTTAATGCCCCTGGCGCGCATAGCGAGTGTCGAGGGATTCCTGCCATCCACCCATCCATCCATCCATGAGGGTTGGAGTAAGCTGTCAGCACTTACACTTGCACTTGCAGTTAGGAGGCTGCACGAAAAAGCTTACTCTCAGGCATCCCTCGCGGTTGTTCGGACACCTAGAGTATCGGAGGCGCGGCAAAACCCAATATGAACTGTACTTCATACGCGACGCCTCCATAGTACCGGTATAAGGTATCTCGGCAACGCCGGTCGCGTTAACGGGGATGAATAGAGGACGGCAAAATCAAATATAGTAGGTAGTCCGTCCGCCCACAAACCATTCTTGAATTCATCCCTCCAGACCTGGTAGCTACGGTCAAGGGCCGGAATATATGTACGGGGTGGCCCTGGCCAACCGGAAGAATCACTACAGAAGCCCAACCATAATCCCTCCATTTTCACACCGACTTCTCTCATTTCCTCTCTCCTTCCCTCCTCTCGCGACCAACCGTAATACCTACCTACTCTAATTCGACGGATTCCGCGAATTGCTATGCCTACTACCTATATAACCTAGGTAACCTTCCTATCGGCCTGGTATCAAATGCGCTTCCAAAGCCGACCGGAAAATTGAAGAGCAGCAACGCCCAATCCAGTCAGTTAAGACCAGCCCTCCCGTGAGCCACGCCGATCGCACGGTACTGTAGACATCGGCAACTCACGGGGCTGCCCCCAGAACGTATGTAGGGCGCAACGGTCCCGTTGGTTGTCGGCTGTCGCCACAAAAGCCGTGCGGCGGACCGGCGGACGGATCGGCGCCCAGAACTGTGCCCGGGGATGCAGGCGGCGGGAACCCCACCATCTTTTTATCCACGAGAGGGCCGAATCGTATCATGCGTGCGGCAGCTCGGACACCCGAGGATTCGCGAAGCGTGATCGGTATTGCACTTTTGCACTCTGCTCCTGCGAGATGGCTTGGGATACAGTACATACTCTACACACGAAACTCCGTTCGCGGGAGACCGGGTGATAGTTGGAGTATCAACTACCCGTCACTCGCACTCGCACTCGCGGCGGAAGTCATGACGGGTCACTCGTCGCTGTTGGAGCTCGTCGAGGATTTTCTCTTGGCTCCTGCGGTGTGATTATTGATTGGATGTATGGTGCGGAGAGGCGGCTATTAGGGCTTCGGAGGATGGATAGGAACTGCAGACTTCACTGTCAACGTGCGTTTTGATTGGGCCGGCCACGTGGGGATTCACAGTGCGTCACTGAAGTATTGAAACCTCACATGCAAATATGCGACCATGTATCGTCAACTATATGTAGCACTACAGTAAATTTCACCCTCTCTTGTACTGTGATAGTACATCATATTGACGAAACAAAGGGCTATTGCCAAACAACTGCACAAGGACCCACCCACCCAGCAGCCCGCAGACAGACCTCATACGCCCACGCTGCAAAGGAAATATCAGCCGTGTCGGCGTTTTGGTCGACTACCTAAGGTAGATACCTCAGGCCTGCCCACGGTATGGCCCGTAGCGCTTGCCTACGTGAAAAGTAGGTTTCTATGTACTCGGCAAATGGTATGTCCACATATATACCTACCGTATGGTCTGAACTCTGCCCTGGCCGTTCATGTTTGTATTGTACACAAGTAAGAGTAGGATACAGCTGTAGCTACTAAAGTACACACAAGAGCTCCAGGAAAAGCTCTCATGCGTCACGGACTCACGGTCGAGGCATTCCTTGCGCACAGCCGGGGAGATGCTCCAGAAAAGACAGTCGGCGGTCAACGTCCGTGGCTATCTACCTAAGTATGTTCCAAGCCACGACGAGAAAAGCCGTCGACGTACACAGCTTCGAATGGGGGCTTCCAGACCCTTCGTCCGTCCGACCATTTCACCCACCGAGTGCTCCACCATGAACCGGCCAACACATTCCAATCCCATTCCAAGCCCCAATCTTTAGGCCCTAACCCACCCTCCCCTCCCCTCCCCCCTCCTCTCACACCACATTCGCCCCTCCCCCCTCCCATCCCCGCACGGCGCACGCGCATGCAAACGGCCAACACAAGCTCTCTCGCAAGCATCGCAAGCGAGCTCACTAGCCCCCTCTAGTTCGCACACCCAAGCTCGCTCACTCGCAATCCAGCTCGCTCGCAAGCCCGCCGCCGCGACCATCGAACTCACCCACAATCAACCCCCAAACGCCAAATATCAACCCCCAGTATCAACCATCAACCCCCAAACCCACCATCACCACAATAATGACAGGCCCCCCCACCGGCCCCCCCTCTGGCCCCACCGGCTCTACCTCGACCTCCGCCGCCTCCCCGCCAGCCGTACCCACAAACCCCCGCCGGCTGACCACAATCGACTACGAAACGCTCGACCGGCGCTACACGATCGCAGTGAACCTCGAGTGCTGGGAGCTGATGGCTATGCACTCTATTGCCAATAACGAGGTTCTTTTCCCTCTCTCATTCTGTGTGTGAAGGCGGGAGGGGGAGCTTACGGTGTGTGTGCGAACGAACGACAGTCGATTCCGCGGCTGCGGTTGAAGATGCTCAAGGCCTTTGCCGGGCTGCCGACTGATGATGCGGGCACCGACGGGCCGTTTAGGAGGCGCGGGTGGGCGGCGCCTGCCGCGAGACGGGATTGACCATACGGTTTAGTGATCGGGAGTGATTCGGTTTCTTTCATACGATACGATCCGATTTCAGTGATCGTCGTCGTCCTGTTTGTTTGTTTCATACGGGTTGTTTCATACCAATTTGTAGTTTCGTAGCCTTCAATGGTTCAGTTCACATTACATGCGCGCGCGAGCGAGGGTCAAAAGATACGATACGATACCCCATTCTCACATGCATCTACTTCATCATACAGGACATGACCATGACCCGTTACCGTAATACCGTTACTGTTCAATGTTCAAACTCCGTTGCGATTGCATGGAAAAAAGCAAGACAAGAAAAAATGGAAAAGAAAACCAGTGAACCGGAAAGAGAGATATACAACAAGCAAAATCGTAGAGAAACCCCCCTTCCCCCAATGGAACCGGAACGAGAATGACAGAAAGGCCACCTTCCCCTGGATTGTGGTGTAGTACTATGCTTTGTACACAGGTATGCTATCCGCTACGCGCGCGCCGGTCATTGCCGTCGTCGCCGTCGTCGCCGTCGTTTATAGAAACCACTAGTCGTCCGCCGCAAGTACGGAACATCGCTTTATTTTATTGGAGAGGCTCTGACGAGCTGCTCAGTCGGTTGAGGTGGAGATACACGTCCGTCCCGTAGCTGTCATGTGTCAGTTTTCCATCTTTGCACGGCAGTTTGGTGGACGGATGGGGGGAAAACACACCCCTCCATGGATATTAATTTGAGATCGCCGCCAAAGTACCGTGCGTACAGCCGTGATATCGGTAATCCGTATCCGAAGCCCGCCATCGGTGCTTTGAAGTCGCTCTTGTTGAAGTCGGGCTCGATCGAGGGCGTCGCTTCCACGGTGGTGTACATGTACGTCCATACTAGCGGAATGGCGCTGCGGGGGATTCCACCGCCTTCATCCGAAACCTTGATGGTGATGTCCTATTTTACACCCGCATCGTTAGTGTCTCCCAGTGAGTCCGCGGCTCCACAACGCACCTCTTTACCGTCGGCCACTATGACTTTGATCGGGGGGAAATCCTCCGAGTCGCTGCCGTGTGTCTCGACAACCGCGCGAAGGGAGTTCTTCAGCGTCTCAAAGAGCATGTGACTGAGGTGTCCCGGAACGTACATGAAGTGCAGATCCGGCCGACACACCAGCTGCACCTTGGGAGCGTCGAACAAGCCGTAGTAGTCCTCACACACGAAGCGCGCGTTTTCAATGGCCTCTTGGGCGAGGTCCTTGACGTTGGTTCTGGTGCAGATTATTCCGACGTATTCATCGTCGTTCTCGGGCATCGAGTTGAGCGCGACGTGCTGGCCGATCAGCATCCGTATGCCTATCCGTGACATGTAGAAGCGATCGAGGAAGGACTGGATCGAGTTATCGATTTGCATCCGTTGTTTCTGCCGTTTGTATTCATTGATACCCATCGCTTTGAAAGGTCCCAGTTCAGCCAAGCAATAGATACAGTGCCCCAGCACCAGGATGGAAGCATACCCATGGTGGTGACGACCGGGTCGTGACGGTGCTTGATTGTCTGTAGCAGCTTCGTGAAGCGGTTGTTGTAATCGACGATCTCCGGGGGCCAATGTGTGCCTTCGTCCACCGAAGCATAATACCGTCTTCAAAGTTCCCCCCAAATCAACCTCCTAGTCTTTGACGATTGCCCTTTCTCGGGGGGAGGGAGGGGGGGATTTGATCCTCATCACTCACCGAATACCCTTCTTACTGTTCCCGTTCCCATTCCCATTGCCGTTCTGCCATGGGGAGCTTCGATATGTTCCCGGGACGACATCGGGGTTCTGTGTCGTCGCCGGCAAAGTTTGCGCGCCATTCATCCTCCCGCCATTGATCAGCTTATCCCTGATCTCTTTCGAAAGTTTCGGCTTCGTCAACTCGGTAATTTCCTAATTGCACACCTTCACGTCAGATGCATAATCCGGGGGGTGTATTCGGCGGCGGCGGGGCTGGACTAGGCAGGGCGGGGCAGGGCGGGGCGCGCGGGGGACGCGCGGTCTGATGGGAAGTACCTCGAACGACTGCGCATACCAATTGGCGACTTTCTGTATCGACGGCATCTCATTCAGGCCATCGGGCAACTGATTCAACTCCTTTACGCGGTGGGCCAGCCGTATCGGCAGTTCCTCGCTCAGGAACTGTGCGCCTCGGAATAGTGTGCCTATCCGGACGTTTTAGCAACGAACGCGAACGACATGTCCCCCTTCCCTTCCCCCGCCCCGCCCCGCAATCACGAGCAGCAGCACTTCCCCCCTCTCTCTCTCCCGCGCCTTCGTCTCTACCACATCCGCATCCGCATCCACATCCACATCCCACACACACCCCGCCATCCTTCCATCCACACACCCATTCATCCATCTGTCCGGGGAGGTGTGATTTTACCTTGTGAAGGGTTCTGCCCGAACTGTACCATCTGCCGTAAGCTCACCCCCGTTGCCGGAAACGTGCTGTAATGGGTGATTTTGTCCATCAAGGACTTTGAAGGTTTCCACATGTTTGAAGTAGTGTTGGAGCCCTGCCCAAGGCTATCGTCGGGAGTCGTTTGTTGCGTGTGTGGGGGGGACGGGTACTATCTTCGAGGAGGAGGAGGAGGAGGAGGAGGAGGAGGAGGAGGAGGAGGAGGAGTATGTAGGAGCGTCGTGCAAGGCGCGGGGTCGGGGTCGGCGCAATAGAATCCGGCCGTGTGGGGATCCAATCGATTATCTCGTGTATGGTATGGGATTGTTTTGGTATGGTATTGGGGATTGGGGATTGAAGCGGGCGGAGGGAGGGGAATGGGAGATAAAATCGAATGCAGATTAAATCCGGAGGGGAGATAATGCAGAGACCGGTTGAAGAGCAGCACAGTGCGGACTTTCTGAGTCACTCACTTCACTTAGTCGGCGGCGGCGGCGGCGGCGGTGGTGGTGGGTTGAGACACTGTGTAGCACGTGAGGACATCCGAAGGCCGAAGAACTACCGATTGATTGACGCGTTGTTAGGTAATTCGCTTTACGTTTGGTGGTTATGTAGTCGATTGAAATCCGATGGACGACGACGGCTGCGACGACGACAATGGAGGATGGAGGATGGTGGATGAGGGGGGAGCTTTTCTCAAAGAAATGGCAGCGGCAGGTACTTAGGCAGACAGGACGTTCACACGGCGGGTGCTACCTGGCTATACTTATTGGCCACGGGCCTGTCACGGAAGCACGCAGGGCGCTGTGGATCACGAAGCACAAGTTGGCGGACTGGACTGGGGATAGAGTATCCGATGTCAACCGCGGCTAGATTCAAACAACCCCCCCATCCCCCCGAGACACTCGCGATTGCATGCAACATACGAGCAACAGCTGAGCAAAATACGTACATATATGTAGTGCAGAGAAGCCTGGAGAACAGCTCCAGTAGAGTAAGCCAACGTCCTGACGGTAGTCTAGGTATGATCGGTAGTTTTTCTTTCCTTTTTCCCTGCTTGCCTTCCTTCTCCCCCTTCCTGCCTGGCTGCAGGTTGTTATTGCTCGTTGCTTATTGCTTGTCTGCCCACTGCAACCTGTGCGACTACTGCCGGCGAGAACGCGGGATCCGCCACTCATGTGCATTTTGAACTTTTGACTTCCCCCCGCAAGCAATAACCCTACTATGTACCGTATAACAACTCTACTATATCTGCATCTCGATACTTCCTTCGCTTCACTGCTTTCTCCGTCACGGGCTACATAGAGTACAAACCCAAATGGCAGACAACCGTATCGCACGTGACCAGCCCAACTGGAGTAACCGTACGAATAGGTAGTCGGCGACACGACCGGTTGGCCACAACACAATGTGGGGAAGACACCCGTGAGACATACAGCGAACTGGAACCAGCACCAGCACCAACAGCAACACCACGATCCAGCGCAGCCGCTGGTGTCACATGTCACATGGCGTAGCTGAGCTTGAGCTTGTCGCGCGTTGGGTAGCTCAGTGATCGTCGGTACCGCACGTCGGCGACTCGGCGATGACGAGTGAGTGAGATGCGCGGGCCGGCTGCGTATGTACAATACGCCTAAGGACCTAAGGTATGAAGAAGGTATGCACAGCTTCGATTCAAACCCAGTGCCCACGCCTTGCTGCTCCAAAACGCGAGTATATAGGTGGGTACATACGGCGGCAACTAACCAAGAGCTCCGACGGACATCCCATTCCATACCATACCAGTATCTCGTCCCATCCCGTCCAGTCCAGTCGCGAACTCCATCCAGCCCCGTCCTGGATGCTGGAGACTGGCCGCTGGAGCTCCCTGGGACCTGGGTATGTAGGTGCCGTATGTAGGGAAATCTCACCGCCCACAGTAGGTACGGTACCCTGCATGCCCATAAGCATGAACACATCGCCGCCCACAGCGCCGCCACAGCGCCAGTCCCTGCCCCCTCGCCGCATTACAACCCCCGCCGCCCCCAAATATCCCGCTCGCCCGCTCACCTGTTGTTCACTGTCCACCCACCCGCTCGCCCGCTGTCCAGCTCTGCCTCACGTACCAGTACAGATCAAACCCAACCCCGCGGAGTCTTAAGCCCGAACGCGTACGCAGCGATCGGACCACCGGGACTCCAGGAGAGCCAGGGAGCCTTGAGGAGGAGTGCATGGTGCATCACTCGCCGTCGGGGTACTTTTGCTGGGTGGATGGGTACATAGGGCTGAATGTATTCTACTCCATGTAAAGGTACCTACGGCGCACCGTGCTCCTAGCCATGTCGTGTGCTACCCTAATCTTCCCGACGATCGATATGTAGAGTATGGTTGGGGACAACTAGACCCGGAGTGTTTTCACTCCCATTTTTGACGTTCGGTTAGTTCACAACAACAACCTAATTAAAAAAAGAGCTCTTTACAGCGATAGGGAAGAGGAAGGAGATAATTTTCAAAGAGCCCGATCTTTTTTAAACGTTGTGGTTGAGTGGCAACCAAAATCCAAAATAAATAGACGAAAAATGATTTAGTATGGGGAGGCCCCGGGAATGTCCAGGTGCAAGGCTGCCACAGCCCGGTCTTAGCACGACTGAGCTCCCGATTGGGAAATCTTGGCATACCTGATTACCCGATCAGGACGTCTTGGCAGCACAATATGATGGCTAATTGTTGTGACAAAGAATATTATGTACATAAATGGAAAACAATTACCTACAAATTTGCTACAATTCCAGCTTATCGCTAACCTGTTGATGAGCTTTGTATATCTGCGCCTTGGAAAATTGACAAAAACTGGCCGAGAAATCGTGATTTTCGGTCCCGGCGGGGCCATGGACCTCTGGAGTAGGCTGCGGACGCCCGGTCAACGGTGACAGACCGGTGGAACAATTGAACTGATGGAACGAGCGAAACAGTGCAGTCCAGAGGTGTGTTTTATTAAAGAAAACGGGCAATAACTGGCCGCGATATTGTGATTTTCGTTCTCGGCGGGACCAGTTAGCTGCGGACGCCTGGAAAAAAAAGATTAAATAAAAGTATTAAATGCTAATGTATTCCCGCATTTGGATTTTAATTCCCCTGATCCGAATGTCCACTTACTCCAGCACTAGATAACCCCAACCATGCTAGGTAGTTCCGGGTGTGCCCGGTTGTATTCTATGTAATCTATACAGAGTACTCTACGTAGGCTATGTAGGCTATCTACTCTACATAGGCTGTGTAGGCTACTTAGATAGAGTAGGTACCAGGGGGCTATATAACGGTTGGAGCTAGCGGGGGAGTGTAGGACGTTCTTATGAGAAAGATACTCTATGTACTCTACTCTATCTATGTCCAGTCAAGATTGCAGGCGAATAGTGTTTGCGATTCCATCCACTCGGTTATGGCACACAGCATTCGGGTTTCGAGTTTTCACCAAATCTATGTGAGACGCCAATCCCTCGTGTTTTGCCAACTACCTAGTGTTCGTAACGGACCTCACAAGTAATACCCCAGGACGATCGTCTCGAATCGTGTCGAGGTTAAACATTGATGGCCACCAAACGGGTTCGACACGTTTACTGAGGGTTACGCATCATCACATCATATCAATCTGTTTGCACGGTTTGCACGGGATGCTTTTTTAATTCTGCTTGCATTCTATTGCCTCTCCTCGATCCACGAATAGAGCATACATGCATGCTCAAGGCAAAAGATATCAAGAAACACAAACTCGCCCACATTTTTCCGTCCATACGTCTACCCCCGGGATCCAGCCAGACAAAGTAAAACGCAAAATGGAAGTACGAAAGGACGGAACAGAAAGGGAGAAAACGCTTAGTCGAAAACAATGGCAGCCTTGATGGCAGTCTTGTTGCGCATGGCCTCGAGGCACTCGCCCCATTGCTCGAGCTTGTAAGTCTTGTTGACGATACCCTCAACCTTCACCTTGCCGCTGTCAAGGTAGCCGATGGTGGCCGGGAACATGTGGGTTTCCGAGAAGGAACCGAGGATGGTGATCTCGTCTCCAAAGATCTTGCTGGGAGGCCATGTCACACGCGCAGAGTCGCTATAGACACCGTACACAACCAACTTACCGCCACGGCGAACGTAGTGGATCGAATCCTCAAGAATCTTGGCGGATCCGGTGGCCTATGGATGGGAATATCAGCTCGGTCCGTCACAGACACGAGGGGTTTAATATCACATACCTCAACGACGATGTCGAAACCATATGGGTTGGCATCCTTGAGGGCCTGGAACTGAGCCTCGGGGTTGGACCGAGAGAGCTCTACGTACTCGTCGGCAGCGCCGAGCTTCTTGGCCAATTCCAACTTCAACCCTCCAGGGGCGGCAATGACGACGTGGGATCCACCGTTGTGCTTGAGGAGCTGGGCAAGACAGAGACCGGTGGGACCAGCACCGAACATGAGGACGGTTGAACCAAGCTTAGGGGCAATCTTCTCCAGACCGTGGCACGCACACGAGGCAGGCTCCAAAAGGGTGGCATCAACATCGCTCAAGTTGTGGATCTTGAAGACCTTGCCAGCAGGGTAGGCACAGTATTCAGCGAAACCACCGTCCACTGCAGACTGTGTTAGACGGAATCATCCAAAACCCCAACACTCGCCCGGAGACTTACTGGTGACACCGTGGGCCTCGAAGTGCTCGCAGAGCAAAGTCTGACCACGGCGACAGTAGAAGCATTCTCCGCAGAGCTCCGAGTTGTCAGCGCAGACACGGTCGCCGATGGTGAAGTCCTTCACGGCAGGTCCGATAGCAGCAACGACACCGACGGTCTCGTGGCCTAATAAAAAGGAACATATCAGTACGGTAGAGTGGTGGTAAAGTGCATTGGCTATCCGTACCGGGAATCAGAGGAAACTATTATGAATAATGTAAGCTTGGTACTTGAAGACGTGATTTATGTGCATCGATTGGAAGGATGGGACATTATTGGGGAGGTGGGGGTGGATCCAGTTGTGGGAGGTGGGGTATCCATAGAGGTGTCCGCACAAGATGGGGCCAAAGAGGTGTCCACTCCCCAAACACATATAATAGAGTGCCCGCCCCCGGCCCCATTGAGTATCAACGACAAACGACAAACGACAAACGACGTACCTTCGCAATGAACTCTCCATCGTGGATGTGCAGATCCTACAGGGCAATCATCAGCTCGGTGTTCTTCCATCGGCGTCATCGATTTGATCGGCATCGGAGAGACCAACAGTTCCGCAAACACCGCAAGCCTTGACTTTGATCTATATCGAATTGAACGTCAGCACTGAGCCAGTGGTCGTCGGAGCAGACAAGAATCGAAAGGATCATACCAAAACATCGTTCTCACGGAGCTTGGGAAGAGGGACTTCGACGACGGCGTACGACTTGGGCTTGTCGTAGCTATGCGCGGTCAGTCAATGCATCTACAATTGTGCTGACGGACACCTCAGGTTTGACAACAGCCCAGCAGGGCAATGCCGGATCTGAGCAGCAGTAGTAGGCCAAAAGGTACGGGGAACCTACCGGAGAGCCTTCATGGTGGCGGGAAGTCCGGACATGGTGATGATGTGATTGAAGGGTATAAAGTCTGTGGGATGGATGGATGGATGGATGGATGGATGGATGGATGGATGAAGGAATTTGCAACAGAGGGAGAGAGGGATTGAGTTGATGTTAAAGAAGAAAGAAGCGGGGAGGGAGTGGGGTTTGTGTTTGGAGGTGGAGGGGAGGTAAGGTGAGGGGAGCAGCAGCAGGTGTTTGGTAACTAAGCACCCAAGCTCCTGGACACGGATATGGATGGGAAGGAACGAAGCTAAAGGCCGGACAGCACGGCCAACCCCGCCAACGCCCGACGACAAGCCACCAACCCCACCACGATAACCAAGAAACATGGCCGGGGGGGGAGGGCTAACGTAGCTATCGATATCCCGCAGATGATCCATTTCGGGCTACAAACATCACGCCTCGACTCCACGTCCCACGCCAGAAGATTACGGAGCATGATGGATGGTCGATGATGGATGCATCCGGCTGGGCTCTGGGCAGAGAGACAACAATCATGGGGCGGGCCCGCTGTTTCCTCGGACGCAGATAGGTACTTGGATCAGTACTTACTTGGTTACCGTACTCTACCAGGCCGGCCGGTGACGAGGCACCCTGTCCTCGCACCAACTACCGGTACTAATCGTCCCATTCTCGCTGCGCCATTCCGTCCACGCCGCCATACCAGGTACGAGCCGCGAAGCCGCAGCCCGGGATTCGGGATTCGGAAAGTACATACGGTACTTGGGTGGGTATGTGTCCGCAGGCCGAGCACCGAGGTCGGCGTGAAGCCCGAGAGCTGCATACCACCGTCACCGTGGAGCGACCGACCCACGCTGGAGCACAGTGCCTGGATCTCCAGCTCGAGATACCTACACACTCTGTTTGCTTTTACGTATGATACGTACCGCTCCTTTTCCTATCTGCACTTCTTTTCCGGCTGAACTCCACATTGAAACGAAGAGAAAAAACGGTGGAGCATGCACAGCTGCAGCCTCCTCCGTTCTGAGCGTCTCACAGCCATTACCTAAATGGCACATGGAACTCAAGATGAAGATGAAGACGAAAATGAAAACAAAAACGAAAATGAAAACAAAAACGAAAATGAAAACAAAAACGAAAACAAAAGCATTCTTTGCACCTGGCACCTGCTTACCCGCGCCGCCGCCGCCCACGGTCGTAAGCACCCCGAAGCCTCCTGCTCGTCCATCTCCATGTGTGCGTATACATACACTCTACATACTCGAGTACACACACATACACACACACGTCTCGGCGAAACGGGTGCGCCCGTCGGTGACGATCCGTGGGGTTGGTGGGCGATCGCACCCGCGGAAAAAGGGACATGTCAACCCATCGGCGAGGGGAGGGGACAGACGCCGATCAAAGCGGGGAGAGAAAAAATAATTGTTGAAGAAAACAAATTAATGAATCAACAAGATGTCTCGCCCTCGACCATCGATTTCGCAGGCTCAACATCGGTGCTGGCGAGTTTCTGCAGGGCCCCTCGGCCACTCGGGGTCAGAACGATGGAGTGTAAGACGGACAGTGAGCCGAGGGTGAAGGTGGAGGGGGAGGTTCAAAGTCCCAACGAATGTCTCTACCCCCATCCCCCCACTCTTCACTCACAAACTCTAGGTTCGACGAACGCGTGGGGTACGATACCGTCTATCCCGAGAACCCAACCCCTCCAATGTCCATCACATCGCACGACTCCCCCATTCCCGCCCCGTCCCCGTCCGCGTCCCCGTCCGCGTCCCGTTCCGCGAAGCTTCAAGCTCCACTTCTACGGTACTCTATGTACGGTACTTTGCGTGCTATATATGACATCGTGTATCCGCACCATCGTAACTAAAAAGTACTAGCCGTGTACTTACGTAGCCAGCCAGCCAGCCACTCCGTCCGGCCCGGCCGCTCGCTCGTTCAGCCTTGAAGCGAGCCCAACCAAGAGTCCAAGAACCAAGACCAAGCCCAAGACTACGAGTCCAAGAGTCCAAGACGTCATCCCACATCGGTAGCTTTACTTTAGGCCGTGGACGAACTGGTGCCGATACCCCTCCCCCCACATCATCGCTCCCATGGGTAATCGATCGAACGGCATCGAAACATCGAAACAAAACATCGAAATCGTCGCCGCCAGTTGCAAACGGATCCATGGATTGGCACACATAGACCATCAATGGAAGCCGAGAACAGCATAGAATAGAGTAGGTACTACGGTATGATACATAGCATAGAAAACGACGCGCTCAACTCCGCCCAAGGGCCAACAGCCACAAAGAAAGAAGAAAAAACTGCAATTCTCCAATGATCAATGATCAAAAAAAACACTCTCAAGAACAAAAAAAAACCTGCCAATCCACCCAGAATCCAGATCCCCATATCCAAAGTAGAGAAAAAAAAGAAACCAGGCAGTAGTCAGGGACCATCTATCTACGGCACCTAAACGCGTAGACGAAAATCCTGTGACAAAGTCAAAGTGCACATGTGTGTATGTAAGGGGGGAAGGTGGGGATAATCCGATGATCGCTAATCGATGAAGTTATGCTATACTACATGCAACAGAAGGTCTGAAGAGAAGATGAAGTTCCCCGGCCCCAACAGACAGACACGAGCCATGATAGGTATTACAATCGTTAAAAGAAAAGAAAAACCTAAAAAAAAGCAAACAAACCAGAAACAAAAAAAAAAAAAAAAACAACAACCTACACTCGCAGCTGCAGCACTACCTACTTGAGCCCAAAGCCCTCACTCTCAGTGACCGCTCTCCACAGCAGCCTCTCAAACTTCGCCCTGTTGCGGTATCTCCACAGACAGATCTGATTGAAGCACGTTCTGGCGACGGGGAACCTCTCGGAGTCCTGGCCGAGACAGACCACCTTGATGATGAGGTTCGTGGCGCCCATAGCGGGGATCCTATCGCTGCCCGTGATGAAGCTGAGCAGCTTCCGCTGCTCGAGCGGCGACAGCTTCTCAAAGAATCCCCAGAACCATCTGACCACTGTGTCCGACTCGGGCGGGTTGCTCGCCCCCCAGCCGTCGTAGATGGCGACCGCCTTGAGCGCTTGCACGTCCAACGCCTCGCCCGATCCGCGCACCAGCAGCTCGATCTCTTCCGGCCCGAAGAGCGACAGCGCGTTACCGCCGCACACCGTGTAGAAGCCTCGCTTGAAGGGCTCGAATTGCCGGCTGACCGAAGTGTCGAGGATGTGCTTCAGATACAGGTCGACGAACTCCTTGCGGTTAGCGTTCGTGACGGGCCGGTTCCCTCCACCGGGACACAGAGGCGTCACGATTTTTTCCCCGTACTTCTCCGTCTCCGCGACGAAATCCCGGCAGAACGTCTCTTGGACGTCTCCCTCGAAGTCGAGCAGCTGCTGCAGCCCCACTGCCAGAGCCGGCCGGATAGGGGCCAAGTCTTCCAAAGACCGTCGGAAAGTGAGCCGCGCACGAGTATCAACCGCACTCTTGCCGTATTGCGGCGCAAAATATATGAGTTTTCGGAAAACGTATGGGGGTAGTGTAACGTCGAGGATCGTGGAGTTGTAGATCGCAAGGCCCAAGAGGACGCCAACCAGATAAAATTCCTCGGACGATTCGAACGTGTGAGGGTTGAAGTAGCTGCAGGACGCCTCCTCTTCATAGAGAAAAAGACCTGTTTTCTCTCAGTACTGGTGGCACGGGATCTAATCTATAGGGGGTCATACCGTGATTCGGATCGAAAACCTCACGCGCCACCATCAGGAACCACTCCTTCTTCAGCCCACCGGCATCAATACCATCTTCCCCCACAAACTCCACCTTGAGCCCCTTTTTCAGATCGTCGATGGTACCGGCCGATTCACTAATGCCCTTGAGACTGTCTTCGACCAAACAATCCCGTCTGACCTTGAGAACCATATACTGACTTATTGTGGTTCTGTTGGATATGTTGGTAATGAAAGCATTCCGCGCCTGAACCTCCATCTGTCGTCTAGCATCATGCTCGAGAATCTGTATTTTGGCGCCCATCGATAGGAAGAACGGATACTGGCAGAAGCAAAATTTGGCGAGCTTAGACTCCCAGGCGTCGAAATCGGCAATCAGATCGCAGTAGTCCACTCGCATGTTGTAGAAGGAGTTGCTGGGTATGATCAAGCCTCGACGGTTTATATCGTGCCTCCACATGTTGGCAATGTCAGCAACCTCTGCCAGGGAAAGGTTTCGGTTGTGTTTTCGGCGCCCCAGTGAGTTGTTATTCGCCTTCTCGAGCAAGGACATTACTCTGGCTGTAGCCTTGATCTGCCAATCATCACTGTACGGCAACTTCCCCCTCAAACTATACGACCGCTGTACGGGCTTCTTGGTATCCTGTCTCGAGATGCGATATGTAGTAAAGCTGCCTCCGAGCTCGACAAGCCGACGGAAATGTCTCGCCGGCATGACGCTGAACCAGGTTATCAGGAAATGGTGACATTCGTTCGGGAGATTCGACAAGAGCCCAAACAGACGCTTGAGGATGCCGGAATGATAGCTAGGCCCCCCCATGATCGCATCTTTGCCAGCTTGTGACGCCCTCCGCTGTGCCGAGTTAGGTGGGACCCGAGATGCGGGCTGAGTTTGCGATGAAATGGGAGCCGGCGGTGGCCGACTCGAGCCAAAACGAGCAGCTCCAGGATATAGCAGTGGATTTGCAATGATGACGAGTAAGAATCGGGTGTCCTCCAGGCGTTTGAGTGGCCTGCCGGGCCTTTTAAGAATGTTTTCTGTCGTCCTGAGTAAGGTCTTTAACATATCAACCCTCGCCTCGTCGATGGCGTACTGCAGTTCGTCACGAAGTTCGTTACTCGCAGGCATCATCGCCAACGCGTCGTTCCCGGTGTTTAAAACCAATTCATAGAACTCTCTAGCCTGATCCCAATCTATACAAGGAGGTGCTCGGAGGATAGGGCGGGATTCATGAGTTTTAGATCCCCTTTCATTACGGGAATTTGCTCGCTCCCTTCTGACAGCCCTCCCTACAGTCAACATCAATGTTTCTTTCTCGCATGGAGTCTGTGTAACCGGTATGTCGACTTCGACCGTTGCCTTTATGGGTGGGATAATCTCCTCGGTTGCAGGACCAGTGGGTTCTGTGCCATTTCTATCCACAAAACTTGCGTTTAGACATTCACAGTTCCCGAAAGTGGCCTTGAGGTAGCTCTCCAGAGGTTGGAAGAGCTTTGTTGCATGACGCTTGGCCCAGACGGCTGCAGGGTATCCCGCCCGCGACTCGGGGATGTGTGGCTTCCGCAAGTCTGCTCCGTCGAGTGGTGGAGGAGGTGGCGGCGGTCTCGAAGGAGGTGGTGGGAAATCATCAAGAACCGACCCGGGCTTTGAGGGCCGCCCTCCTCCCACTCTTTCCTCCTTGGCTCGTTCCGACGCCTCGAAAGCCGGAGGACTACGTGAGCTATCTTCAGCAGTTACCGGTGGATTTTGTAGCTCTTGATCGGCAAGGAAGTCCATTTTCGATGTCTCGATGATGGTCCTCACAGTGTCGAGAGATATTGGCGACGCTGCGATTCCACCCGTCAGTTTACCGATCCACGAAACATTAGACTAAGGGCTAGTACGTCTTCGGGAGTGTATATTTGCGGAACCACCTACCGCAGGCTTTGCGGGAGTCAAATCATTGATGGTCATGCATATTGTGCAGCGGAAATTCGGCAGATTCGAAGGCCAGCGGATGGTAGAGTCGCAGCACATGCACTGTCCCGTTTTCTGCGAGCGTCCACTGGGGTCAGCAGGAAACACGCAAGAGGGCTTCTTAGTCGGCTCACCAGCTCCGCCGACGCTGGCATTCCCCCAGGGCCGTTGCGTCTCGATGTCCCCATGTCGCCCATGTTCCGACCGGCTTCGGCTTCGGCGGTGCCCAGTAGATCTCCGTCGCTCCGTCTCATGGCAGGGCCTGGACTTCGATTCAAGGGTACGTGATGGGACCTCGAGCGACTGTGCGGTGACATCCGGGTGCCGGAGCGGGACGCGGCATCGGTCGAGTCTAGTAGTTGGCCACGGGGAGGGGTGTTGGAAGACGACGAGGACGAGGACGAGCCGAGTATTCGTGGCCAGGCAGGCATTGCATTCACGAATTCCGGTGATCGAGACGGTCAGCTATGGAGGATAGCCAAGTTTGGTAAGCAAGTTGACGCAGGTATCACCAGAGGTGTCACGGCGTATATGGATATGGAATGAATCGAACAGATGAAGCAGTCTTTGTTCCGAAGCAAGAGAATACGTGAGCAGAACCGAGAGCAGAGTTCACGTAAAGAGTCAAGATCAACAGCTGTAGATGCCAAAGACACGCGTACGAGGTGCAAGCGAGAAAAAGGAGCAGGAACTATGTAGAAGCTCTTGCGAAGGGTGGAGGCAGCTCGAGTGGACCGTTGGATATGAGATACGTGCGACAGGCAGGTAGAGTAAACTATGGACAGCACCACCGGGACGTTGAGGTTGATTGATATCTTTGCTTCGGAGGAGAGATGGCTGTTGCGAAGCACTGAGCCCAAGACCAGGTCAGATGCGTGCCGCTCAAACCCTTGCCCGACACCCCTGGTCACATGCTGCAGGCGTGGATAAGGGCTTCTACTCTATTTGATCGGCGCTGGGTATCGGAGGAGGCGTTTCACGATATTTTTGCATGCGGCGGTGGGATAAACTTATGATACGATCCCGTTTCTGGGCGGCAGGATTTGACGTCGCGAACTTCTGGGAACCTTTTCTACAGCTGATGGTCCTAGAGATGAGGTTGGGACAGATCAAGGGTTTCGCACCGGACTAGGTATTCGAATCATTGCCGGTATGATGCCTTTGTGATTCTGCTCATATAGTACCGGTGTTTATTTTCCTGCTGATGGTCTCACGTTCCGCAGTGTGGAACTGGAATTAAATGGTCAAGTATAGGAATGCGACATGGCACGAGCTCGAATTCAGGCTGCACGGTGTAAACACCAACCCCCTCAAACAACTTTTGGATGCGCGCAGCATGAAGAATTTGAAGATAAGCTCTTCTGATGCCCGAGGCTCCATTTAACTCAGCACCCGCGAAGATTCCATCGGAAATTTTGGGCAACTGAAGCCACTGATCTAGCCGAATCATCGATACAAACCCCATATAGCATGGGCTGGGCGAGTGGTGAATGAGTGGTGGCAGGTGATCACGGCTCGAACTGTCGGACGATCTGCAGCTCGCCAACCAGGCAGGTGGCAGTTGGATTACCATAGAGGGGCAGCGAGGGGCACTGGGCGGGGTTAGCTCCACCTCACCTCCCTCTCATCCAAACCATCAACTTGAACACCCAACTCGAACACCCAGCATCGACACCTCTCCATCGACACAAATCTTCACTCGATTGAACCTACCGAAGCAAACAATCACTATGCTCCCAGTACCGCTTTACCAGCTCCAATGCGGTACTCACCCTATGGCCCCCACGCATCACGCCCCTGAGCTCTTCCTAAACCACCTAGGCTGACACTGGAGTGAATGGGCAGGAACCAATTCGTACGACTGGGGGAAAATTGGCAGCGACTCTGCGGCCGCAAAATTCGCCGCCGCAACGAAGGAGAGCAACTTTGAGATCGAGGAGGGGAAGCCATATGCTGAGGTACATCCCGCTGCTCCCGTCCTCCTAGCACCCGCACCGCATCCCTCCGGGGATAAACAACATGTCGCACCACCCAGGACTGCCATATGTTGACGTATCCGACTAGCTGTGGATGGGCACGCACCCGTCGAACCCCTCGCGCGATGTCAGCACCGGGCGAACACTACTCGATCTGGTGAGCGAGAACCAGATGCTGCTATCGACAAGTGTCGCGGAGCGGTACGGAGAGAAGCTGCCGTTTCTCTTCAAGGTTCTCAGCATCCAGAAAGCGCTCAGTATCCAGGCGCATCCGGACAAGAAGTTGGCCGAGAGGCTGCACAGGGACGACCCGAAGAACTACCCTGGTATGTCTCGGCCCGGGGACCCCCGTGCTGACCACCAGGCTGACATACGGCAGATGACAACCACAAGCCCGAGATGACGATAGCGGTGACGCCCTTTGATGGTTTCTGTGGTTTCCGTCCCCTGGAGCAGATCGCGAGCTTCTTGCAGCACGTATCGGAGCTGCGGGATCTCGTTGGCGCATCGGAGGCGGATTCGTTCATTTCTGTGGCGTCATCCTCTTCTCCTACCGATGAAAAGAAGGCTGCTCTCAAGTCCCTTTTCACCACCCTTATGACCGCGCCCGAGGACAAGTTCAAGCCTCTGACCCGCTCCATGGCCCAGTCCGCCGAACGCGACCCTGCTGCCTTTGGTGGCCCCGAACATGGAGGAAAGGTCATGGGAGACCTGATCGTCCGGCTGAACAAGGAGTTCCCCGAGGACATCGGTCTGTTCTGCTCTCTTTTCCTGAACTACATCACCCTCCAACCCGGCGAGGCGATCTTCCTCCGCGCAAATGACCCGCACGCGTACCTGAGCGGTGACATCATCGAGTGCATGGCGGCCTCCGACAACGTAGTGCGCGCAGGATTCACGCCGAAGTTCAAGGATGTCAAGAACTTGGTCGAGATGTTGACGTACAACTACGCTCCTATCGAGGAGCAGAAGATGAAGCCCACGCCTTGGGCAAAGTCGCACGGACAACAGGGCACAAGTGTGCTGTACGACCCTCCGATCGACGAGTTTGCGGTCGTGAAGACGGAGCTGAAGGCCGGCGCCAAGGAGGAGTTCGATGGCGTGGAGGGACCGAGTATCGTCATTATCACCGAGGGAAGTGGAAGCATTGCGGTCGGTCCAAAGAAACAAAACATTCACCAGGGCTTGGTGTTCTTTGTGGGCTCAACAGCGCTGTTGGAGCTCGAGGCCGCAGAAGAGGGATTGGTTGCATTTAGGGCGTTTTGTGAGTTGAAGTAGGACGCCGTTGCCGCCACAGTAGTGAGGCGAAGGGCTGATGGGGAATTCCAGTAGCGCCAGAGGGAAAAGGGTAGGTGCTCGGATGTAAGAGTTAATAACAATAACATTCATCTTCATTATTCCCCTGCGGGATAGCTTATGTACGGTGTACTCGGGGGAGTGGTGATTGAGCCACCGCCCTTTCACAAGCCATCACTCCTGTATGCATAACTTTGCTTTCACTAGGAATTTCTACAAAATGTGCCATATTTGGACGTAGATCTGTGAGGATATTCTAAGACTTGTCGGTAGGGACTTCCAGCTAATCATGCATTCGCACTCGATCACGCCCCAGACATCAATTCCAAGCCCTCCTGAACACCTATAAAAACCCCACCCCCCTCCCATCTCTGCTCTTCTTCTTCATACTTACCTTGATGCGACCCGGCTGGCTCATAACGCAGCTAGGCTCCAGAGACGATATCCTCATTGCACACCGAGGATTTCCGTCTCTGCGAAAGGTTTTCGGATCTTTTGGCGTCGCAATTTTTGATTTTGCTTTCCATTGATTTACTTGGGTGAGGCCGAGGTATCGAAGGAAGACGCGCAGTGGGATATTTCAAGTGCATTGAGTACCCGGAAGACCCGATCGACCCAATTCTTCTCACGGCTCGGGGAGCACCGTCGGATAATTAGTTAATCCGGTCACCGGGTTTAGGTCCAAAATTTTACAGAGCCGCCTGCAATTTCCCAAACCTTCACCGAAACCACCGGGCAACACCACAGCAATGGCTTCAAGGTCGGCTTTTCACCTGCAAAGGCTCCAGAGGTCCTCGGTGCTTTGGAATTGCCGCTGCCCACCACTACGGTACCTGCGGCAGCCAATTCCGGCGCTTCAACGATATCAATCCGATCAAGGTACATCTGCACCACCACCGTCACCACCATCACCACCAGCCCCACCACCATCACCACCAGCCCCACCACCACCACCTCCACCGCCGCCGACACAGCCCCCACCACTACCGACACTAAAACGAACCCCGATAACCACCAGACCTGTGAAAGTGAAAGGCCCCGCGCAACAGCCACCACAGAAATTCATTCCGCCGCCGCAATGTCCCGGCTGCGGCGCACCGAGCCAGCAGATCGACCGCAGCCTCCCGGGGTGGTATCCAGAGAAGCCAGAGAAGCGATTGCGTACGGTCGAGACGATAAAGGCTGTAAACGAAGACGCGGTGTGGAAGGAAGCGCTGAAGCGCGCTGAGGGGAATCCGAATTTGCTGGAGCAGCTGGGAATCACAGAAGAGGATGGGTCGGAGGCGCTTGAGAACACCACCTCCGGAAGAGAAGGGGCCGAGAATGGCTCTGGTACTGCGCTGCTGCCGCCGGTTTGTGATCGCTGTCACCACCTTAAGTATAACCACCACGGGCCGTCGCTGCCAGCATACCCGACGCTTCACACCCTATCGTCGCTGATCCTGAACTCGGGCCACGAGCACAACCACATCTACCACCTCGTCGACGCGGCGGACTTCCCCATGTCACTGCGCACCGACCTGCGAAACCACCTCTACAAAACGCTGCCGAAGAAGATCACTCGGAACTTGACTATTTCATACCTCATCACCCGGTGCGACGTCCTCATGCCGCAGCGGGAACAGATTACCTCGCTCATGTCGTACTTCAAGTCGGTCATCCGGGACGTTCTGCCGCCAGATGAGAAGATCGAGGGCAGTGTCTATTCCGGAACGAGGCTGCATGCCATCTCGACGCGCGTGGGATGGGATATCGGCGAGCTCAAGGAGGAGATCTCGGCACGGAGAGGTGGAGTCTGGTTTGCCGGCGCGGTCAACGTTGGCAAGTCCAGTCTCTTGCGGGATATCTGGCCCATGAGCGGCGAGTTGCGGCCTGTGTCGCTGGAAGATGCTGCGGAGTTTGAGATCCTGCCCGCGGAAGACAGCTCGTGGAACCTGCCAGATCCTAGGGATGTAGAGGAAGGGGAACTGGATAGAATCTTGAACCAAGCCCGAGCACATCACTCAGGAAAGAGAGCAGCGCCACACGTAGCCCCGACAGTATCAGAAGTCCCCGGAACAACGGCGGCGCCTATCCGTGTCTCGTACAAATCTGCGGGCAGAGGAGGGAAGCTGCAAGGAGAAGTGGTGGATCTGCCTGGATTCGAGAGATGGGTCGGGTTTAAAGAGACGGGCCTCATGAAATATGTGCGGCCAAAGAAGCATAGGTTTTTGGTGATGAGGGAGAGGGTCAAGCCACAGCAGTACAGCATAAGGCCAGGTATGTTTCATTTTGGTCATTTGCAACATATCCCGCTGACATCCGCTCACAGGTCAATCATTGCTCATCGGCGGTCTCATAATGATAACCCCTCTGTCTCCACATGCGGTCGTGTTGGTCAACCCCTTCACCACACTCCCCGTACACGTCTCAGCCACCAGTAAATGCATTCGATTTATGAACAACCCGAATCCCGAGAATGGAATCCAGTACCGGGACAATATGTACCAAGACCCGGCAACCACTGGCATACGACCCATTGATGAAACGCTCGCCCCACGCAGCGATGATGAAATAGTGTCGAAACGCGAGGACTTTGAAATGGCTGAAGACTGGGCGTCTGATAAAGTGGCCGTGGAGCCAACCGAGGGCCTTCCCACCGTCTACAAATCTGCGGGAGTCTTCACGCTGACGGACGACGTCACGACAAAGCGGAATCCAATGCTTGACGACAGGTCGCCAGAGGCCGTCGCCCAACTGCCATACAAAGTTCTGGCAACAGATATACTGCTCGAGGGACTCGGCTGGGTCGAGTTGACTGCCCAGGTACGAAACCGGCAGGATAGGGGCTACCAGACGGTAGATGTTGAAGTCTTCACGCCCGAGGGCAAGGGAATCGGGCAGAGGAAAACAATGAGTGCATACAGGATTCTTGAGGAGGGTGCAAGACTACAGGGCTTGCAACATAAGACGGCACGGCCGAGGGGAAGTATGAAGGGTAAAAAGAAGATGATGAAGAAAAAAGCACGAGCGTGAACAGCATAATTGTGATTTTAGACTTTATGCACAATAGTATTTCACTAACCCTATGTACCTGGGGTGAAAGAGAGAGAGAAGGCATACGACCTGGTGTGAACTTGAATTATTGGCTTCCAAGAGGAAGGGAACGGGTGATGGCCTGTGATTGGCATTGACGTTTTACGCTGTTCCTTAACTAGCCCCGCAGTTAAGCTGCGAGTCCTCTCACCGACGACGGACATCCAACTCCGTCGTCGTTGCCGATCGAAATTTTGCAACTCCGCTGTTGATTAATTCCGGGAAAAACCCGGGTTTTGCGGGGACCTCCTTTCAACGGGGGTGTTTCTACACCCCTACCTACCTACGCAAGGGAGTCGGGACTGACCCGTAGGTACGGTAGTTGCAGACTTGCAGTTGCATATACGGAGGTAATCCAGATGCTCTAGGTAATAGTAAACGACGTTTCAACTTTTCAGGAGCCAGAATCGCCATTGTAATCAAACGATGCTCTAGGTAATAGTAACCGACGTTTCAACTTTCCAGGAGCCAGAATCGCCATTGCATAAGAACTCCTCTATATAAGGTGTATATCAACATTCCAACCCCATTCCTGATTCGCTTGCGGGCGAGCTCCGATTCGTGCAGCAACCACACGTTTTCCCCATGTGCCAGAGCACCGGTTTCCGTGTAGGCACCTGTACATACCAATTCGTATTCGCGAGTATTTACGTTTGGATGCACCCCATACAATTCCCCACATCTTAGATCCGCTCTGCTCTCGGCTGTCCGGTAGAAGTTGTCTGCAGCTGTGGATGGCGCTTACCCCAGCGCGCCAGGACGGAGCACGGAAGACTGTTGGAACTTTTTGGTGCGCACCTAACTAGAGTAACGGCGCGAGCCGTCGGTGGCTAGATTTAAGATGGGGTGTGTTCTTTGGAGTCATAACTGCAGTTGACTTTTTTCTTTTCTTCTCGTGGTGACTGAGTGAGCTCTTGTCTTGTCTTGAAGTCGCGTGTGTGTTTTCCCCCACCCCTCAAGTGTCGTTTTATTACGCGTCTACTTGCCCATTTTAGTACTACCCAGCGTAGTACAGGTTTCAGTGTCTGTTTGAGGCTTCATTCTCCATGTGAAGCTTTATTCTTTGTTTATATACCACGAACCACGGACCACGGACCCCTGTTCCCCCCCCAAAAAGTAGAAACTTTTTATCCTTTCGTCCAATTCAACTGTCAGTTCTTCAGCTATATTCCAACACCAAGTTTGTGAAGACAGTGCGAGTGAGGTACGTGATTTGATTGAATTGGGTGGCGACGTGCTGTTTCCTCGGTCTTCTCCGGTTCCATGACAAACCCAACGGCTTCGTTCCGGGGTGGGGCCGCACAGACGTGACCTTGGACTCCACTGCCCATGGCTACGAGCTTGCAGCCATGGCATCGAGCTCTGGGAGGATAATACTTGCGGACTGCATCATCCATTGTACTGACTGGAGCACCAAGTACCTGCTCCCATATTTGCGACACCCTCACGGAGTCACCGAACCATAGCCACAAAATGGCCGACATCACACTGGAAAGATCTTCTCGCGGTGACGACAAGTTTGTGGACGACTACAGTGCCATCGACGAGCACCATCGCGACCTTGACCTGGGACAGATCCCTTCCGACGCTCCAGGCATGCCGGCAACAATCGAGATCGGTGTTGATATTCCGCCGGACGGTGGGTACGGCTGGGTTTGTGTTGCGTGTGGATTTATGGTGAGTTTTGCTTGTTTACCTTGCTCTATAACCAGAGCTCTGCCGTGGACTCGGGCTGACTGGGCTGAAGATTAATAGCTGTACCTGGGGTGTCAATTCGGTTGGTTCAACTCCATGATACCTTCCGTGGGATTGCAACTTATTGACACAGCAATAATAGTCGTATGGAGTCTATCTTGCCCACTATCTCGCCGATGATGCATTCCCGGGTGCCACGCCGTTACAATACGCCTTCATAGGCGGTCTCTCCATTTCCTCTTCCATGATAATCGGACCATTGGCAACAACCCTTCTCCGTAAGACGTCTACACGTAAAGTCATGACAGCCGGCATAGTACTCCAAACCGGTGGCCTCATCGCCGCTTCATTCTCGACCAAGATCTGGCACCTCTTCCTGTCCCAAGGCGTCTGTTTTGGACTGGGGATGGGGTTCCTCTTCACCGGCAGCGTGGGGGTGGTCTCTCAATGGTTCGCCAAAAAGCGCAGCGTAGCAACCGGCATCACCGCGGCGGGCAGCGGCATCGGCGGCCTCGTATTCTCCCTCTCCATTCGCGCGATAATCAGCAACATGGGCCGCCCGTGGGCATTCCGGATCGTGGCATGCGTTACTCTGGTCAACAATGCCATCTGTACGTTCCTCACGCGCGACAGGAATAAGCACGTGAATCCGAACCAACGGGCTTTCGATTTCGGACTGCTGAAGAGATATGAGTTCCTGCTAGTGCTGAGCTGGGGCTTTTTCAGTATGCTCGGATACGTGGTGATTTTGTTTTCGCTGCCCGATTTTGCGAGATCCCGCGGCTTCTCGGCGGTCCAGGGGAGTGTACTCGGTGCCCTGCTGAACTTGAGCATGGCGTTTGGACGCCCGTTGGTGGGACTCGCTAGTGACGAGTATGGGAGGATCAATATCAGTGCGGCGATGACTCTGGTGACTGGGCTGAGTTGCCTTGCGTTTTGGTTGCCGGCGGAAACTTTTGGCCTGGCGGTTTTCTTTGCGCTTGTCAATGGTGCTGTCTGTGGCACTTTTTGGACAACCATTGCTCCCGTGTGGTTTGTACACCCTCCTGTTCCTGTGGATTTATATGTACCGGATACTAACGTAACGCTCCAGTGTCGAGGTGGTTGGTCTCAAAGATCTGCCCAGTGCGCTTAGTTTGGTGTGGCTGTCAGTCGTGCTGCCGACCACCTTCTCCGAAGCAATCGCGTTGTATCTTCGACGCCCCGACCTGAAGAATCAATACCTCTACCCCCAAATCTTCGCCGCGATAATGTACATCGTCGCCACGGGGAGCATGTGGCTGGTACGGGCGTGGAAGATGGGGGACAACGATCGTAAGGAAAGGGAAAACACGGCAGTTAAAATGGTATCGGAGAAGGGAGACGGAGAAAGCCCCAGTGAGCAAGTGAGCGAGGATTCCCTAAATGGTGTGGGCATCGTAAATCGGTGGAAAAGCGGCAGTGTTTCTAAGTGGTGGCGGTATGGGTTTGTGTAAATATGATGTATGTAAATATTGAGATCTATAGTAGCTTTGCGATGCGAGCGCTGGGCAGATACCTATGCTTGCTACATACAAATCAAGGGCGTGATACAAGCTATTGTGCGGCAAGATTTTTTCTCCGGGGCCGTAGTCGGTGACCTTCGTGCGGTCCTTCGACTTCGGATTTGATCTCGGTAGGCTCGTGGCCGTCGGGTAGTTCCTCGGTGACTTCGGTCTTCGTCTGCCTCGGATTGGGTCTCACCTCCACCGTTTTCTTGACACGGCCTTTCTTCATGGGCTTTACCTCAAACTCGGACTCATCCTCCACTTCTTCCTTCACGGCTCCCCCTCCACTTTCTTCCTCCTCCTCTTGCTTTACTCGCTTCCGCTTGGCCTGGCGCTTTGGAGCACCATCCTCACTGGCGACTGGCCCCACCTTGCGTTGCAACTTCCTCACAAAGGCGCTCGTCCTACCGCCAACCTTGAGGAACTCGACCTGGTCTCCGTTGGGTAGCTTGTTGGCATCCTCTCCCTTTTTCCCCTTGCCCCAGCGGTGCAGCATTAGCCAATCCTTTGGAAACTTGGAGCTATCAGCATCCGTTTCCACTGCCGTCTTCGTCACGAACAGCAATGCTTTGTGCATATCCGCCACGTCGGACTCCTGGAGGTTGTGGGTATAGCTTTCGGGATGTAGGCGGGATTGGTAAAGGATCTCATCTCTATCCAGGCTCAGTTCGGGGATTGCCAGTCAAACCGGGGGATTCACATACGCAACCCAATTCCCAATACCCGCAATCGCACTCTGATCCAGCAACCACGCTTTCACTGGAACCTTCCTCGCCGCAAGATGCGTCTTCAACCATTCCAGCGTTGGGGGTTCCTGCACCGGATCGGGTCCATTTTCCTTGAGTGGCGATACGTTACGTAGATCGCCATTGGCGTGATCAATGAGCCGTATCCGAGCCAGCCGCCGCGCATCGACGAATGCGATCTCGTTGGTGGAATCTTGGAGTTTGAAGATGAACTTGTGGTATCGCGGCGGCCATCTCGGCTCTCCTGTCTTTGTGCGATAGTGCGAGAGAGGGTCGTCCTTGATGTGAATCCAGCCCGTCATACCTGAATGGAGCAATCAGTACCTAGTTGGTTTGACTGAGATGAATAGAGTGATTACCCAAATGCATTAATACATGTGGGGGTTTTGACATTACAAGCCTTGGAACCGTGTTAGTACGATGTTTGCCATCAGTGAGAAGGGGCACCAACCAAAAATATTTGCCCCATTGCTTCGCCGCCTGAACAGTTTGTCCCTCAAGCTCGCTCACAAACCTTTGTTCGGTGGTATCCTTGAAGACGATTGGATCGTGCTGGGCCTGAACAGAAGTGATTGTCCGTCCGACGAGATGAGTGCGCAAACGACCGACAATACGGGCAACTTCTCCAATCTCGGGCATATTGTTGAGGTGAATAGGTACTTCGAATGGTATTGCTGCACGAGGTGTTGTTGGTGTTCCGTTTTATGCAGATGAGCTTCTCTGCCGAGCTAGAAGCTTTGTCGAGTTAGCGCGGGAGCTTGGCAACGATGTCATTGCTTTCATCACTTCACATTTCCGTGGCCGCTGACTTCACTCGCCTGACTTCAGTTCGAATTTGGTATTGCAGATGTGAGTACCACTGCTTCATTCCAGAAGAATCTCCTCACCATATTGACCACCACTACAGTTTCTTTCTTTCTTTGCACCCGCTTTTACATAGACCAGTTGCCTTTGAACCTTCCTCGCTATCCGCCCGCCATGAGCAACTCTCCGAATCGTTTCGACCACCCGCCTCTCACGCCACAATTCTGCTTCTCGACCAGCGCACTGAAAGGTTAGAACAATCAAACGGATGCAGCCTCTCCTCCGGCGGGGACGTCCCGAGTCTGTCTCGCTCGCCTCCGGTGTGCAAGTAATTCTTTAGCTGATGCTCCCGCCACCCGGAGTAGATTTCCTCCGCGCCTCCCGCTCCACGATAGATGATACCATCAGCCAAAACCTAAACGCGTTATCCACTCCAGCTAGCCACAGATTCAACCCCTCGTCGACCGCAAACCGCGCATCTCCACCAGTGTCACGGACACTCGACCCGGGGAAATGTGTCTCGTTCACATACAACGTACTGTTGCCCTCGTGGCAGAGCCGCTCTGACGTGCTGAACTACTGCGCGTCCGTCGCTACATCAGACGACCCCGATGATCCGGATATACTCGCCGAGAAGGCGGCGGATCGGGAGAGGATTGTTAATGAAAGGCTGGATCCGTACTCTGGGAGGTTTTTCCCGAGGGAGACGAGAACGGAGATACTTGCTGGCGTTGTGAGGAATGAGAGGATGGTAGAGTCCATTGTGAGGGAGCGCACGTGGAGGATTGTTAATGAGCGCTGTGGCGAAAGCGGTGAGAACTGGCAGGAGGTGTTGAATTCTTGGAGGGAAGCGAGGGGGAGTTCATGATAGCGAGGGGGAGTTCATGATAGCGAGGGGGAAGCCGCGTGGATTCGCTTGTTGGTTAGATGGGTGTTTGAAAGCGGGCATGCATATAAGGTTCGTTCCACCAAACAAAATCCACGTGTGTGGTCGCTGATGGGGTGCAGTTTACTCTCAGCTCTTGTATAATACTTGTCCTACATATTAGAATCGCTACAGAATCTGTTACGGCACAATTCAATTGTGTCAGCTGTTCCGAGACCAGCGTGGTGTCTACGTGGAGTTTAAAGTTCACAATGACAATGACAATAGCGACAGCTATCACTCATTCCTCCTACATACCACAAGACGCAACTTCGCCGTCTCAGCCCGTGATGGCATTTTATTTCTTCAAAATTCATTTGTCGGGAGCTTCGGAATTACATGGCCTCTTGGAATCCCGGCATACCCACTGTCTCGCTTCTTCATTCGACCCTGGATCACGGCATGAAAGGCCGTTTTTTTTTGACCTGATAGCCCTGTCTGGACCTGCCAGGTACCGGCGAAACGACTTACATATTAGGGTCCTCGATTTTTCTTGTTTGTACGCTGGGGGATGTGCCTTGTCCGCCCTGCATCACGCAATCCAACGGCATCAGTCTGAGGTATTGCGACATCAGAATACTTGGGATATAAGCCACGTCCTCCGCGGTTACCGCTCGATACTCGGCCCTATTCATTCAGTTGAAGTCTTTATTAACGGATTTAACAGAATTTCTTCTACCTGAATCTTCCTTCCTTCCCAAATTTCACAGTCAACCCGCTCAGCGAGCAAATATCACCGCTATCCCACATCACAATCGGATACATTGGTCCCACATACACTACTGGCACACGTACCACCGGCTTTTCTTACGGTCAGCCAGATCAGCAAAGACAGCAATGACCATTCTTCTCCCCGAAATCCACAATACGGTCTTCCCGACCAAACCAACCACCGAGGCTTCCCCCGATATCTCCCAAAGATTCCTGGTAGTATCACCCTACACAGCTCCCGCGCACCTCCTCGACCTCACCACTGTGGACAAGCCGCAGCAGCTCATGGCCAAGGCCCTGGTCAGCCTGCGCGCACTCACACCCTCGTACGCGGTAACACCGTACGCAGAAGCCTTCAACTGGGGCGAGGTAGTTGCGCAGCTCACTCCGCTCTCTTCAGAGGGAGATGGAGAGGGAGAAGAAAGTTACATATTCCCGGAGACGTCATTCTACATAATCGTCTTCCGGTCTCAAATTGCACCGACAACTTCGGGCTTGCACCTGGGCGAGCTGGATGCGGAGGCGCATCGCGAGGCAACCCAGAGTGGTGGCTTGCTGAAGTACTGGTTTGGGACGCCTGATCAAAATGGAAGGAATATGGCCACATGTGTCTGGAGGCATCGGGACGATGCTAAGCGTGGCGGCGCGGGTCCGGTAGGTTCTCGATGATCCATCAACAGATACATATGGAAGACGGTGGCTGATGAGATTAACTATATAGGGCCATGCTCGTGCTATGCAGGAAGTCCGTGGACTGTATCTTGAGTGGCATGCAGAAAGGCTGTGGCTCACTGTTGCAAAGGGCGCGAAATCCTATCGTATCATCAATTGGGTTGATTGATGGACTGTACACATACATAGACCGACTGGATATGTCGCGCATACTTTTTCACTTAGCGTTTTGGTGTTTTTGGGAAGTTAGAGGCGTTGTTTCCGGTTCGGCATCGGTCCTTTTATCCGCAGGACTTACTTTTCGTATGTATTTGTATACCTAGCACCCATAACCTAGTGTGATTTTGCATATACCAACAACTTTCACACAAGAGTACTTCTTTTATGGGGAAACGATCACCATACGGCGAGCGGTACCGGCAGGCTGCGACTTGGGGAAACGAGAAGAATCATCCGCCTTTACCACTCGTTGATGCACGGGCAGAATGCGCTTACCTCCTCTGGAAGGAGAGGCGCCGGCAGGATGCCTTGGGGTGCTGGCCTGGCGCTATGCTTGCTTATGTTGTCGATGCGCTTGTGGGCGTGGCCGATTGGGTGCTCTCCATTCGGCCTGCATCTTCTTAGTGTTGGAAAAGACTGCCACATGCAGTGCCGGCTTGTCGATACCCCCACATGCTTGAGAATTCCTTTCGGGTTGAAGTCACGGAGTCAAGCTGTACCGCGAAACCACGCGTTGGAGAGGGAGGAGCGGAAGCAAAGCACTCCAGCCATTGACCAGAAACTGGTATCTCCTAGAATAATAGATAATGACGGTTTATCTACATATCGCCATGGTGCAGGTAAGGGCAGCCTCCAAAAGGGACGTATCGAAGCGGCCCTAGGCGAGAGACGGCAGGGATCGATCAACCCCACCAAAATCACGCACCCCTGCCTTGGGGCGGTTGAAGTTAAAATCGTTTCGGACCCCGCCCTTCGAAGAAAAAGAGTTCTCCATCCTCCCTTCCTCTTCCCTTCCTCCATCCTCATCTCTCCTCCCAAATACCTATCCCTCAAGGTACGCTGCAAACCCCCAATCCTTCACAGCTTGCTTACTTTGGTCGTGTCTAATTGTGCTTGCTCTCCAGTCTTTCATCACCACACTCTCAAAATGTCCGCTCCCGCTCAGAAGTTCAAGGTCTCCGACATCGTAAGGACATCCATAATCATCCGCAACGCATCAATTGAGTTGCCGGCGAGAGTTTGTTGCTAATTCATCCGTCCGCTACAGTCTCTTGCGGCCTTTGGTCGTCGTGAGATCGAGTTGGCTGAGAATGTTTGTTGCTCCCTCTACTAGAGATCCCTATAGCCGTGCAGTCTGCTAACATGATGTCAAATAGGAAATGCCCGTTAGTGCCTTCAACCAATGATTCAGCCTTGCAATTGAGCCCTGAGAACTGATGAATCGATCGTAAAGGGTCTTATGCAAACTCGTTCCAAGTACGCGAAGGAGCAGCCTTTGGCCGGTGCCCGTAAGCAACCCTGATCTTACCATGTGTTGCATTGACCTGAGGAATGCTAATTTTATCTTCTAGGTATCGCTGGATGTCTCCACATGACCATCCAGACCGCTGTTCTGATCGAGACTCTCACCGCCCTCGGTGCTGAGTGCACATGGACTTCTTGCAACATCTTCTCCACCCAGGACCACGCCGCCGCTGCTATCGCCGCTGCCGGTGTTCCCGTGTATGCTACACCCACTCTTCCTTCGCACCAATGTATGCTGATTTGTTGATTAGCTTCGCCTGGAAGGGTGAGACCGAGGAGGAGTACAACTGGTGCTTGGAGCAGCAGCTGAACGCCTTCAAGGATGGCAAGAAGCTCAACCTCATCCTTGATGACGGCGGTGATCTTACTGCCCTTATCCACAGCAAGTACCCCGAGCTTCTCACCGACTGCTACGGTGTCTCCGAGGAGACCACCACCGGTGTCCACCACTTGTACAAGATGCTCAAGGAGGGCAAGCTCCTTGTTCCTTCCATCAACGTCAACGACTCCGTCACCAAGTCCAAGTTCGACAACCTTTACGGGTGCCGTGAGTCGTTGATCGACGGTATCAAGCGTGCCACCGATGTCATGATTGCCGGAAAGACTGCCGTTGTCGCCGGTTTCGGAGACGTCGGAAAGGGTTGCGCCATGGCTCTCCGTTCCATGGGTGCCCGTGTCCTGATCACTGAGATTGACCCTATCAACGCCCTCCAGGCTGCCGTCTCCGGTTACCAGGTTCTCCCCATGTCCGAGGCTGCTCCCAAGGGACAGATCTTCGTCACGACCACCGGATGTACCGACATCCTGACTGGCGAGCACTTCGAGGTTATGCCCAACGACGCCATTGTCTGCAGTACGTACCTCATCATCTGTTTGCTTGAAAACCCGTATCCTGATGATTCCCAGACATTGGTCACTTCGACTGTGAGATCGACGTTGCTTGGCTCAAGACCAACGCTGCCAGCGTTGTTTCCATCAAGCCCCAGGTCGACCGCTTCCTCATGAAGAACGGCCGCCACATCATCCTGCTTGCCGAGGGTCGTCTCGTCAACTTGGGATGTGCCACCGGTCACTCCTCGTTCGTCATGTCCTGCTCGTTCACCAACCAGGTCCTTGCCCAGATCATGTTGTACAAGTCCCAGGACTCCGCTTTCACCAGCAAGTACCCCGAGTTCGCCAAGACCGCCGGCAAGCTCGACGTTGGTGTCTACGTTCTCCCCAAGATTCTCGACGAGGAGGTTGCCCGTCTCCACCTCGCCCACCTCGGTGCCAAGCTCGAGGTCCTCTCCTCCAAGCAGTCCGAATACGTCGGCTTGGCTCCCGAGGGACCCTACAAGCCCGAGACCTACCGTTACTAAGCGGTGTCTTTTGTGCGTAGCATAGACCATGTATGAAAGTTACTGTCTTCAACGGCATCTTTTAAGGAGAAAATGGTTGGTGTTGTCATGTTAAAAAGGGTTTCATTTGTCATTGGTTCTGGGGGTTATGGCGCATCGGGTTATTCAACACTCACCCATGTAGTTACACGGTGTTTTTCTTCTTCTGTTTCTTTGTTTCTTCTTTCTTCAGACACCATACTCTAGTTTTTGCGTCTCAACGAATAGCAAGCATATCAATCCTGCATCATGCGAGTTTACGTATTGTACATGCACTTCTTGTTGAGACACATGTGATTTTGACGGTGAGATGCGCTACGCCGAGTGAGGTCCATGACTGGCATTGCACATGTTGATGGCTAGACACAGTAAACACACCTGAGCGCAAACTTGCAGTGATGAGATATCGGCCAAGATCACGATTGTTTTTGTTTTGCCGGTGGCCTCTCATCTTCCACTTGGCCGGAAAGGGCTCCGGAAAGGAGCCGTGGATAACGACAAAAAAACTGCGATACAGCCACCGAGAAAGTGTCGAGTGAACGTCAGTACCGCTGAAGGAATGCTCTGAATAATTCGGAGAGCTCAGTCACGGACTATCGCTCGACTAGGTACTCTACTCAACTAGGTACTCTGCTTGTAGCAAGACAGCCTACGGCCTGCAGCCCACAGTTGAAGCTTCAAGTTCCATCCAGATGCATGTGCAATCTCGTGGAATCCGCGCCGCTGTGTAGAAAAAGAGTTGCCCTCGTATGTATCGTAGGTGTTTCAGACATGTGATAATTACCACTGGCCAAGTTTGTTTCTCTCTCTATGACCGTTTGAGAGACGTGGGAGTTTCGGGCCGACCGCCAAGCCATCATCAACCCTTGCCATCAGATGAAGGGAAGGAAGCTCTCTCTTCTTTGAACCAGCACATCGTCGATCCCAGACTCCCAGAGAGAAGAGCCATACCCACTCTCCCTCTCTCCTTCACACGCCCTGTTCCAATCCAGCTCACGTCTGAGCCTGTGCAACCGAACCACCCACCACCCCATCTCAAAAAAAAAGTCGGTGGAGCTGCATCCCTTCTTCTGCAGCGCACACCAGCGACAACTTTCCTTAAAGATACCTACGAGTATCCGAGACAGCACCTCCATGAATGCCTCTACTCAATCCATATCTCCGTGCTTTCTTCCGGTCCGCCCTCCCCGCTCAATGTACGCCTGTCGAAGACTATGTAAGCCTCCACCGTCCACTTGGCCACCGTCCAGGTCCATGCGAACGTCTCCGGGGGAGCAGAATGGGGGAGGGAGTTCGCTAGTGCTAGGGAGTAAGCGGGGGAGTTGACCGCTGACGCAAGCGTGTGTGTGGACCTTAGATACTGCTTGTTCCCACCACCGAGATCTTGACGAACACGCGCGACCGCGAGACCGGGTTGCTGTACGCGGAGCTGATCGGGAATGACGAGTTCCTGGGAAGCCACGTGCTGCGGGTTCCGAACGTGACGGCGGGCGCGCAGAGTGTTGCCGGGCGGGAGACGCGCGGGAAGGCGAGGCAGTTCACCACGTTCAATGGCCGCACTGTCGTCGTCAAGGATAGCTGGGTTTATTCCAACAAAGGTGCGCGCGCGCCCACCATGCCCATGTGTGCAGCTCGAGGGGGGGGGGAGGCCGGCCGTGCTGATGGAGGTGAGGATAGGGTTCCGGAGCTTGAATCAGGCTCAGCTGCTACACGATACGCTTTACTATCCGGATGTCAATGAACCGCAGCAATGGCTCATCTACATGATCTCGAAACCCCTGATCGGTTCTCTCGAATACGTTCCGACGGTGCCGCCGTACCTGCGCGAACGAACGGCGAAAATGACGGATCAACCCCCGGGCACTGCCGGCTCCTCGCACAGCTCGTCAAACAAAAAGAAAGAAGTCCGGTCTTTCAACGAGCTGCTGATACTCTTTCCCATGATCGCGAGACAGATGCAGCCCGGATTGGAAAAACTGTTTCAGGATTTTGAAATCTCTTTCCAGCGGTTTAAGCCGTTGCCGCTTCCGCCGCCTTCCCCAGCATCTACGCGATCCGGCGCCTCCGGGATTTCGTCGAGATCGTCGGTGCGCTCGGCAGTCGATGGCGATATCTACAAGCAGGCCGCGGATGAAAGCGAAATTAGAAGATCTTTGGAATCTGCAATAATGGCGGCTGTTGACTTGTTTCAACGGGTGGACCAGTCGCAGCTGGATTTACTAGCTTCTACTACCGACCTCACCGGCCCCGCGGTTGATCGTCTGATTGAGAGATATGTTGCGGAACAGCTTCATGATACCACATTATTTCCCCGCCTATGCGCCACGCAAGCTATCCAGGATGACGAGCTCGATCAGAAGGTCATGGAGATGGAGAACGTCGATCTCACACAGATCGGAATACCTTCGTTCGAGCAAATAGGAAAGAAAAGCCTCATGCAGCGCATTTCCCGTGGAATAGCATCGTTTGAAAAGATTGGGAGCGCCAGGTCTCCACAGGCGATGGTGGAACACCTTCTCGACACGGCCAGAACCTTGACCAAGGTGGATACCCCCGACAACGACGTGCCAATAGCAGAGTTGGGTTCGGCCGCCGAGAAATCTAATACCACGGTGGTCACTATGAACGCTGATATGCTCGTTTCACTTTTATTGATTGTGGTTATTCGGGCTAAAGTACCCAACCTCCATGCCTGCCTGAGCTATATGCGCAACTTCGTGTTCGCGGAGGATGTCGAGCAGGGTGAGGTGGGATACATCCTTAGCACTCTTGAGGCGGTTCTGTTTCACATCGCCCAAGACCACACGCTGAGCGCTGTGAGTCGCGCAAACGAGAAGCTGTGGAGGAGCGTTAAGAACGGAAACCTTAAGGCGGTCAAGAAAATCCTGGAGAGGAGCGTCGAGGACGAAGCCATCGAAGATGGGCCCAGCAGCGAAGACGAGGAAAGTCTGGCCTCTGGAATCGAACGCTTGGAACTGGATAGCGGCGATTCTTCATCCCAGGACGATCACTCACCTGCCATCAATGGAATTTTGACGTCCCACGATCTGTCAAACGGGGAAGCAAGTGTGAACGGCACTCCTACCAAACGACCTGATACGGGCTCGATGCCAAGACGGCATTCAGCCAGCTCCGTGAATGGAACTGTCCGTCTATCCGATGATGCTCCAGTAAAAATTCCCAGAAAAGATCCCCCGGAAGAGGATGAGGAAGTGGAGGAAGAAGGGGAAGCCAGCAGGCAGACCTCGGTCTCTAACGGAGAATCGGCGGCGGCTTTGGCTAAGGATGGTCCACCATCCTCCGAGGATGTCTTTGATCAGCCGACGTCTCCTACGACTGGCGTATCAAATGTCCGAATTGAGGAGTTGCAAGTTGACGGAAACGATGATGCCGATTCGATAAGCATTGTCGAGCCCCGCACACCTCCCACTCAGAAGCCGTTGCCGAATCCGCGGATTGCGATCACTCGATTCGAACTGCGGGGACAGAAGCGGCCACCGTCGCTGCAGTTGAGATTGCCGCGAAGCAGGAGCGCAGGCAGCGTGTCTAGTATTGCAACCATGAGCGACATCTCAATATCGTCCATGATAATATCGAGGACTGGCACTTCTCTAAGTCAAAGCACGGACCTTTTTTCTGCCGACAAGTTGTCCAGAACACGAAATCCTCAAGGCGAATCGCTGCTCATGATGGCAATACAGCAGAGGAAACCAGTCCTGCTGCAGTACCTCCTGAGCACACCGTTTTTCGATGCCGAGTTCATACTGGACGACATCAATAGTGAGGGAGCAACACTCCTGTCAGCGGCCGTTCAGACCCAGGATATGCCGTGTGTTGAAATCATTTTGGCCGAGCTGCTCAGGTTGCCAGACGAAACGTTGAAAGAGTACCTCGAGATTACCGATGTGTTCGGCAGGACTGCAGCGCACTATCTTTTCAGCGCCCCAGATTTGATCAACCGATTGGGCTCATTGTTGCCATGGAGACTTAAAGACAAGAAGGGTCAAACGCCACTATTCGCCCTTTGTCGATCATACGATCACCAGAGATACAGGGAGATGGTGGGGATGGCGATCAAGCAGGCGCAATTAGCGCAACAGGATAACGCCAAACTACATCTGGATGAGCATGTCGACCTGAAAGGGAACTCACTGCTTCACATTGCGGGCGATCCGGGTGTTGTCAGGATGCTGCTAAGGTGCGACTCGGATGTTAATGCCGTCAACGACAAAGGCTTCACTCCATTAATGGTCGCGAGTAAGTACGGTAGGATTGAGATGGTTAGAACTCTGTTCGGGGATGCGAGAGTAGACCTGTTGGCGAAAGAGTTGCGAGGGTTGACTGCAGTGGAGTTGGCGAAGGACGATGACGTGAGGAATCGAATAGATGGTAATCCTGACACCCCCGTGAATTGGCGTTTCTGTTTGCTGATGTTGTGTAAGATCTTGTGCTCTTTCAAAATCTGCCTGCGGATGATGGAAGGGTGACCGCCGTCGTCCGTTCATTCTTCGTGGAGGATGCCACTATACGGGTTGTCCTCAAAAGCGGTGCACCATCAGCCGAGGAGTCGTCAACGTTTACTGTTACCACATGCCGTCGGTCGCTCACCGACTTCCAGTTTCTCGCAAGATGGCTACAGTATGAGCACCCAGCATCGTGGCTGCCCGCATTGCTGGTATCACGGAGTCCATATCAAATCCCATCCAAGCCCTCACGTGCCGTCTTGCGGGATATTCAACTGCGTGTGGACAACTTTCTGCGAACGTTGTTGATACATCCCACGTTCTCGACGCACGAGCTACTCTGGGAGTTCTTTTTGGTACCGGAGATGCGACAGGAATCGTTGGTGGTGCGCAGCAAGAAAAAGGCAGAAGCGAGGGCCGAACGTGTGCGTGAGGAGTTCACGCCGATCGAAGACGTGCGAGAGGTCGAGATGTTCGTGGCCTACGCAAAAGATTCCGTCAGGAGCATCAATCATGCCTGTCGGAGCGTCACGCGAAGGGCAACCGTAGTACGATCTACCCTTGCAGGTATGGAATCTCTTCTTCATCACATCTTTGAGTACTGTGATTCACAATTTATGTAGACCTTCCCGAGGCATACAGAAACACGATCCGCCATCTCAACGGCTTCAAATTTCTCCAGGACACGCCCCAACTCGCCGCACTCACCAAGTTAACCGAAGTTCTCTCATCCAGCGAGTCCAACCCCTACAATATCTTCATCGAAGACCTCCGGAACATCCAAGCCTCCCTCGCAGGCGTCGCGAACGCCCTTGAGAAACCCCGCCAGATCATCGACGAGATGTCGATGCTGAAAAAGCAAATCGATCGGCACACTGTCTCCCTCCGTCGATCAGACCGGTGGCCGTTAGGCCTCCTCGATGATACCCGCGCGAAGTATCATCAGGAGGCTTCGCAGAAGGCACAGCTTGCGCACCGCCATCGCCTGGAGCTCGCGAGTGAGCTGCGGTACACGCAGAGTATCGCCGCGCAGGAACTCGCCGCGTTCCATGAGATGCATACAAAGCAGACACGACGGGCGATAAGGGAGTTGGCGAGGAAGCAGGTGGTGATGGAGAAGGATCGGCTGGAGGGGATGAGGAGGGCGTTGAAAGGAATCAAAGGCTAGGGTGGCTTTCTCTCTTCTTTTGGTATTTGAGCATAAGTAGGGATAGATGAGGGCTTTTTCCTTTTTTCCTTTCTCCTAAGTGCTGTGGAAGTACAAGACTACCTACCTACCGTAGGAAGCTTAATATGTGTACTTTTGTTTTGCGCTGGATTCGTGTGCTGCTTGCTGGCTGCTGGAGTTTGGGAGTTGCTTCGTATGTTTCTCTTCTCAAGCCTCCGATTCTTTGTAACTTTGTGATTGCACGATTGGTTTATCTGTAGAGTTTTTGAGCAACTGGTGGTGGTGGTGGCGGTGGCGGTGGTGGGTGGTAATGTCAGGATATCTCGACGTGAGGTTGTCATCCGGAGGGAAGGAAGAACGAGTGATAGAACACAATGGGCCTGCAACGTCACATTCATTCTCACCTTCCCTTACCTATGGTCCGCGAAATCCCATTCAGTCTCACGCTCCATTCAGTCTCACGCTCCATTCACTCTCACGCTTCATTCACTCTCACCTTCACTCACCAATGGCCTGCAACGTCCCATCCACTCTCACGTTTATCTCCACACGGCTGGCTCCATTCTCCTTACTTGGTTAAATAAATATACAAGTTACTGACGTTAGTATTTATAAGCAACAAAATTCCTCAACAGATGTCCGCGATCCCAGAGATCAAGCCAGTTTGAGCTGAAAATATAGACACACATCACAGTACCAACACTCCGAATCTCGTCCGTCATCGAGTGACCATTCCAGGAAAACGTCCGCACAGCACAGTGCTTGAACAGAAGACCTCGAGTGGAAGCATACTATCGAAATGAGTAAGACGAGTCAGCAGCCAATCAAAGGTCGCTTAGCTCAGTTGGTTAGAGCGTGGTGCTAATAGAACATCCGTGCAACGCCAAGGTCACAGGTTCGACCCCTGTAGTGATCATTTTGTCCTTTTGGACTGAAGGTGATGGCAAGTCTTTTTATGGCGGTCCCGTGAAGGATGGATGGTAGGTTGGTTGGTGGCACCCACTTCACGGGTTTATGGGCGGTTACAAGCCTCAAAGAGAGGGCAGTTCTAACCTACACAAAGAGGATGACGCTTCGGAAGAAAGATCTAAACTCAAGGGCCTGGGTTGGATGCTCTAATTGAGTGTCTGTGTCGGTAGTATATATTTTATACACATACATGCATTCAGGAACGCGGCGTAAGTCATGATCCCTGGCTCGGTCGTCATGCATGACACGGGCCCAACTATAATTTTTCCCCCACACCTCGCCAGGTGCCCCACCATAAACATTCACACGCCTCTACCGCCCGCCACCCCACCACACAATCACCATGGCCTCCTACGTGATCGCGCGACTCCTGTCGCAAGCCCTCTCCATCGAACCCACTCCCAAAGACATCCAGCGAATCCTGGTCCTCATCTCGGGCAGCGGCACGAACCTGCAAGCGCTCCTCGACGCCTCGCTCCCCGGGCAGATAATCCACGTCCTTTCGAACCGCAAATCGGCCTTTGGGCTGACGCGGGCGGCCAACGCCGGCATCCCCACGTCTTACCACAACCTGCTCTCGTACAAGTCGCGGTACCCCACGGACGAGGAGGCGCGCGCGGCCTACGACGCCGAGCTCGCGGCGTTGATCCTCGCGCAGCAGCCCGACCTCGTCGTCTGCGCCGGCTGGATGCATATTCTCTCCGAGGCGGCGCTGCGCCCGCTGAAGGAGAAGGGCGTGGACATCATCAATCTTCACCCCGCCCTGCCCGGCTGCTTCGATGGGAAGGATGCTATCCAGCGCGCGTGGAGCGCGTTCCAGCAGAGCGAGATCACGGAGACCGGTATCATGATACATCATGTCATTGGCGCGGTAGATAGGGGCGAGCCCATCATTGTGCGCAAGGTCGATATGAGAGAGGGCGAGTCGGTGGAGGAGCTGGAGGCGAGGATGCATGCCATTGAGCATGAGGCTATTGTGGAGGGAACCAAGTTGGTGCTCGAGGAGAGGTTACGGAGGTAGACCTGTGCGTTGGGATAGTGGGAATTCAAAAAAAACGGCGTTCGTTGGGTGGTGGTCAATTGACGGAAATGGGGGTACATTCTTTGATGATTGGGTTTGGTGCGATATGTAAGCCATTGAGACGTGAGAATTCTGATGAGCATCCTGATGAGCATCCCATCCCCATTTGCAGTTCAATCTTGAAGAAACTCGATATCTTTCGTGCAATTTGGATCCGGCGTCTTGCATATTCCCACCCGCTCCTGCCACCAACCGGCCTGCAGCGGTGATCAATTACGTCACTGTAGTCCTCATCTCTCTATAAACACCTAACACCCAGCCCACCGTGATTTCTTCCACTTCACCCATTCTCCGAACAAACCAACGAGCTTAAACATTCACGATGTCCGAGAATCCTAATATGATTGCCACCGGTGACGAGTCCACTCCGTGAGTTCGCACTGCACCCGTCGCACCACTAGTAGTTGCCTACTCTAACAGTTCACCAGCTACGAGAGAGCCACAGATGCGACCGACGACTACCATCCGGCTGTGAAGTCGGCCGGCAGCATGAGCCGTCAGTGCTCCGCGCATGTTCCGGGGGAGTGGGAGGGTGCTGACCAATATAGACGCCGATAAACCCCCAAAGAGCCCACACATCGAGAAGGATGTCCGCCCGCACGACGAGAGCGCTACGGTCCGCAGCATGAAGTCGGAAAACACCAAGGTCGGCGCACCGGGTATGAACAGATTCTTCAATAGTACTCCATCCAGTCCCTTGCAGGCATGGATCACAGTTGCGGACGTGGACTGCTAACACGAATTCCCTACCACACAGAGAATGAACACACTCCCACGGTATCAAGAAGGGCGCAGGGGTATGGAACGAAATCCACTGAGATGCGCGGGGATATCGGTGCTTGATCAATGCAGTAGTAGTGATACGGCAAGAAATCTAATCTTTTCATTCTATGGTACAATTTACGCAGCCGCAACAGGGGCGGCGGCGGCGGCAGCGGCAGCCTGCTCTTTGATGTACTTCTGGAGCGGGCCGATTGGTACTCCCTTGCGTGCTATGAGCTTCTGCACGTTTTCGGGTGTGAGCTTGATTGTGCCCATCATGGGAACGTCGCCCTTCTTGACCATTTCGTAATTTCCTGGGGGGCGCGCGTGAGTGAGTGAGTGGACAGAGGAGTCGGGGGAAGTGTGTACACACCTGGCAGCTTCGCAGCGGCAATCCGGAACGCATCCTTCACGATCTGCTCGTGGATATCGCCCTTGAGCTCGATGATAACTCGGCTGACGTGCACACGCGAAGCCCAGAAATCCATAGAACCTTTACCGGTTCCCATACGAGTCTGCCCATTCCATCAGTCCCTTCCCCTCCCGCTCCCCATCCCTCAGCGCACGCACCTCATTTCCCTTCGTGTAAACGGGAATATTTGCCGCAATCCTCGTGTAGATTCGGTACTTCATTCCACGCAGCTTCTTCTTGATGGTCTCCTCGGCGTTACGCAGCTGCAGAGCAGTGAGACGTCGGTGGTGGTCGGTCATTCGCATGCCGTAGTCCCCCCAGACCACCGTTGTGCCACGCGTTGACCCGCCGGTTTGCACGCGCGGTCGGCCTTTGCGTGTGCTGCCATGGTCGCCGGATTTCGGGACTGTAGGGGTGTGAGTACCGTGGGGGAGTGCGAGGGAAAGAGGATGTACGGAGCCATGACTGTGCAGGTGTCGACACGGCGAAGCTACGGGCTTGGAATGTCGTTCGGGGGAGCTGGGCGGCGATCAGGCCTGTAGATTTTAGTAAATGGTAGAGTCGATACTGTGGCGGAAGGGAAGGCTCACCGCTTCGTAGCGGAGCGGCGGACGCTCGTACCGACAGTGCCGCGAAAGATTGCCGTAGGGACTGCATGGCTGGTTAGACAATCGTGGTCGGTCGGTTGGATGTCGGACTCGAGGTGCAACACTGAGAACGTTACCGAAAAGCGGGACACCACGTGACAAGGACCGTGGGGCAGCGGACCGTCAATCATGTTGTTAGCGCGTGTAGCGCCACATACGCTATTCTACACATGTAGGTCCAGTCACGAAACCTCTCCGTCATACCCACACGTCCTCCGCCTTTACCACCACTAGCTCACCACCAACCATGGGGAAAACCGCAAAACCCAAACCCGCACCTAACCCGATGACCACGGGGCCGAACGCCCCACTCTTCGCGCGCATCTCGCACCTCTACTCCGCGTCCACGCTCGACCCGACAAGCCCGCTGAGTCGCTTCTACCTGAGCCACGCCCGGTCGATCGCGAAGAAATCGGTGCTGCGACTCGATTCGAAAACAAAACGTACGATTTGTAAGCGCTGCGATGCGCTTCTGGTCCCAGACGTGACGTGTACCCACCGCGTCGAGAATCAGAGTAAGGGTGGCAGGAAAAAGTGGGCGGATGTACTCGTTGTCGAGTGCCAATGTGGAATGGTCAAGAGGTTCCCAGTAGGCATGGAGGAGTTGAGGGTTAAGAGGGGCGGGTCTTTACATAAGGAAAAGGAGGAGGCGGTGATGGAGGGGAAGGAGGATACAACCGTCGCTGTTGCTAGTGGACAGGAAAAGGGTGGGAAGAAGGATGCCAAAGCGGGCAAGAAAGCGGGAGCGAAGAAGGGCGCGAATATGGATGCCCGGACCTTTAAAGGACAAGCTATATGGACTATACAAGATTTGCTGGAGGGGAAAGACCCGGTCCCGGTGGAGGAGGAAAAGCAAGTGTCGGATTGCCCTACAGATGCTAGGGATACGCACATGGAGGATGCACCTACTGTAATCATGAGGGAGTCACAAATAAACACATGATCCGATCGTTTCCGTACACACTGCAACACCTATATTGGGTCTAGATGTTTCCCTGAATGATGGGTAATGTGCTGCGTTGGCTACACAACAATCCTACCACTTGCCGCCCTTCTTCTTCTTCTTTTTGTTCGCCGGGCCTCCTCCGCCTGCCTTCTTTGCCTGGTCAACCTTGAGGACATCTAACCGGCCACCGCCAGTAAGCTCCATGCTCTCTTCCGCCACCGGTCCACCCTGCGTCGCCGCAGCCACCTTCTGCTTGCCCTTCCGTCCCTTGGGCTTGTAGTAGCTTCTGTCCCGCATTGGCAGCCAACGCTCAGGATCCAACTTCTTCGAAGGATCGGCGTTCGGTGGGAGGCGGGGCTTCTTTTTCTTGGTCTTCTTCGCCTTCACCAGGGGCATGGCTTCTTCTTCCGCTGCGCGCTTCCGAGAAGGCTGGGCGACACCGAAGGATTCGAGAGCAGAAACGTCTACGCCAGCGATGAGTTTCTCGACCGGCGTCAATGTGTCCGCATAACTGGATACTTTCGAAGGATCCGTCGTGGCGTACGAGGCGACCAGTCCGGCAACCGCGTTACGGTCCGAGGGATTCGCGGCAAGGAGAGTGGAGTACAGCTCTCCAGCTGAGGTGAGCTCGGCGGTGTTCTCGGATTCGAGCTTAGACTTGGCGGCGGCGCGAAGAACCGCAGTGTTCTGGAGACAACGTTAGAATGAGTTCATGTAATACGGACAAATGGACATACTGGTTGCGAAGACTGCTTCCACCACTCACTGGCTTCAGACAACATCTTCCTCACATGTTGCTTCCGCCCTTGGTGTTCGTACAAGGCCACCAGTAGTCCTACAAGGCCAGGCTGATAGCGCTTTTCTGGCTCAAGTTTGCTGAATAGTAGCTCCAGTGTGCTGATTGATCCCGTGATGTTTCCAGTGCTCATGCGAAGTTGGATTAATGTGAGAGCCAATCCGACATCGACGGAGTTAGCTTCAAACATCTGCTCGATCTTCGTGGTTACCTCTTTGCCGGTCTTGTTTACAGTCTGAGCAGCCGCATTGATAACATTGACACTCTTGTCGGTTGGGTAAAGGTTGTGGTATTCGGTGGCCTTGGACTGGGAAGCGTTGGACTTGCCAGCGTCGAGGTCCAGTATCGCCTCATCCAGCTTCAGGATCTTCGATTGGAAGCCAAAAGGCCGGGCTGCGAGCGATGTGGCATTTTTCGTAGCTTCAGTATAGTTCTTGAATGCAAGGTATGGGTTGTAGTCCTCTCCCTGTGCCTCGACAGCGATCTTATTGATTGTAGCGATGACTTTAATAGCCTCGTCCTCGACACTGACACACAGTGTTAGCATAGACCGGGAGGGATAGATGGAACAGGTCATACCTGTTAGCGTCAAAGCTGGCCGCCAGCTCCTTCGCACGTTCAAGCTGTCCGGTTCTTGCCAACAGGTAGATTTCCTGCACATTAACGGGCTCCAATTCCAGCTCCTTCTCCTCGGGAGTAAGATCCTCGAGATCGTTGCATAACTCTACATGATAGGCGGTCAGTCGTGCCAAGAGATCCCCGGGGAGGTAGTATTCGTACGTCTTGCCCGCTTCAGCAGCACCGCAGCTTGACCGAACTTATTGGTAGCAAGACAGATACAGGCGGCATTGAAAGTGGCCTCAAACACGTCAAAGTCTTCTCTCGATGGTTTCTTGTTGCTGACTAGGCCGCCTTTCCCACTCCAAGCCAATTGTGCATCCGTTGCCGCAGCATTGACTCGCAGGTCTCCGTCTTCATTTGGAATCTCGTAGGGTGTCTCCGCCAGCGACTTGAGGATCCGCGTGACCTCTTCAAAGTTCTCCAATCGGTAATACTAGTAAACTAAGCATGAGGACGTTCGTAATTTCCGCCAACGCTGACGGAATGGATGAGAGTGGACTAACAGCTTGTGCGGCGATGTGTTGTAATCCTCTGGAGTCCTGACCGCCTTTCTGCGCCAACTCCACAGCTTCCTGTAGCTTTCCGACCTTGTACAGGCAGTATGCGCGTTCGAGAATCGTCGTCTCGGCAATCTTCTGGCCGTCGGGACTGGTGAATACTTTCAACGCATCTTCGTGTCGGTCGAGGTTGAGCAGAGCGACCACCTTAGTGTGGAGAGCACGCGGGTGACCCTTCGATGACTTCAGGACATTATTGGCGTGTTTGAGAATCTCCTCGTGGTTGGGGCCATCGTCGGTTACTGACAGATTCTTCAGGAGAGATTCCAATGAATCCGAGGAGAACTGTGAGGCAGGCATTGCTGAGTCGTGTGTGGGCGGGGAGAGCTTTCGACCAGGTCCCCTTCCTTTGGTTGCACCAGAAAGTGAAACGAACAGAGGGCCTAAGAGCCGCACTTGTCACCTCGCTCACTCAGCCCTGGTTCTTCTGCCCCACGTCTAACATCCTGGTGTAACATCCCATCACTGGTGGGGTTATATCGCTTTTCCCCTCCATCTGAAATCCTGACTCACCAAACCCGAATTGCAATACAACCTCACAAAGGAAATACTGCAATTACACATCAGCTATGGCCGACGCTCTCGATCCCGCGAATGCCTCGAAGGCAACTCTGAAGCTGGAAAATGTGCGCAAACCTCCCCTCCTAGTGACGAGGCATTCCAAGGACTTACATTGGATTGGACAATACGGTAGACCGAGAAGCGCGACGCTCTGATCGCAATCGAAAAAAAATACCAGAAATACTGGCAAGACAGCCATGTATTCGAGACAGATGCCCCCACCCTCGCGGAAGACCCTACGACCGACCCCGATGAGCTGCGCGAGCGAAACCCTAAATTCTTCAGCTGCATGGCCTACCCGTACATGAACGGTACTCTCCATGCTGGACACTCGTTTTCCCTGAGCAAGGTCGAGTTCCAGACTGGCTTTGCCAGGATGCAGGGAAAGAGGGCACTGTTCCCGCTGGGTTTCCATTGCACGGGAATGCCGATCAAGGCTTGCGCCGACAAGTTGGCGCGGTATGCCTTGCTTTGAAGATTTCCGCACCACCTAGGTTGTGGCTGACATGGACTTTAGGGAAGTTGAATTGTTCGGGAAACATTTCGACAGTGCTTTGGTGGAAGAAGAGGCCGACAAGGAACCTGCGCCTCCGCCCAGCAATGCTGTCGCAAAGGAAGATCCTACAAAATTCGCAGCAAAGAAAGGAAAGGCCGCGTCGAAGGCTATCAAGCTGCGGTGGCAGTTCCAGATCATGCAGGCGATCGGGATTCCTCTGGAGGAAATCCACAAATTCGCCGATCCCCCGTACTGGCTGACGTACTTCCCTCCTCTGTGCAAGAGGGACTGTAACTCCCTGGGACTGCGTATCGACTGGCGTCGTTCGGTGATCACCACTGATGCGAATCCATACTACGATGCCTTTGTGCGCTGGCAGATGAACAGACTGCGGGAGCTCGGAAAAATCAAATACGGGGAGCGATACACGGTCTACTCCCCTAAAGACGGCCAGCCGTGTATGGACCACGACAGAAGTGATGGTGAGGGTGTCGGACCTCAGGAATACACTGGAATCAAGATCAAGGTTCTGGAGTGGGCAGATGAGGCGAAGGCCGAAATCGAGGGCAAGCTACCGGCCGGTGCCAATGTCTACATGGTTGCTGCAACTCTGCGACCAGAGACTATGTGAGTCCTTAGCACTTCTGGTCATTTGATTGTCAGCTTATGCCCTCTAGGTACGGTCAGACTTGCTGTTTTGTTGGACCTACCATCACCTACGGAATTTTCCAGGTTTCGGAGACCGAGTTTTACTTGTGCACGGAGCGTGCGGCCCGCAACATGGCCTACCAGAAGATCTTCCCCGAGGAGGGCAAGTTCCCTTGCGTTGCCAACGTCCAAGGAAAAGCTCTGGTTGGAACCCTCGTCTCGGCTCCGCTTTCGGTTCACACAGAGGGTGTTCGTGTTTTGCCCATGGAGACTGTCCTTGCCACCAAGGGAACCGGCGTGGTTACCTCCGTGCCTTCCGACTCCCCCGACGATTATGCCACCGTTATGGATCTAGCAAAGAAGGCCGAGTTCTACAAGATCAAGAAGGAGTGGGCAGAGCTAGAAATTCCGCCCATCATCAAGACGCCTTCATACGGTGACAAGACCGCCGAGTTCCTGGTCAAGAAGCTCAAGATCAACTCTCCCAAGGATGCTAAGCAGCTGGCTGAGGCCAAAGAACTCGCATACAAGGAAGGTTTTTACCAGGGAATCATGTTGGTTGGGGACTTCGCTGGCGAGAAGGTAGAGGTCGCAAAGCCCAAAGTTCGGGAGCAGCTCTTCAAGAGCGGCTTGGCGTTTGCCTATGCCGAGCCCGAAGGAGCCGTCACCTCCCGCTCCGGAGACGTTTGCATTGTCGCCCTTCTAGACCAGTGGTACCTCGATTACGGAGAGAAGGAGTGGCGTGCGAAAACCGAGAGCCTCGTAGCTGGTAAATTGAACTCGTACCACCCCGAGACTAAGAACGGACTGATAGCGAACCTCGCGTGGCTCAACCAGTGGGCGTGCGCAAGATCCTACGGCCTTGGTAGCAAGCTCCCCTGGGACCCCCAGTTCTTGGTCGAGAGTTTGTCCGACTCTACGGTGTACATGGCATACTACACTATTGCACACTACCTCCACGGCTCGATCGACGGCAAGGCACCTGGTCTCTCCGGTATCTCGGCAGATCAGATGGCGGATGAGGTCTGGGACTACCTCTTCTGCCAGCGTGAGCTCCCCAAGGAGATCATTGAGAAGTACAACTTGCCCATGGACTGGTTGGAGAAGATGCAACGCGAGTTCCAGTACTTCTACCCTCTGGACGTCAATGTTTCGGGCAAGGATCTTATTCAGAATCATCTTACATTCTTCCTTTACATCCACGTCGCGATCTTCCCACCGCAGTACTGGCCGACGGGTATCCGTGCCAACGGTCATCTCATGCTTAACGGTGACAAGATGAGCAAAAGTACTGGAAATTTCTTGACGCTCAGTGAGACTGTGGAGAAGTTCGGTGCCGATGCTGCTAGAATTGCTTTTGCAGATGCCGGTGATGGTGTTGAGGATGCCAACTTTGAGGAGAAGGTCGCAAACGCGGCTATTCTCAGACTGTATGTTCTCGTGCGTCCAGGTTGCAGGAGCTTTTCTGACGATTTGCTAGGTACACTTTGAAGGAATGGTGTGAGGAGATTGTCAAGGAGGCGGATGCTGGCAAGCTGAGAACTGGCCCCAAGGACTCTTTCTGGGACCAGATCTTCGAGAACGAAATGAACGAGCTCATTGAAGCTACCAAGGAGCATTACGCCGGGTATTTATACATTATCACCAAGGGTGATGGCACTGAGCTAATTTCTGTAGGACCTCATACAAGCTTGCCCTCAAAACCGGTTTCTACGAGTTCCAGGCCGCAAGAGATACCTACCGTGAGGCTACAGCCGCCATCGGCGGAATGCACAAGGACTTGGTTCTGGACTGGATCAAGAACCAAGCTCTCATGCTGAACCCTATCGCCCCTCACTGGGCTGAATACGTCTGGCAGGAGCTTTTCAAGAAGGTATTATAATACTTTCAAAAGTTCAATGACAAGGGAAAACTCACAAGAATATAGACTACCACGGTCCAAAACGAGCTGTTCCCCAAGGCTTCTGCGCCCATCTCTGCGGCCCTCACGGCTGCCAGAAACTACGTGCACAACGTCAACAGCAGCGTCACGTCGACCGAGGCCGCACAGCTCAAGAAGAAGGCGAAGGGCAAGGGAACCACCTATGACCCCAAGAAAGCCAAGCAGCTCGCCGTCTATGTCGCTCTGGGATACCCTGGCTGGCAGGAGAAGTACATCGACCTTGTGCGTGAGGCCTTCGACAAGGTCACGCTCTCCGTCAATGACAAGGAGCTCAGCGCAAAGGTGTCGAAAATGGGAGAGATGAAGAAGGCTATGCCGTTCGTGCAGGGTCTCAAGAAGAGGCTTCAATCGGAGTCGCCCGATACGGTCTTCAACCGCAAGCTGGCTTTCAACGAGGTGGAGACACTGAAGGGCATGGTGCCCGGTCTCAAGAGGCTTACCGGCGCTAAGAATGTGGCCATTGTCGTTGTCGACGAGGGTGGAAAGACTGGCAAGACTGTGGATGGAGAGGTCGTTGAAACGCTGCCGCCACTGGCCGAGGGTGCTGAGCCTGGTAACCCGAGGTACGAGTTTACCAACGTTGAGTAGACACTTGCACGTAGATTATGCTTAGGTAGATCTGGGTCATCTGGGGAATCCAAAAAAAGACGATTGCGAGTGATGGTTGATTCGGATAAGCAACCCGCCAAGAACGTGCGGGGCTCGATAAGAGAAGGCGGGACATCTGCCTGGTGATGTCTCATAGCTTGCTTGTGACCCAGCTCCACCGGCACCTCACACACACCTCACCAACAAGATGTCAACACCAGCCTCCACAACCCCAAAACTCCATGCCTCGAAGCACGTCGCCTACATTCAATCCCTCGACATCCACAAAGACAGTCTAGACTACTGGCTAACCGAACACCTCCGCCTCTCAGGCGTCTACTGGGGCCTCACCGCCCTCCACCTCCTGCACCACCCGACCGCCCTCCCCCGCGCCGAAACCATATCCTTCGTGCAGTCCTGCTTGCACCCCTCCGGCGGCTTCGGCGCCTCGCCAGGGCACGACGCCCACCTTCTATACACGGTCAGCGCGATCCAGATCCTCGCAACAGTGGACGCACTGGACACGATCCCCATAGCCACGACCGCCTCATGGATCGCTAGCCTACAGCAGCCCAGCGGTGTATTCTTTGGCGACCAATGGGGTGAGACCGACACACGGTTCCTCTACGGGGCGCTGAACGCACTCTCGCTGCTGGGGCGCTTGGACGCCATCAATGTGGACGCGGCAGTCGACTACGTGCTGCGCTGCCGCAACCACGACGGCGGCTTCGGCATGAGCCCCGGCGCGGAGAGCCACGCCGGGCTGATCTTTACGTGTGTGGGCGCGCTAGCGATCGCGGGTCGCCTGGACGATCTCGATGCGGACCTGCTCGGCGACTGGCTGTGTGAGCGCCAGCTGCCGAATGGAGGGCTGAATGGACGCCCCGAGAAGCTGGAGGATGTGTGCTACGGCTGGTGGGTGCTGAGCTCGCTGGCGGTCATTGGGCGCTTGCATTGGATCGATAGGGATAGGCTCGTGGCGTTTATTCTGAAGTGTCAGGATGAGGAGGGTGGCGGGTTTGCGGATCGCCCGGGGAATATGGTGGATGTCTTTCATACGCACTTTGGCATCGCCGGGTTGAGTTTGCTGGGCTACGAGGGATTGGACGAGATTGATCCTGTGTATTGTATGCCCAGGACAGTTACGAAAAGAGTGCTGGGGAAGTAGGTGGAGGGAATAGACTACGGGACGACAACAGAACCAACCCATCTTATGGGGAGTACACGGCCCAGAAAAATATACCGAGTGAGCGAGTGAGGACATCTGTAGACATAAAGGTTTTGCAGTAGCACCAACAGTTACTTCTCACAGATTAATCGCACAGGTCGATTAGAGGTGTACTTGACATAGATCCGATAGGTACAGTAAAATGCAAATCATTGGCGCCATCCCATACAAAACAGAGTACTTTTTTTTAATGGAGCCAAAGAAAAGATCAACCCTCCATCTCCACCTCAATTGTCTCGTCATCATACCCATCCAATCCTTCCAGCTTGAACTCCTCCATCCACTGGCTCACAACCTCCTTCTGATCCGCCTCGATGGTGCCAGAGGAAGCAGCCTTGATACCGGCGGTGGCAGCAGCCGTGGCAAGCGGAGGATCAACCCAACCCTGTATCCTTCCATCTCGCCAGTCCATGATGACGGCAATCGCAGCGCTGTGAATATGCGGCACACCACCCTTTCCTAGCCGACCCCGTTTCCTCGCTACCTCGATCAGGAAGCTCTTTGTAAGTTCGCTGAGAGAAATATTTGGCAGAGGAGGTATTCCGTAGACGTCAAGCAGCTTCTGGAAAAGCGTCTCGGACGTCGAGAATCTTTTGATCAACAATTGCACGGCTCCGGTGGGATCATCGATCTGTTTCGGCGGCACCGCATTCAGAAGGACGAGACGAGCCTGTTCGTCCGCCTTCGGGCCCTTGGCGCCGTCCGTGCTAGGGAAAACGATACCGGGCGAATCCAGGATCTTAAGCTTCTTGTCCAATTTCACCTCGCGCAGACTGGTGGTGACACCGGCCTCGGCACCGGTGGGGCATGCAGCTGCCGATCCACCAAGACGACCGGTAAGGGCGTTGATGACCGATGACTTTCCGACGTTGGGGTATCCGATGACACCGACGGTGACAGATCGCTTCAGCTGCTTGGAGTGCGCGAACGACTTGAGCGCAGCCAGGAGAGCACTTGCGGTTCCCTGCACCGTCAAGGCCTTGTGGTCAAAAGATTGTGCGTTCGGTGCGCCATTGCTGGCCTTAAGGGGTAGTGTGGGGAAGGATCGGCGCAGATAAGTCAACCATCCCTTCAGTACTGGTGGCGGTACGAGATCGATCTTGTTCAAGATGAGAATTAACCGCTTCTCTCCTCCGTCCATCGACATGACCTGTCTCTCGACCTCGCGCGAACGGGTACCCATTGGGTCGCGGGCATCGAGCACGTAGAGAACAACATCGGCGGAGTCGACAACCTGCTTGAACATCTTGTCGAACGATCTCCGCGAAGTGTCCTTGTTTCCTCGCTGGAATTGCTCCGATTCGCCGTCCTCCTCGTCACTCGTGTCGCCGTGCTTCTCCTCGTACTCGACTGCGCGTGCCCGAGCCGAAGCTAGCAAAGCCGCCATGGCACTGTTTCCTCCCTTCTGTAGAGCCCTGTCAGCACGCAATCATAAGCCCCAGGGTGAACCGCAATATCTCCTACCTCTTCATCCTCGCTCTCCGAGACGTCCATCTCGTCGTCGCCCTCGCTATCCTCGTCCTCCTCCTCATCCTCCTCCTCATCCACATCCTTCATAGCATCGGCATCGGCACCCTTAAGCTCCAGCTTGCGCAACTTCGCCTGCTCTCTGCGCTTCTGCTGTTCCTCGGCCTTGACCCTCCTAGCCTCCTCGATCTCGGACAGGATCTGGTCCTTGTAGGGGAAGCTGTTGGGGATGTTCAAGGCGGCGGGCTTCTTGCGGTGCAGTTCCGGATGCTTCTTCGCGTGCTTCCGCTCCTTCCGCTGCTTCTCTGCGCTGCGCTTTTCTATTTTGTGTCGCAGCCGCACAGGCACTCGTTTAGACTTTCTTTCTATAGTTTTTTTTCAAGTGGTCAGATAATGAAGGCGCGGGGGAGGGGGGGTTGCTTACTGGGGTGGACCATTGCGAAGGTGAGGACGGGAGAGGTTCAGTGGGATTGTGGTGGTGGCTGCGGGGAGTGGTGGGGTTGAGGATTCGCTCGCTGTTGAGATTGTAGAAGCAAAGTTGACTGGAGAAATAATTTTGTCGCAGCAGCAAAATAACTAGAGTAGTGCGCCACAGCACCCTGGTCCAATCCAATGGTCTCGTCTTGCCTTCATGCAGAAGTCTATTGAGCACGCTTGTGTAGATGTGGCTGATCCGCGCCAGTGACCAGCGAGTAACCAGCGCAAAGCCACTGCTCGTCGAACCCAACCCAATCCCATACATACGGCGCAGTACCTAGATCATATGGAGGCTGGACACTCTTTATTAAAGAAACCTGCCATTGCGGTGATTATTCGCATTGGCTGAACTCCAGCACGCAGATAATTTTAGAGCGCATCTACAGCGGCATCAGATCATCTGCTCTCTCCGACAGGACCGACAGGAGCTGGAAGCTGTGTATAAAGAGCGCGTCGGTACAACAGTTTTGTGTAGGATCCACACTTCACCTCGACCTCAACCTCTAACCCACCCACCAACCAACCAACCCGCCCTTTCGGCTCCAGTCAACTTGCGCTCAAAGATCACGAGCAATCTCGTACATATCGAATATTCGCCCCGGCTCCCAACGTGACGCCGCCATATATCTACATACACACCACCATGGCTCCCAAAACCAGGAGCGGCAAGTCAACAAACAACCGTGCCTCGAGACGGACCATGGACACGGACAACCAAGTGCGTGACTATACCCATATCCGAATTATACATACATACACATCAACTAACCCCCCCTACCCCACTAGGCCACAGCGGACCCATGGTTCCTCAGCGCCATCAGCACACTCAACGACCTGAGCAACTACATCGGCGTCGGCACCGTTTCGCTGACATTATCCTCAATGGCGGGGCCGGGCCCCACCGCGCCCGACGACTGGCACTGGCTTGAGCTCCCCGCACAGAAGCCGCGGCGCATCGAGGGCGTCGCCTACGATCTGTACATGCTCGCCACGCTGCACCTCGTGCGCTGCACTTACCGCATGTTCTCCACCGCCCCGGAGGTTTTCGCTCGACCAGCGCTGCCCGCGCTGCCGCGCACGCCGAATGCGCTCGTCCGCGTGTACGTCCTCCCCGTGGATGTGGCCCAGGACCTCGTCTCCAGGAGGAATAGGAATGTGCGGAAGTACATGCGCAGCATGCTGGAGGAGGTGGATGTGGCGGCGGAGATGTGGGAGGGAGAGGGAGAGGGAGAGGGAGAGGGAGAGGTCGTACGAGCAGCCTGGCGAGGCGAAAAAACTCCGCTGCTGACGAAGGTTAAGGAGTTGCCGCCGATGCCTGGGCTGCATCCAAGATTGACGATTATGGAGGCCCCGACTGGGGAGGTCTATTACCTCGACCTGAAGACGTGTGAGCTGTTTGAGCAGCCGGTGTATGAGGGTGATAGTCACGCTGGGAAAGTCAAGGAGGCGGAGGAGAAGGAGGAGATGGATACGGCAAAAACACAGCCGGCAGCACCGCTCGTGGAAGGACTCGGCGCCGCCCAGAGATCCAAGCCCGCCGATACCCCGGCCGTCGGGACGAAGAGGCGGGCTACGCCCGTCGGAGATGACGTGGAAATGGTGGATCTACCGAAAAGGGCGAAGACTGTTGAGTCCGGTTAGGGTCGCGTGGGCTGGGCTGGGCGTTTGGGTGTCCTGTTGGAGTTTTGTTTCGTTCAATGGTTTAAGACGGATATATCTGGGAGCTTGTATGTATGTAGTGGGTTCCTCTCGCGACGCTTTAGCGGGTTACAACCGAGGTCATTCAGGTCTGCACGATGGGGTGGGGTGTTGGTCGGATCCGGACTGCTACATAAACCGCTGGACGGACCGGTTACAGGGCAAATGGCGGGACAAACCACTTTACGAACGGTTGAGCGAGTGATTCTCGAATGACCGGGCCGGATATGCCTAGTGTCGCACAGACAGACAGGCTCACCCGGTGGCAGCGACACAGGGTGAGCACACGAGCAAGGTACGAAGCGCACTCACTCTACATGCCGAGCTCAATCGACACGGACCGGGACTTCGGCAGTGGGTTATGCGCATCCTCGGCGCCAGTTGTGAGGCTTGGAAACTTGCGCGGATTAGTAATTATTACACACGAGTTGGGATTTTGTAAAACCTTCTTGGCCGCACCGTATTTGGAACTAAGTCTGGTTAGCGCGAGCCGCAGTTTGTAAGCGGTGCAAGTTGCAAGCATCTCGCGATGGGCTGCAGAACAAACAGCGTTCTCACTGATCGGACACACAGCTGGGGTTTTTTTCTCTTCTTCTTTCTTTTTCTTTTCATGATGCATAGAGTGCCCACCGGCGATCCGCGACGAGGAGTTTTACTGGGGCCATGGGCCTTGGAGGAGGAGGAGATTATCCTCGGGATTGACACTGCGCAGTGCGGGGCCATTGCACCAGCCACAGGAGCTCATCGCATGCTCACTCGCGACATCCGCCTATGCCCATTGCCGTCGTACCGTGACTATTGCTGTGCCCACGTCGGTGCCTGAGCTAGAATAGTTCCTACGTAGTGGGTGAGTAAAAGTAGGTACACACCTTATACCTCATACCTGTTACCTACCGTACTTTCCAGTTTCCACGCACCCTCGCCTGGTAGACCTGCTCTGTTCGATCACCAACATCTGCACGGGAGCTGATGTTGCGAGGCGAGGCATCCAGAGGGGAATATGTATGGAGACACCTACGGTTCAAGGCGGATCCGCACTCTGTCTCTACATATGATTGGATTGGGTTGTCCGCAGCGTGGCGTACCTACATATGTTCGCCTTTGCGCAGAGGCTGTCCCCACTCCCCAGGGGTTGGATGTAGGTACATAACCACATAAGCAAGTACCTACTCTACCCGCCCAGCGCATCGTCCATCTACAGGGGCGGGACCCAGGAGCAGGATGGAGCTGGCCCTTATGGACGCCGACACGCCGGAAGGGGATCTGTGGAGTATGTACGATACTCTACGGCAGAGTACAGGACTGACTTGGGTAACCATATGTATCGCGTTCTCTCATCAGCACGGTGGCAGGTATCCCACCTGGGTCCTGCAGAAGAGACAGAGACACACGACAGCCACAAATAGCGAACACTTTACGATATGTACGTGCTCCGTGCATGGGGAACCTAACCTAGCCCTATCGATGCGAAAAGGCGGGGAATCAGCACTCGGCAGCCACGGCGATTGGCCGTCCGTCCATATGGAGCATGGCCTATATCCGAAAGAAAAAAAGAAAAAAAGAAAAAAAAGAAAGAGAAAAAAACCTAGACAGAAAAATCTCACGGGTGACAAAAGCAGAAGAGGCGAGATCTCAGATGCCTGCGACCTGCCCCCCCACCCCCCGCAGGTTCTGACTGTTCGAATTTCTTGCGCTGTGGCTGGTGTTTTGCTCGTTTTTCACCTCCACAAAACCTCAATCCCATTGATGCCAGCCAGCTAGAGCACTCTGGCCAACCGAATAAAAAAAAGAGTCATCGCCGTTAACTCTCTCCCCTCCTCCTCTAACTCTCTCCACAACTGCAACCACCACCACTCCACCACCACCACCAACACAGCTGCCATCCCCTCATACCACGCCAATACAACAGGCTTCTATAAGAACCCGCCCCGCTACAGGTCCGTTGAAACCCTCAATTCCTATCCTCATCCTCATCCTCCCTTGTAACCCCATCATACCCCATATCACCGGCCCCCATACGAACAACAACATCTCCTCGCACCTACATATCCCGCTTTGTCCCCATTCTTGCCCTGCAATTCGCCCCGTAGAAACCAACAGCATCTGCATCCGTGTCTCACCTGGAGCTGAGCTGAGAAGACAACCACGTCTGCCTGCAGAAAGAAAGAAAAAAAAAGCCTCCTTCCACTTCAGCCTTCGGGTTTCCCGCTTTTCTCTCCCGTATAGCGCCCCTTCTTCCCACATAAATTCCAGTCGTCCCGCTTGCTTTCGGCCTTAGATCCGCCCTGCCTGTCTGTCCCGTCAATTGCTCACACTCCGCTTCATCTTCACAGACCAAATAATAGTCAACATGTCTCCTCCCGCTGCGAACGAGAACGGTAGCTCGAACGGTACGGACACCCCGACCTCTCTTGTCGTAGATCTTCCGAGACCCGCAAATTCTGATTCCTCTTCTTCTGCTGCTCCCACAGTCAACAAGGCCGAATACAAGCGAATCGAGACCACACCCATCAACAGCCGGAATCCCTACCAGCCCGTCCCCGACTTCCTGAGCAATGTCAACTCTTTCAAGATCATCGAGAGCACCCTGAGAGAGGGAGAGCAGTTTGCCAACGCTTTCTTTGACACCGCGAAGAAGATTGAGATCGCCAAGGCGCTGGACGACTTCGGTGTTGACTACGTATGAAACACCCCCACGGGATCGGCCCGAGCTACGGAATGAACTGACGGGGGGTTCGATAGATCGAATTGACTAGCCCCGCGGCTTCGGAGCAGTCCCGCGCCGATTGCGAGGCTATCTGCAAGTTGGGATTGAAGGCCAAGGTACGAGCATTGAACTCTTCGATGTCCGAAATTGCCGACTGATCCCCGCTCCCCCAGATCTTGACCCACATCCGATGCCACATGGACGATGCCCGGATAGCTGTCGAGACCGGTGTTGACGGTGTCGATGTTGTCATTGGCACTTCCTCGTTCCTGAGGGAGCACTCCCACGGAAAGGACATGGCCTACATCCACAGGACCGCAATCGAGGTTATCGAGTTCGTCAAGTCCAAGAACATTGAGATTCGGTTCTCGAGCGAGGACTCTTTCCGATCCGACCTTGTCGATCTTCTGAGCATCTACAAGGCTGTCGACAAGGTCGGCGTCAACCGTGTGGTATGAGCAACCATCCCCTCCCCTACGCATGTTTTGGTGGGGTTTTCGACTGACCCGATCGGTTAGGGTATTGCCGATACCGTTGGATGCGCTTCTCCCCGCCAAGTTTACGACTTGATCCGCACTCTCCGTGGTGTCGTTTCTTGCGATATTGAGACTCACTTCCACAACGACACCGGATGCGCCATCGCGAACGCCTACTGTGCCCTCGAGGCTGGTGCCACCCACATCGACACCAGTGTTCTCGGTATCGGTGAGCGTAACGGAATCACTCCCCTCGGTGGACTCATGGCTCGCATGATCGTTGCCGACCCCGAGTACGTCAAGAACAAGTACAAGCTCCACAAGCTCAAGGACCTCGAGAACTTGGTCGCCGAGGCCGTTGAGGTCAACATTCCCTTCAACAACTACATCACCGGTTTCTGCGCCTTCACCCACAAGGCCGGTATCCACGCCAAGGCTATCCTCAACAACCCCAGCACATACGAGATCATCAACCCCGCCGACTTCGGCATCACCCGATACGTCCACTTCGCCTCTCGGTTGACCGGATGGAACGCCATCAAGAGCCGAGTGGAGCAGCTGAACCTCGACATGACCGACGCTCAGTGCAAGGAGTGCACCGCGAAGATCAAGGCGCTTGCCGACATCCGACCTTTGAACGTTGACGATGTGTAAGTTTTTTCCAAGTTGCGGAAATATGCAGTTTGGTTTTGCTGACAAAACATACAGTGACTCCATCATCCGTCAATACCACCTTCACATCAAGAGTGGAGGCGAGACCCCTCTCGGCCTCGAGCTCCCCAGCCCGATCGACGAGATGGTTGTCGACGGCGAGCCAGCGGCCAAGAGACTTAAGCAGGAACTGGTCACGGACGCTGCTGCATGCTGTTAAGCGCAGAGGTTGGGTGGATGTGCCGGGTTTTCGGGTATTTCATATATTCTCCGCTGGAAGCCCGCTCAGACTACCAAAAAAATAATGGCGTTTTGATTTACATGATAAAACTTCTATATCATTTTCCCTTTTGTTTTTTCGTTTTTCTTGTTTGGGTTCAAGGCTGGGTAGCGTGGAATGAGTCGCGAGGATGTGCTTGCTTGTATTCCGAGTTTCCACGATGGACGGAACCGGTCAATAAAAGTTGTCAGTCACTCGCTCGCACCATTTGGCCAGAAATATCATACCTCCCGTTTAAACTTCATGATGCTACCGGATGGAGCCAAGGATTCGAGTGATTCTGTGATTTGAGTGCTTCGAGTGATCCATTCCACGCGTGGGAAACACAAAGGGACATGACATGATGGACCTGACTCGAGCCATTCGCGAGTGAGTTCCAAGAGATCATCTAGATGGCGCAGACTGAAGGCGTCCTTGGAAATTCACCAGAGGTCAAGAGATCATCCAGATACCTGGTGCAGACCGAAAGTGTCCTTGGAAAATCCACTGATTTCACTCAATCCCAACAGCTCCTTCCAAGTTCCACCAATAGCACATGGCCTTGGAACATTTGAGACTGACTCCAGATATACCATTGGTTTTGCCCTAAAGAGTACAAACGGGAGGCTGGAGCTACTTAACTGTGTCACTCGTGATCTTTTGTGAGGTTCCATTCGCACAACTACAACGATGACGACAACAACGGTGATGCAAAACACACAACTAACCAACCTCACTGTTACCGTCACAGTCACAGCCCTCGGTAGTCCGGTTTCGACGGCTGCTAAGAGCTGTACTCGGAGAGCTTGGATACCTGCCTCGTGCATGTTCCAAGCGGGCTTGACGTTAGACGTGCCGTCGTCGCTGGCTCTGTCACGTGCAATCAGGAACTCCGGGAGGCTGGAGGAGCATAGCTTGCTCACGAGTCCCGAGTCCTGAGTCCCGAGGTCTTGGTGGAGGTCTTGGTGGATGTCTTGGTGGAGGTGGAGCTTGGAGCTCTCGGCGGACCTTTGGACAGCGAAAAGATGTCCTGTACATCACTGTGGGGCACACATGGTGAAGGATGAAGGCTGGAGGAAGGAGGAAGGATGGAGGCTGGAGGCTGGAGATAACTACGGTGCTGGGCAGTGGGCAGTGGGCTGGCCATCTACCTGGTGCCAGGCAAGCTGCGGTTTTGAGTGAGAGGTACTGTTGAAACTTGAAGCTGTATTCCACTCTACTCTACTCTGCTAGTACCTATTCAAGGCAGAGCTCCCATCAACATTGGAAGCTCCGAAGCGGCACATCATACATCCTAGCCTCGAGCAGCCATGCCTCCCTCCACTATTTACCGTGCCCCGTCTCGCTGCTTCCCTGTGATTCGTCTAAGGGTCGGCCCCGTCCCTCCGCCGAGTACCGACAAGATCAACGGTATAAGTATTATCAGGGCCTTGTCCACTCCACTCCACTCCACTCCACTCCACTCCATGCTGCAGTCCGAGTAGTTTCAACCGGCATCCAAACAAACCGCACGAGCGGATTGCCGTCTCAACTACACATCTAATACATAGTACGATGTATTTCCGACCTCTCCGAAGTTCTGAACCGTATCCACCGCCAGAAGGCAGCACGGTACGGAGCGTATTCACCCCTACACCTACTGGTCAGTGGTAAGTTCACCCAGCTCCCTTGAGAACCACTCGACATACCTACCTCCTGGTAGTGCTGAGGATGCACCCGCTCTCGCTCTCACTGCTTTACACCCCGCGGCCACCCACGCTCCTGGGTATAATCCGCGGCCACCAGTTCCCAGTTCCCAGTTCCCACAATCCCAGCCGGAGACAACCCAACCCAACCCAACCCGTTTCGATTACAGCCCTGAGCCCGCTGAGCACCCCGCACCCCACTCCCTTTTCCACCACCACAACTCTACCTATGTAACTACCACAAAGGGAAAACCCTCAATTTCTTCCTCTTCTCTCGCTTCCGCTCCCGCACTCTTCCAACCATCCGGAGTTCGGAAAAAACAACCGGCCAAGCGGTTTTCCTCTTTGGATAAACAAAACGAACGCGCGCACCGGCAGCAGCAGCGGACACCAGCACCAGCACCAGCGGACACCCTCTCTCGCGCTCTCGCTCTCGCTTTTCCAACCTTTCTAAGCTCCGAAAACACTGTCTTCCAAGCGGTCCTCCTCTTCGCACATCGGTCCCTGATCTCCTTCCTTTTTCTCCTGACCTCATCAAGGAATTGCTTCCGCTGCGCCTTCCTTGCGCGCTTCTGAGCTCCCTAGGCTCCTTCCTCCTCCTCCTCCTCCTCCCTCTCCCTCTCCCTTTGCTTCATGGCAAGATCGGAGAACGCCTGCTCTCCAGCCTGCGCGAGCACCAAGGCGCCTTTGAGCGCCGCCTCGAGGCTGTGCCGGAAGCCTGGCGAGATATCGCGAGCAGCTGCGTCAAGCAGCACATCTGCAGCTTGCCGCTTCAGCGCGCGGACTGTGAGTGGTGTTGTTGGCGGTTCTGGCGAGGCCCGCGGTGACGTGGACGGTGTAGCAGCACAGGCAGAGGCGGCTTCGTGCATTTTTGTCAGGACAACCGAGGGGTTGTACGGTACCAGGCCGGTTTTGCGGAATGCTGAGATGATGGCGGTGGGAGGATGGAATGTTTGAAGGCGGATTGAGTGGATCGCGGAGAGGAATTCCGCTTTGGCGTACTGAACGAACACCGTGCGGGTCAAGGCATCAACTGCCTGGGCCGAGTCATGATTATGCTGGTAGGGCTGGAATACAACCGCATCTAGTGGTTGCAGTAGGTGGGAAGTGTGCGGTGGCAGGCAGAACGGGATAATATTGTGCTCGTCGCAACGGTCGACAAATTCCATGGTGCAGTGCGAACCGTCGCCGTCCAGGAGGAGAAGCCGGTATGCGCCGAGACACCGCTGAGCTGAGAACCGGTCGAAATGCTTGAGCCAGTCCATGCTCAGTTCATCGTTGGAGTATCCCGTAGCCGAGACACCCACAAGATAGTCGTCGGGAAGATTGGTGTACCACTGTCCTTGGTCGAGGGCGCTCGGAAGGATGATCATGGGCGGCAGTGCGTCGCCATCAGCGCTGATGGTTTCGCACACAGTGACGAGTTCTCGAACTGTCGGATTGTGGAGATACGCTTGCCGGTCTGGGTCCCGCGTGACAGTCCACTGATCTTCCCCGATGGCAATGCGGAACCCAGTCTCGTCAAAGTTGTAGATGTCCCTCGGCTGAATACCGTATTGATCGCATATCTTCCTGAACTCGGCAAACCACTTGCGGACACCTTCCGGATCGTGATCATTTCTGCCGTTGACATCCGTAGTATTCTTCTGTCGGACCACACATTCCGGATGCCGCTCAAGAAACCTTTTCGTCCAGGCACCACCGACAACGGGCGGCCGAGTATGGGGGTCATCATGCGCGCGCGCCAGGATCGCATCCGCACAGCTGGTAACCATCTTCTTGCGCGCACACGTCCCGATCTTATCCAAACGCTCCATATACAGGCAAACAGCACGTTCCTGATCGCCGGAAAGCTTTTTACCACTTCCGGGTCGGTCACTCTTCGATTGGCACCCGTTCCATCGACTCCGTAGTCTTTGTGCTGGAACCTCGAACTCCCGCGCTGCTGCTGCGATGTTTGGAGTTTCCTCTCCTCGCTCCTTCAGAGCGGCGATGGCCTCTTGAATCCGAGCCTCAATAGTCCCATAGGGCTCTCCTTCAAATTTCCGCTTTGGTGGCATTATTTTGTTGTGGTTGTGTGGTTGTGGTGGTGAAAAAGGGGGATGCTGAGCTGGCAATTATCGTTGAGCCGCCAGACACTCTGGAGAAGTGCCCCAGGTGGTGCTAGCCACCTTGACACTAGTAGTTACATGGAAGAACCGTGTTCTCATGGCCGATACACAGGATCTCGTTCGTACTTTTTTCTGCATGCATCACAATAATGCGGCATGAGAGGTGTAGAATGGCGTAGGTATTCGGTGATTCACGGTCGCTAGTATAAAAAGAAAACTCCCGGACTTTTTCCTAACTACCAAACAAAAAGAAACCCCCGAACGTAGATTTATTTATTTCTTGAGGGCACGCTGGTAGAAAGAGAGCTCATCACCCTCCAAGATGTATCCATCAACACGCCCGGACTGGCCGGGGCGCGAAGAGACACAGGCCAACAGACGACCAGCAGCGAACTGGGACTCAAGGGCGGAGTCGACCTTGGCACCGGGCTGGCGGGCGGTGATCTTCTTCTCGACTGACTTGGACTTGGGCACAGCCTCGGCGGCGGCGGCAGCATCCTGAGCCTTCTGTCCACGTCTCTTACCGAGGAGGGTACCGTAGTGAGCCTCGTACCACTGACGGAAAGGAGCGGCATCGATCTGGACGATGGCGGACCTAGTCAGGGTGTTGGTTCCTGTATCATAATATCAGCATCCTGCAATCATCCTTGACTGGCTCCCGGCGCAAAACTTACGGACGAGCTCGTTGTTGGAAGGATGGTACGCGACGGCGATGACACGGGTCTTCTTGGAGATACCCTCAGAACCCCACGAGAAGTTACCGGAGTCCAGACGGAGACCACGGAACTTGCGGTTTCCACCACGAGTGCGGACAATGTGAACGCCTAAAAGTTGAGAATGAGCCGAATGATTCCCAACAAAGTGGTACTACCAACCCGCATGGCTTCTCTTATCAGAGAAGCCAGAGGCGGGGAGGCCTCCTTCTCATGAACAAATCGCCCGAAAGCAAGATGAACAGTGGAGAAGGGGTTATGGTGAGGTCCAGCTGCTCAGGAACACTCACGCTTGGGACCGATACGGGTAACGGCGGACTGGCGACCGAGCTCGAAGGCACGCTTCTTGCGGTAGTGCGAGCGCTTCGCACCAGTAGCGGCGCGCTTGTGACGGCTGTCGCGGGAGATACCCATTGTCGATTATGTGACTATGTCGCGTATTAGCCCACTGTATCCTTCTCTGTCTGTACTGGGGTGGGTCGAGTCGAGAAGAAATGGAATTCGAGATTCGAGAAAGCGGGCTGTGCAGTTCGAGATTTCGCGATTCCATCCGTTCCCTCCTGCATATCCTCCAGAGCTGATTTGCACATACTTAGCGGAAAGGCGGTGTGTCGAGGAATGGACAGCGTCGATCGCTAGAGGTCGTAAGTCGTGGCGTCGGGGGTTGATTGTCGTCGTCGAGGTTGCTACGAGAGGAAATCGCCAAAGTCGAAAGTTTGTGTGGGGGCTTACAATACACCATCCTAATGCGGCTAGCCCACAGTGTGACGGTCTGTGGAATCTGGGGTTCTGCCCTGAGATAAACTTGAGCTGAGCCCACCACAAGAGATTAGGGGTTTTACGATTAAGCCACACCGTTTTGCAATCACCCAGGGAAAAGTGGCGCACCGAAGGATGCAAAGCTCGAGTATCCGACTATTATACATTTTGATATCTATGAAGCTCGCCCCCATGGTGGACAAAAAACAAACAACGCCAACACCGTCAAGTTATACTTTCCGTGCTTTCTTTATGGCTTCCAATGTGGCCGACATGTCGATTTCGTCATCTGGAAGCTTCCTCTTCTCCACCGTCGGCACTTCTATTAACCCCCCTGATGAAGTCTTGACTGCCCCCTCCTTCGCGGTGTCGTCGCCTGGTACCACAGGATCAAGCACGGGATTCTCAGAAGCGGGATCCTCTTTGCCAATGCGCTTCCGCGGCTTGCCTTTGCTCTTTTCATCATTGTCCACTGGCAGCTCCACAATCTTCCTCTCATCAGGCAGGACCTCCCACCCCTGTGGTCCCTCTCCCTGGGTCCCCGCCGTGACCAACACCTGTGGGAACTCTAGCATCGTGCGCTCCCTCAGGTTCTCGGACCATGGCTTCCCCGGATCCAGACAGATACAGTGCTTCTTATTCGCCGGCGCCTCAAGGACGAGATAAAACTCCGTCTCGCTTTTCTTCACCGCCTCATTCCGCGTTGTGTCCGGTGTGTTGGCAGGATTGAAGAAAGCGAAAGCCACACCGCTGTTTTCGGAAACATCATGGTCAAGGAAGCGGCAATTCTCGGGGGAGCCTTCGGAGAGGAGTGTCCATTCTATCGTCCACACGATGTGGGGGGGCTTGCGTTTATTCGGTCGTCTGCGATCCATTAGCAAGCTCATCTCCATGAAACCCCCTCACCCCCCTTATCGTGACTTACACCACCCTCGTCCGATTCTCCTTCGCTCTCCCAAATCCCTCCCACGGCGCCCACTTCACCACCGTCCCCCTCTGTGACAGCAGATGTTCAATCCTATCTTTCTGCCTCTTCCCCCCCTCCACTTTCCCCGCATCGCCTCCCTCTACTTCCGCGTCCCCTTCCCCGTCCGCAGCCATCTCAATCGGCCGTTTTATCCCCCTCTCAACCCCCGTCAAAAACGCAAAGTCTCTATTCACGCCGCCCTCGGTCATGAGCTTACTGCGCTTGACGAAAGCGGTCGGGTCGCGGATGCCGCTACACTGACGGTACATCTTGTGTTTCTTGCTGCAGGCCACCGAGCAGCTGCGCGCGAAGCAGGCAGGACATGTGTAGATTGGCGGTGTAGTGTTGCAGTACGGGCAGAGGGTCGAGAGGAGGTCTTCTTCGGCTTCTTCATTTTCGGGTTCGGACGGGACTGCTAACGGTTCTGTTGCTGGGGCGGCTATGGTTATGATATCTGAATCCGCCATCGTCGCGTCGTGGGTAGCCGTTACTTTCCGTCCCGTGGGTTTCGCGATTGGGGGTTTTTTTTTTCGCGCTGGTCCGTGGTTGCTGCCACCGCTGAAGACTTCACTTCACGTGAAGCGGTGGAAGGATTAGAGTTGACGCGCAGCAGGCTAGGTCCGAGTGCCCCTGTCTTCACACTACTCACACCACCACAGAAATCAGATCTCCCGACTCGAGAGTCTTCAGCCCACCGCACCCATGCTCGGGAGGGTTGCTTGAAATATGCACATAGATCACCTGCTCAAACATCAAGTAGATCGAGGCAGAGCCTTCAATCGCCCACCGCTCTACTTTTCCAATCCCCTCCTTTACTCTGCCTACTCTACTCCGTATCAATGTAGAGAAGCCAGTGAAAAGTGGAACTCGATGAAGGTGTGGTGTTTTTTCTGCCCTGATACGATATGTATCAATATCCGTCTGGCAGGAAACAACGGTTTTTTCTTTTTACTCTCCCACCCTCGAACTGCACGCTGCACTCTGCACAGTATGTAGGAAGAAGTGCGAATATCTATTACGAATACTTTCCAGCGCTACACTCCGCCCCCCAAAAAATCGAGATCTCGCAGTCCGGTGTTCCACTCCCCCAACTTCCAAGTGGCAAGAGTAGGGTCTGACGCGAGAGATGAATGGGCCGCAAAAATAACAAAACTGGAGTGTTCGGCTGGCCATTCCCGACTTCCGAGGGCCTTCTCAGCCGTCAAGCACCCGCTGGTACCACACCAAGGCCTTACCATAACCCTCTTACTCCCGAAAAGCGCCGGTCATATTGCCGATGGTGCGCCGGGTAGTCTTTCCCCTCACGCCGTCTCCCGGCCGTCAAGCGCCCGCGTGTATGTAGGTACTCTACCTACCACACCAAGGCCGTGGAATACCGGTAATCCCCTCGATATATACCGACAAGCGGTGTAGAGAGTTCTGGGGTGGTCTTTTCTAAAGGCCTTCCCATACTGGTGCCATACAGACTCCCAAGGAGCCTGCGGCACCCCCGTCCCGGAGGTTGGAGCACGACTGCCCCCGGATCCCCAGACAACTCTGTAAACTTATTGTATATACACTGGCCGCACTATATAGGGTGGGAACCACTGGCATGTATGTAGGCTGTAACATGCCCTAGGTACATGATGCGGTTTCTTCGTGCACCGCAGCCCACTAGGTGCATACATTAAATATGCTTCAGGCACGAAATATGTATGTATATCTCCCGAATCTACCAGTATGTGTCTCCGGATGGATAGATGCGTAACCCCACAAGAGTCCGTGAATCGGCATCAATCGGAGTTCGGAAGGGACGTCTAGAGATGAGCCCCCCCACCGGTCCGTCCGAAGAATGCAGGGAGCAGGCTTCATCTCACTGCTTGAGCCTTGATCCACTTCAGTCGGGCCTCCGTGGGAGCATCCCCCGATCTGACACAAAACCTTTGTGGGCGAGTGATGCTGCGTGCCTGGCCGTACTCCCAGCGGCTGGAGCATCCCGTAGTTACACGCCGACCCGGCCCGTGCCAACCCGTGCCAATCCCCGCATTACTGGCCCTAACCCACTCATGAGTCCCGAGTCCCGAGTCCCGAGTCCTACGCTCGCACTGGGCCGATCTGCGGATACGTATACGTATACCCATATCGATATCCCCTCCTCTCCGGCCACGCTCCGCCCTCCTCCACACCACGCCGCAAACGGGCAGACAGGCAGGATGAGAGGACTACTATACACATCTCCAATTTTCACGAGCTTCCGTCGCACTTGACTCTTCACTCACTGGCAGGCGTGCCCTACCCTACCCTATTCACATGGGGAGCAGCAGCATGGAGAGCAGCGAGGGGAGAGTTGCTTGCGAACAGTTGCTTGCATGCAAATGACATGCATCTCCCCATGCCTCCCCATGCTTTTTTGCATGCAAGCATGCGACGCGCAGTCCACAACCTCGATATATGTACTCTATAGCACCCATAGCACCCTAGTACCGGTATGATCCCGTTTCCCCGCAAAAACCAAAAAACCAAAACCAAAACCGAAACCGAAACCAAAACCAAAGTGCAGATTCACATGTAATTTATATAGATCAACTGCACTGTGCACTGGGGAGTTGGGACTGCACTGGGGACTGTGCACTGGGGACTGGGTATACCCTATGGTACAGGTAATGGACAGGGCCCGTTTTGTTGAATGGGCACGCATTTAAATCGGCTCCCAATATTCTTTCTGGCTGTAATTAGCCTCTATTTGGCTATGAAAAGGCTGTATCCAGGCTGTATCCAGGCTTAAAAGATTAAAAGGGCTCTAAGGTTTAAATGGCGATACCTAGTACATACGACTATAAAAGGGCACAGTTGCTCAACTGGCGTTGATAATAAATGGCTTTTAGGAGTTCATATGGCTCACATTGAACAATTATATGAGTGCAATCTGCTGCTTGAGATTGCTGTGATTCTAGCTACTACTGCTCGCCCAATATATATCCTCCCCTCCGCACCCAAGCAAACCGAACCCTGCTTGTCCCCGCCCTCCCCCGCTCTCCCGCTCGTCGGCTTCCACCCCGTCATCTTAGCACACATTCAACATGACCGGCGTGCTCAATAGACTGTCTGCTAGTATCCGCAGCGAGTCAGGCCTGATACTGTAGGACGGCATAGGAGGAGTAGACTTACCGGTTGCAAGAGGGCCAGGTACTGTTAAACAGCGAAGGAGAACGAGGACAGACTGCTATTAGCGGCGATGACAGTGGGGTATCCGCACCGAAGTAGGTCTGTAGGATAGCATAGGAGCATGATGCGTACCTGCTGTAAGAAGACCAGAGACTGTCAAAGGGCTAGCGGTGGCGAGAGGGAATACTGTGGGGCGGACTGATGGGGGAGCTGTAGCCTGTCAGCGAGAAGAGGAAGTGATGCAGGAACTGTGGGTGCGAGCAGAGGGATGTGATGGAATAGCTGTCAGCGAGAGAGAGAGAGAGAGAGAGAGAGAGAAGGACGTGAAGGAGGAGATGTTCGCGGGAGAAGGAGTTGCGGCGGGAGAAGGAGTTGCGGCGGGAGAAGGAGTTGCGGCGGGAGAAGGAGTTGCGGCGGGAGAAGGAGTTGCGGCGGGAGAAGGAAGGGAAGGAGGAGCTGTATGCAAGAAGAGGAGCTGTTGGCGGGATGAGGAAGTGATGGAAGAGCTGCCGGCGGGAGGAAGCGAATGTGGTTAGTAGTGGGCATCAACGTTGGCGGGCATGGCGGCGGGCATGGCGGGGATCATGGCCGGGGCGGCCGAATAAAGACAAAATGCTCCATTTAGAAATCGAAGCTCATTCGTCACTCGAGCCGGAAGCCTAATGAGCGGTAAGATATCTTTTTACCAACGAATACCCGAAGAGAGTGGTGGAGAAACATTGCATATACTGTTAATTGCCAGTTTACACCTCAACGTCAAATCAGGCTTCTGTCCAATCGACACATTGAGTATTGACAGCCAAATTAAGTATAAGAGCCCAAATTGAGTATTTTAAACTGGCCGCAATTACTACTAACCGCCCATTGACCAGGCTTCGCCCAATATGACCATCGCAAACTGGCCCGCAATTACTATTAACCGCCTATTGACTAGGCTTCGCCCAAATACACATGGCAACTTGTGCCTTATGAGGAAAAAAGGCCAATTTACTGGCAGAAGCCTGAATTACCAGTGCAAATGAGCCGCATTTTGTGCTAATAGCCAGTTTACATGCAGACTCGCATTCAACTCAAGGGGCCTCGTCCCATTCCCTGTACCCTAGGGATAGTGAACGCCGGAAACGGTGGACACGGTGTGTGCACGTGCGGAGTAGGAAATTGGGCTTGAATTTGGGTGTGGGATGGATGGATGGTGTAGGATGGGTGAACGGTGTAGGAATGAGGATGGAGGAGGGCGTAGGACGGATGATTAGAGGATCGGAGGATTGGGAGGCGGGGGATGAGGGGCAGGATGGGGAGGAGGATGATTGGAAAGTGCGCACCCTCCACGCCTGGGCCTGAGCCTGGGCCTGAGCCTGAGCCTGAGCCTGCGGGCAACTATACCAGTAGTACCTGCGGTACCTAGCAGTCTAGTTCGGAAGTCAACCTCGCAGATCCGAACCGGGTGAGCCTGCCCCGAGACATCGGCGGGTTTGACTTTCGGTGCTATGTAAAGTCTACGTCCCGCTTTCCGATGTACTTCAAGTCCGGGCCCAAGTCCGGGCCCGAGAAGCAAGCGCGGTGGAAAGTCGACCATTCTCTATCCTGTAGAGGATTCGGCAATATGTATGCACAAGATGCACCCATGGCCAGAATCCCAGCCGACGTTGGGGCTTAGAAGTCACTGATCAGCTCGGCTACGAAACCTTCCTTCAGCCTTGTCCCGAGTACATACGGTACGCAAGGTAGAGAAGCCCCAACCCTGGTCGGTTCCAATTCTTTGTACAAACCATCTTTTGTCAAGATTACATACAAGAAACTGGCAGGGAAGATAAGTCGGATAAACCCACCAAACCGCATCCATCCCTCACCCACGCTCGCAATCGAAAGCATCGCAGTAGATAAATCATTCGAAGCGGAGTATACAAAACATTTCAACACCTCAAAGTCAGGTTAAGTGGAGCAAAACAGAAACAGCAAATCGTTTTGATTTTTTTCATGGGTGGGGGCTAACTAGATCGTGCCGACACCGTCCTTGCTTCCCGCGAGTATCGACGGGGGCATCATGATTTCCTCGCCGCTCTTGCCGCCGTTCTTCTCGACGATGAGGCCTTTGAGCCACTTATTCTCCAACTCCAGCTGCTGGATCCTCTGCTCGAGCGCTTGCACACGCTCCGTCATCTCCTTGGCCGTTTTCTCCAACTGCTGCTCCTTCTGCTTCTTCTTGACACGGAAGCGGGCGGACGCCGCGGTGTTTCGTCGACGCTTGTCTTCATCAGCCGCGAGTCGGGACGCATCGTCCATTCCCTCGTACGCATCGGGACTGGCCGCCGACACGGAGACGGACGCCTTTCGCTTCGCTCCTCGGGGGGTTGTGGCGGAGGCAGACGGCGTTGCGGGAGTAGCTGGAACAGCAGCAGCAGGCGATGTGGCAGTATTCGAGCCGGAGTAGCCGTCAATAGGAGCGGCGATGATGGGTTGCTGTGAGGACGTGCGTGCGATCGCCGGTGCTACCAGTACTGCTGGTGTTCCGGGAAGAAGGGAGGCGGCGCCCAACGATGGTTGGGCTTCCGGGGCGGAAAAGCCGGTGAAGGCCGGAGAATAATCGAAATTCTCAAACTCCTTGAATTCTGGTTCAAGCAGCGAGGTTAGCCAGGTTTCCCCCCATACGATCGGCAGTCACCGAACGAACAGCCAGACACAAGCAGCACACACACACCATTCAGAAAGCTGTCGAACTCCCCACCGTCCTTCAGAGTCGGGTCAATGGGGGCAACAGATGCTTCCTCGACGACCGGCTTTCGTCCTCGAGTGTTGTCCGTCGGATCGTGTGCGACCGCGCCCATGTCGAAGTCGAAGAACTGCGTATTTGTCCAGATGTCCAAATCATCGGGATTAAAGGCGTCGACCGGCTCGTCGGCGGACGGTATAGTGTTGAGGTCTTGCAGGTACACAGAGACATTGATGCCTCTGCGCCCTATGTATCCGCCGGACATGGCCAATAACTCTCGAGCAGAAGAGTTTTTTTTTGTGGTGTGGGGTGGGTGGTGGGGTGGAAGCGACTTTCTATTTGTGCAGGTGTCGGATGGAGGGCTGGCAGCAGTATGGTAGTATCGAGCGGACGCGGGTGAAGGAGAAGAGCAAAGGGCTCGAGGGCGGGTTTTGGGGGATTTGGAGTGTGGTGTGGGGATGGACAGATAGCCGGCGATGACTGAAGGTAGAGCGAGAGTGAAATGGAGTGGTGTAGGGTTGTAGCTGCTAACTAATGCGGGGCGGAGTGGTATGTAAGAGGGGTGGGAGTGGAGCAGGCGTTTCCCTTTGAGTTGAAATGGGTGTTGGGATTTGTTTGGAGCGGTGTCTGTCTCTCGCCTTTGGTTGCTTCTTTGTAGCGCGACGAGGACAAGATTGGATAACTAATAGCGAAGTGAAGATGCCGAAGCCGAGATCAAGTCATCATGATGATGGGTGCGGATCAGGGAGCGATAATATACTCTAATACTCTAGGCAGTCTGCACGACTCACCTACATATGCAAGCGGACGTTAAAGAGGGCAGTTGCTGAATGGGGGGGGTGAGGATGGGTTGTGTTTGGGGGGGGGGGGGGGGGGGGGTGGGAGAAAAAGCGGGTGGGGGGGGTGGGGGGGGATTTCGGGATTCGGGGTTAGGGTGGAAGTAGTGGTAGGCACGGACAAGCGCGATCGGGGAACAACGGCAATTAGTGAAGAGAATGTGGTGGGGTGAAGGGGTGAAGACCAAGGGGAAGAAAGAAAGAAAACGCCACACAAAAACCGCCGCGGAAAAGCAAGACATTCCAAGAAAACGCCACAACAGGCGCCAAGGGAAAAGCAAGAACATTCCAAGAGAACTCCAAAACAGACGCCACGGAAAAGCAAGAACATTCCAAGAGAACTCCAAAACAGACGCCACGGAAAAGCAAGAACAATCCTAACGAAGATCGTCAGTTTTTCATGTTCATGGCAGTAGGTAGAGTAGTGTACAATACGAAGCCAAAGGAAATCGGGGACAGTCGTCTGTTTCTTTGCGGATTTTCTGCAGAGCTCCTGTTGTATGGATTACCTATCAATCAGCTGAGCTCCTTGTGCACCGCATGCTACACATGTGCGGATAGTACTATCGTTACTCCGTGGCTCGCACGTCCAGTTCGACTCCAGCCTCAAATCCAAGCCGCTGCCTGAACCCAAGACCACCGGCTCCTCCTCTCGCCAAACGAGCGAGTGCCAGCTGAGGTGAGCGCCAGCACGCGCAGCCGTTGCATCCTGCACTGAACAAAGCATCCTCAAACCCGGTGTCACTCCTGCCTCTCCCCTCTCTCTCCCCCGCTCTCCTGACCTGCCAGAATGCTTCCATCCGGACAAGCCACCTGACGCCGACGACGGAAAAAACCCCCCATGGATTTGTCATCGACTCGAACTCACTCGAACTCTGTGCATCTCCCGAATGGGAAGGAACAGCCCATTTGGAATTTGTGGAATGGAGAAGAGTGGTGCCGCACTCTATCGATCTCGATAGAGTAGGGCCGCTGACATCGGTACATCTACATAGAGTACATAGAGTACCTTACGCACTCCACTCTGCAGCTTTGAACGGCGATTGTTCCCCCGTATCCCTTCGGCGTGACTTTATGACCGCGGAATCCTAAGTATCGAAAGGATCGCCATGCTTTGGATAAGCTGCATATTTTCTAAAGAATGCTGGTGATATACCGTGATCGATGGGTAGGGACGATTGCATCCTATCCGGTCGCATTGCCGCCAACGACTACACATTGAATGTCATAGCTCCAGTAAGGCGCCTTACGGTGCACAGGAGGGCGCATGTCTCGCTTCCGAATGCGCCAGTTACGGTTGGCCATCTGTACTCGGATAGGTAGTATATACTTTCTTCGATCACCGGCCGTGGGCCATCTACGCCGGTTGTATGGAGGATATAAGACTACCACTGGCCTGCCTTGCTGCGTTGAGGCTTCCACGGGACGGGCGCATACGGCACTGTGTGTGCAGAGATAAGGAGGACGGAGAAGGCTGCAACGAACTGAGCGACATGTGTATTGTTCCGAGCATCAATTGCAACTTGCAACTTCAAGCCTTCTTCGCTTCGGCCTTGAAGTTTGAACAAGCCCAATGACCAATGACCACCTGAAAACGCACCCCGCCCCGGATACCACTCCAGAGCAGCTACTCTATCGGCGGTTGAGATCGGTATTGGTGGAGCTACATACAGCAAAGTAGAGACCCGGCCAGGGTATGATCGCTCCAAAGGCCGTTACGTTTTCCCGCTTTCCAGTATTCCCGCTTTCCAGTAGGCAATACCGGTATCGAGCATCCACCCGTCGTATCGCCTACCTAGCATGTCGCCTATCCATCCTCAACCCATCCCAACCGCCTCGCACAGCGCTGATGCTTAGAAATCATCGTGCCACGAACTCAGCTCTTGGAAATGTAGTTCCAACTTCCTGCAGTCCGCAGGCCGCAGCTCCTGCACACGCACCGTGATCACTAACTAGGTACGTTGTAAATACTACCGACGCCACGCCACGCGTCGGAAATCAGACGTCGGACATGGCACACCGGGCGTCGAGCGTCGAGCATCGGGCGTCGGATGGAAGGGGAGGGGGCGGTGGTGCCGGAGCTCCTTAGGTACCGGCCGGACTTCCGGTGGTCTACTTGCTCGGGCGAAAACAGCGCCGTCGGAGAGCGCGTGCGCCACCCACATGGTTGGATGACGGCCACGATGGCAACGGCGGTATCGGTGCGGGGCGGGGAGGACGGAAGTGCGCACCGGTACATAAGAAGATGTGTCCAGTGGGTCGTGGCTACCGGTGCTAGGTGGACTCGATTATGGTTAGGGCAAACTGCGCGCTAAAAGTCATACATAGTCGGCTCAACCGCTGTGGTTGTGGCGGCTGTCGAGACACGAATTCTACGGGCCTGCGGCGGGAGTTCAGGTTCGAGTTCGATACTTTGGGTACCGAGCTGGATTATTGCCAGTGGAGCCTGTGGAGGACGGATCGTTTCACGTGGTCAGGTCTCGGCTGTGCTTTGTTTGTTTCTTCACATCGCATGCGACCTAGGTATCCGGACCATGGCAAGGCTCCGGCTGCGGGCAGATCTTGCGAACTCGAACGGGGTGATTGGGCGAGTCACCGGCGGTGATTGACCTTTGTCTTCTATAATGGCTCGTCTCTACTACCTATCTGGTACGATACATCCCATTGCCTTCTTTTGGAGGATGTCAGTGCGTGAGTAGCTTTAGCAAGAAATGGCCTCCCATCTGTACGGAAAGCACTTGGTGACTCGGTCTGGTCTGGTCGGGTTCTCGATCGATGGCTGGTTTTAGGACAGTGTCTCCCGAGTCCCGGAGCCAGAATCCACCGCTGCCGACATCACGGGCCGAGTCATCGCCTATGATCGCCAACATCGTGAATCGTTAGCCTCGTTGAAGCCATAGGTACCACCCGTCCAGTCAGGTGCATAGGTGATAGCTCCATCAACGTCATCACCTCCCCTTACCATCTCCACCCTCAATTGCCTCGTCGACCACCAACACAACCACGATGCCATCAGCAATCACGCCCTCCGCCTTCTCCGCACCCGGCAAGGTTCTTCTCGTCGGTGGCTACCTCGTTCTCGACAAAGAGTACAGCGGGCTAGTATTTGCGCTCAGCGCACGGATCCACGCCGTCTCCTCGCCCGCAGAGGGGGAGAACACGATTACCGTGCGGTCACCGCAGTTCTCGGGCGCCGAGTGGGGGTACAATGTCGAGTTTCCCGCCGGCACGAATGGTGGTGGGGCAGTTGTTACCGCCGTGGCGGGGTAGGTCCCTGTAGCTACACCATAGAGGGGGATCAGTATGCTGACGGCAACGCCAGGGCATCCAAGAACCCATTCGTTGAAACCGCCGTCCGCTACGTCCTCAGCTACCTCAGCGCCTCAGCCGACTTCGCCGCGCCGCTGCCGAGCGCGGTAATCACCATCTACGCCGACAACGACTACTACTCCCAGCCCGCCTCTGCAACCCCACCCCCACGCTTCAACGTGCTCAATGTCCCCATCACCGCCGCGCACAAAACGGGCCTCGGCTCTTCCGCCGCCCTGACCACCTCGCTGACCGCCTGCCTCCTTCACACGTACTCCATCGTTGCCCCATCAGAAACACAGCTGCACAACCTCTCGCAAGCGGCGCACTGCGCCGCACAAGGGAAGGTCGGCAGCGGCTTCGACGTCGCGGCAGCGGTCTTCGGCAGCTGCGTGTACCACCGCTTCTCTCCCTCCATCCTGGAAGCGGTGGGAGACGCGGGCAGCGGCGGCTTCGCGGGGCGACTGAAGGCCGTCGTCGAGAAGCCGTGGGACCTGCGGGTGCGGAAGACGCAGGTTCCGCCGGGGCTGCGACTGCTGATGGGTGATGTTGACTGCGGCTCGTCAACGCCGGGGATGGTGCGCAGCGTGCTCGCCTGGCGGAAGGAGAATCCAGCGGCGGCGAGGGCGGAGTGGGACGCGATCCAGGACCTGAATAGGGGGCTCATTGATCTGCTGGCGGACGCGGAGAGGCGCGCCGACGTCGCGCCCGACGAGTACCTCCAGGCGCTCAATGAGCTGGGCGATGGGCGCGGTGTCGTCTCGGAGAGCTCGACGCTGCTGCAGAATATTGCGGAGCAGATTGCGGCGATTAGGGAGCGGATCAGGGATATGGGTGTGGCCGCGGGCGTGCCCATTGAACCTGAGGAACAGACGAAATTGTTGGATTCCGCGGTGGAGGCGACGAAGGGCGTGCTTGGGGGTGCGGTGCCAGGTGCCGGCGGGTACGATGCCGTGGTGTTCCTTATGGCGGATAGGGAGGATACGGTGGAGAGCTTGAAGAAATACTTGAAGGGGTATGAATTCAAGCGTGAGGACGGTGGGAAGGGAACTGTGGTGGCTTTGGAAACTAGGGAGGAACACGAAGGCATCAAGAAGGAAGATGCCTCTGCTTATTGACCGTAAATAAGGGGATCCTATCACCGCACTCTGTTCGATTTCATATACCATACCTAGTCTAATCTTGCTTTACGCGAATCAAAAGCTGAATGAAGGGAAGAAGCAATTACTTCGATCTCCTCGAATTGTGATCGTACATTCAAGTCCGTCCTCCCCGTCCCCATCTACATGCTCGTATTATACAGATTACCCATCCAAAAGCCCCGAACTCTCAATCATGGCATGCAACTCGGGTTCCAAGAACTTGGCAATTGTGACCTCCTCGTTCAACCCCTTCCTCCGCCTCGTCTTAAGCACCAAATCTCTAGCCATAGCCTGTGCGGGCGCAGGCTCCAGCGGACGCAGCTTGATCTCCTTGTCAAGCGGATCTCCCGGGACAATGTTCCACCGGTCAAATACCAGCGAGCAGAAAGCTTGTCCTTGCGTGTGGATCCGGATGTCGGTCTCGAAACCGAAGGAGTCAATCACGGGGATCAAGCCTTTAACGTTGTATAGGGCTAGAAATGCAATATCAGCACGGGAATCCAATGAATACGGGATACGAAGACGTACGTGTACCCGCAATGTGCGAGTCCGAGAGAACATGGCCTCTCCGCTTCGCGAGCAGTGTGTACAGCGCCGAGACCGAATCAGCAGGACCCGTCATGGAGCAGGAATACACCGGCTCCATTAGCCGTGGCGAAGCCATCAAGAACGACGAATAACACGCCCGACGGGCGGTAGGGATAATCTGCCCACCACCGCGGTAGATTGCTTCCGACGCTAGCGATGCATCCATTATCTTGAACTTGGTGTTTCGAATGGCTAAATTTCTCCGTCAACACGTGTACACTGCAGAGAGCGCTGAGTGGCACTTACGTTCTTCACAGAGAGGACCTTCTCGTGTTCCCCACGAGAATCCTTGTCGGATACTGTCTCGTACCTGGTTGAGCAGCTTTTTGTCCACCTCGCTCGGCAAAGTATCATCTTGAAGGATATTGGGACCAGTATCGTCGGGTCCAAACGCCCAGATACTTCTCGACGCCAGCAGATCCCAGCCGTAATTCTCCTCAAAGAACTTGCCCACCTTCCGCACTGGCCATTTGATAGAGACCTTTCCACTCTCGATATCCTCTGCGATGCCCGAGTCGAGAGGTTCTGCGACCATGGTGATCTTGTTCTTTTTGTTGGGCGTCAAGGCGTAGCACTTGATGGCGGACGTCTCCACGACAGTCTCGCAGAAACGGGTGACGGGATCCGAGACCTTGAGCTCCATCTCGGAGAAGAGCCGGCGCAGGTCATGGAGGACACAGTCCATGTACATCTCGCCTGTTCCGAGGATAACATGCTCACCGGATTCCTCAACCTTTGTGATGACCAGAGGGTAGCTCTTGTTGATACGGCGCAATCCGTCAAGCATCTTCGGCAATTCTGATGGGTTGACGGGCTCGACAGCAACTTTGAAAACGGATTCCGTAAAGTGCTTAACTGGCCGGAAGATGTACGCATCATCATCTGTCTTGAGAGCCACGACGGTAGCGGATTTGACAATGGATTTGTCGATGCCACCCAAAAGGACCCATGAACCTGCCGGGACTCCACTAGTAGATATTCTGTACCGGGTATTGTTGACCCAGCAGTCGGAGACCGTAGCAACAGCCATGTCTTCCTCATCGTCGAGGGTGTAACCTTCACCCAGCACTCGAACCTGAAGACCAGGGCTAACGGTACCACTCATAACCCGACCGAAACTGTAGAAATCTTTGGCATCGCTGGTGTGGAAGAGCTTGGAGACTTGGATCACAAGTGGACCATCTGCGTCACACTCGAGCATTGCCTTTGCCAGATCGGTGTCGAGAGGTCCAGTATATGTGTGTTCGATCTTCGTTTTGGCACCTTCCACCGGAGACGGGATGTGGTCCACGACCATGTCCACGAAACCAGTTGCGGTTCCAAAGAATTGTTCACACACCTGTTTAAGGAGAATCTTCGCATCAGCCTTGTATATGGAGGGCTTCAAGGTTATGCCCAGATTGGCAAGCGTCTTCTTGAGCTTGTCCGGGCTTTCTCCAATGGTCTGAACCCGATATATTAGCATCACATTTCAATATGGAGATTTGGGGACTTACATGAGCGTAGAGTTTGTACAATGGCTCCAAGATGAAGTGTACAAACGACCGGGTCGAATTTGAGTCCACGGCCCGTCTGGTGAATTTTCTAGTTGTAGGGGTGTAGAAGATATCACCCCAGAGCCGGCGCCCGAACTCCGAAGAGTTAACACCAGGAAACGTGTCGGCATACATCTTCGCAAAGGTAGTAAGGGTGAAGCACCATCCCATCTGTGCGCTCGCAAAGCAGACATTGCCCTTCTCGGGAGACAATCGCAGGCTCTCACTCCGGCCCGGTGCTGCACTGTCGATGACGGTGTTCACCTCCTCCACAGTGTGTTTGAGCTTGAAGTAAGCGTCTTTGGGAGGAAGCTTCAATTCTAGGATAAGTCGATCAACTTTATTGAGAACTAGCGTCATGGGGATATTCTCTGCTACGGCGTACTTGATGATCTGCTCCGTGTTGACCATGACACCCTCAACAACATCCACCACCAGCACGATTCCGTCGGCGAGCCGTATCGATGACGCTACCTCATCGACGAAATTGACGTGGCCTGGTGTGTCGATGATATTGATGAGGTGCGATTTTGACTTTGACGACTGCAGGACGAGTGACATGGGAGCAGCCTTGATCGATATACCACGGGCTCTCTCCAGAATGTGGGTATCTGTGTATCGCAACTGGGATCCCTTGTTGCCAGCCGTCTTCTCCAGCTCATGGGTTTCCAAAACCAGCATGTCCATGATCGTAGTTTTTCCGTGGTGCAAATGTCCGACGAGCGCGACGTTTCGTATTTGGTCGGGAAAGCTCATCAGGTCCATCATGAAATCTCTGGAGAAATGCGTTTTTGGTAGATCCACCTCCTCGACATTGAACTTTTTCACCTTGATAGGCGCTGCGCAAACAGTAAGCCAAGTGACATCGCCAAAATCCGGTCGACATAGGGGGGCGCACCTATTATAGGTTCCGATAGAGGTTGAGCATCCTCTTCTTCTACCATAGCCTCCACATCCTTTCCATAGACTTGCTCTGCGGTTGGATAATACTGTTTGTCTTCGTGAAGTATCACCGCATTCGAAGGGCCCTCATCTATGCGCTAATCAGCATCCCAGTTTCGCACCGAGCAGTTCCACAGTGTACCGTCAAGCTCCATCAGCTGCTGGTCATTGGCGTCGCCCGTAGGTTCTTCATCATCCATATCGACATAGGCATTTACGCCGGCATCGTCCGCCTGGGAGCCTTCCTCGTCGGAGTCGACCGCCTCGCCAATGAAGTTACCGAATCTGTGAGAGATCAATCAGCGTGCAAGCTCGTAGTGAGTCAAATTGAGTTACGCACTCATCATAAAGGTCATCCATGATTGTTTGTAGTGGGAATTGTCGTGTGTAGCAAGTGAGTGATGATGCGTGGCGTGGCGCGAGGAGTTGTGTTAATTCCACAGCTTTGCGCACGTCTCGAGTTCCAGAAAGTCGCGTACCTGTTCTCCGGGTAAATTTTATCGGCTGACTAGATGGCAAGTTGGGTTAAGCAAGGGTGCCTGCAGAGCCGCTATTCTGCCTGTGTGTGCCCCTCCTCAAGCCCCACCAAATTTATTGAGGACGCGGAACAATGCTGATTGATAATGAATCTAAACACCCACGCCCACCTACATAAAATCCACCTTCCTTCGTGAACCTCATCCGCGACACATATCCCTTTCGCAAGCCAACCGGACCTTCCCCACTATCCGAAGCCCCTCGAATGGCCGGTAGTACTCTCGAAGCCGCCGAATGGCAGCTGATATCCGGCGACGATGTCTCCCCCGAGACCTCTCATGACCTCGCACTCGTTCAAAACGGCGACTTTAAAGAGCTTTTCGAGTCCCCCACTACGCGACAAACGATCGGCGCCGACATCTTGGACGCCAGCGACCCCGCCGTCACGAAGCTTCGCGAAGATTTGGATTATGCTAGCTTCGTGGAGGCCCGCATCACCGCTCAGCATTCGGCCATTCCCGCCGACGAGCGGCCATTATGGCTCCTCCGGTTGATGTGCATTGGAGTCGGTGCACTGCGCTCGTTTCTGCAGACGAACGTTACTGGCCCTCCGCTGTTCTACGATCCCAACAAGGAGCTCATTCCTGTCTGTCTGGCGGAAGACGCAGACTTCGTGCGCGCGCTCTCGAAGGCGGCTGTGACGTTCATGACTGTAGACGGGGAATCGCCCTACCACCTAGCGTCGCACATGCTGCTACTCACCCTTGCAGTGAGTATTATGAACTCGCCGTTACTGGCGGGTGAGGATGCTCCTCAGACTGCTTCGTGGTGGAGATTGCGGGTCAACTTCCTCCACCAGAGGATCCTTTCCGAGAAGACTGGTACATTGTACAAGAACATCGTTGCGGATATCAACGATGTGGTCCCGCGGCTGGCGGGACAGAGCAATATTGTCCAGGCCATGCTCTTGGTGGAACGCGCGATGGTGGATACATACTTCGGCAACGATGCCAGAGCGCTGAAGCAGCTGGAGGACGCCACGGAGCTGACGGGACTGAAGTATGTATTGACTGGTGTCATGGGCAAACGAACACAATGGCAGCAGAAGGAGACCAGTCAGCTGGTTGTTTTGGCCAAGAGCGCGGAACAGAATAACGTCGAAGGGACGAAACCGAAGACTTTGGACCTGAACGACGACACACTGCTCGAGAAGATCTCATTCACCGATTCAAAAACCCTGACACCGAAGGAGGACTCCGATCTTCCAGCCGAGCTGGCTTCGCTCGATGCTGGAAATCAGCCACCTCTTCATCCGCTGGATGCCACAATCCTACTGCTGTTTACCGAAACCATCAAGAACACCAACCCCGAGGACGGCACGACGAGAGAACAGATGCTGCCCTATGCGGAGCGTGTACTGTCTCACAGTACAAACTGGGAAGTCTACACCCTGGGCTTGCTGGTGCGGAGTAGAATCGAATCGACCAGGTCACGAACAGTGGAACGGTCCGTTCTGCAACTGCAGGTCGTCGTAGACCAGGTCATCGCGGAAACAACAGGCAAGCGAACTGCAACGGAAGCCGAGAGCGACGACACTACGGTTGCTCCTACTTTCCTCCCGCAGCCCAAGGAGGGAGAGTCAGCGTCAATCCGAGAACGTCTGCTCTACATCCACCAACTTCCCATTCCAACCAGATGGGAGCTCGAGGCGGAATTAGCATCTCGCTGGTCCAGCGTAGGAGGTCTCAGGACTGCTCTCGAGATCTTCGAGCGTCTGGAGATGTGGCCAGAAGTCGCCCTCTGCTGGGCCGCCACCGAGCAAGAAGAAAAAGCCAAAGGGGTCATCCGCAAGCAGCTCTTCGAGGACGACTCTGAGCAAGAGCGCGCACCGCCTCCCCCGCAAGCCCCCAGACTATGGTGCATCCTCGGCGACATCGAGAACAACGCCGCGCACTACGAAAAGGCCTGGACAGTCAGCAACAACCGCTTTGCGCGCGCAAAGCGCTCCCTCGGTCGCTACTATATGAACATTAACGACTGCCAGAAGGCATCGGAGGCATACGGCGACTCGCTACGTATTTACCCTCTTCATGGGCCGAGTTGGTTCGCGCTCGGCTGCTGCCGGCTAGAGCTCCAGACATGGGACGGCGCTGTACGTGCCTTCAGCCGTGCAGTGAGCATTGACAACACCGACGCAGAGGCATGGAGCAATCTCGCCACTGCGCTCCTGCGTCGTGATCCGAGTGACGACGACGCTCCGGTGGAACAAAGCCGCATCCGTCTTGACGACGAGGAAGAAGAAGACGCTGCGGTTGCTGCTGCCGACCCCCAGCGAAACCGCAAGGACGCCCTGCAAGCCCTCAAACGCGCCGCCCAACTGAAGCGCGAGTCCTGGCGCATCTGGGATAACTACCTTACCGTTGCGGCGACCCTGCAGCCGCCAGAGTTCCAGGACATGATCGTAGCCATGAAGAACCTGATCGCGCTCCGCAGCCGCTCCAAGGGCGAGCTGGCGGTCGACACCAGCGTCCTGGAGCTGCTGGTACAGCACATCATTTCCGAGGACCTGAACCAGGAAAAGCCCATCGGGTACGATCCCATCAAGCCCGGCCTCGCGAAGCAGGTCGTTGAGCTGGTGGAGAAGGAGGTCGTCCCGCTGATCACTACCGACCCGCGCCTGTGGAAGATCGTGGCGAGGCTGAACTTGTGGAGGAAGAAGCCGCGTTCCGCGCTCGAGGCTCATGAGAAGGCGTGGAGAGCGGTCAATTCCAGGCCCGGGATTACGGATGCGACGGAGAAGGAGTGGAATGAGTTGGTGGATGCTACCGTCGAGCTGGTGGATGCGTATGAGAGCTTGGGACAGATGGAGAGGACTGATGGCCTGGGCGCTGGAGAGCTTGTGGCGAAGGATTGGAGGTTTAAGGCTAGGTCTGCAGTGAGGGGCATCATTGGGAAGGGGAAGATGAACTGGGAGGGGACGGCGGGATATGGCAGGCTTGAGGAGGCGTTGGAGGGGTTGAAGGCGTAGATATGGGTTATGTATTGGGTGGTACGGTTTCGGCGCACAAAAGTTCAATGGATAGAATAGATGATCACTTTCTTCGTGGCTTCCCGTCATTTACCATCAGCGTGATAAACCTACTCGATGGCTCTGCGTGATAATGTCTACCCAATACCGTATTTTGTTCCCTCCCCTCTAGCTAGCCAGAACACACACACCCACGCACCGGCCCTTAACGCTCACCGCGTTCCCTTCGGGCCCTAACCTCCCTCAATGCACGGCTTCCACTCAGGAACGCAGTAAGTCCAACGACACTGACACCACCGAGCAACTGGAACAAGTTCCAGCTAGTGTAGTACATGAAGAACAGACCCTCCAGGGCAACCAAGCTGACCAAGAAAAGCGAATGGCTCATAGGCGCTGCCTGCAGCGCTTTCGGCAGATGCTTAAGGTTGGCACCGAGCAACGGGAACCACTAAGTATCACTCCATCAGTCCCCACGCACCCAAAAAAACGCACGTGCATGGGGATCAGAAGAACTTACAGCACCAAACAACGCCAGATAGGCCACGACCACGGACGCCAAAAACGCTAGGGTGATGGTCTTTGGCGGGCTCTTCGCGTCCTCGCGGAACACGTGGAGGATCTCCCGCTTTGGGCCGAACGCCCCAACGCCCTCGCCCAGATCGGTTGCTCTTTGCTTCTCTAGGGCGGTTTTCGCCGACGCGTCGATGGTGGGCGCGATCGAGCCGAGCGGGATGATGCTGCCTGAGGGCAAGGTATTGTCGCCGAGCGCGAGAGAAAGCGAGAGCGTCGAGGCGCTGAGGAGGTGGCTGGGGAGGTCTTTGTGCGTCTGTTGGCGGCTGTCAGTTGGTGCTGGGAAGGCGAGGAGGGTGGGAGAGGAATTACGAGGTCGACTTTGGCACGGCCGGAGTTGCCCTTGACGCTAAGTGGGTAGAAGGTCTCCAGGTCGGTCTCGGGGTCAGTAACGAGCAGGAATGCTTGGTGCGGACGGCCGGTGTTCTCTCCATCGGTGAGGGTGAATTGAAGCTTGAGGACGTCCCTAGCAGCAAGCGGGATGGCGGAGGGGAAAGGCTTATCCGGTCCAAAGCTGTGAATCACATCATGTTAACCAAAGCTATAGAACACATGTAACAAGCAAGCAATTACCTCAAGCTCGAACCCTCAGGGTCGCCCTTTCTAGCAAGCGTGGCTTTCCCGCCAGTGAAGGACCATTCGGAGGCGATGGCGAGAGAACAGACGGCCAAGAGAAGTAGCGACCGGAGCGACATGTTTGTGCGTGTTGTGGTGTGCATTGGTTGTGGTTGTGGTGGATTGGAGGTTTCGGTCCTAGTATTGCTGCTGGGCTGGAGGTGACGAGGCCGCGACTCGAAAAGGAAACGTGGTCTGGCCCCGGCGACATCGGTCGTCACTCGGAAATAGTGTAACGTGGTATTTGCTGCAGGGTGGGGCGGCATTCCTTAGTCAGAGACAGTGGGGGAAAGCGGCCATGATCTACAAAAGTCGAATGCGATTAAACAAAACAAAAAAAGGGTGGCATTCATCGAATAGACGCCGGGCGGCAAAAGGGTGATTATTGTCATCCGGTATTTACTTAAGCTGTAACGAGGTTCATTCCTAGCAGCTGCAGCGGCTCGCGAGATTTATCGTCATAGGGTTCACATAGGTAGAGCAAGTACACCGATATCAAGTAAGCTGAATCCTATTCACGGGCTGAGGGAACAAGTTGATTTGGATTTCACAGATGAAGAGCAGTAATTGATATACGCAATCTATTACGCCGGCAAATGTCTCTCCCAATCTCCAATCGCTCGCCAATGTACAGTGTGGGAAGACCAAAGCTACGAATTTCCTCGCGGGCAATCGTGAATTCTAAGGTTTTTTTTTTATTCCCTAGACTTTTGCCTGGCACCTGTTCACGATCCCAAACAAGCGCCACCGAAGAAAACCCCAAATGACAAGAAAATGAAACCCCGAACCCCTCCAAGCTTAAACGATGGCGAGCTTTGTGGCGGCAATGTCAAGGGCATCAACGTCCGGCGTGAGACGGACGAAAGCCTTCTTCCTTCCATCGGGCCTGTAATTTGACAATTAGCTGATAGCTCCGTGAAGCAACCGCCTCTCTCGTCTGACGGCATCCCGCGCCTCCACCACAGCCATCGGAGTAGAACGCACCTGATCAAAGTGTTGACCTTGACGGCATCGACATCGTAGAGCTTCTTGACCGCCTCCTTGATCTGCCTCTTGTTCGCCTTGATATCGACAATGAAGACCAGGGTGTTGTTCTCCTCAATCTTCTTCATAGCCGACTCGGTGTTCAAGGGGTGAACGATGACCTTGAACTGATCGAGCCGAGGAGCATGGGGGATGCTCTTGCGGGGGTACTTGGGGTCGCGGGCGCGGATCAAGGTCTTGGGCCGGTGGAAGGTGACCGATGTGCGGACCTTCTTGTGGATCTTGGAGTGCACACCCTTGAGGGCAGCCTTCTTCGCATCCGCCGCCTTCTTGGTGGTGGGCTTAGGGCCTACACGGAAGGATAACCATCAGCTACATGCTCTCATCGTCTGTCTCTTCCACTAGTAGAGCTCGCTCCATGATCCCATCTCTTCCTCGTTCTCTCTCCGTAGCATATCCCCACTCCTGTCGGAGCTCCGCCAAAATCACAGCTCTCAAACAGCGAGCGAGGGCAGCGCATTACGACGCGTGGAATTTCGAGGAGCAAGTATTTACCCTTTGCTGCAGATTTCGGCGCCATCGGGAAGGTCGAGATTGTCGTGAAGGAGGACGTGAGGGGTCGGGATTGGTCGTTGTCGGCGGGTCGGTCGGGTCGCGTCGCTGGGCGTTTGATAATTTCCTGCTGGCGATAACCTCAAAGTGAAAGAACGACGGTGGGGGATGCGGGACTGGTGTGCGCTTAGGTCTCTTGCCCTAGAACGCACAGACAAGCACGTGATCAACATCCGGAGCTAGATCCTTGCAACTACCACATGCCCAAGAAATCATAGTTTCTCACTTCGGAGCTGAGTAGAATCTGGGCGAAACTCCTTGGACAAGTAATTTAGGGTAATCACTCTGAGCAATCGTAGATGTTACTCGGCTCAAATAGTAGACAGCTTCAATGAATTCAACTCTTGATTCAACTTTATAGAGACTCCTAAACGCCAGAACATGCCCTCCCGCAAAAACCAACTATGCCTCCAGTAGATGCATCTATGTAAATCATTTCTTTTGCGTAAGACCCTGCTCGTCGTCACTACCATGGATCGCATTCTCCTCGTCATCCTCTTCCTCGTCATCCTCTTCCTCTTCTTCCTCCTCCTCCTCATCGTCGTCCTCATCGTTCGATTCAAGCGGCGCAACCTCACGCATGTATTTCTCCAACTCCTTTGCCTGCTTCTTCGAAATACCGCTCGCCTCGACAGCGACATCAAGCGTGCCCACCCTCTTGACATCGCTCCAGAAAGGGCCAGCGTCATCCGCCGTATAACGGAACTTCTTCGAGAAGAAAGATCTGATGCACTCGACATCGCGGTTGAACTGTTCCTCGGCATTGCGGTGGTTGATGCTGATCATCTGGGGGAAATCGATAACCACCGGCTCCTGCGACTCCTCGTGGACAAGGATATTGAACTCGTTGAAATCACCGTGGATCAGTCCCTGGCTGGCGAATTTGAGGATAAGCTCCATGAGTGTCTTGTAGAGCTTGGCTGGGTCGGTGACTTCCGCCTGCCGGAGCGGGAATGCATCGATAAGCTCCATGATGATGCAGTGACGAGCTTGGTCCAACGGTCGGGGAACCGGGAAACCGTTGTCGTGAAGGATCTATCTCCGCATTAGCATCAATAACGCAGCGCACATGTACTTGCGGAGATGATAACCAACCTTCATGAACGCGTATTCCTTCTCCGCCGCGAGGCGGGACATGTACATCCAAGACGCCGAATTCCGATTTCGCAAGTAGTCTCGCTGGTTCTTGACCTGACGGAACGAGATCCTACCCAGCCGGTGAATCTTGAGCACCCTCTGTGTACCCGTTTCGTCCGCGACGACGAAAATATCCGACTCCTTTCCGATACCGATCTGGTTTCCGACCGAGTATGCGCTCTTGCGCTTCATGAATGTGTGCAGCGCCAGGTAGTCGAGTCCTCCGTACGTCAAGCGGTACCCGTCGTCTGCGCATGCACATCAGCTGGAGAGTTCTTAGAGCAAGAGCGCATGTAGACAACTAACACTTCGCATTCTTGACCTTCGCGATCAGGCCCACCTTCGCGAGCGTGCTGATGGCCTTGTTGACCCCGCTGGCACCGCGCAGGCCAGAGATCTGGTTGATGAGTGGCGTGGGGACGACCTCGTGGTTCTTGCTGCCCATTTCGACGGCGGTCAGGACCCGCCAGTCCTCGTGCGACAGGTAGCGCAATGCGTGCGTGTTCAACTTCATGGCGACGTTGGTAGTATCACTTGAGAGGTCGTGGGGAAGCTGATGGCGTTCTTGTTCAGAATTTGGCGAGATGAGAAGGAAATACCCCGCGCTAAATGTTTTGGCTTTTTTGGACCCCCGCGCTAAACCCTATGTGCGTTTGAAGGCTCCGAGAATCTGACAGAACCGACTCAACTTTAATTGGAGGACGGTCTGGCCTTCAATTCTGCATTCCGAGATGCAATTTAATGGTCTGACCGGCACATAATCAAAGGACTCCCCTGGGCAGCTGATCCACAGTGGTAGTAATAAGTCCGTGACTGAAAACTGCCGCATGTCGATGGGGGCAATAGGTACAGGTATGCTGAGATGTGAATAGTACAAAACAAACGTCCATCTGAATCCCCTCAGCCCAAGCATATAGCGACAACTCTTTTGACCATGCACGCGATTGCGGTGGAGGCTCGAACATGCATATATAGACCGCGTACGATGATCAGCCTTAGAGGAACATGCAGCAGCACCCTGATGAGATCCACCACCCTGGACCCGCCTAGCCACATCCCGCGCGTCTTCCACCACCTGCTTCCTCGACATCACGCCGCCGCACTGCACATTCGCGTCCCCCGCCCACCAAAGATGGAAACGCGGCCGATTCCCGCATTTTACTGCTGCTACCTCCTCCGGTCCACCATCCGGCCAAGCAGTCTCTACATCGGCTCAACGCCTGACCCGCGTCGCAGGTAGCCCATCCCACCAAGATTTTTCTCTACACCTGGTGATAACACTGCCTAGACTGGGCCAACACAATGGCGAGACCAAAGGCGGAGCCCACAAAACGGCCCGAGAGACACTTCGACCATGGGAAATGATCTGCATGGTCCATGGCTTCCCGTCTAGCATCGCCGCACTACAGTTTGAGTACGTTCCCTCGCACTCGGTCTCCTCCTGCCAGTCCAGCACCCTGACATATCCAGATGGGCGTGGCAGCACCCGAACCTGACCAAAAAGGTGCCTGAAGACCTTCGCAAGACCGCGATAAAAGGCCGAAACATGCAATCGCGGCTCGTCAATCTGCGGCTGCTCCTATGCAACTCGGCATTCACACGGTGGCCGTTGACACTCCGCTTCTTCCAGCAAGATGTGCAAGATTACTGGACCAAGATGTGCAAGAAGGGGGGCACCACCATCCCACCGGCTCTGCACATCGTGCGGGACTTGCGGAAATCCGACAGTCCGCCGCCGCCGAGTCAAGAGCTACTGGACGAGGACGGCGAGCCGCTGCCGCCGCCGCCAAAAAAACGCGGGAGGAAACCGAAGCTGGCGGCTTCCGGCGACGGCGGATTGCAGGGCCTCGATATCACTTTCTTACCCCTGGAGACCCACTATCAGAAGGCCATGGCCGTGCTGGATGCCGCGGGCGAGGAGTTGAGCTGCGATATATGCTTTGGGCTGCTGGCGGGTAATGACGCGGTCGTGTGCAACCATGCGTTCTGTGAGCATGCGGCGCATATCACGTGCCTTTCCTCGCAGTTCCTTAAGGAGGAAGGGATTGGTGGCAGTATCTTGCCGGTGGATGGCAGCTGTCCGGGTTGCAAGCAGAAGACGCGCTGGGGAGATCTGGCTAGAGAGTTGAGTTTACGGACTAGGACGAAGCCGAAGGAGAAGAAGGTGGAGGTGAAGGAGGTGAAGGAGAAGAAGGTGAAGGAGAAGAAGCCTGCAGCGGTTAAGAAGACGACGAGGAAGGAGAAAGCTGGGGCAGTCGTGGAGGAGGAGGAGGAGGAAGAGGAGGACAGCGACGACGAGGAGGATGAGAACGAGGCCGAGATGTCGTGCATCGATGTAGGCGATATCCCCGAAGGCATGGAGGCAGAAGCGATGGAGGCCAGTATGATGTTGGATGGGTTGTCGGATAGCGAGTACGATGCTGTAGAGGGTTTCCTGCAAAGCGTCGACTTTCGCGATTCAGTAGTTGCAGAGAGTGTTGATGGGGGAGATTTGATGATGTTGTAAGAAGTGTCCGCCCGTCCATGACGGTGCTTTGTATATGGAGTATGAAGCTGCTCTACTCCTGCGAGCAGTGTACTCGTACATGTTGTATCAATTTGCATCTCCTCCGGGTGATGCCATTCGTTACGCCACCTACATCCAATAGGGCAACTCCAAACGATTGCCCAGCTGTAGAGTAAGGTATCGTTGGTACGGTGATCTAGTCGCATTCCCCGTACCATGGTAGTTGGTCTCTTATTCCCCACAGTCCACCAGCCAACCACAAACAGAGACTCCCGAAGAACGAACCGGCGGAGAAAATCGCTGCGGTTTAAGGCGTGGATTTGCACACTCCCGAGCTCTCGCGGTGTCTCGGAATTCTGGAAACATTCCACCGGTGCTTCCCTGCATCAGTATCTGCAGGTACTGCATAGAGTACATCTCTGGTCTGACCGCTGGCCAGCCACAACAAAGACTCGCAGAAAGCCGAGGAGACAAGAACACCCTTGAAGGATGAGGCGCGCTAAATACAGGATTCAGTGCGACACTAATAAAATGACATGCCCCGAAGAAAAAAAGTTCAATTCTCAACCTACTTAGCCACCGCCCGCTCTCCCCCCCCCACCATTGCGCTGCTGCCCCGCATTATTCACCTCACGCAAACCCGTCCCTCCTCATCCCCCCGAGAAGCAGAAGTGGAGCGATCCGAACATAAGATAGGCTCAACCTTCCATCTTTCCCACCACCGCACCCACCAGCAACTCAGCACCATGGCACCTACAACCGCCACCGACCCCGCCGCCTCGAACCCGCAGTTCGTCAATGGCAACAGCAACGGCGCCGGCGCTGCCGCGCACGAGGTCCTGACCACTGCCGAACTCTTCAGCTCTTTGAAAGTGAATGGCTCTCGCGACCAGGGCAACGGTCCGCAGCACGACATCGCACCCAACAGCCACACGCAGGCGGAAAGGGCGCGCACGGCGCTGGCGCTGAGCCATCGCAATGGCGCTACTGGTCTTGCGACGCCGCAGATCTCGAGACCCGCCACCCCGTACACGCTCAACCCGCCGGTCGACTTCGACGGGCTCTCGTGGCCGAGTATGTTGCCTCCCACTTCACTCCTCCACCCCCAGTGAGTCCGCGTGGCGCCGGCTAAAGGAAACTGCTGCAGGTGTCGGCACAAGAGCTCGTTTGGAGGCCACTCCGGATGAGTCAAAGGCCCGCGAGGTCAAGTTGTGTGGCGCGTACGTTGGCTGCATCTTTCTGGAGGGGGCGCGGGCGTGCATGCTGATGAGGCAATGGCAGTATTCGGACTCTTCTTGAGTGCATTGGCGAAGACCCTGATCGCGAGGGTCTCCGCGACACACCGCTGCGGTATGCGAAAGCTATGCTCTACTTCACCAAGGGCTACGAGGAGAACCTGAAGAACATCGTCAACAACGCCGTTTTCGAGGAGGATCATGACGAGCTCGGTACGTTCGATGGCGATCACATGTTTTGTGTTTTGTGTATCGTGTTTGTGATTTCTGACAAGCGGGGCGTGAAACAGTCATCGTCAAGGACATTGAGATCTTCTCCATGTGCGAGCACCACCTCGTGCCGTTCACGGGCAGAATGCACATCGGTTACATTCCCAACCGCAAGGTCCTGGGCCTGTCGAAGTTTGCGCGCATCGCCGAGATGTTTGCGCGCCGTCTGCAGCTGCAGGAGCGCCTCACGAAGCAGGTCGCCATGGCTATCGAGGAGATCCTGCAGCCGCAGGGTGTCGCCGTCGTCATGGAGAGCGCTCACCTGTGCATGGTCATGCGCGGCGTGGGAAAGACCACGGCCACTACCACCACCAGCTCTATGCTGGGTATCTTCCGGAAGAGCACGAGGACTAGGGAGGAGTTTATGCACCTTGTACGGCGGTCTCCCATGTGACTGATGTCGTGCTGAAGCTAATTGGATCCAGGCACTGAGGAACAACCGGTAAACAAACGGCCTTCGTTTCGGTCCCATCCTTCCCATCTCACTGCCGAATTCAACGGATGGACGGCATCCACTACTCTCACTACTATTTTTTTCTCATTCTATTCCATTCGTCTCTTGTTCGGTATTGTTTTTTTGTGTGTACAATTTTGTCGGGGGGTTATTTGTGATTCTGTTTTCAACATACATATCCGGCGTTCTAGGAGCAGGCAGAAAAGAGGGAGGGAGGGAGGGGGGATCGAGACTCGAGACTCGGGAGGAGGCGGTGTTCATCCACCGCACGGAGAGATCAAAGAAGGGAGGAAGATATTGGGTGGATCAAGGGCAATTTTTTTTCTCTCACTTTCGTGGTTTTGATTTATTTCGCGGCAACTATCGCACAGTATCATACATGTACTTTTTCTTATCGGGATGGATGGACAGAATAACGTCATGAGTGCCTACCTACTCTGGATCGAGGGGGTACATATGTGTGTGCGATGTAGTACCCCGGCAGTGATGGAGTATGGAGTGTTTCGGCTGCAGATTGTCTGCACACCAATCTATCCTGCCTATGCGGGGAGAGACATTGCGATGCGGTGGGTGCCATCTCGCAAAAACCAAGCAGACAGGCCCAGCCGCCGCCGTGCATCATCACACTCACACTGCATCACTCTCCCACGGCCTCATTCAGCTCCGTGGACTGACGGACGGCATCCCCCCCTCCCCCCAGAGCTGGCCGTAGTATGTAAGTACGGAGCATACGGAGCATACGGAGGAATCGAAGTACTCCGACGACGATGACAGATGACAAATGTCGTGCTCGCCCGAACCGCCTAGCCCAGCCCATCCATCACCCAGCAGCAGAAAACAAAACCCCCCCAGGCAGACAGAGGAATGCCTTCTCCGCGGCGTGGGAGTGGGAGGGGAAGGGGGAAGGGGATAACGTAACGCAACGCAACCTCGCCGACCAGCTCGCTGCAGTGTTCGTCCGTAGAAAGCTCCTTGCATTCGAGTTTTGCACTGTGCAGCTCGCTCGGGGCTGCGGGGTAAAAAGCCAGACAACTTTGTTCGAGGCGGGAATGGGAAAGTACACCAGCTGGGAGTCGCTACCCCTCGTGCTGAGAGGTATGCGGCAGGGCGCACCTTGCGGTTGAGTGCAGTTGCTGTTTGTAATGGCGATCGCACCGTGTGCGGATCGGGCGAGGATGCGAGAATGCGAGCGAATGGATGCCCGTCAATGGCTGCGTGAAGAGGCCGCCGGGCGGGCAACACCACATGAATGAATGCGCGCCACGAGGGGCCTATTGCGGCTGCCGACCAAATACATGCTCAACTGCCATCGGCATCGATTAGGTTTCCCACGGTGATGCCCACGGGCGTGGCAACGGGATGCGTATAAGACTGCGGTGAATCCTCGAGTCTGCGGACGACACAAAGGTCCATCGTTGGGGAGGCTAGGATTCCAATCTACCCAGGTACGCGGTGATAAAAAAAAGAGCCGTCTAGTCCAAACGCCAGTCGTCATGAACATACGATCTTTGCTTGGCCTCTGGCGCTCGACTTCGGTGTCGTCGTCTACGTCGGAGCGGGAGAAGCATAGGCCCGGCGTTTGTGCTGGGGGTGGTGGTGACTCAACAACAACCCCGAGCACGCAATCCCGATCCCGATCAGACCAGCACCAACAAGGGCCTCCTCCTCCTGCTGCTAAGCTACCACTACTGGCCAGCTACTCCAAGGTCCACGGGCTTTCGAATTCTTCTACTTCTTCTCCCACTCCCGCACCACCACTACAGCCGCTACTTCAACTCCCTCCTCCCACTACCACCGTCACCATCAGAACCCGAAAGCAGCACAGTACCGGAAACGACAGCGACAGAGACCACCGCACCTCCAACACCATGTCCGCTGCCAGAGACATCGCCGGGGGGCTTGCCAACGCCTTCTCCAACCAGCTGAGCCTGTCGGTATCGCCGACGTCGACCTTCCACTCTCCCAGCTCGTCGTTCGGCCCGCGCCACATGGCCGCGCAGAAGGCCTCCAAGCAGCTGAAGCCCTTTAACACGGGCGACGTGCGCATCCTCCTCCTCGAGAACGTCAACGAGACGGCGCAGGACATCCTCAAGAAGCAGGGCTACCAGGTCGAGTTCCACAAGGCTTCGCTGCCCGAGGAGGAATTGATCGAAAAAATTCGGTATGTTCCTTCCTTCTGCTGCCCCGCCATGATGCCATCATTGAGCCAGCCCGCTTGGGCTCTTTGGGTTTGGATTGGTGGCTTGCAAAAATCTTTCCCTAAGCCCCCACTACAAACCTGCGTGACGCAATCCCTGTCCCGTAGCTATCGATAAGCGCTCCATGGTGACACGAACTTTTGTGCGCACACAGCGACGTCCACGCTATCGGAATCCGGTCCAAGACCAAGCTCTCTGAGCGTGTCCTGGCCGAGGCCAAGAACCTCATCGTGATCGGCTGTTTCTGCATTGGCACCAACCAGGTCGACCTCGACTATGCGGCGAAGCACGGAATCACCGTGTTCAACTCGCCCTTCAGCAACTCGCGGTCCGTCGCCGAGCTGGTTATCGGCGAGATCATCTGTCTGGCGCGCCAGGTCGGTGACCGGTCCATGGAGATGCACAATGGCACCTGGAACAAGGTGTCCGCAAAGTGCTGGGAGATCCGCGGCAAGACCCTGGGCATAATCGGCTACGGACACATCGGCTCGCAGCTCTCGGTGCTGGCCGAGTCCATGGGCATGAGCGTCGTCTACTACGACGTCGTCCCGCTCATGGCTCTGGGCACTTCGAAGCAGGTCTCGTCGCTCAAGGAGCTCCTGCAGGTCTCCGACTTCGTCACGCTCCACGTCCCCGAGATCGCCGAGACAAAGAACATGATCGGAGAGGAGCAGCTCGGCCAGATGAAGCAGGGCAGCTACCTGATCAACGCTAGCCGCGGAACAATCGTGGACATTCCCGCGCTGGTGTGAGTTATCCCCGCCGCCTCCACTCCCCGGCGCACAATCTGACCTTCCTAGCAACGCCATGCGCTCCGGCCGCATCGCCGGCGCCGCCCTCGACGTGTACCCGTCCGAGCCCGCCGCCAACGGCGACTACTTCAACTCCTCGCTTAACAGCTGGGCGGACGACCTACGCACACTCAAGAACCTGATCATGACGCCTCACATCGGCGGCAGCACTGAAGAAGCGCAGCGGGCGATCGGCATCGAAGTAGCCGAGGCGCTGGTCCGCTACATCAACAGCGGCAGCACCATCGGCGCCGTCAACATGCCGGAGGTATCGCTGCGTTCCCTCACCTCCGCCGAGGAAAACCACGTCCGTGTCATCTTCATCCACGCGAACCGCCCCGGCGTCCTCAGACAGGTTAATAGCATCTTTGGTGACCATAATGTCGTAAAGCAAATGAGCGACTCTCGTGGTGACGTTGCGTACCTCATGGCTGATATCTCGGATGTCAACCTGGGCGATATCAAGGGCCTCTATGAGAGCTTGGAGAGTCTGAGCTGTGAGTACCCCCGAACCTCCCTCTCACTGGAGTGAGAATAGTGTCTGACAACCCCGCAGCCAAGATCTTGACAAGAGTTCTGTACTAGATGTAGATCCAGACCCGTCTCCTGTGTAGGTATGTAGTGGGTAGGTAACACATGACTGGACTGGTAGAAAAGGGAAATGGGAACTTCAACTTTCCGGGTGTAAGGTATACAAAAAGCTACTTGTTTTTTTTCATTTCGTATGGGATTTCCTAAGGACTAGGTTGGGTTGGTTGGGTTGATGTAGGGGGATTGGGGGATGGGATGGGGGCGAATTTCGGGGGTTTGCATTTTCATTACAAAGTACTCTTGCTTGCTTCATGAACGATATCAGATTTAGGGGGGCTTTCAACATTGGCCCTGCTGCCCTGCCCTTTCCTTTCGGGTTCTTTTGTTTCTTCAATGGGATGGGCTACTCTTGCTCTGCACTCCGGAAGACGACCAGAACTGCATGGAACTAGGGGAGCACATGCGATAGGTACATAACAGTTACAATTCAGTTATGGAAAAAAGCTCAAGCTCAAGTTTCGTTAAATCAACAGCTACAAGCAAGAGCAACAGCAAAGTGTTCTCTACTCAATGAAGCGCGCGCAAAAGGGCGAAAAGCGAAAGCGAAGCAAGCAAGTGGGACAACAAAACGATGATTAACCAAATCAGAGAATGACATTGTTAACAAAAAAAAAAGAAGAGAACCCAAAGCACAAAGCATAAAAAAACAAAACCCATAACACCCCGATCTGATCTGCAAGCAATTTGTTTTTCACCGGTCACTGACGAGTAATCCCTTGCTTAAGCTTAAGCTTCCCCGCCGAACGGTAATGCCGGGAATCGCCTAGATCTCGCGGCCGGACGCGTGTGCGGCCACATCCTCGTTGTTCCAGGAGAGGTATGTATGGTCTCCGAGTTTTCTGTGCGGTGGGGTGAGGTAAGCATTGTGTAAGAGAGGGGGGGTGGAGGAGAGATGTATGTATGTACCTTGGTTTGATGAGGTGTCTCGCGGTGAAGATGAGTCCGAGGAGGATACAGAGACCACCGACCACGATGTAGGCGATTCCCAGGAACGGGTTTCTCCCGCCCATCACGGTGCGGGTTGAGATGACGATACTCTTGGTGCCCGAGTAGTCCTTTACGGGGAACCGGTAGTAGATTTCGAGCTCGTACGTTCCCTTGTCCATATCCTTATCGTCGCTTCGCTGCGCCAGTTTGCTGAATGTAGGGAGACCGGCAGTGCGCATCCATACCTGGAACTCCTCCCACTGGTGTATCTTCGGCAGGGTTTTGTTAGTGTACACGCCGCCGGCGTAGCGGTTGGCCCAGTTTGGTGGCGGGAGGACGTCCTCGGCGTTGTACTTGGTGTTGCCGAAGCGCTCCTTGTCGGAACTCCAGGCGATTCCACTATTTGACATTTCGAAGACAACGGCGCCGCCGTCACCGGCCCCGCCCTGCGGGTTCTGGAGGCGGGGCTGGGCGAAGGTGTCGTTGAAGAGCGAGTTGGCGATCAGGCCGCAGGGGTAGTATGGCTTCGTCATACTGTCGTTTCGGAGTCCCGAGAGCGGGTCGCAGTCATTGCTGCTCTCCAATTGATCGTAGGTGCGGGCATCGCCTTTGAGCTGTGCTTGGTCGAAGGATTGCACGTAGCGGCGGTGGTTCTGGTAGAAGTTTGTGAGGCGGTAATAGAAGAGCACGGGCGCCTTGAGCTCGTTGGGCAGAGTGAACTTGAGCGTGCAGATGGTCTCGTTGAATTCCGGGTTCGTCGTCATCATGTCCGGGTCGGTGGTGGTAACGTTGTGCTGCACTTTCCATCGCGGACGGTCTTTGCTATCCACCGCTGTACGGTATACCTGCGATACTTTGTTGTCCGGGATAAACGTGTATTCAACTCCCTGGTTTATACAGTCTGTGTAATCTATCGCGAGCTCTTGTACCTGCGGCGAACAGTTTCCGTCAGTATGCGGGGAAGAAATATTGGAGCTTGAACTGGGTGCGGGAACGGAGTTCTGACTTTCGCGCTGGCATATAGCAGAAGACCTCCGATCGGCGCGAATATTACTCCGACGATGAAGAAGAGCGGTAGCACTGTTTTCGGCGTAAGGATCGGCCTGCGTGGTTCGAGGTCGGTCAGTTCTCTCTCCCTCTTCGGCGCGACGAAGAGCTTGGGAACTTACTGCCATGCCTTTAATCGCTGTTGCCGAAACGCGGTATCTAGTCGAATCGGAGCAATGTGAGCACGCCAGATCATACCACAGCAATCAAGCACCATAAAAAGAGCTATGCGTACTTCCTGGCTTCCGGCTCTTCTCCTTTTTCTGCGACTGGTCGCCGCTGTCGTGCTCATCGATCGAACTCGCCATGGTGGTTCAAGTCAGGGGGGCGGAATGAAGTATCGTGAACGGTTTTGTGGTTATGGAGGTATGGTGCTCGAGGTAGTGGGTGATTGTCGTGAGGGCTGTGTAGGTTTGGATATGGCTGACGCTGGCCGAACGAACGTTCGCTGTTTCTCTTGCTCGTGGAGGTCCGCGCAGGGCTACTGTGCTAAATTAAGCGGATACTTGCGTCGCCGGCGGCCGCCTTGCTTACATAACAAGGGCTTACTCAGGCGGGGGCTGTCATAATCAGCAAAGTGCAGCCAGCACCCACGAAAACGGGCTGAAGACAGAGACAAAATGAACTCCTCCTTAGCTGACAGAATGACCGTGCCATCCACCGCCGTATTATCCGGATTCAATTTTGTCCCAACGCACTAGTACTCGAAAATTGCATGTCCGCCTAGAAGCTTGTGCGGCTGAATCCCGGACATTGAATGTATGTAGTGATGGTGTACGTATACAGGTTACCTATACTCTCGGTATTCGAAAGAGAGCTTAAGGGATTCGGCACTAGTTATCATCTGGTGCAATTGGAGATTGTATGTATCGGGGACAGAATTTTGGGGATAAAACTTGTATCTCGATGGTCTGTCCCATATGACCGAGTGACAATGCATGAGTCCACGCATGACAAATATCAAGGGTCGCCATAGTCTGCAGAGATTGAATGTGAGTACGAAACTAAAAAAAGACAAATGTCATGGTTCAGACTTGGCCAGGATAAAAGTTTCGTGTGCATTTGCATGATCCAGATACGTCGCATGCAATCAATGATTGTTTTTTTCAAAAAGGAAGACAAATATCAGGACAGAATGTCTTCTAGTACTGGTTGTTCCCAATACTCGCAGCCCTACAATTGTGTGGTGAGATTCACTCGAGGGTATCTATACAGAATCGCTCACGGTCAAATAGATTCTCCCAAAGCCGAAAACTTTTAATTCATTAATTTTGAACAAGTACATAAATCCAATTCAATGCCAACATTTATGCAGCAGCCTTCTTTTTCGACTTCTCCAGTTTCCTCCGCTTCTGGCGCAGCGTTTCGGCCTCGTCTTCCTTCTTCTTGTTGCCGTAAACCATCTTCTCGTATAGCTTTCGCTTCTTCTTGGTCATCATTATCTTCTGCATCTCCTTCTGCTCTTCCTCCTCCCTCTGTGCCTTCGACTTCTTCTTCTTCTTCGCATCCGTCGTGGGCAGCTTAACGCCAGCCGCCTCAGCCTCGAGCTCCTTCTGGTGCTCCTTGCGGGCAACTTCCTCCTCGTCCTCGGAGTCTTCCTCAGCCTCCGACACATCAACCTCGGCCTCCATATCCTCGTCCGCATCATCATCGTCACCCAACTCCTCGGTCATGCCGTTGTCATCGTCACTCACTTCCTCCTCGTCCTCATCTCCGGCAGGAACCGGCGCCGACGGGTCGTATTCTCCAGAGGAGGCCTTGACCCAGGGGCTCAAATGTGCGGGTAGGAGCGCGCCAGGGCCGTACTCGGCTGGCGAGATCAACCGGAGAGTGTTGACACAATCCCAAACGTACTGTGGCTGAACGTAGATACGTCCCGCGACTCTGCCACTGGGCGCGGATGCTGTGGCGGCACCGACCGGTAGCGGAGGAAGACCAACTACTGGGGGTCTGTCGACGATCTGATGTGTAATCGAGGGGTCCAACTCGTTGTCCGTGAAAGAGCCTTCTCCGAGGACCAGATCCCAACCGATACGCTTGCAGCCGAACGATCTCAACAGGAACTCGAGGGGCTCACGGGGGGCTTCTCGGGAAATGTAGAATGTGTAGGGCGCGAACAGGTTCGCAGGGTCGGTACTTCCAGTTCCATTGCTCGATATCTGGGGTTGAGGTAGTACATCAACGGCGCTGTCGGTCTTGATAGGGTTGAACGTGTCGAACTCGTCAGTAGCTTCAGGCACTTGTTGCGCCTCGGGTGTATCATCCTCCTCGCCCTCAGTAATCGCAGCGATCTTCTCCTGCAATAGCTTTGTCTGTTTTACTGTCTCCTTCTTCGAGAGCTGTGCTTGCGCCACACCTTCCGTTATCGCTCCGACACCCTTGTGCTCCAGCTTGAATGCGCGAAGACCAGCACCTTTTGCGTCGGCGTCCTTGTCGAACTTGGGTGGGTAGACCAGGCCCTCATTCGTGTAGAGTTTGAACATGACGAATCCAAGGAGAGTGGTGTAGAACTCAACGAACGTGTGCATGATCCTGAAATCGACATCGACCGGCACGTTCTGGGCGAACTTATACGGCACCAACCACAGAATATCCTGGCCCTGAACCTCCGCCTGGTAGTAAATGCCTTTTATCGACAAGAAACTCTTCCGGAGGACGTTGGCACGAATGACGTAGTGCTGCCATTCGTTGCACAGCCGCTCACAATTCGCTACCGTCGCAGGAGGAAGGTTGTGATTTGTGGGGAGGTTCGCGAAAAGGAACAACATCGACAAGGCATCGTCGAGGTCGCGCAGAGCGTCGGTGAAGGTGGGGTAACGCTCCTTCACGATGTGGTCCAAGGTGACCTGCGGCTTCTGGTACAGTTCCAGACGTTTGGCATCCCCGTAGTCGCCACGGCCGAGCGCTTTCGATAGCTTCTTTGCGAAGGTCTTGTGCTCGCGGAACTTCTCTAGTACAGGTTCGTGCAGAAGGTACTGGATATCTTTGGTCTTGAATCTTGTCAGCTACTCCCGTCACCCAAGAAGTGAATTGGTGTCACAAACGTAGTAGAAGGTTGTAGGCGCTGTGGAGCCCTTGTTGGCCTTCTTCTTGTTTCTGGGTTCTCGAGGGTAGATTCCTGGTTAAATTGTTAGCGCAACTGGCGCGCATATGGGACTGTCGAGCACAGTGAAATATACCCTTGAAAATACAGAGGCGACGGAAGTCAGGCAGCGAGATCTGAAGTTTGCGAACGGCTTGCGTTCTCGTGATGAAGTTCTTCGCATTTCCGGCGACGCCTGGACACAATTAAATCAGTACAAAGCTCAAGTAGGTAGAACTATGGGGATCAAACCCTTCTTCTTAATTCTGGCCATGGTGAATGTGTGGTGAGTGTTCAAGTGAGTTGAGTCGTGTTGTAGATACGACAGGCCGGTCTGGGGAATCCAAAGTCTGGTTGAGAACTTTTTTCTTCTGCAGGTGGGATATGCGGCTCTGCTCAATAGCGCGCTTTGCTAGCGGGCGACGTGCATGACAAACCCTTTTGGCGGCAGCACACGGACAACAGACAGTACTCTAGCTCACGCCGACCGCGAATACAGTAGACTTCTATTCATCACCGCCGTCAACCCATCGCCATGCCGCCTAAGGAGTCTGAAGCTGCCGCATACGCCACTACCTCCGAGACCGATTTCTACGAGATCCTCGGTGTCAATCAAGATGTCGTTTCGGATACCTCGCTCCGGAAAGCTTTCCGCAAGCAGTCGATCAAATGGCATCCCGACAAGAACCCCAGCCCCGAGGCTGCCGACAAGTTTCACCTGTTGACCGTTGCATACGATGTTATCTCAGATCCGGCCACGAGGGCTGCCTACGACAATGCGCGAACCGCTCGGTTGGCAAAGAAACGCCGCAGCGAAGCGTTTGACATGCATCGCAGGAAGATGCAGGAGGATCTGGAGGGCAGGGAAGGCAAGGCGAAGAGGTTCAAGACGGACGCGGACAATGAGGAGGAAAAGTTTAAAGCACAGCTGGCGAAGCTACAAGAGGAGGGAGCATTATTGAGGCACAAACGGGAGGAGGCGCTGCGGACCGCCGCGAAGGAGGCGGAAGAGCAACAGCAGGATGTTTCCAAGAATAGGGACATCAAGTCTGCGGCCAGTCGATTCTCCGAGCTGGACAGAACAGTCTCAGCTAAGTGGCGCCGAAAGAAGGAGGGGCTAAGTGTGGATGAAGCATCTCTACGGGGCCTTTTCGGGCGGTTTGGAAAGATACAAGACTGTATCGTCAGGGGCGACAAGGCAAAGGAAAAGAAGTACCAGAGTGGCTTGATTGTTTTCGAGTCGATAGTGGGGGCGCACTCAGCTGTTCATGGCTTTGCCGATAACACTGATGACGCTTTCAAGCTTTTCAAGTCCATAACCTGGGCTGGCAAGGAGCCCGAGCTTTCCGGAGTTATTCCTGAAGAAGTGCCGGTTTCAAATACAACTCCACCAACAGAGATTCGAACTCCTGGCGAGGAGGCACAGGCGACTTCAACCTCAAGGACAGCCACTTGGAACCCCATGCAAGCGGCCCCTAAGGGAGGAGACGGGGTGAAAGGGGTCCCTTCATTCGCGTCGTTCTCGGCGGCCTCCAACCGTTCGGCGTTTTCAAAGACTGAAGCCGCCCAAAGCCCTGACTACGAGAACATCACTATGATGAGATTAAGGGAAGCCGAGAAGCGGAGATTAGAGGCAGATATGCGAAAGAAGGAGGAGAGTGAGGCATCATGAGTTGGATTCTGAAAGTTAGATAAACTGTATACTAGTAGAAGTAATGTGTTTAAAGATGTATCTCAATATTGCAATAATCGCGCATGGCCAGTTGTTCTTCCTCAGATGCTGTAAATTGCCCACGAGTGCAGCGCTGTGGTTGGCGTCGGTTAGTCAAATGGCTTGGCAAAACACCGGAACGCTTGCTAAACGACGTCCATCGACCCGAGGAAGGAAGGTTTGCATCACGATCTCCAATTCTCCCCCCACGACGTTCACTCTTGTCTCCACTCTTCACCATGTCTATGCGGTTGACGAAAACTTTTGCCGGTATGGAACAGCCTTCTGCATCAATGGACTCCACCGATCGAACTTGCTGAACAATTTTTTCTCTCCAGGTGCGGCTCGTCTGCGGCCCTCCGTTGCGGCCCTCCCCAAATTGTCGGCTGTCACCCTCACTGCCCGCCACCAGTCGAGCGTCCCGACCCCCACCCCGGACCCCAAGACCAAGGCGCAGTCCATCATTGATGCCCTTCCCGGCAGCTCCCTCATCTCCAAGACCGCTATCCTCTCATCTGCCGCCGGTCTGTCGATTGCAGCTATCTCCAACGAACTCTACGTCGTGAACGAGGAGACCGTCGTCGCTTTCTGTCTGCTCTCCATCTTCACCGCCATCGGAAAGTATGGTGGCCCCATGTACACTGAATGGGCCACCAGCCAGGTCACCAAGATCAGGGACATCTTGAACTCTGCTCGTGCCGACCACACCCGTGCCGTCGAGGAGCGCATCGAGTCCGTCAAGCAGATGGGCAGCGTCGTCGATGTCACCAAGGCCCTTTTCGAGGTGTCCAAGGTATGTCAAAACGAAGGCGCGACGATGCCTTATGAATCTTTAATCAATCGGTGATGCTCATGATATCTACAGGAGACCGCCAAGTTGGAGGCCGAGGCCTACGAGCTTGAGCAGCAGACTCAGTTTGTTCAGGAGGCCAAATCTGTCCTTGACTCATGGGTCAGGTACGAGGCTCAGGTCAAGCAGCGCCAGCAGAAGGACTTGGCCGAGACTCTGATCGCCAAGGTCAGGAAGGAGTTGGAGAACCCCAAGGTTCTGGCTCAGATCCTGCAGCAGAGCGTTGCCGACGTCGAGAGTATGTTGAACCATAACACACATAGAATTGGGATATGAACGGAACATTGGCTGACTCGGCGCGAATAGGAATTGTCTCATCCAAGGCCCAGTAAATAGACAACGTTGTAGGGGAGTGGGACATAGACTGAAGGCGTGTTTGTTTAGTAGCTTTGAACAATTCAGTGCGGTACAATAGTTTCCTTTTACTGGATCTTGAATCCTACAAAAATGAAGGCTTTGAGAGAGAGAAAAAAGAACATCAATTTATTGTCGTATGGGGCTTTTATGGGCGATATTCATCATCTCAATCCGTACTTCGTACGTGTTGATTGATTATGAGCGGGGTGATTCGGCAAGTGGTATTTTAGCGCGGGGTGTCTGTCACACAATGGCCAAGCCGCTCCAGGACTTTTTGGTCAACCTGAATCTCAATCCAACCCACCAGCTTCACACGTCCACGAAATTCACATCATGGCGGCCGGCGTCGCCTCTTTACGATGCTCGCTCAGAGCGGTATCGGGTGATCTGTTCCAAATCTCGCGTCCCCGACTCAGCCAACTCGCCGGCGCGACGACCTCGCGGTTTCTGACCACCTCGACCACCCGAGCTGCGGCAGCAGAGACACACTCCTACTCGCCGGAGCAGCCACCAACATGGTCGCAGACCAAAGAGAAGACTCGTCTCGTCCCCGTCTCGGCCTCCTACTTCACCGGCAACTCCGACTTCTACGATAACTGGCTGGCCCTGCAGGACCTGCAGCGAAAGTACCAGACACTCCCTACGGTGCCCATGGCCGAGGCACCCCCGGCGAAATGGAAGACGTTGGCACAGTACCGCGGAATCGTCGGTATGTCGGTCAAGGCTGCCCGCTACAAGAAGATTATCGACATCCTCGACCGGCTCAATTGCATCAATCCCGCCGTGATCCCCGAGGACGTGCGCATGGCGCTCGACATGTACCGACGTGATCTGGCCCAGGCCGAGAACCAGGGGAAGCCGAAGGTTTTGGATCATCTGGGAAGGGCTAGGGGTGTCGGACGGAGAAAGACTTCGGTGGCCAGGGTGTTGCTCTCAGAGGGAACTGGGCAGGTGCTCATCAATGGAAAGCCGCTCGCGGATGTCTTTGAACGTGTGCATGAGCGCGAGAGTGCTGTCTTCCCGTTGATTGCCACGGAACGCATGAGCAAGTACAATGTCTGGGCTTCGGTCATGGGAGGTGGAAAGACGGGTCAGGCGGAGGCGTTGACTCTAGGTGTTGCACGGGCTTTGCTCGTTCACGAGCCAGCATTGAAACCGGCCTTGCGAAGAGGTAAGTTGGATATCTCCATATCATCCCACCCTTTACGTGATAGCTTATTGATTCTCTACAGCTGGTGTTGTTACCCGTGATCCCAGGATGGTTGAACGTAAGAAGCCTGGTCACGTTAAGGCTCGCAAGATGCCTGCCTGGGTCAAGCGTTAAGATGGAGGAAGTTTTTGCATTGTATATTAGACCGGTGTGTAATATCCTCAATGACTCTAGAGCTCATGTCATGAGATTTGAGATGCAAGTGCTATACCTTTTTGGCTATTAGATCGGTGAATCTATAAAATTGTACACCTACCCCCAGCTATGATACAGCGGTTGTATTGCAACCATTTTCTATCACTATGCCTATGAACTTTCCTCGGCGACAAGGTTTCTCTTCTTGAGCCTCTCTCCATACTTCTGCCGTGCGATGTGACGGGCCGCCGCACGCTCTGCTTGCTTGTCCTTGCGTTCCTTGATACTCTCCTCAGCGCCCCCGACCCAGTCGGCCAAGGGACTGCCTATCTTTTCATGACGCTCATATTCCCTTTGGATCGCCGCGTCAACCCATTCCAGAGGAAACGATTTCACCGGCCGTCGTGCAATCATCGGCTTAGCCTTTATGTGCCTGAAATCAACTGGTATATCCTCGAACGTATCTGTAGCATCCTGTTGCGGTTCGTCAGCATGCGCCACTTTTCCATATATTTCCAGCTTGACAACAAACCTTCGCCTCCACAATGAGCTTATCTAGCAGATCACTCAAATACCGCTTGTTCTGGGCCTGGTGCTCAAACATCTCGCAGGACATCTTGACAATTCTCTTGCCGGGATGGTACCGGCGGCCGACAAGCTTGACCAGCTTTGCCTGCTGGCCAATATCCAACCCAAGATCAGCCGGAGAGAACTCGAGGACCACTTTTGACTCGGCCGGATGGTCTTCGCCCATGTAGGTGGTGTAGCGGAAGCGAAGGGGTTGGGCGTCGGTGGGGGGGACAAAGGGCTTTGCCAACTCTAGGCACAACACACAATTAGACCAGCTGGTCCCTGGTATGATATCGATGTGCTGGTGGAGTGGAGGAGGAGTTACGAGCAAGGTACGGCATCTCGTATGCTGCTACTCTGGCGTAGTGTCGCGCCTCACGGTGCGTGTCGATTTCGGCGTGACCGAGAGACGAAATATCGTCGAAGTCCCATTGCCGGTCGTCGTCGAGGGGATCGTCATCGTCGATAATCTGTTGCTGTCGGCGGGAAGTTTCAACCACATCGGGTTCGGAGGTTGAGGTCGAGGATGAGGTTGGTGGGGCATCCGACATGCCCCTCCGAGGGACTACCGGTGCTGCGACGAATTTGGCAACGGTGTGGGGTCGGACGGCGAGCGCGTTCTGGCAGGACCGAGCGGCGGTTCGCCCGAGGGTGCGGAATTGACTCAACATCATTGATTGGGAATAGGCCGTGCTGTCGCTGGAGTTGTTCTCTCTCCTCCGGTCCGGGTGACGATTTTCTCGAAATACCTACTTAAGACTAAAGCGCCTGGCGGCATAGTGGCATACCTGCGGCTCTGCTCAAGTCCTCGCTAACCATGCGGTAGCTCCGAATGTGGCAGTTGGATGTTTACCCGCCGTTGTCCCGCCTGAAGGTGCTCCAAACAGCTGTAGGAAGATAGAGAAGCAACAACCAACCCTATCTTCATTGCTTCGCCATCTTCGATCCCATCCATCCATCTTCACCGCGACTCATCGAACAACCTCCACAGCTAGCAATCATGGGCTCGGATCCGCAATACGCCACGTACCCGAACTTGCTTCTGTCGCAACACATCTTCACGCTCAGGCAGCCTGGACTGTCGGCGTCGTACCCAGCTGCAAAGAAAGTTCTCACCACATCGATCAAAGAGCACTCGCAAGCACCACTATACCGCTACCTCGCCAACCCTGTGGACGGAATCTTGATCAACGAGATCCCGTGGGATGAGACCTACTACAACGAGCTCAAGAAGAAGAATGACGAGGAGCTGAGTGGATACGACCAGGAGCTGACAGAGGCGGAGGAGAAGGCGGGTGAATCGGAGATTGTGGCGGCGATGGGAAAGAAGGCGGAGTTCTGGGCCAGAGTGGGAGACAAGGTGGGTGATAATGGGCCTGGTGGGGTGGGAACATCGTTAACATTGGCTGTGTGTGTAGGAGAAATCATTGACGGCGTACGAGGAGCTTCTCATCAAGACTGCGTCTACCGGCGCCAAAATTGATATAGTTCTCGCTATGATCCGGATGCAGATGTTTTTCGGCGACAAGTACGGAGTGGCAGAGAACATCGAGCGCGCTCAGCGGCATGTCCATATCTCCCCGGCCGCCACTTAGACTATGGTTCTAATATTTGATGTAACAGACTCGTTGAAAGCGGAGGTGACTGGGATCGCCGTAACCGTTTGAAGTCCTACAACGGACTGCACCTTCTTTCCACCCGCCATTTCGCCGAAGCCGCTCCGTTGCTCCTCGAATCGCTCTCCACCTTCACCTCGTACGAAGTGTGCGCCTACACGTCGCTGGTGTTGTACGCCGTCTTGGCCGGTACGATGTCTCTGGACCGTGTCGACTTCAAGAAGAAAGTTGTCGACTCGGCCGAGGTGCTGGCTGTTTTGGGAAGCAAGGGAGCTCCGAACCCCGACGATGACGTCGACATGGTTGATGCCACCAACACCGACGGCTACGAATTCCTCGAGATGTTGATCAACAGCTTCTATACCTGTGACTACAAGAGCTTCTTCTACTCTCTGGCAGAGGTCGAAGATAAGTTCTTGAAGCGGGACAGGATCTTGGCTGAGCACAAGCCTTGGTAAGTTTGATCTTGCCTGATGACATGCGAGTGACATCTCGACTAACTCATCCACCACACAGGTTTGTCCGCGAGATGAGACGGCGTGCCTATGGCCAGCTCCTCGAGAGCTACCGTGTGGTCTCCCTACAGAACATGGCGGAACAGTTCGGTGTATCCGTGGAATGGCTGGATCGGTACGCGCTCTCGCCCTACAACCTCTCACGTCGCACTTACTAACGAAACATCGCAGTGATCTGTCAAAGTTCATCCCATCAAAGAAGCTGAACTGCACCATCGACCGCGTAAACGGTACCATCGAGACCAATCGACCGGACGACAAGAACCGACAATACAACGATGTGGTGAAGCAGGGAGACCAGCTGTTGACCAAACTGCAGAAGTTTGGGCAGGCGGTTCGTTTGAGAGGAAGTGAGAGGGCATAGTCACAAGGCGCTTTGAATTGATAGAGCGTGAACTGTATCTACGTCTTGTGTAATAGAGCTTCGTACTGCAGCATGCTTTGAGGAACTAACCATCCATTCGTTCACATTTCGTTTTCGTGTCACAGCAGATTGATGTACTAGGTACCCAATACAAGCAAGAGGAAGAGACACATGAAGGGAAAAGTATGTAAAAAAAAGACATAAGCACAAGCACATTTAAACCGTCCTCACAAACGCCACCCATAAACACAACCTATTTCCATTGTATCTACTCCCCCTCCCTACCCGCACCTCGCACCTCCACCCGTCCTCTCGATCTGTTTGTAGCCTCCATGTTTTTACACAGAGGATGGGAACTTATCCTTCAGCTTTATCCTGCAGAGCACATTCATACTGAGCAGCTCCTGAATCAACAGTTTTGCCGCATACGGAATCTTCATCTTTGTGACCGATTTCGAGCTCTGACACGTGGTGCACCAATTACTGTAGCCCATCAGTCCGCACTGCTCGCACAGGTCCACCTCGTGTACGTCGGACGAGAGCATGAGACGTTCCAGGAGGAGTTGCGAGGCTATGTCTTTGGTTAGCAGCTGAAGACTGGACGGACGGTGGAGTGGGGAATACGAACCTCCGTAGGCAATGAGACAGTCACGCTCCATCTCTCCGAGACGGAGTCCTCCCATTTTCGAACGACCTTCTGTTGGTTGGCGGGTGAGGACGGCGCGCGGTCCGCGCGATCGACTGTGCATCTTGTCTTGGACCATGTGCTTCAGCTTTTGATAGTAGATGGGGCCGAAGAAGATGTATGCTTCGAGTGATTCTCCGGTGATTCCTGTATACTGGTTAGCTATGTTTTTCTGTTTACGGAATGGTAGTGGTATACCAGAAGTGACGAAGTCCTTCCCGGAGTAACTGAACCCGTTTTCCACCAGGATATTCGCCATGTCGTCCACCTTACTACCGCCAAACGCAGTTCCGTACTGCAACTTTCCATTCATCAGACCCGCCTTGCCTGCTAGCAGCTCGATCATCTTCCCGACAGTCATTCGCGAGGGGAAACCGTGGGGGTTCATGATAACATCCGGGGTAATTCCCAGATCATTGAACGGCATATCCTCCTGTTGGGCGATGATACCAGTAACTCCCTTCTGTCCGTGTCGAGAAGAGAACTTGTCACCCAGCTCCGGGCGCCGAGTCTGGCGGGTCAAGACTTTGATAAGAGTCTGCTCGTTCTCCGCCGTCGAGATCATGATCTTGTCGATGTATGCGTGGTCCGGGAGTTTGTATCTCATCGGGGCGTCTTTATATTCATCTGGTGGGCGAGTTTCGTTGAGGAGCTGCGGCATGTCGGCGGTATTGACGGGAACTTGTTTGTTAATGTAAACTTGTTCATCCTTAATTTTCTCACCAACGGCGGCGAGACCGTCTGCTTCCAATGCGGCGTGCTTCTCGATAGGCACCGTTTCGCCGGCAGAGTTTACTTGCCGTTTGATGTCCCCGATGCGGTCTGCAGATCCGTTTTGATACTTCCGCAAGGTAGTGACATACTTCTTGAATACCTGACAGCGTCCGAATCCTCGATCGACAGATCCTTTGTTCAGCACCAGAGCGTCCTCAATATCGTAGCCGGAATAACTCATGACGGCAACAATGGCGGATTGCCCAGCGGGCAGCTTGTCATATTGGATCAACTCAATTGTTCTGGTCTTGACCATAGGCTGCTGCGGGTAAACCATGAGATACAGTAACGTATCAATGCGCAAAAACTGGTTGTATGCAATCGCCCCAATCGCTTGCTTACCCATAGCACACTGGTATGTGTTACGAGGTGACTGATTATGATGCGGATATGGGATCAATCCGGCCACGGCTCCGAGGATAGTGAAGGGCTCGATCTCAATGTGGGTTGTGGTATCACCGATTTCATGCTCGTATATGGCGATGTGAGAGTCGTTCTCCTCATTGCAGTCGACGTATTCGACCAGTCCCCTCTTAAGGAAATCTTCGAACGTCATCCTTCCTGCTGCCAAGGACTTCAGATCGTTAGTTTGCGTAATAGAAAGTAAACCGGATGATGACGATATCGTACCTTGAGATGTCGTGAGGTAACCCTCGAGCGTTTATTCTCAACGATAACCAACGGCCGACAGATTCTTCCTCCATCGGTAGCGATGTGGACACCATTATGGTGATGATTGATGTAGATACTGATAAACTCTGAAATCTTTCCTGACCTCCTCAGCTTGCGGAAAGTCTCCAGGAACCGTTTGGGATACCGAGTGAGTCCATAGCAGGTTCCGTTGATGAAGATAATGTATGCGCCCGAAGAATACAACTCGAAGCCACTCACAAGAGTGACATCCTCAGCACCTAGTGCAAACACAAGCTGCTTGATGGGCTCTTCTTCGTCGTCGGTTGTGATGTGTGTCATCAATGCCAAATTCTTCACCAGACCACAAGCCTCTCCTTCGGGAGTATCAGATGGACACAACATGCCGAACTGAGAGGGCTGAAGTGCACGAGGTCCCGAGACTTTACGGGTCTTCTCGAACTGGGATGAGATACGGGTCATCATACCAAGCGCACTGATATATGACAGGCGACTGAGGACGTGGGTAACACCAGCACGCTCCATCTTGAAACGTTTTAGCGACCAGTTTCCAGTGGAAATCGCCCGGTTCATTCCTTGCGTAATCATGCTTGCTCCATTGTTCAACAGCGGTAGAGCATCAAACTCAGAAGTTCGGGATGGCTTCTTGAGTGTCTTGTCGATGCTCATCTTCATATCACTGTTGAACTTCTTGAAGAGATCCTCGAACAGAAGAGAGAGCAACTGTCCTGCCCTGTGAGAAACGTTAGGATTTGTTGTTTACTCGCATCGGATTGAGACACTCACAATTCCAGCCGCTTGTTTCCAACATAATCACGATCGTCAACCAAGGCAGGATTGGTCATGGCTTGGATCACTCGTCTGGCCATGAAAGCCATGTAGAGCGCCTTTGGTCTAAAGTTCAGGTTCTCAACAGGCACATGGGCCAACACAATTGTAGCCAGGGCCTCAAGTGCTTCCCGCTCGGGTGTCCGCTTGGGCTGCAGTCCAGGGGGTCCCCTTTTCTTCGTCCGGGTGCCCATGTACTCCAATGCCTGCTTCTGCGTGAATACCTTGAGCTTTGAGCACTCTTCGAAGTTGATCGAGAAGGTATCCTGGTACACCATATCGGTTCCTGCAACGAGTAGAAGGATTTCGTGATCCGACTGAATTCCCATCGCTTTTAGGGCAAGAACAATGGGTATATCCTCGTTGAGGGAGTTGTGTCGGAGGTAGATGCAGCCTTTCTTTGTCAAGACATATGTTTTCGATTTCCGCTCATGAGTGGAACTGCATGCCGTGTATCAGCGGGGAATACGCTTCCAAATGAATTGCACCACGTACCTGGTCACAGAGGCCTGAACGATGCCCTTCTTTGGCTCACTCTCCACGATAATACGGTTCTTACTAAGCTGCTCCTGGACCAAAATGACCTTCTCCGTCCCGTTAACGACAAAGTATCCACCTGGATCCAATGGACACTCGTTCAGCCGTGCCATTTCCATCTCGTCCTTGCCCATCAAAACGCATTTGTTACTGCGCAACATTATTGGCAGTCGGCCGATAAAGTTGCCTTGCCGTCGGACAATCTGCTTTCCGCGCACATATTCGACATCGACGTAGATCGGCGCTGCATAGGTAAGATCCCGCAATCGACATTCGTTCGGCGTTATTTCGGCGTTACTTTCGATATCCATACGCTGTGGCGAGCCCACGCGAATGTCTGTATACCTGGGACCACGTCAGTCCAACTGCGGTCTGCATCAGAGAAGGGGACAGTTACCGTAGAAAGAACTGCGGATCCACATCACTCACAACCCTCTCGTTGGCTTTGACAATCTTTTTCAGCTCCACGTCCACAAAGTAGTTGAACGAATCAATGTGCTGCTTGACCAGCCCCTTGACTTTCAGAAAGGCCGGGAGGAGCGTCCATTTGTCTTCGGCCGTGCTGATGGGATCGGTAATGTGCTTTCCCTTGTAGTACGTTTCCAGCAGCTCGTCGAACGAATCGGTAGCCTTCTTCGGAGGCTTGTGGTCTTCGGCAGCGGTGCTGGACTTCAACGGCCGCGACGCGGCGACAGCTGGAGCTTTTCGTGGCGGCATTGAGTATGTGAGGATTGACTGGCTGCCAATGACGAAGTCTGCAATATTTTGAGCCTTCGCGTCGAAGGTGAGAGCGAACTTATGCACGTTCGCCACAAGCGTGACTCTGAAGACTCACATAACTGAGTTCTGGTGGGGTCAAAAATTGGGTGTGGTCGGAACTTGCCGATCAGGTCAGCAGCCGATTTCCCAGGGCTCTTGGACCCGTGGGCGCTGCGCACATGCCACCAACCTCCGCCTCCACTACCATTAACTTACTCACCGATCAACCCCAAAGCTCTGCTTGCCAGCTGTTGACCCGTCCCCGTTCCAGCCTCAAAGGAACCCACCAACCACCATCTCCACCCCCATCTCCACCAGTCCACTCAATCATCACTCTCAACCATCCCCCATCTCAAAGCCTCGCATATACTTAGTAGTTGCATAACCATCCCCTCACCATCCATTATGGTTGTTAGCCAGCGTCCCCCCCCTAAAGGCGTGCTACAGACAGCTAACCACACCACTGCACAGCTCGGAAAAATAGCTCACTACGGCTTCGACGCCATCCTGATCTCTGCGTTCCTCGCGGGAGTGAAGCGCTCGACCGGTCTCTCGTAGGTCTCCCTCGGTGGCAGGAACATGCTTCTGTTTCCTGAGCTGAAACTAACACGCCAGCCTCAGCATCAAAACCGAGAAAATAGAGTCCAAAGAGGTCCGATCCGCCGTCGACAAGTACCTCAACGTCGGCGAGTGGGTGATGGATCAGAGCATCGCCTTCATGGGCACCAGCGCCTACTTCGAGAGGAAGCGGTGAACGCTCGGTGCGAAACACACAACATACACACACCTACTCGGCAATGACTTGACGATCTCAATTTTTTGCAATTCCAGTACCGTGAAATTGTTCGCACGCTCGCTCTCCTTTATTTTTTCGTATTTTTTCCTTACTTCTTCTGGGATGGATTGTGTTTTGAGGCAAGCGTGCGACCGAGGGTGATAGCAGGGCCGATATGGAATCATGGGGAAGCTTCGTTCGCAGCGTCCGATATGTACATAGGCTCGCCTCGGGAAATACCAGTTACAATGTAACAAAATATTTGGATCATGAAGAGTTACTATCTTGTGTGTGGGGGTTCGTGAGCACTCCTCACGATCGAACCACTTTGTGGCGAAATAGCATTGGGCGCTATCCCAAAACGCTAACCTTATTCACGTCCGGGTAAGCGATGTATCTTTTGAAGGCAAGAAGCCGAACAGACGCGAAATATCACGCTAGATGTAATCCACAACTCCATTCCTCCCAACCACCATCCCAACATCAACTTTTCCCTCCACATACATTCTCCACATTACACATACGATCAATCACTCGCCCTTTCGGATTCCCACGTACGACCTCGACCAGAAAGGCAATAACGGTCTGTACCATGGTTACTGCCACAGAAACACCGGGAGCTCCGGTCGCAGTCGCAAACGGAGTTGCTAAACCCAAGCAGAAGCTTAGCAAGAACCAGCTGCGACGAGCGAAGAAGAAGCAGCAGAAGGCTGGAGGATCGTCGCGAGAGAGCAGTGTGGTATCGGCCAGCGAGTCGGAGAGCGAGTCGGTAAGTTTGTTCCCAATGGCGTGCGCGTGTGTGCAACTTCCTTCCTTTTCTTGTCTTGTGTGTGGCACGAGGCTGACCCTTTACGCGTACGCTTGTTTCTACTCTTTAGGAACCCGAAAAGCAACAGTCAAGACAACCTCTCATCACGCCCGATGAGATCCCCGATTTTGAGCTCGACGACCTCGGCATCGACGAGAATGATCCCACCTTCAGCGAGTACAGGAAGATCCTGGACCGGTTCCGGCCGCAGGACCACGCAGCGATTGAGGAGGAAAAGGGTGAGGTGATGGGACAAGAAGACTTCATCCCCGACGAAGACGAAGAGAAGGAGGAGCCCAAACTCAGTAAGAAGGCGCGGAAGGCGCGCAACAAGCTTAGCGTTGCCGAACTCAAGGCGCTAGTGAAGCGTCCCGAGACCGTGGAGTGGACAGATACATCGGCGAATGATCCCCGGTTATTGGTGCACCTCAAGTCCTACCGGAACTGCGTTCCTGTGCCTACCCACTGGTCGCTGAAGCGCGAATACCTCTCGTCGAAGCGTGGTATCGAGAAGCCGCCGTTCGAGCTTCCCAAGTTCATCAAGGACACCGGAATCATGGAGATGCGCGACTCCGTGCGGGAGAAGGAGGAGAGCCAGTCGATGAAGTCGAAAATGCGGGAGAGAGTGCAGCCAAAGATGGGGAAACTTGACATTGATTACCAGAAGCTGCACGACGCCTTTTTCCGATTCCAGACAAAGCCGACGTTGACGATGTATGGAGAGGTCTACTACGAAGGAAAGGAGTTCGAAACGAATCTGAAGGGCCGTCGTCCCGGCGAGTTGTCAGAAGAGTTGAAGGAGGCGTTAAACATGCCCCCCGGCGCTCCGCCACCATGGTTGATCAACATGCAGCGTTTCGGACCACCACCGTCATACCCATCACTCAAGATCCCTGGTCTCAACGCCCCCATTCCGCCGGGAGCCCAGTGGGGATTCCATCCCGGTGGATACGGAAAGCCGCCTACAGACGAGTACAACCGTCCGTTGTATGGTGACGTCTTCGGTGTCCTCCAGCCGCAGGCCCCTACGCAAACCGGCGAACCAGTGGAGAAGACGCTATGGGGCGAGCTACAAGAGGAAGAGGAGGAGAGCGAAGAGGAAGAGGACGAGGATGAGGAGGACGAGGAGGAGGAAGCCGAGGAGGAGAGCGTCGCACACGGTATCCAGACCCCCAGTGGCACAGAGACGCCTAGCGGGATGGTCTCCAGCGTACCCAGCGAGTTCGAGCCAGTGGACCAGTTCGAGCTGCGGAAACGCAGGGATGGAACCGAGACCGAGGAAGATGCCGAGAGGCGAAGCCTGTACCAAGTCTTACCCGAGCACTCGATCAAAACGAAGGGCTTCTTTGGTGGCGAGCGCGCTTACGACATCAAGAACGCGAATGCCAACCTGCCTGTTCTTGGCCAGGAAGACCGAAAGGTACCCCCCCTCCCCCTCCCCCCTCCTCATCCAGTAGACGCAGTCACTAACAACCCCCCGCACTCACAGAGGAAGAAGCCAGGTGACGTGGATGTTGCACTAGACCCCAGCCAGCTTGAGGAGGACGGCCTGACCTCGGAGACGGTGAAGCGACGGTACGAGCAGGCGCAGGAGGAGCAGCGGAGGGAGCGCCAGGGATTCCAGTTCCAGGAGGACCTGAGCGACATGATTGCGCAAGAGTCGCGGAAGCGGCAGAAGCGCGAGGAGGAAAATGCAAAGCGGAAGAAGGAGAAGTACCGCTTCTAAAGTAAGGCAAAACCAAATTCGGATTGGGGGTGGGGTGGGGTGGCATGGATGCGGTTAGGGTAGGGATGGGTAGGTGGTGTAATTGTAGTGTAGTGAATGATGATGGATGGATCCGGGGGGTATCGGCGTGGTTGCGATTTGCTTCGTTTTTTTTTTACCTTTGATCCGCTGTGTTTGTTGGTCGTGCTATTTCAACGTTGAGTAAGGTACGATGGAGAAAATGATTTGTTTTTCCGTTCTCTGCTCCGGTGACAGAACAATGGACACTCGACTCGCATCACTGCAAATCACACTCACCATAAACATCCAATTCGAACGCACCGCACCGCACCAATCAAGCAAGCAATCGCAACGAGCAGGCGGCCGCATAGGTAGGAAACAAGCTGGGTATAATTCGACAGACAACACGCTCAACAAATTACGGAAAAGGAATGAAAGCATGAAAAAACCAGCCTTATCGTACAACCAACAATCCAACAACACATAGCATAACAGTTATAACGCCGTGTATTCCCCCACCCCCCTTTCCCAGCATTCGCCATCAGCAGCAGTAACATAACTCACGTAAGACCCAAATTTGCTATGCCCATGCCATGCAAACAAACAGTCATAAAGAACAGAACATTAGACGAAAGAATAAGGAAGAAGAAGAAAAAAAAGAATACGTAAAGAGCAACAGTTCAGCCGGTCGTGAATCAAACAGACAAGTAAAGCAGTACAACCGGTTTAGTTATCCGCCCTCAAGATGGTATCGACCATATCCGACAACGGCCCATAAAAGTCGCGTCCAGACTCGAGATTAAACTCCTTGATGAAGAGCACGTAGTGTTTGAAGCTCGTATTCATGTGGGGGTCCAGACCGAGGGCGACGATGACGGGGTAATGGTGGCAGTAGATATGCGCGTACACGCGGAACAGCCGCTTGATCAGTTGGCGAACGGTGCTCTGGAAGTTCTTGGGGAAGTGCACGCCGATCCGGCACGGGAAGATCGCCTCGTTGTCGATGTTGGACTGCACCCACGCCATCAGGTGCTCGATGTACTCCGGCGCAGGCATCTTCGTCGGCCGCTTGTACTTGCCGCTGTCTTGCCAGAGGTACTCGAACCTGGAACGGTGAGCAGAGTGGGGACGGCACGCGAGGGAGAGCTTGCTTACTCGTCGGTGGCCTTCATCTCCGGACAGGTCGTGGGCGAACAGAACTCTGTTATCGAGCCATACTATCATCGCCCGCCAGTCAGTCAGTCGTCATCGCATCGAAACTGCCATTCTGCTAACATACCAACAGATTGATCTGGTTGTAGAAATCGACGACTATACACCCCGCACACATCCACCGGTCAGTACCGGTGCCTTCACCTTCACCTTCACCACCACCCCATTCAACACAACACGACATACCATTGACCGCCAACCACTCATCCATATCCTCGCCCTCGGGCAGCTTCACAACCTTCCGTAAGCTCCCGGAACCCAGCGTCTGCTCGGCATACTGGCGCAGCTGGTAGCTGCTCGTGCCACGCGACGACGACTTTGGCTTGAATGGACGCGACTTTTGGTGGCTGTTGCAATGTTATGTTAGCTAGAGGTTTAGGGAGGGGACGGCGACGGCGACGGGGACGGGGACGAGGGGGGATGGACATGGTGTTAATGAATGAGGTCATGGCGAAAGCTGATCGATGTCCTGTCCTGACTCCTGTCCTGTCCCGAGGCGCCGGGTGGTGGGATGGGATGGTTGGTTGCGGGGGGTGGACGCCGGGTGGGTGGGTGGACGGTGAGACTGGAGGCCGGTGATAGGGTGGGATCCGCACCGTTAGGCTGGATATGAATGTAACGGGGAGGGAGGGAGGGAGGTGAGCGGGAGGTGCGTGGGGGGTAGGGCGGAGGGGAAGGGGTGGTATGTAGAGTAGGTAGGGCTGTATGTATCTATGATGCGGATCTATTTGAAGGGGGTGTGTGGTTGTGTGGGGTCGTGTTGTGTGGTGTTGTTGTGGTGTCGTGAGTCGTCAAGGCAACCCCCAGAGTTCGATAGAGCTTGTGCTTTGCTTTGGAGCTATGCGGGCGGCGTGGGCGAGCGGGGGGTGGGTGGGATGCGATCGGCGGAAGCTCACTCCGACAGAGTCCGATCTCGCTCCGTAGTTAGAGGCGCTACATACTAAGCTTCGCCTCACGTGGGTGGGACAAGGAAGGAAGGCTGGACGAACCACCACCGCCGCCACCCATGTCATCATAGAAACCACTGAAGAAAACTCTCGCAAAGCACCATGACGGACTTTTTCGACGGGCTCCTCTCTTTGGAGGAAGAGTGAGTTTCCGGTGTCCGAACCCATCCAGAGCGATCTAGCACTAACACTCTACCAGCTTCTACGCCGAAGGCCACGCCCTCGGCGTCGCGGACGGCGAGACCGCCGGGCGCACCGAAGGCCGCATCTTCGGGCTCGAAAAAGGCTTCGAGAAGTTCCTAGAGCTGGGCCGCTTGCAGGGCCGCTGCGCAGTGTGGAGTGCTCGCGCTGAGCTTCCCGCTGGTGCCCCGACCAGAATCGAGAACGCGCGGGCGCAGAAAAATATTCAGGCACTGGCTCTGCTGCTGACAAATCCGCCGTTCAAAAACGATGAGGAGTCGGTGGAAGAGGTCGAGGAGACGCTGAAGCGTGGAAGGGCAAAGGCTAAGGTCCTCGAGAGGATGTTGGGCGAGAAGGAGGATGTGGGCGATAACGCTCGTGAGAATGATGGGTCTGGGGAACAGAATATCGAGGATTTGGGGAGGAATACGAAGACGATTGCTGATCTGTGATTGGTTGTAATCATTACTACTCCACTGGCCTGAGTAACGTATGGCCAAAGCATCTTCCATAACGAGCAACTCGGTCTCAGTATGTAGGGGCAGTATGTAGTAATCCAACGAATCGCTCTTTAGCTCTTATCCTCTCCATATCCTATATAAACCACTAGATAGCTTCCAATCTCTACCAGTAGCTTCACTCGAGAACGTTCACAAATATGAACTTCAAATCTACATCGTTACAACGCCAGCCAAAATATCGACACCAAAACAGCCTGCCCAAACTCCAGAACCTCGCTTAAGGAAAGAAAAAAAAGAACAAAAAAGATATTAAAAGACGCGATCATAGTAAGGGTAAAGGTATCTCCTATGGTACAAACTCACACAGCCCCCGAACTACTCCTCCGGCCCTTAGGCCTCGTTTTCACTCAGCTCGTAGTCGGCCTGGTCCTCGTCCCAGCGATAGGTGATCTCAGGGATCACCACGACCGCGGCGTACTCCCAGTTCTCGGGGCCAGCCGGCTTCTCGGGTCCCGCCGGCATCTCCGGAAGCTTCGCCTTCTTGTTGGCGGCCTCACCCGAGTCGGAGTCCTCCTCCCTGCCCCTCTTTCTAGAGGTGGTCGGGAGGGGATCCTCGACGGGCTCGGCCCTAGGCGGGGTGGCGGCACGGACTGAGGCAGGCTCGGCCTTGGGGGAGGAGGAGGGAGATAGGACCTTATTACCAGTCAGCAATAGTTCCCAAGATCGGTCAGTGGTGGATGAACTACCTTGGGCGTCATCGACGCCAACGCCCTCGCCCTGAGCTCAGCCTCGGCGAGAGTGGCGGGGGGAGAGGCAGCCTTTCGGGCCTGCTGGTAGGCTACCACCTTGGCTCTTGCCTCGGCGAGTAGCCTCTCCGCACTCTCCTTCTCGGCGGTGGCTTCCTTGAAGGTTGACATGGGGACCTGGTGGTCTCCAGAGGTCAGCTCACGCGCGTCGGAGCAGTACTCGGCGTTCCCGATTGGCGCCATGGCATTGTAGCCCTGTAAAAACATCAGCACACATTCACCATGAACAAGAAGGATGATACAGTACCTTGAGGTGGTTGTGTCCCCCGTGGGAGTACATGCAACCGCTCCCGTTCTTGCAAGTTCCGGCGAGGAAGTACTTGCACGTCAACCGACGTGTCTTGCAGTGACGGTATGGGCACTCTATCATCCCACCATCAGCTCAGTTCAACCCAACATGGAGAGATGTCATTCACTAGTACCGCGCGCGCAATGGCCCTTGGCCTCGTACTGGAAACAGAACTTCTTGTGTCTGTGGTAGTCGACATGGCGATCCTTGCACTATCCGTCATAATATGAGTATCATTATCAAAAAGTAAGAGTAACGGGAGAAGTGGTAAACTTACGAAAGCCTTGGTGCATCCTCTGTATCCGAGGGCACTCTTGGTGAAGTTGACACAGTCCTGTTGGCCGGGAATGGTCATGTAAGACTGCTGGCGCTGCTGGTACTGAGTGACGGACATCATCGTGTAGACGAAATGTAGATGTATGTAATCGACGTAAGGAAAAGAAAACGGTCCGAAGTGAGGTGCGATCTGGACGAACTTCGATACGAGGAAGTTGCTGTGGCTGTCGTGGTTCGAAACTCTGAAGAACTTGCTGTAGCTGTCGCTATAGCTATCGTGATGTCGTGGTTCGAAAGTTTGAACAAGTTGCTATAGCTGTCGCTGTAGCTGTCGCTGTAGCTGTAGCTATCGTGAGGTCGTGATGTCGTGGTTCAAAAGTTTGAAGAAGTGGAGAACTTGAACTTGTGTCCGAAGTGGAGAGGAGAGAAAAGCGCAGAGCGGGATGTAACTTGAACTTGAACTCGTATCCGAAGGGTTGAACAGAGAAGAGCGCAGAGCGGGAAGCAAGTTTTATCCGGATATCTCAGTCTTTAAAGAGGAGGGGAGAAAGTAGCTTTCGTTATGTCGTGAAGTCGTAGCTCGAAACTGTGAATAAGTTGCTGTAGCTGTCGCTGTAACTATCGCTGTAGCTGTCTCTGTCTCTGTAGCTATCGCTGTACCTCTCGTGAAGTCGTGAAGTCGTAGTCAAAAGTTCAAAAGTCCGAAGAAGTAAACAACCTGAACTCGTATCCGAAGTGTCGAGATTCGAGGAGCAGAGAAGAGCGCAGAGCGTGAAGAAGCTTCAATCCGGAGATTCTCTCTCGGTCTTTGAAGGGGAGGGGAGAGGAGGAAGTAGCTTTCGATCTCGAGCTCTTGATCGGATCGGACGATATCGAGATGCGGGATGCAAGATATGTTTCGCAAGTGTGTAGTCGAAGTGGAGTCGAAGAGCGTATGTGCAGTAGGTAGCGAAGAGTGTATGCGCGGTAGGTAGCGAAGAGTATATGAGTTATCGAAGAGTGGAGGAGGTTAACGCAGGTAGAAAGGTGGGAGGTGGAAAGCACTGAGGCAGCGTTGAGTTGACGAAGGAGGTTTAGTGGTGGTGGGGTCGAACGAATCGAAGCGTGTGTGTGTGTGGAAAGTCAAGTGCAGGAGCAGGAGCAGGAGCGGAAACTTTCGGATCGTTTGTTGTGTGGAGTGGAGAGGAAAGGAAGAAGAAGAGGAGGAGGTTGCGGCGCTCGGCTGAAGCTTTTATGGTGGTTGTTGTTGTTGTTGCTGTTGTTGTTGTTGTTGTAGGATGAGACTGGTGTTTTTGAGACTCAATCAAAGCTTTGAGGTGTGGGGCGTCCAGCTGCTTCTAGCGGTAGTGGCAGCGAGGTTCGAAGGAGCGATGTTGTGTCGGCCAAAGTGAGTGATTGTTTCGATAAGACCTCAGCTGGCTAGGCAATCGACGTTTGGGGGGATGGAACGACGCCTAAGTCTACTACTTCAGTCTCACGATACCTCAAACATGCGCACAAACAGGTATCTGAGCTCGCTGCTGCTTGCGGCTATAGTTCGGACTAGAAGTGAATCATCGCTAGCCCCAGAGTACCAGGGAATCGAATATAGGCCGAGTGCGTGAGCCTGCAGTTCCGCCCAAGCTGAACGTGCGCACTGGCAACTTGATGTTGTTGATCTCGACGTCCGTGCGCCTGAGCCCTGCATCATACTCGGGCCGATCCGTGACAGGCGCCAGGGCCACAAGCGAGCCAGTGAACATGAGCCAAGACATCTACTGCGCATCTCCTATTGGATATCTCAACCTCATCCCGTCGGCCGTTACTCTACTCTACATACAAGAAGCAAAACATGTTGCATCGATGTTCAAATATCATCAGAAAGAAAGAAAGAAAAGAAAGAAAACACAGTTATTCCCTCATGACGGAGCGTCCAAAAGTTTCCCCTGTAATTCTTTCAACTTCACATCGCTTTTCAACAATGCGGCTAGCGACAACGCAAGCTCTACGAACCGCTTCGCTCCAACAGTGTCGGATACGCTGCAATAGAGATTAGCATCCCAGAGCCTAGCCATACCGTCACGTAGGAAACAACATACCAAGAAAAATCAATAGACTTGTTCCATGTAGTCGCTAATATTACACTCCGCGTTAGTTCTTAATCTTCCCCACGTTATCCCAGGACCACCGGCGACATTACTCACCTATGAGCCACTCCAGCTCCGCTTCGGAGTACCGATTGTCAGGATCGGCACATTTTGCCAGCTCGATAGCTTGTGTCAACAGAGTCTCGACGATGCTTGCATCTCTCGACAAGGAGAACTGTATCAACCACCTGATCCATGTGGCCAGCTTCTGCATGTCATTGTACTGCACGGTTATCTTATGCTCCACGATCCGGTGCAAAACGTTCAACGCCGTCGTCTGGGGTGTCGTAGCACACATAACGATATCCGCGATGTATTCAAGCGCAAAGCTGTTCTGAGCGTCCAGTAAGATGGCTTCGTCAACCAACTGGTCAAGCTCATCCCACAACTTTAGTTTCGTGGCCCCTTCAAAGTCGAAAGGGAGCAATTTGTCAAATTTCCCTCGCATGTCCTTCGATTCCTCTTCCGATCTGCCCTCCCAATCGGTGTACACCTTTCGAAATCCTTCCACATGGCCCCTGGTAAAAACGTAATGCTGTAGCTGTCCTTCGATCGTTTCATCCAGGCGGGCGATGTTGATGCACATGTTTGCGCAGAGGTAGTGGAGACAAAGCTTTCGATGGGTGATCTCAGCATACTTTGCTGCCCCGATGTCACTGGGAAAAAGTTCAGTAAATCCGAGGCAGGCAGTGAATATTCTCAAGGTTATAGCCGGAGTCCATTCCACAACGCCTCTAAGTCCGAGGTTATATCCGTTGATCGAGAACCACTCCAACTCCGTGGTATCAAAGATCCGTGTTCCACCTGCGGCGTGTGGTCTTTTCCGTGACTTCTTTGCGTATTTCAGCGCTGAGGTGACAGGTTAGCCTTCCCACTCCATCTAAAGACATCCGAAAAATCGAGTATACCTCTTTCATATAAGCTACAAAGATTTTCGACATGAGACCTTGCGTCCCGTGTGTTCTCAATCTCCGTCATCGTCAATCTGATCGTCGACCGCAGTATGACCGGCACTTTTGCAGCCACCTCCGAGGAGTTCTCCGCTAGACCTAGTATGTACTGTAAGGACCTCAAGGCAATCCTGCGATTACCAATCTCTTGGGCATCCAAAGCACATGTGTATAGTAGCCTATGATCGCTGTCTGGGTGCTGTGCTATGATCTCGAGGCAATTTATAGCTAACTCTGTCAATCGGTGTAGGAGCTAAGATCGGAAACATCCCACTCACCAAGATCCTCATCCGATGTTCGTAGCGCGACCTTAAACATCAGAAGGCGGGTGAGCGGAGCATTCTTGGCGGCTTCGGACATGTCATTGAATATCTCGCCAGCGATTCCATACTCCTTCATCTGGATAGCGCACATGATGACTCGTCTATTCCCGTCAGCAGCCACAACAATACCGCCACAAACATAACCGGCAAACCCACCGGGCAATCTTTGCAAGATTCAGTTCTCCAGACCGGTCGAAGACTTTGTGTAGAGCTACGCGGCACCAGATGCTTGACAGATCGTACTTCTCTTGCAGATAGAACGTTTCCGACACCTTCCAGAGCAAAATTCGAGCGGCATGGGTGGCCGTCTGGCCAAGTGGTTTTGACAGCTGCTTCGTCAACTTGTCCAACAGCGATTTCAAATCTTCGACCGAATCTCCTTCGCGACTCGTTTTATCTTGAACGGTTGCCCACAAACGAGTGATAAATGCTTGAGCCAACCACTCATCGTTTTCAAGGAGCACCAGCCTTTTATTGATCAGAGTATCCATACAACCGCATGCGAGCCGCACTGCCTTCTTGGAGACAAGCACGTGTATTCGGCCCATTATTGCCTTGAATGTCTGCTCCGTCAGTTGTGCCACATCTATCATCTGTCGAACGATTTGACAATACGCTTCCACGTCCTCGGGCGCTTCTGCTTGGGCCAAATCCAATCTGAGCAGGAGAGTCGTTAAGCGGTGAGGCCATTCGTTAGAAATGATGTCGACTATGTTCTTTGCTTTCTTGAAGTTCTCTTGGATGCCCGATTTGATGCACGCTCTCGCTATTGACCATGTTAGATCTATTGATTCTTGATAAAAACGTATCGATCATACCGAGATTATGGGTTGCGCTCAACCGCAATTCAGACCCGTGTTCCGACAGGTACAAGATCTCCACCTTATCCAGAACATTGAAAGCTCTTTGCAGCCATTGAATTGCTAGCGGATACGACTTCTGTTTGAACAGCTCGTTTCCAATCTCAAACAGCGCCTTAGCCATGTACTCGGCGACATGGGGCTGCGAAAGCGCTTCGGCCATGCCATCCTCCGTGACTCTCGCAAACGTATTATTCGCCAGAGGGTGGTTCCCCTGTTTCCAGTGTAGCAGCATCTTGATGGTGTAGAACCCGCAGCTCTGACTCGCCAGCTGCGCTTCCGCATCTGGCCCGTTGTCCTTTGCGATTTTTTTGAAGCGTTCTCGATGCGAAGCGGCCCGCTCAAGCACGCTGTTGGCCCAGTGCAGTTCTCCTTCGTCTACCTCTTACGATACACTCGCACACGAATCAGCTCCTTCATCTAGTCGAGCGAGTGCACAACAACACATGGCAGCTTGGTTTGCCGACTGGACGGATGGATGCACGAACCCACGCACTGACGAGCTGCCTTCAGTGCCACTTTTAATAACCGTGCTATGTTGCGATAGTTCGCTGTCGCAACCTGTTGCGAACACTCTATCATGTAGAAAGCCAGCAACCGGACTGGGCATCACCCTAGCACATCAGAATTTCTATCCATCAACAAACCAACAACAACCGTAACATAACAACAATAACAACAACAAAAGTTGATATTGCAGCGGGAGCACACGCACCGTGGAGATTCCTTGTCCTGTTGGAAACGCCGTCCGGACCGCTGTGGGGGAGGAGGTGCTGTACGTCCCTATCTCGTGCCAGGTTTGCGGCAAGATTCCACAAGTCGGTCCCAACAACATCCAGGTCATCGAAGCCCTCTCTCAACGAGGGCAGCGACTGACGGGCTGTAGCACAACGTTCAGCCAATCTCAGGGCAGAATCGAGACGTACGCCCAACGCTGACGCCGACGTTGACGCCGACGCTGACGCTGTATTGCCATTGTTGTTGTTGCTCGAAAGCTCTTTTCTCAGCTCGGCAGTTGTAGCTGCTCCATGGCAGTTTTATTAGTCCGTCGATCGGTAAAAGAACACACCTAAGTACCTACCCCCCAGCCAGCCAGCCAGCCAGCCAGCGGTAAGTAGGTACCGTGTAGCTGGGAGAGGCGGGGATGTACCTACCGAGCAAGCTTTTGATCTTCGCACGCAGAGATCCGGTGGTGGGGATTGTTGTCTCCATTTCGAGCTGCAAGTAGTTGCCGAATGCAGGACCGGCCGAGGAGCGGTTGGGATGATGTGCGTTTTATGTGCCTCGGGCGATCAAGAGTAGGAGGTAGAGATCGAAGCCAGGGGCGCCACTCGCAGGAAGCGGACAGTGAGGGGAGAGGAGGGGAAGGGGGACGGAGGGGAAGGATGGATGTGGTGTGTGTGTGCGTGTGTGTGTGAAAAGGATGGTTGAGTTGAGCAGGTTGTATGTATGGACTGACTATGGTTGGAATGGGCTGTATGGACGGTGTTGGCTGGCTGGCTGGCTGGGATGGGAGCAGGTGCAGTCAGTTGTGGTTGCAATGGTTACTTAATGTACGTCGAGCACGCAAAGCAAAGCAAAGCATGAGCTTGGAGCGTAAATAGAAGAGTGCACTCTCCAGATGCAGTCGGCCGCGTTTCCATACACCCATCCGTACTTCCATCCACCCATCCACCCCATGAATCCAGCCCATCAGGCCGAGTCCCCTCACACACGGGCACTCGCAGCAGCACGCCCGCCAGCACGCCCGCCAGCAACAGTCACAACAGACAGTGATGAAGCACGGATAACCCATATAGATGCAGTTACCATGTCCCCCCATGTGCTAGAACGCGGGGCATAGTTCCTTGAGTATACAGAAGCAGCGCCGGTAGCCCAACAGGCATCCAGAAGGAGAAGTACGCATCTCACCCGTACCTACCATATGGCCCAGGCTCGGTGGGTACATGCGCCGTTACACACTCTTGGGGTCCATGTAAGTGCAAGCAAAACAATTCATCGGCAACGAATAGACGCGGACGGGCAGTATGAGCGGTCCACCGACGATGGAGTCGTGTGGGCTCCCATGCCATGACACGGCTCCTCCATTCCCTGGGCTCCAGTGAGCACAACGCCACACAAGCAGGCCAGGACACACAAACGGTCCTCGCCGCTGGGACCACCTTGCACCGCTTGCAGTACCACCTGGATGTAACCACACACGCATCGAAAGGAACCGAGACGGTGAAAGGGTCTATACGCTGATGATTTTGCGGTCGAGCACCAGATACAGATGGGAACATCAACAAGCCAGCCATCGATATCGAGGATCAAAGAAAGGACGACACGCCACAGCACCAGCACCAGCCCAACGACAACCCGCAGCAGCTAAACGCCAGACAATCCTCCTGTCTAGAACGGAATGTAACCAAAAAGGTAACCAAAAACGAAAGGAAATCAAAACAGTATGCAAATACACAGAAAAGAAGAGGTATGCAATACACATCTAACCAGCACAGATCCTACCCAGCTGCTCATCGAACGACTCGTGTGACACTGTTACTTACGGGGGGCATTAATGGGGATTCGTTAAGACGTAGACAGACAAACGGACGGACAGACGAATGTGTGAATGTGTTGCAGCAAGCCACCAGTGAAGTAATGCGGGGTATCATACGTCAACATCGAGTATTGGGAGGGAGGATAGTGCTGTAGTCCGACTCTCACGAGCTGGGAATGTGTTTCTTTGGGTGTATGGGCATAAAGTTGCCAATGATGAGCGCGGGTCTGTTGGCACGGCAGGGTGTCAGCAAGGGGGGAAGTCTCGGGCAGCTACAGCAGCAACAAATATACAACCCTCATCACTGGGTTGTGTAGCTGTGGGCGGGTGAGTACTAACATGTCATAGCTGTCCCGTCTTATTGTGAAAGAGAAGCAACAGTGGATCAGCTTTTCCGTGGCAGTGGGGTCCGGGTTTTTGAGATGGCAGCTTGTGAGCATGGCCTTTTGCGTAGTGTCGAAAGCTATAGTGCCGAATTTCTGCCAGTAGCTGACCGCTGAATCCTCCACGATCAATTCGTAGATTGCAAGTTTTCCCTGCGACCAATCAGCAACGTAAAATCAAATGGTCTAACTAGAATAGCACATACGTCTCGCATGTGCTCGATAGGAACATTTATCAACTCGGCGAACTCTTTATTTCCCCGGAAGATTTCTCCGGTTCGGCGCCAGAGGCAAGCCGGCACCGCCATGGACGCGAACACACGGTCGTACTCGAGCAACGATTTCTCGAACCACTCTTCCACATGGACCAGATCCAAGTCGGTCAGCGACTGCGTGCGTTCCCGGAACTTGGGCCTGAACTCGTCCAGTTTCGACAGGATCTTCTTCCGCGAACTTGGCTGCATGTTCTTCTCCATGTACTGCGAGAGCCTGGCGTAGCCCTTGACGTAGTTGAAAGGTTTCAACAGCCCCGCTTCCAGCTTGGCCTTCAACACCTGCTTCATCCGCTCTTCAGGGACATCCTTGTTAGGATCGGCTGCGGTCAGGTAGTAGTTCTCCCGCGCGCGGTCCGAGGCCCGCCCGTTCCCGGGCCGAGAATTGGTTGGGTTGGTATTCGACGCCGGAGTCGTGTGCCTTTGCGGGGTGAAATCGCTGAGCCCGAGGGGATTGGGGGTTCCCTGGGCATTATCGAACAGCCCCGGCGAAGTGTCAAATAGCTCCTCCGAATATAGGTTGCCCAGAAAATCGCTCAACAGGTTGAACTCGCTGGAGACCTCCGGTGCGGAAAACATCCACTGCTGATGGTACGGGTTCGTGAAACTTGACGTTTGCTGAGGTTGAGGGATGTCCCAGTCGCTGACTCCCAAGACTACATTTCGAGTCAGAGGGCAAAGTCGGGGTTTTATACGGAAAGAAGAAAAAAAAGAGACAACGTACAAGCTTGGGAGTTTGCATTCATATTTGACCGGGGTGTCACCGACACAGCTGATGGTGCTACTGTCGACGGCCCCCCACCGGTCCTGGACGTTGGCAAGGGGGGTGGTCCAAGGGACACCGCGACTTGAGTTGCGGAAACCGTTGGCTTCAAGTCCTGGTGCTCCATAGAATTCGACATACCATTGACCGATGGGGCAATTGATGCCTTTGGCGAAGTGTGGATGTGCTGATCCTCGTGGCCATTCTCCTGGCCCGAGTGTTCGGCCTTGTGTTTCTTTGGCTCTCGAGGCTCGTCGTGGCAGAGATGGCCGATGTTCCTTTTTACACAGCGCGTGCAAGGCCGAACTGATGATGGCGCCCAAGTATAATTAGATTCATATTCCCAGACCAATTGAAAAAATGGATCCTGCTCGCTCTCCGTTCCATTTCCCCGCCCTCCGAAAAGGAATCCGACGAAGAAAATGACCACGTACCATCGTTGCATGTCATGTGGGAGCGACGGCAATACACACAAGCTATCACGCGACACTCGAGTCAGTTTTTGAGAGAGAAAGTAGGCAGCAAGGAAAAGTAAGTGGGGTATAAGTGCAGTGCAGGGCCAATGGAACCGCGCGCGGACAGGTACAACAAACAACTCACCATGATTGACCTTACGCCGCTTCTTGGGGCTCCGTCCCGACGAACTTTGTGCTGTGGCGGACGGTGGTGGGGACTGCGAATCAGTAGCCGACTGCGCGGTTGCATCGGCAGAGCCTTCCCCGTGGTGATCGTCGTGATTCCCTCCTCCTGCGCCTCCGCTCCCCCCTCCTCCTCCTGTTCCTCTTCCTCCTCCTCCTCCACCAACACCGTTACTATTTGAGGATACCTGAAGTTCTGTCATACCGGCTGGGATTGTGGGCGGCGACGGCGGCGGGCGGTCTGCGTGCGTGAAGTTGTGATTCGTGCGATGCGCGGTTCTCCTCAGCGGAATGGAATTTTTGCTTTTCAACTGCCGTGTTCACCGAGATTTCGTCGATATTTTGGTTCGTGCACACATTCAATCGAGAGGAAAGCGTGTGACCAATTGCGAAAAGAGATGATGAGAAAAGAATACCCTACTGCCTATAGCCGAGCAATAGAGAGAGAGAGCGCGCGCCAATAATGAATCCGGTCTATCTTCTTGCTCTTGTTGTCCTCTTTTTCCTCTTCTCTTTTTTTTACCTTTTTTAGAGGGCCCTGATCGAGGCTGTCGTTCGTCCGTCCGTCCGACCGTTCGTCCGTCGTCCTGTTCGGCGCAGTATCTATCGAGAGTAACCCGAGAATGCGAGGTGTCGCTCTGCCGCAGGAAAGGTCCAGCAGGCCGGGATGGCTGGGTAGGCGAGAGCTTTCCTCTTCTTCTTGTTCTCGGTGCGAAGCCGCAGCGGCGGTAAGTCGAAACGGGGGGACTGTCGCGTGTGGGTGACGATAGTGGTGGTGATGGCGGTAGTGGTGGAGGTAGTGGCCGATGTGGATGTGTGCAGAGTGTTGTGTAGGAGCAGTTTTCGGCCGGCAGCGGCGAATCGGTAAAGTAAGCTGTGCCTTCTGGATGGATGATGGCTGGCTGGCTGGCTGGCCAGAGGGTGCCAGTGTGCTAAGTTCTTCCTTCTCCTCGCAAGGGCACTACTGGTAGGTAACGCAACTGAACATCCATCCACGGCTTCCTTCGAAGCCCTGTAGATCCGCTAATTCCCACTTCCTAGGCCAGCCAGACTGCCCCGTTTCCTCGGAGAATTACTACCTAAAACTTCGAAATGCAGCCTTGCCGACTCGATTAGGTTCTCGAGCTGGTGGTCGCCACTGGACGGGCCAGGATCGTGGCTCGCATCGAATCGGTAGCTGTCCATAGCTAGAGTACTCGATTTTGTGGGGAACCACCCATTCGAATGCCGACCAAGCGTAGAAATTGGAAAGGTTATCCTTCCTACACACTTCCCGTCCCATCGGGAGAATTCCTCAGCACCAACTCCCATGTGATTAACAATTACATACACAATGTGCCGTAACTACCTACATGCACTCTGTATGGACAGGACACTCTACACGCTTTTACTTGGTGCTTGGCCAGCAAGGTGTTTCTGGTATCATACAAGTACGAGTACTCGGGTGTGAGGGAAAGTGATGCACCACCACCACCGCGAAGTGGTGCCTAAGGAGGTGCACCACTTACCCTTACACCCGTGTACTCGGGTGTGAGGGTAAGTCGTGCACCACCACCACTACCAAATGGCGCTTAATGGGGTGCACCACTTACCCTTACACCCGTGTACATACCGTCTGATGAACAGGAAAAAAACAAATATCCATACACAGCCCCAGGAAGCAACACCTCGGCCCGAACATTACCCAGCACCGGAAATGCAAAGTACATACAAAATGCGAACAAAACACCTGCTCCAGAAACGCCTGATCGCCCGCCCAATGGCAAATGAATGAATGAAACAAGATCACAAATCGAGAATCGCTTTACTATGCAACGTAGGAACACCGCGCGACAAAACGTCACGGACAGCTCCACGGCCGTACCCAATAGCTTCGGGTATACTTCCGATTACGGCCGTGTTCGTTTCCATGCTCTGGAGGTGCTGGTGTAATTGCGCCGTGATTGAACATAGGTCACGGTCTTTCTGCGGGTCGTAGGCGGATGGCGCTTGTACATCAGGGGGCGCGGACACGCCGATGGCTTCGGGCCCGTCGTATGTGGGTGTCTGTGGCTCTGCGCGAATGGCCCGGGGCAGCTGCATATGTGGGCCATGTCAGATCAATCGAACTCGTCAATCGTAATGCAAATTCGGAAGCAAAAAAACCCCCCACCCAACATACCACTCGTAGTTGCTCCGCGCGAACTCGTTCATTATCTCTCGCGTTTTTCTGCAGCAGACTCAACTCCTTCTCATCCTTAGCCAGCAACGCAGTCTGCAACTTCAGTTCCTTCTCCAAATCATCATTGTGTCTCAGCGTCGGCGCAAGGACAGCCTCCAACTCAGTAGTCCTATGCACCAGATCATTGTAATCGAGCGTGACCTCCTTCCCCACATGCGGCAGCGGCATCCTCTGTACACAAACCAGCAACCTGTCCTAAAATTCAGCCTTTGCCTGCCCATTGCTTATTCAACCCAACTCACCTCGCGACAACCGCGCGCACCGCGTGCTGAGCTTCCGCCTGTGCCGCTTCCTTGCGGAAACTCATGACTGCCGGCGCCTCGGCCGCGCGCAGGATCTTCTTGACGTCTTCTTGCGTCTTCTCGTTCGCCAGTGGCCACCGCTTAAAATCAGATTTCTTGACGACCCGCAGGATCTCACGGAGGACTGGCGCGCCCGCGTCGATGGCTACCTTATCGCCGCCTGATTGACCTGGCCACAGTCAGTCTCCGAGTTGAACCCCCCCTGTGGGCTGTAGTACCTTCATCCCCGCCCTCCTCCCCCTCCTCCGCTTCTTCCACGGCCTTCCGTTTTTTGGATGTCCCTGCGCCAGCTGCTTTACCACTAGTGTCACCCCGTTTCTGTGGCTTATTGGCGGCAGCCTTCGGCTTTAGTTTTGTCGTTTTGGTCGATGACGACGATGCAGTGTTTGTTGTTGTTTTTACGGGCGCCGGCGCGGGCGCGGAGATGCCGCTGCCGGTTACTCGTTTCTTGTTCGCCTGCTGGGCCTAATACGTCAGTCCACTTCTCCCCCTCTCAGGACGCGGGGGTGGGTGTACCATTGTGTGTGTGTCGGGAAAGAGTCGGGAAAGAGAGAGGTAGATAGAGGACGTGATGACGACGCCGACGTGTTTACAGTGCGGCTGATCTGGGGAAGACGCGACCCTGCAGGCGCAACCCACATGAGCTTGGCAAAAACTGTGAGCCGCACAAACCTATCCCCGCCAAACTACAACTTTTCCCCACGTCCTCCGAGCAGAGCAGAGCAACTCCCGATCCGTCCAGCCAGCCAGTCAGCCAGCAAGATAGCAAGATAGCATTCCGCAACAATGACAGGAGCCATAGCGCGCATGCGCACCATGCGGGGTGTACGTCCCCTCCCTCTAGCCCTCTCGGATTGAAACTGACAGGACGGCAGAAACTCGCCCTCGTCCGCAACGGCTTCGGCGCCGCCATCATGCCGCCGGAGGTGAAGCGGCTAGCACTCACGTACGCGGCCAAGATCAATGAGGGTCACATGGGACCACGGTTTGTCTCCCGAATTCCGAATTCCCAATCCAGTATGTGTGCGGCAATGGGGAAGCTGATGAGAGATTCCAATGCGACACACACACAGGAAATTCTGGCGTCTCTACCTCCCGCGACTGAAATACCACAACCCCGACCTCCCCATCGAGGTCGAGCAGCGACACGAAATCGGCGGGCCCGCGACGCTGACTGTTGAATTCGGTAACTATGCCCACCCCCCCTCCCTCCTTCCCCGAGGTCCCCCGATTTACTGACCCCGAACAGCGGGCGACAAAAAGGAAGTCATCGACTGCCAACACATCCACGAGAACGACATTGTGAAGCAGCTGTTTGAGATGACGCGGGCGAAGCAGCTGCCGATCAATGAGGCCGACAGCTTACTGGCCAACGAGTACCTCCAGGAGAGGGACAGGCTGAGGCGCGCGACTATCACGAAGGAGGCGAAGAGGGCCGCGAAGAAGGAGGAGGAGAGGGTGGGCGGGGGTATGACTGCGTAAATGGGTGGGTGGAAAGATGGAAAGATGGATGGATTGATGGCATGGTGTACTATAGAAGAGTAGATTCGGGATTCTGTCGCTTTGGCGATGTATGATACGCTTGTGGATTGCTGCAATCGGCCCTTTCCATCGGCGGTGGACCGGCTGGTCGAGCGAAGCCTTGACTCTCCATACCTCGGTGGAAGTGAGATACCATGACCCGGTCCGGTACCACTCCCATCATACATAGCAAGCACAACTTACAAGTCCTCCATCATACTCCATACCATGCGAACTACTTCCCGGGCCTACTCATAAATGTGCCGCAGAGCACATCCATTGTTTCGTTAGTACACAATTGCAAGTGATAAACCTAATCAACCCCACAGCATTGCCCCAAATATCACTCGGAAGTTGAAACCTCACTCCCGCCCTCGAAAGGTCCAAGCGATTCGGCACATACATAGCAGCCAGCCACGATCTCCACACCGCGCACACCGCACCGTACCTACAGGCCGTGCGCAACGACATCGGCTCAAGGGGTAGCGCCAACTATCGACGCCGACGCCGACACACCGGGCACAAAGCCGATGCCATCCACCCATGGACCATACCCAGGGTAGGTAGGGAGGTAGACGACCGCGAGTGAGCGCCGGCAGAATGCGACATCACCCCACCTTTCACCTCCACCACCCGATGTTTCAGTGTCTCGACACGGCAGCTGAATCTGAACCTGAACCTGAACCTGAACCGAGGAGTCGGAACTCCGACCAGACCAGACGCGTTTTCACCCCGCCCCTTCCTCCTCCCCCCGCCCCTCCCCGCCCCCTGAGCTCAGAAGCAGACCATTTGTCTGTACCTGTGTACATAGAGAACACCCTGTGCTATACCTATTCCACGCTCATGCACAGTAGATCACTCACCCCCCGGGCCCCACCCACACACCCCCGGTCCTACATTCCCAAGTTACCCCTTGCACGGGAGCTCACAGTGCCGTTACTCCGCCATTCCGATATTTCCGGTGCACTGCGCATTGTGCATTGTGCATGACAAGGCGGGGCGGGGCGGAACACTCGGATTCCCCCAACTTCTGTTACCGTACATCTTCAAAGATGGCATCTCAATCCACTCCAACACGCAATTAGGTACATAGATTCTCTCAGCAGCGACTCGCTTATATACCTATGATGTATGTACCTATATCAAACTGCCGCTCTACGGCGGCGGAGGACGGACGGAAGTAGATCCCGAGCGTGACGGAACGGGACTCGAAGGAAAGTAAATCCGTCGCTGTGCGCGGATGTGATTATGTACAAGTATGTATGTATGTATCATTCAAAGACCAATGACCAATGACCAATGAGCAAAGACCCACTTCTCCCATATCCCCACTACCCCCCGATATGAACCCCCCACCTCACTCCGTCACGATTTTCCTCAGCAACTTACCAAACACGCCTCTGATGCGCTGGGGCTTATGTCTGAGCACGGTGAGAATGACGCCGGAGCTGAGCGCAAAGACAGTATTCTCGATCCACTGATGCCTTGGGTTATAGGTGCGAGGCAGGAGGACGGCAAGGGCGCGCGGTGCGACAAAGAACGCGATCTCAGTGCGCCTGTGTGGCGTCTCGACGAGAATGCTCCATCCGCAGAGGAGACAGCCGACCTTGACGCAGAGGTTCTCGAAGGCCAGGGGGTCGAGCGTCTTCAGCAGCCGTGGGCCGATGCGGGTCCGGGTGAGGCATATGGCGTACCAGAAGATGCCGACGAACGAGCCGAGGAAGGCGGATGAGCGCACGGCTTCGAAGAGGGCGCGGAGGAGCGCTGATGCCGCCGGTCGACGCGGCCGGAGGAATTTGACCATGTTGAGACCTAGATACAGCGGGAAGGCCGTCTTCCACGTGGCGATCCAGAACCGCCGCAGCGCGAAGAGCTCACAGCTTTTGGTTTGCCCGCCGTGGACTACTTCGCATGGGATGGGGATGGTTTGCGCGGGGTCGCCCCACGCCGGTGGCAGGCCCAGGTCTGTGCAGTAGGATGGCAGCACGGGTGGGACGTCGGTCGTGACGCCATAGATGAAGTCGCCGTTGCGGATCTGGCGGAGCGTCTCGACAAGTCGGTGGTCGGCTTTGGCGATGTTAACTATCTGTTTGTTGTAGGCCCTACACAGACAGACACACACACACATCAGAAAAGACGGCTCCAGATATATCAATCACGAAGCTAGAATGTGGAGACATACGCAGGCAGCTTTTCCGGATAATAAAACCAGGCAAACATGATAACCGCCGTGCTCACAGCAAAGACGAGGGAATCCGCGACGTATCCGATCGAGGAATCCAACTTGTTGAACTTCCCAGCGCGGACACGGCGGTCCTTTCGCCTCTCCCACAATTCCCCCACAACGATATCGACCGCGCGGGTCAGGGCAAACAAGGTTAAGTCCAGCGTCCGGCCAGCATCGCCGGTCTGGCGGGCGTTCAGTAATTGCAGCCCACCGGCTGCTGCAAGGGCGCCGGCTGAGAACGACGCCAACCCATGCCGCGATACCAGCGCCGTCGCTGCCGGATTCCCCCCAGGGTTTATTCGAGCATCCGCTGAGAGCAGCTTCTCGAAGAGCGGCTGGAGAATAAGGCGCGCGGTCACGGTAAAACCGCAGAAGGCGGGAAATCGGTGTATATCTAGAGTTTGTCTCAATATTCGGAGAATCTGTTTTTTTGGTTTCCCTGGGTGTCAGTTTACCATTGCTAAAGGGTGGGAATATGGGGAGCATAAGAGGGAAGACAGTCCACAGCAACACTCACATCCGCGCCTGTATGCTTCTTCTCTTCCGTCTTTCCATTCGCTCTGCTCTTGTTCCGGCCCTTTCTCTGTCGCACCTTCGCGAAGATGAGACCCAGCAGTCGCGGGCCCAAAAACGATAACGCACCAAAACCATAGGCCCTAAGGATTCTGATACCAATGTTGGGGTCGGTCAGTAAACATCACCGCCAACAACAAGCAACCACGTCCACGTGCTGCGCGCGCACACAACACACGACGTCAACCCGGAACAGGAACTCACGGATCGATTCCCCGACGATGCAAAGCTTTTGTCGCCTGGATCTCCATGGCGATCGAACTGTCACCGATCTTTCTTCGTTTTTTGGCTTTCTCGCTTTCTCGCTTTGTTTCTTTCTTTCTCTCTTTCTTTCTGTTCCTTTCCCTTCCTCTTGTTTCCTTTCTATCTTCCTTCGTGCAACACACAAGCAAGCAAGCAGGCAAGCAAGCAGACACCGGCTCGGGGGTGGTAGGTAGATACGGTAGGTGCGGTACAGTACTGTAGGTACGCCGCGCGGTTTATCGAACGTCAACGGGCCGGAGCTAGTTTACCGGGGAAATCAGACAGACAAGCAAGTTCGAAAGCAGTTGAAACCGCGGGTCGGATATGTCAGGTATGATAGACGGGTGGGGATATGTATGTCGGTATGTCGGCATGTACCTAGATGTTAGTTAGAACTTAGCAGGGCCGAGCAGAGCAACGTCGAGCGACGTCGCGGATATGAACTCAGGGATGGACGAGTAACGAGTTGTTCGACAGGCGGCACTTGCGCCGCACTGCACTGCACTGCTGCGCTGCACGGCAACTGCAAAGTTGGAATGAGATTCCCACTCCCCCCGTTCCAGCCCACCTCACCCAACGCGGGATCCAAGACTTGCTGGTGCTTGTGCGTGTGCGTGTGCTACCGTGGTATGACGTTGAGACTTCACGCCACATAACGAACCAGTACCTTGCGACGCGTCGGGAATCACATGTCAGAATGCCTGTGTAGAGTATGTAGGGTATGTATGGTGTTTTTGAAGATCTAAACTCGTGTTCTTTCTCTGCTGGAAGGGAAGAGAGGCGCTGTGGCGTGGCGTGTGATTGCGATTTTCGTGGAGTGCGGCGAACGGTCGGCGGCGCTGTGGCAGCACACTCGAATGCCGTAGGGCTGGCGGTGGCCGTGCCCGAAGAGCTCTCTCGCTCGTCTGTTGGAGACTGTGCTCCATCTACGGTCTCTACTGTCGTATGTAGCACACACACGAGACTGCACATCACCTCGACCCGCCCTCTCCTCGCTCGAATTCTTCAGCACACTACTACATACACAACAGCGTCGCACGCTTGTATCCCACCGCAACTCCGCAAGCTGTCTGTGACTCCGTGAAAACTGCGGTGTGCGGTTTTCCGCGATCGATCCATCGCGGTCCGTGTGCAGCGTGTGCAGTCCGGCTCCCTCGCCGCATGCCATCCCATCCCATCGGTCAGTTCCGTCGACATGTGAAAGCTGAGCACAAGGCCGCGCCGTCAGCAACAGGGATGGGGAGGGGGCACTGGGGCAGAACTTAGAAGCTGTGCACACTGCACACTGCAATTCCTCGATGCGGTTTGGACTCGAGAGCGGGTGCTCACTGCGGAGGCCTGCGGAGGCCTGCGGAGGGGTGCCTGGACATGCTCTACTTCTTGCATACATACAGACGTGTGGGAGCATCGCTAACCAAAACGGCGCAGAGGCAGAGGCATGGAAGTTGCAACTGCGAATCTGCGAGGGAGAAAAAGAGAGATGGTGCTCTGAAGAAACCTGGGGAAGCGCTAGAGCTGGTGGAGACTGGAGGGGAGGGAGGGGAGGGGAGTGGAGGGGAGGGGTTTACTAGCTGGTAATTAGTGGTTGATGGGGAACTCCTGCGTCGGCCGGCTAAGTATGCTCGTTGCTCCCTCTTTCACATGGCAATCGCGGACCACCAGCCTCCACCGTCCCCAGGCACTCGCCGAACGGATGCTTGGATTGGATGCGAATAGAGTACGGTAGAGTAGAACAAAAAGCAAAACGAAAAGGATGAATGCGAGGAGTGAGACGAGACGGCTGGGCTCTGGATGGGAGGGAGGTAGATTCTCACCCAGGTAAATACTTGCTTGGGTAGATATCGGTACTTAGAAGTAGTTGGTTGGTTAGTGGGACCGGCCACACTGTGCGGCCAGGAGCTCGTTCATCCGTCCGTCGTCGTTCGGTATCATCAGCCTATTTGTAGCCGTGGTATCATGTATCCACAATGGTGATGGGTGGGTGCAAACCAGAGAAACTGGAGGAGGATCAGCAATGGCAATCAATCCGATAGGGATTCGATACTCTACCGTACTCTATGAACCGCTGGGCCTTGTCTGTCAATCGCCCAGGAACTGTACATAAGGTGCTTGAGTAAGCAAGTACTCGGGCAGAGTATTCGGTGAAAGGCAGAGTGCTAGATACTATGATAGTACTAGAGTTGGTACTTGCCTTGGTACTTGGTGTCCCATGCTCCTGAGGAAGCGCAATCCCAAATAACCGTTACTTCCGGCGAAGATCTCGACAGTCGAGACTCGAGACGCCAAACGTCGACGACGAGCTTTACCCCTTCTTCTCGGGACGAGGGCGGGGTCACTCCTTTCATTGTTGGTCTTTGTCGTCGTCCTCTCCTTCGGTATAGACGGTCCTCCCCTTTCCTATACATACCTCAAACCTCATTCTTCCTCCGGCCTCCTCCTCCGGCCTCCTCCAACTCCAACTCGCATTCGTTCCCTCCGCGTCCCTCCGACACATATCGTACAACTCCAGCTAGAAGTCAGATCTGCATATTAAAAAAAACACCAGACACCGCATATTTGTCCGATCCCAGATTCGCCGCTAGGTACTCTACTCCGCGTAACTGTTATACCTACATACGAGTGCATGGGCATGTAGGTGGTGTTCTGCCCCTCCAACTCCTCCTGCTCCTCCTCCACCTCCTACGCACTGGTACCTACCATCAAACCCGTTGGCAACACCGTCGAGAAATCTGCACACGAAACCACACTGGCCCAGACGGACAACCAGAGATACGACGGAACACAAAATAACAAGCCACAAAACCTCGACACGACACAACGAGACCATATCAGACCATACACTTTCATTCTCACTCGTCTCCCGCTAGCTTTGCCCGAGAAATCGTATCTCCGCTACTGGTATCCGATTCTCTCGTGCTTCCTCTCTGCGCTCCTACGCACCCCCGAGGCCCGAAGTCGGCGAGCGAGCCGGTGAGCCAGTGATTCGTACGCATAAACGATCGCGGAGCATCATTCTGGAAAAGCATCTGCTTCTGTCTGCGCGGAGACCAAAAAACGCGCCAGGTGACGACGACCACCCGCGCCAACCCCAACAACGCCCCCCACAACAACGCCCCCACACACAACCACCCCCGACCCCCCCATTCGCTTCTCTCATCAAATGCTCAACTCACCTCTACTCATACACAACCATCTCAACCCCGAAACAACAAAATACATGCACAACAACTACATACCCTCGTCTTCGCGGTCGCCTCCCCTCGACTGGACCTCTGTCTGTGTGTACCACCAACCTTTCCCCACCAACCACCAAGCTGCGCTCTCGCTCATGATCCTCTCGCGTACTTTGTCGACTGACAGTTCATGCTTGTACCTGCAGATGGACTATCCAGTTCGTTGGGTTCACTAGATGTTCCTTCTCCCCCGCCGCCCGTGGGTCAGCCCCTGCTCGATCCTCAGCAGCAGAACTTCTTCGACCAATTCTTCAACATGCCGCACGACATGGTGCCCTCGGTAGATCCGTCGCACATCTTCGAACCGGAAATACCAAAGGACACAGCTATGTGGCCTACTACCGTGCCCCGCGGGTTCGTGCCGCAGATGCACACGCTACCGAACGGTGCTCTCTCGTCCCCAGGCCCGAACAACAACTACTACGGGAGCCACGTCCCTTCGGCGCCATCCATGGGCGCTCCGCATATCGACCTCAACCCATTCACCGGTAATCACGAAATGATGCGCTCGCAGAACCCCCAACATCCGATGAGTACCGCGCCCGGCTTGCTCAACTTCGGAACGGATACAAATTTTGCGCCCAATGGATATCACCCACCAGCCGTCACCGCCGCGCTCGATAAGGACGCGGAGGTGCGCTCCAAGGTCTACTCGGCTCTCACGCGGAACGGATCAGCAGTAACGACGGCTGTGAACTCGCCAACTGAAGTCAAGGGTGACCCCGAGGATGACTACGGCGATGAAGATTCTTCGCCGGGGATGGGCGAAGGTGGCAGCATCTCCTCCCAATCAGGGACGGGCATGAAGCGACGCACGGAGGACGGCGGGGATTTCACTCCGTCAAAGTCCGCGCGGAAGTCGCGGCCCCGAAGCTCCGAGTCTGCGTCAAAGTCTAAAAAGAAGCCAGTCCAGAAGCGGGATAACTTGACCGAGTCCCAGAAGCGGGAGAATCACATCCACAGCGAGCAGAAGCGGCGGAATCTGATCCGACAAGGCTTTGAGGAGCTGTGCGCGTTGGTACCAGAGCTCAAGGCCGGCGGATACAGTAAAAGCGCTGTCTTGATCCACGCGGCAAACTATCTCGACGACCTGAAGAAGGGGAATAACCGCCTGAGGCTGTACCTACAGCAGCTGGAGGGAGCGGGAGGACAGTTCTAACAGATGCTAGCTAGGCCTGGCAAGGGTCTTTGGGGTATTCTTTCTTTCTTTTCTTACGTGGAGTAAACACATGATTGATTTGTTTTTTCGACACGGTGGACGTTTGAGACGGTTCAAAATGGGCTGGGCTGGGTGCGACTATGATCTACTATCTATGACTGGAGTTCCTGGGGAAGGGGTTACGGGGGTTTATTACTTTTTTTTCTTTCTTTTCTTTTCTTGCTTCGTTTTTGAGATCTCGCGAATCATCATGCTACTGTACCTACCGGTACTACTTAATGCTCTCTCCAACCTTTTTCTCCTCCTCCATTCCGATGGTCCTTTGTATGTACGTACGTAGCATGAGGGAGTCCTTGGTATCTGTACATTTTGTTTATTCTCTCACTGGCGTTCAATGCTGCTATGAATGTTTTTTCTTGTTCTTTTCTCTTGACTTCTCTGTACGCTTTCCATGTACCTAATGTACCTAATGTACCCACCGGATGTTCACGCCCGTTCATGTCGTAGCTACATGGTAGTTGGGATTATCCGCATTGTACAATACATACGATGCGGCACCTGGTGCTGCGATTCCTGGTGCTTACGATACTCTAATCTACCATACTCGGTCCAGTGTTCGCGGATGAGAGCGGAACGAACATGAGCTTACATAGCCTTGAGTTCTGGCCCTCTGCTGAGTCTCTTTCGTGGAACTCTAGTAGGTATGCTACATATAGCGCTGGGAACTTGGAAGGAGGTAGGCAGGCCTGATAGGGTGTATATTGAAGCCGGCCTCTCAGCCTTCGAGGGGGGGGACGTTTAGTTTTTTTGTTTTTTGTTTCATCATCGTAGCATTCGACCTTGGCAGATCATGGCTGTATACACGTCCGGTTCCACCCCACTGTCTCCGACCGCTGGCCGCGAGCTCGATGTGGGTTCCCTATTGCTCTCCACCCGACCCATCCGCGCATAAAAAGGAAACACGGAAGGAAAGAAGACGTTTGGTTCGACGTTTGACGTCTGGCGTTTGGCGTTGGAGATTGATTGCGAGTGATCTGGATCATCCAGAGTGCGTGGGCAGGACTCCGTTGCTGACTCACGCCTGACAGCTAATTTAGTGCTAACCAAGCCTCCGGCGCTAAACCTTGACCGGCCCGGCGTCACTCGACCTTGACCTTGCGATCTGTTCTGATTTCAATCTCGAAATCGGAATCGAACGCTGAAAGAAAATCCGCGACCAACCACCAACCAACCAACTTCTTCCGCCCCCTTCGCACGACGAATCAAAATAGTCGTCCTCGATCGCCCCTCCACCCACACAGACACACCCATCCACACACCCATCCACACACCCATCCACACACACACAGACACACAGAACACGATGGCAGACACCACAGCAGCAGCGGCCACTTCCTCACTGAGTGCGCAGGAGCAAGCCCGTATCCGGCGGGAGCGGCGACAAGCCAAGATGCGCGAGGGGGGCAGCGTGCGGCTCAACCGCATCACCGCGACGCAGGGGACCAGTTTCCGACGAGACGGTGAGCGCACACATCCCATCCCTCCCCTCCCCCCCTCCCCCGGGGGCGAAGGCCACACACTGACGATTTGCTTTCCAGAACCCGAGGCGACACCACCGCCGGCACCGACGGTGGAGGGGGAAGGGGAATCGCACTCCGACCCGCCGGAAGTCGACATCTCGCTGACGCGGCCGACGCTGTCCTCGCGCCCATCGATCCTGCAGCAGCACGCGGCGGCGCACTTCTCGAGCACCGTGTCGCCCGAGGACGATATCCGGCAGGCGATGATGCTGGACCAGCTGTACCGGCCGCGCGGGTCATCGTCCAGCAGTCCCAGCGGCACGCCTAGCCTCGACGAGGGGCAGGACCCGCTGATGCAGTTGCTGCAGCAGATCTCCGGTGCAGGCGGCGGGCTCGGTGGCATGCCCGGCATGCCGCCGGGCATGGAGAGCATGATGAGCGGGATGATGGGAGGCATTGGAGAGGGTGTCCAGGCGGCTGAGCAGAAGGCGGATCGATCGGGCGTCTGGTGGTCCATACTGCATGCGTTGGGCGCCCTCATGATCTCGTTTTGGACGCTGAGGGCCAGTCCGGTGGTGTTTGATGGATCCCAGCTGGCGAGGACTGAGAGTGCCGGTCTGACGAGGAGCGAGAAGCCGGTATGATGCACTCCACCCCCACCACCGTCTCTTCCGTCCAGCAACTAACCTGTTCCTTCATCGCACAGCAACTATTCTGGTACTTCGCCCTAATGGAGCTGCTCCTGCAGTCGACGCGCTTCCTACTGGAGAAGGGCCGCCCGCCACAGGGCAGCCTGCTCACGAAGGTCGCCGGCTTCCTCCCCGCGCCGTTCAGCACGTACCTCTCCACGCTCGCTAGGTACAGCGTCTTCCTGTGGGCGATACTTGCGGACGCGGGAGTCGTCATCTTTGCGCTCGGGATTGCTAGTTGGTGGAACACGGGCGCGGCGCAGGTCGCGGCTCATGTTCAGTATTAAATGGAACGTTGAAAAGAGGTGATGAAGATCACGAATGAATGGCGTTTTTTAGTTTTGTTTTAGTTTAGTATCAGTATGTTTTTGCTGCTGCTGCGCGCTGGCTAAAATAGTCGCATGTATCACGCACTTCACTTCACTGTAACGAAGTCTCTATCGAATCGAATCATGAATTTTTTGGAATGATTGACGCAGCGGGCTGTTTCGGGTCTGCTACTGTTGGCCGGAGTCGGTACATACATAGGCTCGGGACGGGACGGGGACAAGGATGCCGACGGGGTTCCCACGGTTATGTAGGTATCTGAACCATGCCATGTCCATGCCCATGTCCATGCCCATGCGGGAGAGAGAGAGATCTTCAGTTTGTTGATGCATAGCGGCGACAAGGTGCGGATCTACGGATCTACTGGCGCCCTTATCCTTATATGTAGTTTGTATAGTACTCTATATACAGTCTTTGGATGACTAGTTAAACTATTCGCTCCATAGTAGCAGGCACGTCGTGTCGAGACTCGAGGCGTCGAGGGGAGGAAGGTGTTGCATGGGATGTCACTCGTAATTTGATTCTGGTGGTGAGGAGGGGGTTGTGTCACGAAACTGGATGAACACAGACGGGATTCGGAAAAGACTACGGTACCGTATGGTACGGTATGTACCTAGTTATGGATGATCTCGAATCTTGGGTTCTAACTTCTGGGGAGGCTGTGGTGGATGGGGTGGCTATTGATGGCTGGTGTGCTCCGTCGGCCATAAGGCATACCCGCCACCAACCAAACAACTAACCAACCAACCAAGTAGATAGGCAACCAAGCAGATATCCCGAATCCCTATGCTCTAGATATATATAACATGTAGCCCAGTCGCCCGGAAACGGGTTGTCCTGAAGTGCTTCTCGGTGACTGACTCCCGAAGGATTCAGATTCGGGTTCACGGCTTTCTAGGAGGAGGAAGAGGAGGAGGAGGGGCAGTATGAGCAAGAAGAGGAGGGGATTATAAACGACGAGCGCTTTTGCCAGACCCGGCCCGACCTGTCCTGACTAGACCTGACTTGACCTTACCCGACCGGTGCGTGCGAAATGCCGCGCGATTCCTTCTCGTTTTTTTTCTCTCTCTATGCACTCTACTCTGCCATACTCGCAGGCTTTGTCGATATCGATAGAAACGGTCAGCTGCGATACTGAGGTGGCTACTATCATAGGTACTGTAAGTACTTCGCCAAGCTATGGCTCGCATGACCATCGGAGTGATCGGCGCACCACCACCGAGCCTCATCCCGAGCCGTCAACGCTCAATCCTAGGACGTCCAGGTGTCTTGGCTGAATCACCGGTCCGCACCGGGATCGGCTGGATGCGACGAGCACGCTGCCCCGTCGGCGTCAAGTTCCGTATCGCTTCGGGACCGGAGCATGCTTCGGATATCACACGGTGGGAATGGCACAAGAGAATGCTTCGAATATCACACGGTGGGAATGGCACAGGAGAACCCCGGAGCCTTCGCCAAGGTGTAGATATAAAAACGAGCGCACATCCGCTGCTACATCCGCTACCACAACCCACGGTACAGTACTACGATAGGTACTACGACAGATACGGAAGAAAACAGCCCAGAGACTCCCCGCTGCCCAGCCAGTCGTCAGTCGTCAGCCTCCCTCGACCCTCGACCCTCGAAGGCTGGGGCTACATCCATGAGTAAGTGGCGGGCCCACCAGCTGCTAGACTGCTAGCCCGCCTAGCTTCCGCCCCGCCGAAGCCAACTCCCGCGCTCCCCCGCGCCGCGCCCCCCGCAACCCCATACTCCGCAGCCCCGTACCCCATAGTTACCCCATACTCCGCAGCCCCGCCACCCCGTACTCCGGCGATACGTATACATAACTACGTTATCGCCAGCCCAGTTCGGTGTATTTCCACAGTGCCCAGACGCGGCGGATCCGTGGAGTCGTGGAGCCCAGGCGTTAGTTGACTTGCGGGGAGGCCCGGCGAGGTCCGCGGACCGCGGGGGGAGGCCTAGACTCGTTAATCCGGCGGTCCGGAGGTATGGTAGTGGTAGTGGCGACGACGTTACGAAGTTACGAAGTGAAGCCTTGGAGGTTTGGAGGTTTGGAATTGGCATGGCGAGATAACTGTTGTCATTGTTCCTGCACCACCGGGACGTTGGAACTGCGATGGCACGGCGATGCCACTGCAGTGTCAAGCACACGCCAGGAACAGAACCAAAGACTTGGACGCTCTCCTGTGCGGCCGTGCCTGTGACACTGTGACACATACAATTCTCCGGAGAGGCTGTAATTCACATGTGTATCGGACATGCCCAGCCTTGGGCTGCGAGATATATCGCGGCGGAATGTTCTGGAGTTAATTCCCCCCCCCCCCAAGTACTAGGTACCAAATCACCAAATCGCTCGCAGCCAAGCATTCGCCGGCCTAGCGGAACCGTAGGTACCAGTAGTTCGATATCAAGCGGATCTTATGCATTTTATATGCATCTCATAGTAGCCACAGCCACAGCCTTGGCCACAGCCATGCCACAAACCACCGCGACAAGCACCACCAGGACAACGACAACGACAACGACAACGACAACGATAACCACAAGCAAGATCACAAGCCACGAGCCACAAGCCCAAGCCCACCAAGGTCATCTCACATGCTCTTGACCTTGACACCACCACCCGTCGTCCATCATCCGCCGTTTTCGTGTGACCCGCAGTCTCACTTACATACCCGCATCTCGGCGCCGGCGCCGGCACAGTGGAACGCACGGACGCATGAACGGCCCGGCACCGGCGGGTGCGGGTGTGACCATGAGTGATCCTCCATGAGCGATCTTCCATGAGGAGGGGTCATGATCATGCCATTCCCGCAGGAATACATAGTATCTGCAGGCTCGGGAAGCTTCTTTTGTATCTACAACCTAGGTAGAGGGCCTTGAGGGTTCGGGAGGGCTGGGGAGGGCTTCATGTATATAGTAGGGTCAATATATCTTCACTCGGGACTGCCAGGGCGATCATCGTTCATGACTGATACCGTATCCGCAGGCACGGAGCGGAAGACGGTTATCTTTGGTAGTAACCGCCGACCGCTGACCACTGACCGCTGACCAATGACCGCTGACCAGACTACCTACATATATATCTTCCCTCCCCCGTCCGGCCGTCGATTCCAGGGATCTGTTTTCTCGCTCGCTCGCTCGCGTGGCGATGCGCAGATACTCCAACTGGGTGTGTAGGTATGCAGATGACGCGGGGGGGAGGAGGCGGTGGTGAGTGGGGTGCACGCCGGACGGGTGAGGAATAGCTCGGCAACGCTTCGGCCAATACATTTCCGGTTATCACCCTCACCACCACCCTCACCACCACCTCACCACCAGCCAGGGTGGCATCCAGAGTGCATACATACCTCATACACACCTACATACGTACCTACATAGGTCTGCCGGAGGCTCGGAGGAAGGGAATGCTCATCGCGTCTTCTCGGAGGGAGGGATGGGCGCTGATGGTTCACGGTGCGTCACTCGCGCTGGCTGTCCGATTCGCACCCGTGTAGTTACCGGTGGATACTGTACCCTACTGGACACACTGGGGGCACTGGGGCACTGGGGGCACTAAGAGCCGAGGTTGTGTGGGGTCCCGTCCCCACGATGGTTTTTTTTTGCTTTGCTCGGAGGAGGGAGGGCGGGGGGAGGGATGGGGAGGGCTAGTCTCGGCTCAAGGCGTGGCTGTGGCTGAAGACACGGTCACGTCCCTGTGTGTAGACATGTAGAGGTCGTGAGTTCAACGCCAAGCTCGAGCTCGAGCTGGGCTGACCCCGCAACTTCGGAACCGGCGAGCTGTGGCCACCGCCCATCGCCCATCGCAGCGCAGGCAGCGCAGGCAGGCATCGACTCGACACGTTCCAGCTTCCGCATGACGTAAGGTACTTATCGAGGCGTGGAGGCCATCCGCCTTTTTTTCTTTTCTTTGCTTTTTCCTTTTCTTTTTCTTTTCCGTTTCCTTCTGTTTCTATTTCTTCCGGATCCGTGGGTGCGAGCGAACACATGCCGCTTCGAGCGAGCGGGCGAGCGCACGCTCCATCTCCATCTCGATTCTCGAGCTCGCAGCTCGGTGCGGATCCATTTCACGTTCCGTTCCTGCAGTGCGAGCTGCGCCGTTGGCGGGCGTGTAGAGTACTGGTATATATGAAGCATGTCGGTATGTGGCATGTACGGTATGTAGGTGCGAAGTACCTCTGTAGGTAGGTCAGTACGTGAGTGTGAGGATAGGTACCTCTGGGTACTTTCCACACTCTGCACAGCACTGTGCATATGTATGATATATCGATATCATCCATCCATCAACGCTATTTACTACCGCCCTTTGCCGGGGTTGCAGCTGGTGCAGCTGGACTGGGCTGGGGTGGGGGGCTCATCCGGTTGTGCGGCTTGGTGGTGGTGGAGGTGGTGGTGATCATCCACCTGGCTGGCGTCTTTAACCGCAACCAGCCAGCCAGCCAGAAACTCTGGAGAAACGGCGAGGCGAAGAAGAACAAACAACCAACGATGGCGAACCCATCCTGTCAGCCGCTTCCCCGCGCTCCCCCTCGAAATCTTGGCCTGCGCGGTGATCATCAGCTTCTTCATTGATCGACAGCCCCCCCTTCGAGCTCGGGATTTGGCCACCGTTTGGACCGGAGTTTTCCGCAGCCAGCTGGCCGCTTGTGCTACCATATCGGTACGTAGGTCATAGGTTGGTGTGTAGGTACATAATAGCCGCCAAATAGACCGCTCAACTGCCTGCGTGGTCCGCGATGGCTGCGCTGGGCGTCGTAGAGTGCTCGGGTGTAAGGGTAAGTGCTGCCTCACCAGTTTTTCCCCCCATACAATTTAGTCACAGCCCCTCACTCATTTGATTGTATCTGGCTTAGTGCGCTCCTAATATAGTCTAGTGCTTATTTGCGCTTATAATTTGTAATGGTGGTGAGGCACGACTTATCGGCAGCTCCTAGTACTTACGGTACCTACTCTAGAGCTGTGTATAGTACCGTAGTAGCTGAGCGCCCGGCGAGTGCATCGTTTTGTTGAACGGGAAGGTTGGGGGCTATCGCTGATTACTACTATCATAGAGTACCACTTGTGGTTAGCATCCAGCAGAACACTGACGCCAGGCGCTACCGAGTGGCGCCGGATTCTTCAGGAAGAGCATCGGGCCGGAGCAGTGGAGAGTGGTTCCAGACTATGTACCCAGGGTTCGGACCAAGGGAAGTTTTTTTTTTACGATGACAGCCAGCTAGGGGTGTCGGTCCATGACCTACTCCATGGGGTATGCATAGAAACTTGACCTCTCGAAAAAGATTGGGCCAGACAGGGAGCAGGCCGGCAGGGGACTGGGGGAGAGCCTCATGAATTCCCCATGATAGGCAGGCAAAGACGCAGGTCAAGACCCCACCAGCCCGCAATCAATCGCGAACGCGAAGGGGGTCCCCATCTACCTAAGTAAGAAGTAAGTAAGAGTACCATCTATGTATCTCATCGTCGCTCGTCTCGCAATTGCTTGTTGCCGGCCTGCCTGCCCGCCAGCCAGCCAGCCAGCCAAGTCTGCCCCTCCCCCGCACTGCTAGTACAGTGCCTAGGACTGCCACTGCGACTCTGCGAGTGACTTTGCTGCTAGATACCTAATCTTTATCCCCGCAATGTCACTGTCATGCGCTTACCGACGCCTCCGTTCCCCGGTACCTGCCAGGAGAGTGCGAGGTGGTCACGGCGTGTACCCTTCGGTGTCTGCATCCAGCGCACGCTGCAGAGTGATGGGGAATTCGAATATCGAACTACAGTGTGGCTGCCGCGATTGTTCCGCCCCCCCCACATCCTTCAGGGCATGGTCCCGTCTATCCATATACCCGACCGTTCTCCACCACCACCATCTCCACCTACACCACCACCACGGTCCTTCCACTACCTTACGTAGCAAATTACTTATAGAGAGTCCTCCGCTCCCTCTTTGCAATCACTTCCTCCTCCCCTCGATCCATCTCCACCAATCTCCACCCTCCCCTCATCCTCCTCCTCCCTTCCATCCTCCCAAGTCTACTCGTTGTAAAAAAAACTCCGTAGCTCCCTGAGGGAAGATAGCCCTCAATACTGCTACGCCAGAGCCATCTCCGAAGATTCCTCCTCCACCCCTAAAGAAGATCAGAATGTCCGAGGGCGATGTCGTCCCCAAGAATGGGCCCGTTGTGATCGAGGCCCACAATATCGCAACCTATCCGGTTCCCTCCAAATACTTTGAGTGAGTGCCCCTCCACTGCCCCCCCCCCCCCCCCACATGCATCTGAATCCCCCCGCATGCTTCTCCGAAGCCATTGGAGACGTGGACCGTTCCTGACGTCGATTGGCACCCTTACAGGAAGCATCCCGCAAAGCCTCATTTGACTCTCGAGGAGTACAAGGTTCAGTACCGCGAATCCATCGAGAACCCCGACAAATTCTGGGGCGAGAAGGCGCGCGAGCTCCTGCACTGGGATGTTCCCTTCCAGACCGTCCGCAGCGGCAGCTTCGAGCACGGCGACGCGAGCTGGTTCCTCGAGGGTCGTCTCAACGCCTGTTACAACGCCGTTGACCGGCACGCTTTCAAGGACCCCAACCGGTCCGCCATCATCTACGAGGCCGATGAGCCCACCGAGGGTCGCATCATCACCTACGGAGAGCTCCTGCGGCAGGTCTCCAAGCTCTCCTTCGTGCTCAAGCAGATGGGCGTCAAGAAGGGAGACACCGTCGCCGTGTACATGCCCATGATCCCCGAGGCTCTCGTGGCTCTCTTGGCCATCGTCAGAATCGGTGCCGTCCACTCGGTCGTGTTCGCCGGTTTCTCGTCCGAATCCCTGCGGGACCGTGTGCTCGATGCCGGCTCCAAGATCGTCATCACCACCGACGAGGGAAAGCGCGGTGGAAAGAACATCGGCACCAAGAGGATCGTTGACGAAGCCCTCAAGTCGTGCCCGGATGTCCACAACGTCATCGTCTTCAAGCGCACCGGCACCGAAGTCCCGATGACCGAGGGCCGCGATGTGTGGTGGCACGAGGAGACCAGCAAGTACCCGGGCTACTGCGCTCCCGAGCTTATGTCCTCCGAGGACCCCCTGTTCCTGCTGTACACTTCCGGCTCCACCGGAAAGCCCAAGGGTGTGATGCACACCACCGGAGGATACCTGCTCGGCGCCGCCATGACCGGAAAGTACGTCTTCGACCTGCACCCCGGTGACAAGCTCGGTACCGCCGGAGATGTCGGCTGGATTACCGGCCACACCTACTGTGTCTACGCGCCGCTCCTGCTCGGTGTCACCACCCTCGTCTTCGAGGGAACCCCCGCCTACCCCAACTTCTCGAGGTACTGGGACATCATCGACAAGCACCAGATCACCCAGTTCTACGTTGCGCCCACCGCTCTCCGTCTCCTCAAGAGGGCCGGCGACCACCACATCAACAAGGAGATGAAGAGCTTGCGAGTGCTGGGATCCGTCGGAGAGCCCATCGCCGAGGATGTCTGGACTTGGTACCATGAGAAGGTTGGAAAGGAGGAGTGCCACATCGTCGACGTAAGAGACCCACACATCTCCCACGCTTTCATGCGCAATCTGACTGACATCGTGATAGACCTACTGGCAAACCGAGACCGGATCACACGTAATCACTCCCCTGGGAGGTGTCACCCCCACCAAGCCCGGTAGTGCTTCGCTCCCCTTCTTCGGTATCGAGCCTGCCATCATCGACCCGGTTTCGGGCGAGGAGCTGCACGGCAACGATGTAGAGGGTGTTTTGGCTTTCAAGAAGCCATGGCCCAGCATGGCCAGAACCGTTTGGGGAACCCACCAGAGATACATGGACACTTACTTCAACGTCTACCCTGGCTACTACGTATGTATCCCCTGACGATCCTAGAGTTTGAGAGGGAAAACGGGAGCTGACCTGATTACAGTTCACGGGAGATGGAGCTGGTCGTGACCACGAGGGCTACTACTGGATCCGCGGTCGTGTCGACGACGTTGTGAACGTTAGCGGGCACCGCCTGTCGACCGCCGAGATCGAGGCGGCACTGATCCACCACCCGGCGGTCGCGGAAGCGGCCGTCGTCGGAATCTCGGACGAATTGACTGGCCAGGCGGTCAACGCCTTCGTCTCCATCAAGGACGCCTTCAAGAACACCCCCGAGCTGCGCAAGGACCTGATCGTGCAGGTGCGCAAGTCGATCGGCCCTTTCGCCGCCCCCAAGAGCGTGTACGTCGTCAACGACCTGCCCAAGACCCGCTCCGGAAAGATCATGCGGAGAATCCTGAGAAAGATCCTCTCCGGCGAGGAGGACCAGCTCGGTGATACCTCCACCCTGTCGGATCCTTCAGTCGTCGACTCGATCATCAAGACGGTGCACGAAGCGCGCGGGTCGAAGTAAAGCAGCGGCAGCGGGTGTCTATTATTTCTTTGGGATTTTGTTTTGCTCTTTGCTTTTTCTTTACTTTTTCTTTTTTTCGTGTTTGCTTTTCTTTGTGTTTGTGGCGTGTAGGGTTCTTTTCCGGATATCTTTTTTTTTGTTGCGTGCTCTGCTCATTCATTGCGCGACGTCTTCTTCCCAGGGGGGTTTCGAGTTACATGTATTGTACTGTATTGTACAGAAGTGTGGAATTCCAGGTTTATGTGACGCTTATTTCCAAACAATTTCTTGGTCGTGATCGTGGGAGTGATGATAAAGTGATGTCGGATGTCGTATAACTGCTGGGCATGGTGTGCAGTAAGGCGTCATGATGACAGCCGGTACATACATAGAGTAAACCGTGGCGATTTGCTTTTTTGGTATTTGCTTTTTTAGTATGCGGATGGAAGATGGAAGAAAGAAGGATGCGGAAGAAGGATGCATAGGAAACGTAGGGGTGGGATGTATCACAGGTAGAAGCACAGACTCAATGAATATGGTTAACATTCTTTTTCCGACCAAATCATTCGAGAGGACCATGTTTCCAAAGATATATCTGGCGGTTCTGGAGACACAGGATCCAATAACTGGAGCTGGAGCTGAGTGAGTTCTTGTGCAGCTGTGCTCCCACAGCAGATCCTTTTGTCCGAGAGTTGTCGGAAACTCCGAGACTCCGGGAGGGTACGAATGTACGAATGGGGTATATATGTACGAGAGGGTGTGCAGATACCTACCCATAGCCTATAGGTACCGTGCGGTACTTATCCCGACACGTCCGAACTCTGGACTCCGAATGTCCAAATGACGGCGCCAGCGGCTGCGGCGGATATCGCGGGAACTTGTGAGTGGTGAGGCGTGACATCTGGTGCGCATACTAAATTCACTTGCGAGCCAGCCGGCGCTCTCACTGAGACTCACTCTGCTATGTGCTGCGGACTAGGTATTTTCACGCTTAACGCAAGGATTGTGAGAAAATAAACGGGTTTTATACGCGGTACCATACTCCATAGGGATGGCTCGTTGTATGTGTGTATCGTATTACATTCTGGTCATCAATGGTTGCAATTCGAATGCTATTACTATTGCTTGCGGACGCCCACACATATACTCTATTCTGGGTAACTACTGCTGGCTGGCTGGCTGGAGTAGATGGAGCAATTGGACCGCTTTTTAGCCAGCCAGTACTTCCGCTCTCGTTCGTACGTATCTCTTGAATCTTTCTGTCCACCCACCCGTCCCCGGGGAACGTCTGCGGTACTCTCCACATCGTACTCTCCCAGTGGAGACTCAATGCCGTTTTCAAATACCTGTACCCCCGAGCATCTAGTTACCGCTGAACGATCCATGCACAGTGTACGTAGGAACGAGCGCTTCGTCCCAGTCGTATTTCTGGAAATTTCCGATATGCCCTTTACCCACGGCACAGCATGAAGGGGCAACGTGTCTGCAGATCTGTTCTGTTTTTATATAGGCTCCAGATCGGCCAAGATCGCGCAAGATCGCGGTATAGGTACCTGCATACTGATGGCTATGTATGTATGTGGGCATGTATGTAGGTCTGGCACAGTTGATCGTTGACCGGTAGCGGATGTGGTGACCCACTCTGCCGAAATCTATCGGACGACGGTAGATATCAGAAGCGACAGTGAGGAACGGAAGGCATTGGCAACCACTTGGATGATAGTGTTGCTACATATAGTAGGCCGCCGAGTGATAGGTATGGTTTGCGACCGAATTGTGTGCTCGGTGGTTTCGGATGTGATGCGGTAATTCAGGTATGCATAGGTACAGCACGATCTCCCTGGCTGGCTGACCGCTTTTCGAATACATCTGCTAGTTCTCGTTTGAGCGCGTCCTTCGGAATTGTCAATATGCTTGCTTGCTTGCAGCTTGCACGAGGGAGAGGGTGATTCCATACATACATCTTCCACCTTCACCGGTTCGTTCCGTAGAGTCTGCCCAGCTCCTCCTGTTGGCGAAACGAAACGAAACGGTTCGCATTATGATTGGCGTACAATATGGCCCTCGGTGCACACTCCGCGTCCTAAGCAAGCAACCTCGTTCGCCGGGCGGGAGTGTCGAGGTGACTTTTGAGATTTGTTGATGTACTGCGCCGTATGTGTCTGGAGATTCGTACCGTCCAAAGGTCCCTGGTATTCGTATAGAGGTATTCGTACAGACATTGTTCGAGTAGAGTAGACACGAAGCCAAGAGCACGGTAAGGTTATATATAACTCCACGAGGTGTTCTACCTACATATCGTATACCAAGCAAGTAAAGTACTATGTATAGCCTATTCTCAGTTAGAGTAGAGTAGAGTACGTATGCTTGCCATCGATCCCTCCAGGTATAAATGCTGTGGAGCACTCGACGGAAATGTGTGCGGTCAAGCGGGCCTGCGGGGGCACTCCCTGGTTGAATTGAGTCCGTGATGAGGTACCTAAAGCTGTCAGCCTTTGAATCCTGGGGACTTGGAATGGACACCCTGTGTACGGAAACGGGCCATTATCCACATACCTAGAGCATGTAGATATCTTGCAAGCCTTCCCTGTACTTGGAGTACTCTGGGTACATACTCCAACACCCAGAATCCCGCAGGCTGCGCCGCATAGCCCAAAGTTCAAACCGAGTTGTTGCAAGCAAAGCAGACTCCAGTCCGCCAAGCTGAAGTTCGATTATTGTGCCTGCCGAAATTCCATCATTCTGCCTGCTGAAATTCGAGCTCAAACTCCCAAGGTCCGTGCCACGTGCCACCACCACCCGAGCCACCGAACTCCGAGCGCCGAGTGGTGTTGGGATCCCGCGGTGTTTCGGATCCGGACGAGACGAGACGAGACAAAATATGATCTACATAATCTTCGGTATTGCCGGTGTTTCATCGGCACTCACGGGTAATAGAGGTAATCCAGTGTCCGATAGGCAAGCAGTGGATGGATTCCGTCCACTCTATCGGCCGCTCAGTAGAGTATGGTACTCTATACGGACCGACTGACTGACTGGCTGACGTGCGGAATACCGATACCGATACCGATACCGACACTGACGCCGATACTGACGTCCATAGAGAGATCTAATCCTAGAATGGTGAGCACTGATCCCTCCCTCCCGAGGCCGTCTGTACGGCACTTTACGGTACCGCGGTAGGTAAGTTGGTTAGTGTCCAAGACTTCTAACCCACGGTCATCACCGCTCACCTACCCCGAGTACCAAGGCTCCCGGACGGCGAAGGGAGGACGAGGTGGATACCCATAGGTCCATATCTCATAAGAGAGAGATGACGCCCAGCTTCATCGGAATACATCCATAGATACATACCCACATATGTACCTACACACGGAACATCGGCGCCAAGTAGTTATGAATTTATACGGATACCGGTAAGCTGACCGGCAAGTACTTCGGATGGCGGTAGGTGGATCCTCGCTGGGCACTGGCGAGCGAGCGAGGTTGGGACGGGATGGTATGGTATATATGCGGATGCCAACGGCTACGGGTTGGCAAACACCACCGACTTTGCATCACATCTTGAGATGTCCCTACTGCCCAGTCGTTATGTATGTGCCGGTAGTCGGCGGTGGCGATCGACGATGTACCATAGCATACCAAGAGCCCCAAGAGCCCCAAGGCTTCACCAAGAGCCCCAAGGACTCGCCAAGTGCGCAGTAATGTTGACAAAGAGTTGGCCAAGTCGTCCGGGCTCTTGGAACCTGGACTGCCAATGCGTCGAATTATACTTTGGCCGCGTAATCGGATCGTCTGTTTCCGCTAACTACGGATCATAGCTAGGGCTCAAGGCCCCGGCCCCGGCATGTTCTTCTTCTTCTTCTTCTGCTTCTTCTTGGCCATAGCGGGTGGGGGCAGAGTCGGTCGCCACGGAAAGGAAGCCGATGATTCTGGCGGTGTCGTTCGGTGGCAGCGACATTATATATCACTCGAGCGAACGGGCACCGGCCCGTTTCCGGTGCGTGCTCTACAGCGGGGAAGGGCGCAGAATTACGAGTAACTAAGGGAAACATCGGCGGGAAAGGCGCACTCAAGAGTCAACCGGGCTTTCAACGAGGAGATTACAATAGTTAAATCCGGGACCGTATCGCCAAGTAGGTACAATACATATCGCCAAGTACATATCGCCAAGTACATGCCATCGTACCATCATACCCAAGACTCAAGACTCGAGAGATTACAAAACGGATCCGGTGAGACCGTATGTGTCGCCAAGTGCCTACCTACCATACCATATTAAGTACTCTAGAAGCAGCCGTCCGCGTGTATGTCAAGAGTCAAGACTTTTTTTGAAAATACACGTCGATGGTGATGGTGGTGGTGGTGGTGATGGTGCTGGAGATGGCAATGGAGCGGCGCTTAGTCACCCACCAGTGACCGGCGGAATCACTCCGAGCCAACCATTCTTATCTGTTTTTTTACTTCACTTTTCTGTTTGACAGCGTTGAACGAACACGAGAACGCACACGAGATACCTCATACATAGAATAAAGCCCGGATACGCCAGCTTTTCCCTGCAGCAGAATCCTCCACACCTCCTCCTCCTCCTCCTCCTCCTCCTCCTCCTCCTCCTCCAAGCCGCATGATGTGGTATGTAGGCAGAGTGAGTACTTTGTATGTAGGTGGTAGGTGGTAGGTGGTAGGTGGTAGGTGGTAGGTGGTAGGTGGTAGGTGGTAGGTGGTAGGTGGTAGGTGGTAGGAGGCCGCGTAATGGACGGAGGGCAGCACCTCCGGGGCTCGGAAGAGCCTGTTGATCCGGGTGCGTGGGTGGGTTGTGTGTGTGGGCTGGGGTTGTGTGTGTGGGCTGGGGTTGTGTCGGGGGTGGAGTTAATATGCCAAATCCGATTCCGCAGGGGTATGGGGGGGGGGTCGTGCGAGATGGCGGGGGTGGGTGGGAGGGAGGGTGGGAGGGGGGAGGATGTGTTTGGTCAGGCAGGAAGGAAAGGGTTCGTCGTCGTCGTCAGCGCAGGTTCGATCAGGCGCTAAAGGCTGCTTTACTCTACTGAGCTTTGATATGTGCATACTCGGCTCGGCTTTGAAACGGACACGGAGGGAGAGTGCGACGTCGCGCGCCGTGGGTTGCTTGGAATCTGGATGCGCGGTTTTGCCTCAGGACGCTGGGACGGGTGCTGGGTGGTGGGTGGATGTTGGAGTTTCGGATGCGGGAGGGGATGGGGGGATCCTTCGCTTCTGTGCGATAGGGGGGATGGGCGTATCCATACCAAACTCCGCACGCAGATCGGAGATACCGGTTAGGTATGGAATACAGTACGGCATACATAGAAGCTGTGCCTCAGCACGGAGCACGGCCTGTGGAATTTGTATGTAGGAGAGTGCATGTTCTGTGTTCTGTTTGTCGGCCGTGTGCATGTGCGTGGGTGCGAGTCACTGGCGAAGTGAACTTAGTGAAGGGACTGCGCACTCGATTTCTAATAATGGTCATTCGCATCGTAGGGAAGACTGGGAAGACGACGGTCGAGCGAGTAGAAGATGGCTGTACTGGGGTAACGTGAGTAGAGCACTCTATAGACATCTTCAAGGACCGGAGAGAGGCCGAGTTGCCTACTCCAGAGTCCAGGCACTTTGCTGGCTGGCTGGCTGCCTAGCATTCGATGTATGATACACGATCCGATGATGATGAGTGTATGGCACGTACGTACTCTCTCCCCTCAACGGCGTCTTGCCCGCAAAGTCCAAGCCAAAGTGGCAATATTTCCGACTCTCGAGTCCCTCCGCCCCGACTCTCGAATCTCGAATCTCGAATCTCTCCGGTGAAGGCGGCTTTATGAGCACTCCAAGACCGTGAAGCCATCAGCATTATTCTCGGGGAATTCGGGCAGTGTAACAACTTATTCGTGCACTCTACCGGCGCATACGAGTTCGAGGGTCTATTGAAGCTCAGCTCCTCAGCACTGCCCCTGCCTCAACTCGTTCATCAGCATTATTTCCGCCCGTAATCCGGCGAATGACCCCGTCAATCATCTTGCGCTCGACTCGTGTACCACCTACAGCTGACTGCGGCGGCGACGACGGTGATAGATACTTCGATATTTCTATATTGCTCCAGGAAGCTTTCTCTTTCTCTTCCCGTACCTTCTCCTGGTCCCTCCACCCTCCCTCCACCCCCCACCTCTGCTTCTGCGAGCGAGCCTCTTCCTTCAACTCAACTCACCCAAGCCACCACCACCCCCCTCCGTATCTTGTTGTTTCCGCAACCTTACTTGGAATATACTATTCACTACCCGCTCTACATACCCCGGATCGCATAGAATTGCACCTTCCATTGCCTTTACGTCTCCGTAACTATAATATCCACGCAGCGTTCAACCTCCATTCATAATCCTCATCTGCTCGGCCCGCCCGCAACAACAACAAAAACAACAACATTCGTTAAGAGAGACATCCAACATCAGCTCGCTACTCTACAGACCCGAACCGCTCCCCGAGCATTTCTTATTTAGCCCGCCCCAGTCCCAAATAAACAACCCCCACCAACTTCCAACTTCCGTTTACCAAGGAAGCCTGGCTCAGTCTCCACAACAGCTCAAGCTCATCCAGGTTTGCCCAGCAGAGAGTCCGAGAGTTCCCTTATAGAATCATCCCCCTCCCCACCAACCCCCGGTCCCGCCACTTCCGTTCAACAGTTACAACCTTCCTTCACCCCCCTCTCGAAACGAAAATAAAAAGTAAAAAGAATATCCGTTCGACACTTCCATTCTTTTCTTCGGAACCGACTAGATATCTGAAGCAGTTATCCGTTTAACTGTCGGGCTATCTTTGTCTGACCATAGAGCGCTTCGTTTCTTCTGGGTCGTCACCTTCTCCCGTGTCCGCCGGTTATTCACCATCCCGTCCGACTACCACATTATCGAAACGCTTCCAAGCAACTTAAGTCACCGGAGTTTGGGGGGAAAATACAAGCTGGCGCATAGGCAGTTGCGACAGCAGTACATCTGAGAGAGAGAGAGGAAGAAAGACGAAAGAGGTTGCCATGCGGTTATCATGGCGCACAGATTCGGTGCTGATATCGCTACTGGGGATATTATTTTGCCTGTTGGATTTCACAATAGGTACGTTCGCCTTGCTTCTTTATCCCGCTGGTGATGTGCGTCGGTAGTGGTGGTGGTGGTGGTGGTGGTGGTGGTGGTAGTGGTGGTGGTGGTGGTGGTTCGCGGCCGCGTCGTGTTGTCCCTTTTTTTTTGGGTTGGTTGGCCTACTAACGCGCTCTGGACGTCTTGCAGCACATTCGGAGCGGAGGAGTCCCGTCACGTACATAACAAGAGTCGAGAACCCAATAATAAAAACACCGTCGCATAGAGCCCACGCGCACTCCTCGTTCGACGTCGTCTTCACCCTCCACGATGGCACCCAGGATGTCAAATTTACGCTCGAGCCGAACAACGACATCATCCCTGAGGGCGCTTCGATCCAGTATCTCGACGATAATGGCTACGTGGAGAGGGAGGAGCCCATGATCAGGCATGAGTACAAGGTGTATAAGGGAAATTCGTGGTTGCGCGATGATCAAGGGTGGACCTATGCTGGATGGGCGCGCATCGTCATCTCGCAGGACGGAGAGAACCCGATGTTTGAGGGTGCCTTCACGCTCAACCACGATGCCCACCACATCCACTCGCGATCGAATTACCTCAAGATGCGGCAGAACAGTGATCCGCTCGTCGAGAAGGATGGTGACGAGTTCATGCTGGTCTGGAGGGATTCCGATGTGATGGGAAACCCGTTTCAGTCGGCGGAGCTGAAGGGCCGGAGTCTCGGCAATGGCACTCAGGAGGATATCATGTGCCCGTCCGACAGATTGGATTTCAACCTGCAACCTGGAAATCCGGTAAACAAGATGATCTCGGAGAAGGAGAAGGGGATCTTTGGTTCACTGGGGCTGGATGCTTTGCTCGGTGGAGGACGAGTCGGAGTGCAGAAGCGGCAGACTGTCGATGACACCACCGGTGGAAACTCGGCAACTGTGAATCTGCGGAATAACATTGGAAGCACCTCCGGATGTCCCAAGACCCGGATGGTGGCGCTGATGGGAGTGGCCACCGACTGTACGTATACCGGTGATTTCACGACCGAGCAGGAAGCCCGAACGAACATCATCAGGCAAATCAACACTGCGTATGTTTTTTCTTTTCTTTTCTTGATTACCCCAATCACGGTTCAGCCACTGACATAGACTAGATCCGATCTGTACGAGAAGACTTTCAACATCACACTAGGCCTTTCGCAACTCATTATTAGTAAGGCGAGTTGCCCCGGGACGGCGCCTGAAGGTTCGAAATGGAACGTACCGTGTGATGCAACCACTGGCTCAGCCACGACCACCATCGAAGATCGCCTCAACCTGTTTTCACAATGGAGAGGCCAGAGAGCCAACGATTCCTTGGCCCTGTGGACGCTCCTGACCACCTGCGAAACCGGGTCTTCGGTCGGTCTTGCATGGCTGGGTCAACTCTGCCAGGGTGAGGCGACTACCAACTCTCAAGACGGCTCTTTCGTCAGCGGCGTCAACGTTGTGGCAAGGACAGACACCGAGTGGAAGGTCATTGCTCACGAGATTGGACATACCATGGGTGCTGTACACGACTGCACAGAGACCAGTTGTGCCAGTAATGCGGCGTCAGCGTCCATGTGCTGTCCGTTCAGTACGAGTACTTGCGATGCGGGCGGGAATTATATCATGAATCCATCGACGAGTAGCCGGATCCAGGAGTTTAGTCCGTATGTTACTCAGCATATCTTCCCGGCATATACATATTCTTCTTTTTTACTAACTTTGACTTAGATGCACCGTTGGCAATATTTGTGCTGCTTTCAGGTTACGAAGTGTGGATACATCATGTCTGAGCTCCAACAGAGGTGTTACCGTCATCACCGAGCAGGAGTGCGGGAACGGTATCGTCGAGGAAGGTGAGGACTGCGACTGTGGAGGAACGGCCGGCTGTGGAACCAACACATGCTGTGACGCGGCCACCTGCAAGTTCACGACCAACTCTGTCTGCGAGTAAGTTCACCCCCGATCACCTTCGAATGATACCCACATGATGCTAACGCATACGCCGTTAGTGACGCGAACGAGGATTGTTGCACGGGCTGCCAGTTCGCGTCGGCAAATACAGTGTGTCGCGAGAGTAACGGAGAGTGTGATCCGGAAGAGAAATGCACAGGGTCCGCTTCCGTATGTCCTAGCGATGTAGTTTCTCCCGACGGAACAGGCTGCTCGGATGGCCTCAAGTGTGCCAGTGGTCAATGCACGTCCCGCGACCAGCAATGCCAATCTGTTATGGGTCGCATATCAACCAACAACGACACCCGGTCTTGCGACGATTCTAACTGCGTCCTCACTTGCCAGTCTCCCGAACTTGGCGCGGATACCTGCCTCCGGATGCAACAGAACTTCCTGGACGGCACTCCATGCAGGGGTGATGGCACGTGCAAGAATGGGTACTGTTCGGGAGCGAGCGCGCTCGGAGAAGTGAAGAGCTGGATCGACAGGGTATTTATGCCTCTTCCCTTCCCTTCCTGCAACCGACAAACTAACATGTGGGGAAATTAGCACCGAAACATCGTTATTGGTGTAGGTGCCGGAGTCGGCGCAATCCTCCTCTTCTCGATCCTTTCCTGCTGCTGGTCCCGCTGCCGTCGCGGCAGAAGACGTCCCAAGAACATGCAACCAGCCATGTACGGCGGGATCCCGCCACAACAGGGCCATAATCCGCCCACTCGCTGGCAACAACTCCCTTCGCGAGCGAACGATTACCCTCAACCACCACCCATGACGCAGCGGGGATTCGATCCTAGCGCCCAAGGACACGGCAGACGAGGTGGTAGCGAGACCGCTACTTCCCCGGGTTATCAACAACCACCACCCAATTCTTACTCCGGGGCTCCGAGATACGCATAGTTTTTTAGAGTGTTCTTATTTCCTATTTTGATGACCTGCAATGACTATTTTCACCACCATACATCAGCGCGTTACCCCGAAACGTCTGCTACGAATTTTTCTCGATATCCACTAGCTATTGTGGAATAACATCACTCTACTGTATAGTTTCTCTTTTCTTGGGAGGAGGGCGGGGGGTTTCATTCTATTTCTTTGGCTGTATAACTTGGCTTTTGCTTTCGATGGGAGGGCGGGGGGGTAAAGTTTGCTTCTTCTTATTTTCCTTGGGTTCACAATCTCTAGCATTAAATCGCGGGTGGGGTGGGGTGGGGGGTTAACTAAGGGGCGGACGGTGGGTTGGGTAAGTGACCTTTGCATTTTTTTTCCGCTTTTCCTTTGCATCTTTTGGGTTCGTTTGTGGCTGCAAAAGTCCTGAACCGTGTGTGCTTGTGCTGGCTGGCTTTGGGCGGGGAAAGTGATGATACATATTTTTTCGTAAATATGGGGAATTCATATAGAATTGGGTATCATTTGTAGTATGTACGGTACATACATCGGGAACCATTCTCTATTTGGGGTGTATGTCGGTGTTTCAAGTGATAACTGAAGGGCTGGTATTCCATCTGGCTATGGGAGGCCAAATCATGATTTAAGACTGTCCGCCATCGAGATTTGATGCCATTCAAGGTGGCGATTATATGGATGTTCACAAATGGTCACTCGGGTTCATCTCGTCGGCTGAATGTTCATCCACATGAACTTACTTTTTTGGTTTCATCATTCTGCATTCAACTACATCCAATCGTCGCGGTAAGTTCCAAGACTCAAGTATGGACGACTGTTTTTTGCGGTTCGAACTCTAGAATAGACTCTCGTATCATGACACATCACATCACATGCACCGTTTCTCCACACCTTGGCTGTCCGTCAGTCTTGAGTGTTCACTCCAATTCGCCGCCGCCGCTTATGACCTCTGCATTCGTACCTACCCGGACAGCGACAGGGTTGCACGTGTCGCCTGTGCTAAGGACCTAAGGTACGACCAGCAGATTCGTTCGGAACACCCTCCACTTGGCGTAAAAGACGCTAGGTATTCCAAGACGCGCCAAGAGGCCGCGGTGAGTGAGTGCTTGCCGGTGACACCGCGCGCTTGCTCGATTAATTACCGCTGCCCCCCCCAGCCCCAGCCACAGCTCCCCCCAGCTCCCCCCATTGAGAGAGACACGTGAACGAGTGGAAGGGTGGGGCGAAGATGAATCGCAAGGGAGAGAGAAGAGGGAGAGAGGGGTCCTTCTCTTAATCCTTCTCCTCCTCCTCCTCCTCCTCCTCCGTACAAATAAATTCTCTTTCCCGACAACATCCTCAGCAGCAGCAGTTATCCATCCATCCACTCCCATCCCCCCTCCCCATCCCTCCAACCTTCTCCGACCTTCTGCCCAGCAGCTTTCCCGAAGCCAAGCCCACCGCCCAGCGCTGCCCAGCCGCAAACAACCCATCCCAAGCCAATTCCAACCCCACCTCAAAGGGCCACCAACCCAACCCAACCTCGACTCTTTCCTTTCTTTCTCCTGCTCCGTGGTCTTGGGGCTTCTTGGTTTTCTCTCGGCGCCGCGCGCGACAGACAGACACAGTGTCAGACAACCCCCCCCTCCCCCCCGAACCAACCCACACCCACCCACACCTAAACTCAACTTCCTTCCTTCCTTCTCTCCTTCTCTCCTCCCCCACAATGGCAACATCACAGGATTCTTCACCGATAGATCCGATAGCCATACCAGCAGTTGCTGCAGCAGAAGCTTTGATTACGCTTCTTAATACTGCCTCCTCCTCCTCCTTCTCCAACTCCTCCTTCTGCTCCTCACCCTTCTCCTCCACATCGACGTCGCCGTCACCGTTGCCGCTGTCTCCATCTTCCCTCGAGCCGTAGCCGTTGCTGTTGACGTTGTTGTTGTTCTTGCTGCCGAGTGGCGGAGATACATCCACATTCACAACATTCACAACTACATCCACAACTCCAACTCCAACTACCACCACAACTGCTCCACCACCACCACCGCCAACCTTCCCCTGAGCCTCACCGAACTGCTTGCCCCACCGCCGCTCAACGTAACGAATTAATTTTCTGGACGGGACTCACATTGGGTTTTGTTTATTTCAAACCGGGCCCAAATACCCACCCCCTAAACAACGAGTCACGGCGGAAATCCAATCCGATCCGAATGGCGTCGCTTGACAGGATCGGGAACGGGACCGGGACCGACTGCGATCGCGACCGGGTACAACAGCAACAACAACAGCAACAACTCCCAGAGCTGCTGCAATCGATAACGATACCGACACAAACACAACCACGTCCGTCACCACCGCCGCCGCCGACGCCGCGGGGACGGGTAGATGGTGGGACTGGAACTAGAATAGGAACTGGCACGGGAGAAGGGGAAGGTGGGGAGGAAGGTGCTGTTGCTGCTGTTGTTGCTGTGGGTGGTGGTGGGAAGGGAGCAGAAAGCGCTACAGCGCAATGCTCGCCGCAGGATCTAGGTGCGAAGGAAGCGGAAGGCGCTACACCGCAATGCGCGCTGCAGGATCTCGAAAAGAGTGAGATGGACATGGGCATGGAGGAGACCACAGCAGGCAACAACCATGTATCACATCCCCGGCCACTGCGAAATACCCACGATACACCAGACTTCGCCGAGAAAGACGATGGCGACAGAGAGTGCCCACAGCAGCAGCGGCCGCGCCGTCATAACCATGCAAGAAGATCGCGACGCACAAATAGCGATAACTTCTACGACGATAACCGGTTAGGGATAGACGTGGAGCAGCAAGCTGGAAGTAGAGAAGAAACCGACCATCGCCATAAGTCCTCCTACGTCTGGCGAGTTCTGGTACACCCTCCAAACCCCACACCCTCCCCCCACTTCCCAATCGAACTCTGCTGACTCCCCACGCGCACAGTGCTACCTAACATTCATTGCGCCCTTCCTCAGCGTGCTGTGCGCCCTCTACACACTCATCACGCTCCTCCTGCTGATAATCAGCTACCCCCTCCAAAACCTTACATCCTCCACCTGCCCCCCCTTCGGCACAACAGTCATCTCGCGCCTCCTCCCGCCGTTAGAGTTACACATGCGCTTCCTCTACTGGCGGCGCCATCCGTTTCCCACGGCCGACGACGTCGGCGCCGCAAGGCTAGTCCGCGTCCACATGCTCTCACCGCTCGTCGCGATCCCGATCGGCGCCGTGGCGGCGTTCATCAGCTTCGTCTGGCTGTATACGGAGGTGCTGCTGGGCGACAAGAACGACGAGAAGGGAATGGAGTACAGAGGTTTCCTGTGGGTCAAGCAGCGGTGGGAGAACTTTGTGCTCTCGTCTCTGAAGTCGAAAGAGCTGCCGGAAGGCGGCGATTCTTTTAGGGAGGGGTAATAGGATTGTGGGGGGTTGTGGAGTTTTTGAGATTTGCGGCTTTTGGGGTTCAATGGTCATGACTTGCATGCATGCATAGGTGGGGGGTACTGGGTCTTGATGTTCATAAATCAAATGATTGCGCTCACTCACATCATACCCACGTCCACGTATTGAACCAGTCGTTTAGTTGTGCTTCAACTGCGGAGGAGTCGGTGGAGGAAGAGGAGAATTGGTTGGCGCTAAAGCTGAACATTGCCCAAGCTGCTGGCTGGCTCTTTGATCCTCAGTTGTGCCGCTTCGCATCACCGTCATGTGTGCTCCGTTGACTACCCGCGACACCGTGACATCGAACAACCTACCTATCTACGTCTGGTCGACAGCGCCGTCCGTCCGTCCTACTCCCGACCGCATGAGATCAGACTCGACTAGTGTGAGGATAGGTAGGTAGGTATGCAGCGAGCTGGCAGTGGCTCTCAGTGGCTACCGGATGATGTATTGAGATCGCGATTACAAATAACCTGCGAGTGATCATCGCCGCTTCTTTTGTTTTGTTTTTGTTTTTGTTTTTTGTTTGGTTTCTTCATCAATCGCATGCATCCTACCTATTCTATGATATCACTCTATACTCCGGTTCTGTATCGATATGTAGTGACATGCTGTGAATGGGCCTCGTTGTATGCACACACCACACCAGCAGAGCCAGGACTTCGGGCCAAAACCTCAACAATGCTTCACTTCTCTTTTCTTTTCTTTTCTTTTCTCAATATACACAGTCGCCCAGTCCCACAGTAGCACAAGAGAGCACAATCAGGCACAAGTACAATTACTAAAAAGAAAACCAAACGCAAAACCAAACAAACCAAGCCAATAAACTCCTTCAATACAGTCAGTAAGTAGCCAGCAGCCAGTAAGCCCTTTGCAATTCTTTGTTGTGATCCGTCATCTCATTCGTTGCCCCACTCCCCTCCCTTCTCCCCGTCCCTTCCCTCCCGCTCCCTCCCCACTCCTTTCAAAAGTTTTCCCTAAAGTAAAGTACTTATAATCCACGGCTGACCCCCACACACACTTCGTAAAAGAATAGAAGCAGAGAATAGAAGCAGAAGCAGAAGCAGGAGGAGGGGGAGGGGGGGGAAAACACTACATTAACTTGCGAACCGAGAAAAAAAAGAAAGAAGAAAGAAGAAAAAAAGAGCCGTCGCTTCTCTGGACGGGGCGGTCAAGAGAGAAAGAAGAGGAGGAAAAAGAAAGAATAATGAAGGAAGAAGAAGAAAAAGAGGAGGACGAAGGGAAGGCATAATAAACAACCGTCTGAACTTTAACTGAGCAGACATAGACAACAGATCCGCATAAACACAAAACATAGGTAATTCACTCTCCCACAGGCAAAATTTCTCCTGCTACAAAAAAACATTCCCCATCCATTTAGCTACCCGAGAATTTTGCGAGCAGCAACCCCCACCACACCCATACAACTCGGCATCCGTAGATCTCAACACTCGCATACCTAAACGACATCCCCCTGGAAACGGCTGTAGCCGCGGCGTAACCTTTCATCTGTCGCATTTATTTCTCGCCGCCAGGTCCACTCGAAATGCCATTGGTGCTCTTGGAATTTGGACTGCTGTTCTCCTTGTGCCGGGAGTTCTCGGAACCTCGTTTTACATCCTCCTCTTCATCGTACTCGTCATCTTCCTCAACCTTACGGGCCGCGGGCTCGACAACTTCTTTTGTTTCCTCCCTCCGCTGCTCGGGCATCCGTGGTGCCTCCGACATGGGCGGTAGCTGCTGATGGCTGAGCGGAGGAAGCGAGTGAGGTGGCGGCGGCGGTGGTGGCGGTGGTGGTGGGGGAGGACCATGGTGGTACTCTTCCCTGCCGTTACCACGTTCTCGCTCGCGTTCGCGTTCGAGAGATTCGCCCCGTCTCTGATGCTGAGGAGGTGGAGAGGCTCGGTGGTGATGGACGTCCTCCATTCTCGCTCGGTTCTCCTCCGAAGCAGGCTTCTTGACAACACCATCGTCGTCTTCCCATTCCCTCTGCCTTTTGATTGGTATGTGCTGGGTCTTCTCCTCCCTGTCCCGTTGGGCGGCCTCGGCGGCCATTGTGGCGGACACTGGCGGGGGAGCACCTCCGGCGATCCCACTGCTCTGTGGCTGCTGTTGTGGCTGCTGCTGCTGTTGCTGCTGCTGTTGCTGCTGCTGTTGCTGCTGCTGTTGCTGCTGTTGTTGTTGCTGCTGCTGCTGCTGCTGCTGCATCTGCTGCTGCCGCTGGGCCGCAATGCGAGTGTGGGCGTATCCAGCAGGCTCGGGTGACGGCAGACGGTCCTCCACGGTCGGCTTGACTTCAGGCGGTGGACTGACTCGTCCCCCACCACCTTGGTACGGAGGTAACGTGATGTTGTTGCCGTTGGAAGCGGGCGGAAGCACGTGCTGGGGAGATGGGTTGTGATGAGGGTTGAGGATGCGGTTCGGAGGAGGAGGCGGCTGCTGTGTCTGCAACGGAGGAGGGTACTGGGACTGAGGAGAGTGATTGGGGAATTTGGGAGAAGGCGAAAGTCCTCGTCGGATGGGAGTGTGTCTGTTGACTTCTTCCGCTTGCCGCCTCATGTGGTCGGGGCTCATGTGTCTCTGCGGAGGCAGAGGCTGAGGCTCGCTAGGCCTGCTGTAGGGGCCCTGGTTGGGTTGCTGGGTCGGAATCTGGGGAAGCGTCGGGGTTGCGTGTGGTCGCACGGGTGCTGCGGACGGAGGCGCCTGCGAGCCCCATTGAGGGCCAGGGGGACCGGTCACCGCGGCAGCCTGGTACGCTTGAGGGTGGACATCCTGAGGAGGAGGCGCCGAGGCTTGAAGCTGCACACCCGAGTTCTGACCGCTTCGCAAGAGTTGCAGCCGCGACTTGATGTGTTGGTTGGTAGGATCCAACTCTGCGGCGCGTTGGTAAGCATCGAGAGCATCGTTAGTCTGGTTGTTGCACGACTCGTACTACACTCCGGGTCAGCAATTGCGCGTCGGCATTTCGGTGCGGTGATCGATGGCTTACCAGTGTTCCGAGGTCGTACCACACCTCCGAGATGTAAGGGTTGAGGCGGATCGCACGGGAGTACGCGTCCAGGGCATCGCGGTACTGGTTGATCTGGTAGTAAAGAACACCGATGGAGCACCAAAATGTGGGGTTTCGGCCATCGCGGTAGACGGCCTGTTGATAGGCTTCATACGCCTTGGGGTACTTTTGTTGAGACATGTAGCAACGTCCCAGGAGATACCAACTCTGGGCATCGGTGTTGTCTTGGTGCGCCGTTAGTCGAGTGTGCACTCAGAGGGGGATTCGTGTCGCCAACTTACCAGCGCTGACCGATTTTTCGAGGTATTCGATCGCGAGTTCTTGACTTTCGAAGCCGCCATTTTGCTGGTGGTGAAGCCAGCCAAGTTGCTGTAGCACTTTGGCATGGTTCGGGTCCGAATCGAGCACCCTCGTGTATGCCTCTTTTGCGGCATTGTACTACACATCGAATGTCAGCTTCACTGGTAGTAACTGGGAGTAACGAGGGAGATCGCATCGGTACATACGTCTTTCTGTTGTTCGTGGACATGTCCGATCTGAAACCAGATGTCTTCTTCGGTCAACGGCCCAGGCGGATCGGAGACGATGTAACGGAAGCACTAAGGGCGCAATTTAGCAACAGTTTCCACGCTACTCTGCCGATCACGACAAAACGAAAACACATACCTCCAAGCTCTGCTGGTACTTCTGTTGCTGTTTGTAGATTATACCCAACCTGAAGTAGATTTCATTGGCCTTCTCGAAAGTTGGTTCCATCCTCATCACCTGAGAGAAAGCCTCCTCCGCGTGCTCCAGCGAACCATACCGGTCATAGAGAATGCCGATTCCGTACCACAATTTCGGTTCCTATGATCATTGTACTTTAGTCCTGCACCGCCGGGGAGTCGTGATTGCTCTTGCCTGTAAAAAAAAAACAGGGAAGTGTTATTCATACCTTGGGATCGCGAAGGTGGTACAGCGCTTGCTGGTAGGCGGAATAAGCTTTCTGCAGATCGTCCATCATAAGATAACAGTGTCCTAATGACCCCCAAATCTCTCCGTTGCTGCTGTCCATGTTCAAAATGCTCTGCAGATACTCGACAGCCTTGGGAAATTGCTCTTTGGTTCGCAAGATACACGAGATCGAGTTCATGGCAGGAATCGAATACGGGTTCATTCGAAGCGCCGCCTCGTATGCCTGTGTGGCTCGGTCGAGATCGCCCATCAGCTCGGTGAGGCTGCCTGGAATCGCATCGCCGTTAGTGGGTGTTGCCACGGTATGACGATAATGATAATGATGAGGAGGAAGCGCAAACACGCAGGAGGGGATATCCGGGAAGTCGAGTGCACTCACCGATTTGCAGCCATGTCACCTCATTGATCGCCGTCAACTGCTGAAAAACGTTGGGTTTCCCTTGCTGTTGCTGTTGTGACATCGGAGGCCCAGGGTGACCGTTGGTATGCCCGATTTGGGGGGCTTGTTGGTGGAGAAGGGACTGTGACTGGCCGTGGCCAGGAGAAGAAGTGTGCTGGACAGATGCCATGCGGGCACGCACGCGCTCGATGATTCAAAGACGCCTTCAACTCCTATTACGGGGGTCGATGGGCGTGTGGGAATCAAGTTTGCACCAATGTAACCTTCACAAGAAGGACGGACCCGGGTTGTCGCGTGGCTGTGGGCTCTGATGTCGAAGCTTTTTAGACCGGACCCTGCGCACAAACTGGATCGCCTAGACAGCCGCTAAAAGCCAGCGGAGAACACTGAATCGCTTTCGCTTTTCGCGTGATCGGGTATGATTGTTTGAATTGATCTGCTAGACTTTTTTTCTGTAACCTTCTCGGCAAAGAAGCTTAGGTTTCGAATGACAAGCGCCCAGTCGAGGCAAAGCAACGTGATGGCGAAGTGTAAACTCGGATCGGACGGAAAGTTGGAGTAGTAGGCGGGATGGCTCTGGTTTCTAAAGAACACACTTTCGCCGCACGCAACGCAAAGTATTTCGCGTGGCGAGCCAATAAGCGGCGGAAGGGCGTCAAGTGCGATAGTATCGGACAACCGCGACGACAACGGACGGGCGGGAGAGGGATGACGGGACGATGGAACGGGGGGTTGGGTTCCTCGGGAGGGAAGATCGAGTCGGGAGGAAGTAGTAGTTTGGGCGGAGGTTGTAGTGTGGAGATTGATGAAGTTGTTAGGGGTGTGGTTGTGGGAGGATGATTCGGGAGAAGGAAGCGAAGGGGGGGTGGGAGAAGGAAGCAAGATGGAAAAGGAAAGGAAAAAGATGGGGGAAGGGGTGTGTGAGGAGAAAGCGTATCTAAAGCGGTAGGTATGGGGGTGTGAGTAGAGGATGTCTGGTACTCTACCTACTCGTGCGCGAGTGGCAGGGAGGGCGAACGGGTTACACGAGCGGACAGTTGACTAGTGCGCTGTTGCAGTAGTTGCGTAGGGGTGGAATTTACGGTAGAGCAGAGCGGGCGCCGAGAGACGCAGTACTTAAGTAAGTGCTTAGTATGAGTTGTGGGTTGTGGGTTGTGGGTTGTGGGTTGTGGGTTGTGGGATATGGGGATAAGAGTATGGGGGAATTATTTTGGGCGGGCAGAAGGGAGGTGGCGGCGGGGGGTGGTGGTGATGATGGTGGTGAATGATGGTGATTGCACGAAGTGTTGATGTGTGTGTAGCGGGTGGGAGAGGGAGAGTTTCGTGGGAAGAGGATGCACGGATAGAGTAGGTGGGTGAGCCAGCAGCTTGACCGCAGGGTCTTATGGGGGAGGGGGGGATGGTGGTTTAGTGCAGAGGTTCGAATAGACGGGAATGACGATGGGGGTGGTGGAGGTGGATGTGGTGGTAGTGGTGGAGGTGGTGGTGGAGGTGGTGGTGCAAGGCGCATGGCATGGGCGCCGAGAATTGATGGATGGATGGATGACAGGCAGTTGGCACTCTAGCATGAATGCTGTCTAGTGGCAGGCCGGGCGTTCATGTAGGGAAGTATCTCTAGGCAGGCGGAGGCAGGCAGGCAGGCAGCATATCTATTCCGCACTTGAGCGATTCGCTTGGCTTCCCGTTGGCCGCACCCCCCCCCCATCTTGTCATCCTTCTGCTTCATCCCTTGGCCCTCTGTTATATTAAGACCCGATAGGCAGGCTATCCGTGTAAACTGGAGAGGGAGGGAGGAAGGGTTTCGTCGTCCCTTCGCTGCCGGGCTACTGTCCCCCTCCCCGGGTCATCCCCCCACCGCTGCTGCCGCGTTTCTCTTCTTCTTCTTCTTCTGCTTCTTCTTCTTCTGCTTCTTCTTCTTCTGCTTCTTCTTCTTCTTCCTTTTCCTCTCGTCTTGTTCCGTTCGCTGGGAGGGGGGCGGGGGGGAAGGGGGGTGTCATCGTCATCTTCTCGATCACGCATTCCCAGCAAATCGACGGGCTCATGCATGTTCCAGATTTGTGGCGGTGGCTCGCTCGCGCTCCCCTCTGCCGTCGGAGTTGGACTGGCCGAGGCGGCTCGAATGATCTTGGCGGACTAAGGGTAAAGGGGGGTTAGCTTCGGATTTTCTCGACTAGCGGAATCTCCGGGGATTAATTGGCACAAGGCAGGAATGCTTGCTCATCAAGTGCTCAAACACAACAAATCCCCACGGTGGAGCCATGCCCCCCCCCCCGCGTAGCCCGCGTAGCGGTGAAGAGAGGCGATGGCCACATCCTCCGAGAAGGTTATTCGGGATCCCGCAACGTGGCTAGAGTACGAACCACAGCGATTGTGTTCTCGCAATCCAACCCGGGCGTGTGTGTGCGGCGCGCTCGATCAAGCGGAGTCTCAAATTTAGATCCCGCGCAGATCGCTTCGACAAAGTCTCGGTCTTGGTCCCATAGTTAACACGTGACTTCCAGCCTCAAGTCAGGGGTTGGGGGGAGTTCTTGCGGTGGACATCCAAAGTCCGGCGCACAGCGGTTGCGACATGGCGATGTCGATGAACTAGGCGCTGAGTGGCTCTGTCGGTTTCTCGGGTCCTCACCGATGTACCGGTATATAACTACCGCCGCTTCCCAAAAATCCCGCTGCGTGAGGGCACACCCCAGAAGCCGCGATTCCGGATGATCCCCGAAAGCGACTGGTGGATCCGGACAAGATAACGCCAGGAGTCACTTGGTCCATGCGTCTTGCGGCAAAGACCGATGGCCCGCGGTGCTTCGGTTGCATTGGTTCTCAGTATTGGATGGCGGCCAGTCGGCTGGAGTGCATAGCTGCGATGTCACCCTTCTTCTCGTGTCCACTCCGGATGTGGCCGAACAGCTGCTATTATTTTTTGTAATGGGCCGACCGTGGCTGGATGAGCAATGCTTTGCGGTCGCTAAGCGACGAAGTCGGTGGAGCTTTGGGCATCCATGTCGGATGAGAGTGGTGATCTTCCACCGTAGTGGGTCTGGACGCGCGCGCAGTTCTCGGTATATGGTAGTACGTCCGTGCCCCGTCCGGTCCGTGGAGCCGCATCGACCGGCCACGTTGGAGGAAAATATTGGACCAAACCTCTGGTCGCCTTTCCCGTTCGGCAGCGTCGCCTGGGAGCCGCCGGCCTCCGTCTGGTACCCTAGTCCGACACTTTCCCGATGCGCGCACATGTCGCCGTGCCGTCGAACGCCGAATGTTTCGACTCCACGCAAAACGATTGCTGTGGGAGGGAAGCTGGTGCATTGACTAAACCCCTTCTCAATTAGCGTTGCCGAACTTCACACTTCACAAACCTGCCTGGCTGCAGCCCTCCCTGTCCCACCGCACCGACGATAAAAAAAAAAACTCGGGACAGCACCACCACCGCTTTCCCCCACCCCCAAACTGCAGCAACCCTAACCCGCACCCACCCCTAACGCAGCAGCAGAAACCCTAACCCGCACCCACCCACCCACCCACCCACACCGCCCCCCCGAACGCCTCCATGCACCTCCGACGCATATCAACATCAGCCCAACAGCCGGCAAATCCCAGAAAAACAAATATGTATATCGCCCGCGCCGTCGCATCCCCACGCACGCCGGCATACTCACTTACATACTCTACATACTCTACATATATAGAGTACAGTACGGAGAGAGAGACTCATGTATGTACCGTACTATATGTAACGGCCAAACATAAACATCATCCATCCATCCTTCGATCGGCGCGAATGTCGATTTCGCAAATCACCCATAGATATACCCGCGCGCGGCCGCCAATCATTCGCTGTACTGCAGAACCCGAATCGACGAGACGAGACCGAGCTGTGCTTTTTTTTTTGCGCTTTCGACGGTTGCCCGCTGGCGATTGGCCCGTGCGCACCTCGCCTGTCCACGCCATAGGAATAGGTTGGACTGTAGAGTATGTAATAACCGTGGCCGTTCCGTGCACAAGTCACAAGTATCGAGTGTTGCAGCCGTACCTATGGTGCATCCCCCTCCCCCCGATTCCACCTCTGCGAGCATAAAGATCACTTCTGCGGACCGCCTCCTATGTGTATGTCATGGGTGCGGTGGGTGCGGTGGGTGCGGTGGGTGCGGTGGGTGTATGGGGTGTGTGTTGTGTTGTTTTTGTTGCTCTTGTTGTTGTTGTTGTTGTTGTTGTTGCGGTGGAGACGCACGTTCTGTCCCTTCCGTCGGCTGCTTGCTTTTTTCTTACACATCTGCAGCCTCCCTGGATGTGGATGTGGATGTGGATGGGAGCACCTAGAGTAACCCTCTCTCCGTCCGCTGCGCGGAGCACGCATGGTACAGTAGATACTCAGAGTACAGGACAGGACAGACAGGAGAGGACAGACAGGACAGACAGGACACACAAGACAGACAGGACAGGACACACAAGACAGAGGAGGTAGGACCATGCAAGCCCGTCTTTCATCCTCTCGAGACGAGTCGAGAGTCAACCCTCGAGGCCGTACCCTACTCTCCGTGCTATATGTATACACGACACCCTACCCTACCTACCCTCCCGGCGTCCCTGCCATGATCCATCCCCCCTCCCCAAAATACTTACTCCATCCATCCTCAGTGTTGAGTGCTCACGATCACGATCGGCTGATCTTTTGCTTCCTTCTCCCCTCCTTCCCTCCTTTCCCTTCCCTTCCCTTCCCTTCCTTCCTTTCGTCTTCAGGATTGCGTGTAGCAGAACAGAGCAGAGGCGGACGACAGGGATGATTGCCGACAGACAGACAGACAGACATATGGCTGGATGGAGTGTGGAGTCTGGACAGGATGGCGAAACAAGAAAAATACGATCTACCTCTCTAGCCGAATTCGATTCCTACCCGTGCTCACATAGACCGTGGACCGGAGGGAGCGCGCGGATCTCTGCACCAGAAAATCACATAGATAGATACACCCTGGAGGTTGGATGCTGGAGATATATGTAGCAGAGTACCGTACTCTACATACCAGGTACGGTACCTAGGATATGAGGGTGTGAACTTTGAAGCAGTTGGTGAGCGCAGCCGGCATCGTGGGTTTCTTTCGTTCTTTCTTTCTTTCTCCCTCCCTTTCTCCCTTTATGTTTCCTGCGCCATACTTCATTACTGGACCGACCGAGGGCGAGAGGGCGAGGGGGGGCGGCGACCTCTATCGCGTAGCTACTTCCATACAGCCACCTGCTGCATCGAGCCTTGAGGCGAGATGGGTAGAGTAGAGTACCGGTACTCTAAGTATGAGGTCTGAGGTCTGATCTGCCTGAACTTTGAAGGATCGTGACCCCAGCCCAGCCCAGCTCGCCCAGCCTACCCACTACCCAGCCCGCCCAGCCGTGGCCGCGCCGGCGCGGCGCGGCTGATTGCGATTGGGCCGGCAGGTCTGTTGTTGGTCGGTATGTAGGAGGTCGGTTCGGCTCTGGTTCCGCATGGATACAGGATAAAGTAGAGTACTTACAGTTACCGTACTCATCCAATTCCAAGCCCATTCCACGTGTTCCGAAACCCCCCCAACAACAACAACAAGTCCCGACGGAAGACCCGACAGCAAACTTCCAGGTATCTACGGCCAACAGTTAACAAGCTACCGCTCATCCGCCATCTGCCCATCTATTTGAATCAAGCTATCGCGACAGCGAGCAAGTAACCTATCTATACATATCCAGTATGTACCTAGCGCGAGACGTCTAGAGTAAAGTGAAAGTGAACTCTGTCTGTCTGTCTATACATATATCGAGGGAGGCCTGCGTACTCTTGGTTACGACATTGCAAGTGCCACGCAGAGAGGATTCCAGAACGAATAGAATCTAGATATAAGGTATAGCATCAGGGGCCGAGGGGCCAAGGGGGGGCCGAAGGGAAGGGAATGAGTACGTAATGGACGGATGGCTTGAAGATAGCTTGAGGATAGCTTGAGGATAGCTTGAGGATAGCTTGAGGATAGTTTGAGGACGCGGCCGAAATCCTATCTCCTGTGGAGGATGTAACTCTAAAGCTGTTCTAGAGGACTTACTCTCTGGAGTCTATGCGGGCTGTCGATGAAACGCACCACTACCTCTACTCTTGGTACCATCACCACCACCACCACCACCATCTTCCCCAGCAGAGTGCGGTTTGTGCTCCATGGCTTCGTACATACACATGTACAAGTACAATACTTCGGTCGCCTTCCGGAGCCCGGAGTGCAGTTTGTGGCGCCGACAGAGTAGGTGCTCTACCTACCGTAGGCGCCGCAGACAGGGTTCTTAAATCTTTGGAGTGATACGAGTGAGTGAGTGACATCGTGTGTTTGTCCCCATCCAGGTGTCATCCAGGTGAACACCAACCCGTCTTCACGCAGTCTTCCTAAACCCCGTCGGCCGCGAGATCACCAGAGCAGTCTTTAGCTTCGCCTCCTCTCCATTCACGAAGAACCCGCGGAAGTTATACCAGCAGCCGCGGGTCCGGCCTTGCTCTTTCCCTTGCTCTTTCCCTTGCCCTTTCCCTTGCCCTTGCCCTCGCTCCGTCACAGCAGCAGCAGCAGCAGCAGCCAGTGGCACCGGCACCACCGATGGAAACGGCCGGTACGTCGCCAGCATGTGGTAGCGGTACATCTCCGGCTGTCTACTCTGAGCAGAACTACACCTCGTCACGTCCCTAGGAAAGCCGATAAGCTCCGTCGGCGCTTTCTGCATACCCGGCCTCAGCGACAGCGGCGACGGGAGCGGGCGGCTCTTCCCCGTACGATCCCTAGCCATCCCGGCCGAAGGCGACGACGGCGACACACCCCGTTTTACCTGCGGCAGCGGTGGTGGAAGCGGACCGATGCCCCCGCGGCCGGGCAGGATCCCGCGGCCAAGCTCTATCAGCGCCTACGAGGGCCTGACATATGTCCTCCCCGTTGCGACGAGGGTCGAGGCGGGACACCGGTCGTCTGGGGGCACGCGCATGCCTGGGGTTCGGGCGGTGAGGATTTGCTGGGGTTTCTACGGGGTGGGATGGGATGAGGATGGGGATGGGGGCGAGCGGGGTGGAGGGTGGAGGGTTTTGTATGAAGGATGAAGGATGGGTCAGGAGGCTGGTTCATGTTGGAGGTTGGAGGTTGGAGCGCTTTCGTCGGGGTTCGCTGGTTGTCCGAGTCGAAGTCGGCCTACGAAGGGTGAGGGATACTGTACCTGTAGGTGGGTGGGTATGGTGGGAAGGTGAAGGTGCAACAAGGGCCGGCCTCGGATGCGTTGAAGAATGGGGAAGAGTTGGGATACCGGTAGCAGTTGCAGTGGGAACTTGGAAGGCCATCGAAGCATGCTCGGCAACCACCACCTCCTTCTCGTGATATCTAGCGTACTTCATGTAGGACACTCCGGATGAACAGCAATCACGATCCCGTGGGCCGTGGATCATCGCTGTGCCGCATGCATGTGCGGCATCCGGCCCGCGGCTTGTCCATCAAACGTGCGTGCCGAGTATGATACATGTCATCCATTCCAGAACCCAGCCGACCCTGATTCCGTGAACATGGAACAAAGAGAACGACTACCACTGTCTCGAAATAAGCATGAGTTATTCTATAAACAGCACTGCAGACGCTCGATACTCTAGTCTCTGGTACCGCATTTGTTTCGTGTTTCCACCCGTGGGGCAGCGGCTACATAAAACGCCACTGGTGGACCCATCGTATGCATCGTACATACACACCCACCTGCAGGACGCAGGAAGCATCAGGCAGGCAAGCAAGCAAGCATGCTGTATGTATGTAGCCTCGTCCACCAAGCGTGTACTCTACATACATGATGTATCCATCCCACACTCAAGGGGATGAGCCTCTCTGACCATCACCAGGTGGGGGAGCCGATGATGGATGCTGCCCACCACTCACTCTCCCCACTACCCTCCCCAGTGCCCACCCACCCCCTCCCCCTCGGAACGCCCTGTCCTGTCTTGTCCTCCTCGACATGCGGGGATCGGAGGTGACTGCCAATGATCTGGAATCGCACTTTTTTTCCTTCTTCTTCTTCTCTCCTTTCATCGGCTTTTCGGTCACGAGGCGTTCGCCTGAAATCGAAGGGGCCATTTCAACGATCCTGATTGGGATTTCCTCTGGAGAGGGATTTTACCCTTCCTCCCCACCCCCCGCCACCACTACCACAGGTCCATGTGTTGCGGAAGTTAATAAACACCGTAGAATAGTGGATTCGGACTTGGAGGCACTGACCATTGCGGATTTGTTTGAAGGTTTTTGTGTGATGCGGGGTAGATTAGAATGTCCTTGATCGTGAGCGGATGATCATAGACGGGTCCATGAAGCGGGCTGGACTGGCCGAGCAACAGCTTCCAAGTAAACTTTCTACTACTATGGGCAGTGGCGCAGGTAAGCAGGCGGCCAAGAACAGGAGTGGGAACATATTGCTGTCGAGCGCTGGGCAATCATCGCGATTATGGATGTGTGATTCGAAATACGTGGGAAATACGTGGGAAACGCCAAAGCAAGTGGTGATCCAAGCTGTGATCCTCAGTGGACGAGGATGATCATGAGGACGGGGCTTCAAGCTTTCATCCGGATGTCGATATCTTCTGTGGCCTTCCGAGGACCTTGTTGCACCCCGTCCGAACTGCAACCTCCTGCCACGCTCACGATGTCGCGTCCGGATCTCCACGTCATGGATTAGATGGTTTTGGGTTTTTCTGAGAGAGATCTCCCGGCCGAGCTTGTCTCAGCTTCGGTGATGCGATATGGGATTCTCCACTAAGGAAGGTGCGCGCGGATAGATCGATGATTCCCGTCGTCGGATCCCAACATCACGAGTAAGCAACACGCTCGTGTGCATATCACATGGGCGGAGGCACATAGGGGCCGAATAGGTTGGAGGAAGCTCGGCTTGCTCAGCTTCCATTGCGGAGGACTTCACGGGCGTGAGGCGTGCTTGCCGTGTGCAACGTTTCAGCTTGGCGCGTCCCGATTCGGACAGACCGCTCTGAAGTTACATCCATCTGCGCTGCGTTCTCCATGTCCCAGGCACCACCTGCCGAGAGACACTGTGTGTCGTACCTTTGTCGCTACTTCCCCCATACGTCGCCTTTCCGATAAAGCACTATTCGAGCGCTGCTCCGCGCGTATCTCTGCTCCGCGAGCGTCTCCCTGGGCTCAACAACTATGCATTGGGTCGTCCAATAGCTCCTACTCCGCGCTTCAACAACTGAGATATCGTCACGGGAACACCGGCGACGTCAACAACAACACCACCCACGGAGGAAAGGGAAGGAAAGGAAAGGAGACGGGCAGACGAAGTTAACCACCAATAATGAGCGACATACGAGTCTTCGTCACATTCCCAGGGTCGAACGCCGTTTTCGCCGGAGAGACGTTGGAATGCAAGATCACCTTCAAGAACACCGCTCAGAAGCCCAGCACAAGGGGACCGCCATCTTCTTCGCAACTGAGCTCCCCCACCAGCAATGGCTACGCCGTCGGAGGGCCACGGGTGCCGCTCGCTCCGCCGCTGCATACCCGCTCCGAGCGGACGAGCCCGCGGCCGGCTTCAGCACGTCCACCCTCGGCCAACCCTAAGCCGACGATCCAACATACCGTTTCGACAGCGAAGTCGCCAGTATTACCGTCCCAACCGCAAGGTACACCCAATGTCCGTGCGAACCAGAATCACAAGCACCAGCGATCGATTTCCATCGTGTCGCTCAGTTCCGATATGGGGAGTGAATGCGGGGGGCGAGGCCCAGGAACCAGAGATGGAGTCTTACGGTCGCCGCCACCTCAGCAACGTCCGAGGGGACATGGGAGGTCTGCATCGCTGCAGATAACTACGGGGAGACAGTCCTCCGTCACGAACGGATCCATTCCGCCTTCTGGTACAGTCCTTGTACGTTGTTTCTTTTCGGCGGCCGGGTTGAGCTGACATTGACAGGTGCCTTATTCGGGAGAGCTCCACAGAGCCCGCCGGATCATACAGCGCAATCGACAATGGGAGGATTCTCATTCCCGGTTAGAGGGTCAGCGCCCAGTGTCCCCGCGACACCGATTTCGCCAGGAAGCCACGGGCGCTCAAAGTCCGTCAACAGAGCCTTTGAGTTCCCTCCTACACCGTCGCCGGGCACGGGCGATCTCATCGCGATCCATCTGAGCGGCGAAACTTCGCAAATCGAGCTCAAAAGCCCGCTGGAAGACGAGCAACTGCAGGCTGCCCGGATAATATCCGCGCAGAGCGTATGCGGAGAGACACCGCGGTCCAGCGGGGAGTTCTACTCGATGTCGAACAGCACGACGGAAACTCTGTTATCCGAATATGACCCGAAAGGCCAGTCGCGACTCTTGCGACCTCACAACCGACGTCATAGCTTATTGTCGATCGGACCCAAGGTGTCGGAATCTTTGATGATGGGATATGCCCATGTTATTGGTTCTTTCACACTAGATGGTTCCCTGATACAAACGAGCATTTTTGAAGACGTCAAGAGGAAGGGTGTTTTGGGTACGCAGAGCGGCGGCGGTGTGGTGGGGCTAGAGAATAGCAAGAATGATGGCGGATTTCTCAGTGGACTTGGATGGGGAGGGCTAAGTGGCTTGCTCGGAGGCGGTGGCATGAGCAGTATCGCGGAGATGAAGAATACCGCCAGTAAGTGACGAATCCACGGGCCACACTCCTCCCGGACAAGTTACTCACCAACCCAAAGGCACCAGATCGGTACCAATACTTTCAACACCACAGTCGATTCTCTTTGTGGATCTACGGTTATCCCCGGGCGAGAGTAGATCGTACAAGTTCAAGTTCACTTTACCAAAGGGCATTCCACCGACCCACAGGGGTAAGGCGATCAAGATAACGTACAACCTCGTCCTGGGAACCCAGAGGCCCGGAAAGGGCGTCGTACAACCTACGATAATAGAAATACCCTTCCGGGTCTTTCCTCACGTCAATGGTTTGCGATTCCTCTGCCACGTCTCCACGATAGCCAGGCTCATGATCAATAGGCAACGGAAGTTTGGACACACATAACCTAATGTCACCTGTTGTACTGCTGCGGGATGAAGCAAAATCTGAATGCCTTGATGAACCACGGTTACCCACACCATCGGTGTCACACGGCAAGCGGGACAGGAAACAAGAGTCTTCACTGGACGATTTCCTGTCGTACGTCGACAACCTGCTTGCTCCCCAGGACTCTAGTTACAATGTCGCCGGCTCGCTCGGCCTCCTGTCGCCTTCGTTTGCACCTACCAACAAGCGATTGTCGGTATACGAGGACGTATCGTCAACTCCCAGAGATGCGGTAGAGATGGCTTTGACGGGCGGTCAAGGCGCGAGCCCCTGCAGCATCTTTGAAATTGCAAGGAACGGCCATCGCGTAGCAGCAATCACTCTCGCTAGACCTGCATATAAACTCGGCGAGAGCTTGATGGCGATCATCGACTTCACGGGAGCCAAAATTCCCTGCTATCATGTATGATTCCCACTCAGCTCATCATACTTCCCGACGGTACATACTAATGCGACAAAATTGTAGATTCACGCCAGTCTCGAGTCGTCGGAAAAAGTAGATCCGTCCTTCGCGTTACGTTCCGCATCGTCGATACACCGCGCAACCCGGAAAATCTACGCCCGACACTCGGAATCCACACTCTTCGCGAACCGCATCATATTCACACCTACCATTCCGGTATCGGCCACTCCCGAATTCCACACCAGTGGAATATCCAACTCGTGGTTTTTACGATTCGAGTTTATCACCTCTGCCGTTTCAACACGGGTGCAGACCCGGTCTGACGGCTTGGTCGATGACTTGTTGGAACAGACATATGCGGATGATCGTGGAGAACTGTATGAACCACGCCAGGGTATTCCCGTGGAAAGCTTCGATGCTAGCATTCCGGTCAAGATATATCCGAATGGCGCTGATCCCGGTACTGCTGGAAGCGTCATCGGTGTTCAGACCAATGCTGCGGCGTCGGTGGGCTTCCCGGTCTAATATGAGAAAATATCTCGTTGTTTGCATACATGATAGAAACCTCACAGTCTCTCCGTGGCCCGGGGGAGATATCTTGTCCCGTTTATAACTGGCATGGTGTTTTCTTCCTGGGTGTTTTCTCATTCTCTTCGTTCTTACAGTTTGTGGTTGCGTTCTTTTTGTTCAACACTCTGGTTTCTTCTGGCTCTTTTCTTCTGGGGAACATTTTTGCGGGATTCATAGGTGCAGGTTTTGGTTCTACGATGCATTGATTGCTCGAAATATGTTTTCTTGCTTTGCCGGGAGTGTCTACTTTGTGGGGGGTAGGTGGGGGAGGATTATTGGGGGCTCTGTATGTTTCGCTATGGTGGGTGTTTGGCTACCTAGAGGCGGATTGGTTATTCGGGGGATTGGGATGATGGTTCTATGTATGTGTGCGCGTGTGTGCTGTATGATGACAGTTTTTGTGGATATGCCAACGATGAAACTGGCTAACACCGCCAGACATCATAATCCTCCCTTGTGGCCCGATTGATATATCATCGCACTGATCAGTGAGCGAAGTGCTGGCGGCATGAGAGTGGTTGTGTACAAACGCCCGAAATATAGTACAGGGAAGTCAACAGCACCTATCCCTCACAGCCTGACATTCCCCGCCTCGTCTTTCGAAATCTGTGTGGTGTTCTGCTCCCCAAGCGCGGCGACCTGCTCTAATGCTGCTGCCGAATCGCCCTGTGTCACCGCTGCGTCTGCTGCTGCCTCCGCCGCTGCCTCCTCGGCCACCTCCAGCTGGTCCACCTCCGCCGTGGCCTGCACAACCTGAGCACTCAGAGCCTCCCGCTCCTTTGCCGCCAGCTTCTGGTACCACGCGGATTTCAACACCCGGTGTCGAAGCTTCCATCCCTTCGGTCCCAATTCCTTCAGGCGTGCCGTTTTCGAGCCGAGAAGGTAATTATCCAGACCTCCCACCTTATCAATGGTCCCTGTCCCATCGCACACCTGTCAACTCCCTCCATCTCATCCCACACCGAGCATATGTAAGTACTCACGTAGCGCACTCGTCGAGACCTCGAGGTTGAGATTCATGCCCAGGGCCTTGGAGTACAGATGGGTGTGGCGAATATTCGGCATCCAGAAGCGCCGCGTCTTGAACTGACTCTTGGGGCCGATGTTGTTGCCGAACTGTATGTGCTTGCCGCCGTACAGCCCGAACCAGCTCTGCTTGAACGTCTGCTGGATCGGAAACGGGTACGTGGGCACGTTTTTGAGCATGTGCGAAAGCTTCTTGCGCGACGACGACGAGGTCTTCAGTGAGCCGGCGGCTGCCAGGGGCGTGCTGGAGAACGCCCGCGTGAATACGCGCGAGAGCTGGTGGAAGGGCGTCATCGTTCGTGGCGGGGTGCGTGCGTGGGGGTGCGGATCCGTCTGGCTGGCTGGCGTCGTCGGGCTGGCGTCGGCGGAGGTGTGAGGATTCACCACCACCCGCAACCCGCGGCAGAGCCGCATCGGCCAAAATCCTGTGCGCTAGCCGCACCCCACCCTACCACGCCAAGCCATGGGCCACCCATAAAGTCCGCGAAAAATTTCCCACTTCCCTTCCCTTCCTCATCAGACCTGTGTCCTCGACACCGCCCCCTCCTCCTCGGAGGAGTTTTGGGGTGGAGTCTTGGACAGCTCGGCGACCGATGGAAGCTCTTGTATTTCTTTTATCGAAGAATTACTCCTGGGGTAAATCCGCGTCGACAGGTCTGAGAGTGATGTTTCTCGGTCGCGGTCTGAGCTCGTGTCGAAAGGCGCTGGAGTTCGATCACGACCGGGAATGGAAACCATATTCCTAATTCGTTCTCCAGGGCGTCGCCCAGTGATGAGAGTGATAAACCATGGTGTCTACATTTTTTTCTTTGCTTTTCTTAAGGGAATTGCCAATTGGTACGCAGGCCGCGGGCGTGCTGTTGAGTGGTGATTGTGACGGCGGGTTGTATAGAACCTGTGTTTGTGGAGGATTTCTCGCGAACGGTGTCGACTCGAGACAAGACAAGGGAAGGCGGCGGATCGTGAATCGTACCGTAGGGGACCATCATCTTTCTGGGGTCGCGCTCATCATGAAGAACCTCCATCGGCCGCCGACATCCATTCGACGATGCTTCCGTGTGGAAGCGAAAAAAATATATTCTACTTCACGTCCCAGCCCGCACCTGCTCTTCTGGAAATTTCCGTTGAACGACCGTGCTCAGTGCGTACCTGCAGCGCCGCATCCCAACAATAACTATGATCATGTATGTATGTAGCGGTCGCGTACCCGTACATCTACATATCGGATGTCTGGGGAGTCGGGACCAGGCGCTTAGGCTGCAGTAGCTTCGTGATGTGCAGATGCGAATTCATGGACGCTGGTTTGCGGGAGGGAGGGCGAGTCACTGGCTGTGATTCTCGATGGTTCGAACTGTCGCCTGTTTCGTGGGCCAGTCGGACGAAGATCTATCTCCCAACGAGGTGCATGGATCCGGGTTCAACATCATCCCCGACCTCGATCGAACACCCAGACGAATGTGTTTCAACCCGATATTAAATATTACTTGGATACTAAGTACCGATACTGTATGACATTCCATTACACCTCTCTTCGTCGCTCACACCTCCCTTCAACCACCACCAACCGAAGTCCACAAACCCCACCTTTCTTCCCTCTTCCGTCTTATCTTCTGCCTACTCCTAACCTTCCCCAACTCATCTCTATACGCCTCAAAGTCCAAAATGATATCTTGTTCCGCCAGCGGAACGTACTCCAGCGTCGCCGCTTCCAGTCGCTTCAAGCGCAGGTTTAGCACGTTGAGCTCGAAGTCTGCTTGGTTGTTGTGCGCGCGGCTATGGGGGGAATCAGCGTGGGAAGGGTAGGGTAGGGAAGGGGGTGGGAGAGATGGGACGACGTACAGGAGGGATAGTCCCTCGGATTTTCGCTCGAGGTCGGCGACTCGTTGCGCTGCTTCAGCCGCTTTAGATTCCGCAAGGAGGCGGATTTGCTGGTGATTTTGGGTCAGCGCTAGTAATTGTGGACCTAATGGAGTACGTACCTTGACCTCCTCCGCCCTCTGCGATAGGTTCGCGGTAAGTTCCATGACCCTATCCACCAGCTCAGCGGGGACCTGCCCCGTATTCATGCGTATCTCTTCTCTCCTGACCGTCGGACTTGTCGGCGCGCTATGGTGCGCACGCCCCGGCGGAGCTGTAGCACCCGCCGTGGTTCCTCGGTGATGATGCTGCGTCTTCACCACCTGCTCGACCATCCCCCTCAGCGCCCGAATGCTCTGATCGAAGGTGGCCTCGCGCTGCGCAAATGCCTCGCGCTCCTTGACCAGGAACCGCTGGCAGTGGTGGACCTTTGCCAGCAGCACGCGCAGGAGCGCATCTTTCGGCTCCAACTGCGCGAGTGGCTGCTTCTCGTTGTTGTCGCCCGTGAGTGCAACGATCGTGGTCGGTGTGGTGTGTATGTTTGTTGTTTGCCGTAGGAGCTCGCCGTTTTCTGTGAAACATGTTGTTAGCTGGGGGGAGTTTTCGGGGTGACGACGACGAAACGGACCTCTCAGCAGTTTCGCATTCTCCGCCTGTAATCGTTGGATCTCTGCCTGCAGACCCGTGCGCTCCCTATGGATAAACACATCTACAGCGCTTAATATTGTTTCGCACTGCACTTGTCGTGGCTGTGGTGGTGGAGTTGACATAAAGATAAGGAGCGAGCTGCTGGCGGCGACTTCGTCTTGGTTTCAGTGAAGCTGAGGAACGTGTATTGCATCGGAGCGGAGAAGATTCCGTGTGCTTACGTCTGCAACCGTGGAGAGAGAGAGAAGAGACAGTGTTTCCGACCCAGGACACACACGTGATGAATAGGGAAACACGCGTGACGCTGGGGCAGTGCGCGCGGAAACGGGCACGCTTATTAAGCCGGTAGTCCTGTCCAGGACTTGCCGGGGCTTGTTTCACCACTCGGTCCTCTGGGTCTTCTCTTCGTGGTGAAAGCTTGAATACGGGTTCCGCAGAAGTTCTGGTCATGAGCGCAAACATAAAAAACGATGGGTCGTCATTGCAATTTATTGACTCAACACATCCAAAGGTAATGGCTCTCGTCGATAACCACACAGATACGGTTTGCATGGTGATGCACGGGAGTCGCTGTCGAATAAGTACTGAACGACGATATCGATGGTGGACGGACCTGAAGAAACCGATATCCGGTCAATATAGGATTAAATAAACTGGACCGTGGTTGACCTTCGCCCCACGATATGTGAATGGTGATCGTGTCGGCAACAGTGTGCTTGCAGTCACACTACCTACCCTTACATACAAACTGAAAAACTTCCAGGGGTGCTTTGGTGCGGCGGGCAGGCAGATAGTTATCACTAAGCGCGTCATCCTTACGCGACAAAATCGCGTCCCGTCTCTGCTCGAACAAGTCCTTTCTTTGCCTTTCCCCTTGCCATTTTCAATTCCAACTCTACACCACCAACTCACCTCTCTGACCCACTCGATTTCGACTATCAGCAATCAATCCACTACCTCACTCGTACATACTGCTTCTAACTGCTGCCCGGCATGCCGCCCGATATCCGCAGCTTTTTCGCTCCAAAGGGCCAGGCCACTTCGACTTCCACTCCAGCCAAAGAGAAGCCCAAGCCCAAGGCCACACCCACTCCCGCCAAAGAGAAGCCCAAGCTCAAGGCTACGCCCGCAACTGCCGTACGTATCTACATACTGCTTCGAAGGCCCATCAAAGCTGTGAATTAAAATTACTCTGTCATCTAGCGAAAGCCAGCTGCTCGTAAGCGTCGCGTCGTTGGTGAGCATCAATCAATCTTTCTGCTGCTGTTGTCTGCAGAAGTTGACCTTGTCTGGTAGATTCCGACGAGGACGACGAAGACGACGACAAAGACTCGCCGCCACCACCTCCCGCGAAGAAGTCGCCCGCCACAAAGAAAGCTCCCCCCAAGTCCGCCGAGAAGCCGAAGGAAGCCAAGGTCGAGTCGTCCTACTTCTCTAGCTCTAGCAAGAACAAGATTACCCGCACGTTACCGGCGCGGTCATCAAGGCCGAGGAAGGTCGCGGATGTAAAGAAGGGGGCGAGTGTCCTTGACGATGACGATGATGTGGCCGATGATATCTATGTTGAGGCGTTTCAGAAGAAGGACGATGGCTACAAGGAAGAGCCGCAGGATGAGGATATGGACGACTTTGTGGTTGCCGACGATGATGACGACGATGAGGACGAGGACGAGGAGGAAGAGGATGTGAAGCCAAAGAGACGGGGCGCTACTACGAAAACGCTGGTCAAAACGCCGGCCAAAGCTCCCACCAAAGTTCCCGCCAAAACTCCTGCCAAAACCCCCGCCAAAACCCCCGCCAAGGTGATTGTTAGCAATACCTCTAGTAAAACTTCTAGCACCGTCGGCAGGAAGAGGAAGCCGGCGCCTTCTGACTCGGAGGACTCGGAAGATGATTTTGAAGAGGAAGCGCCGCAGAAGAAGAAAACTCCCGCCAAAAAGCCTCCGGCGAAGAAAGCACGTGCCCCAGCGAAAACGAAGGAGGTTATCGACAATTCCGATGTCAAGAAGATCCTCGATGCTATTGCGACAGTCCGAGCTCCGACACCTCCGCCCCGAGAGGAGGGAAAGAAATTCAACTTCAAGGATTTTGCAGGACGGCAGGCGGCGCCCCCGGCAGCTCCGGGGAGCAAGGAGATACCAACTGGTGCAGAGAATTGCTTGGCCGGATTGACGTTTGTTTTCACCGGAATCCTAGACAGCATTTCCAGAGAAGAGGGGCAACAGCTTGTCAAGAGATACGGAGGTAAAATCACTACCGGCCCTTCGAGAAAGACCTCCTACGTCGTTCTGGGTAGGGATGCTGGCCCCTCGAAGCTCGAGACTATCCGTAAACTCGGGATCAAGACGATCAATGAAGATGGTCTATTTCAGCTCATCTCGTTGCTTCCGGCTAACGGAGGAGACGGGGTGGCTGCTAAAGACTGGGAAGCCAAGAAGGCCGTCGAAGAGAAAAAGATTCGGGAGGCAGCCGTGGAAATGCAGAAGGCAGCCGATGCCGATGCTAAGGCGGCCAAGGCTAAGGGAGTGGTATCTCAGGATGAAGGGCAGCTGTGGACGACCAAGTATGCTCCCAGCAAGATGACGGACATCTGTGGCAACAAGGGCCAGGTGGAAAAGCTGCAGAGATGGTTGCGTGCCTGGTCCAAGAACTTGAAATTGAACTTCAGGGTCAGAGGCGCCGACGGAGCTGGCGGATACAGGGCGGCCATGATCCACGGACCACCTGGAATCGGAAAGACCACTGCTGCGCACTTGGTTGCCAAACTGGAGGGATACGACGTTCTCGAATACAATGCCAGTGACACCCGAAGCAAGAAATTGATGGAGGAAACCATGCGTGGTATATTGGATAACACATCTCTGATGGGTTATTTTAAAGTTGGCGACAGGAAGCAGGATATGATGAAGAAAAAGTTAGTTCTTATCATGGACGAGGTGGACGGTATGTCTGCTGGTGATCGTGGCGGTGTTGGATCGCTGGCTGCGTTTTGCCGGAAGACGAGTGTAAGTTGTATTTCCTCCGAGTGATTGCGCAGCATGCTTACAATCACAGATACCGATAATCTGTATCTGCAATGAGAGGAAGCTTCCGAAGATGAGGCCGTTCGACACTGTCACCTATGATATGGCGTTCCGACGACCGGATGCGAGCATGATTCGTTCTCGTATCATGTCTATTGCTTTCAGGGAGGGAATCAGTCTCAAACCCCCCGTCATCGATCAGCTTGTGGAGGGAACGAGAGCAGATATTAGACAAATCATCAACATGCTTTCGACCTACAAGACCACGGCGAAATCTATGGACTACGACCAGAGCAAAGCAATGTGGGCAGCCCATGTATCCTCCGCTGACGTTCTATGCTGACAGCGTCCTCAGGGCCAAATCGTGGGAAAAACACATCGTGTTTAAGCCTTGGGACATTGCCGGAAAGTTGTTGGGCACGGAAATGTTTGGTGCTAACAGCAAGAAGACGCTCAACGATAAGATGGAACTTTACTTCAACGACCACGAGTTCTCGTATCTCATGATCCAGGAAAATTACCTCAAGAACAGACCGGACAGAGCGAACCAGTACAGCGGCAAAGAACGAAGTCTGAAGCTCCTGGAACTCGCCGACAACGCTGCTCAGAGCATATCCGATGGCGATCTGGCCGATGCCATGATTCACGGCCCGCAGCAACACTGGAGCTTGATGCCTGTGCATGGCATGCTTTCCACCGTCATCCCCTCGTCGTACACATATGGAAGTTATGGTGGTGGTCCCATGTCATTCACTAGCTGGCTGGGGAATAACTCCAAGCAGGGTACGGGCTCATCTACTCTCATTCTGACGCACATGCTGACACCTAGACAGGAAAACTCATGCGTTTCATCAAGGAGATCCAGAGTCACATGCGTCTACGGTCGTCTGGTGATCGCCACGAAGTCCGTCAATCATACATCCCCAGTTTCTTCAACTCACTCGTGCGCCGTCTCGAGGTCGAGGGCAAGGACGCCGTCCCAGACATCATCCAGATCATGGATGACTACTTCCTGACCAAGGAGGATTGGGACAACATCATCGAGCTGGGAGTTGGGCCCTCTGACGAGGGCACCGTGCAAATTCCGTCCGCTGTCAAATCTGCCTTTACTAGGATGTACAACCAGCAGTCTCACCCCCTGCCGTTCATGAAAGCCTCCTCTGTGGCTGCCACCAAGGCTGCTAAGAAGGACGTGCCCGATATCGAGGACGCGATTGTCGAGAGCGAAGACGAGGCTCCTCCGGATGTCGAGAAGGGGGATGACGAGGACGATATCACCAAGGACAAGTATGTTAAGCAACCCAAGAAGAAGCCCGCTGCCAAGGGTAAAGCGAAGGCCAAAGACGGTGAGGAGAAGCCGAAGGCAGCATCTAAAGCGAAGGGCGGGGCAAAAGCTGCCCCAAAGGGTAGAGCGAAGAAGGCATAGTGATCTGGCATTTACGTTGGGTTATACTTTAATGTGATTCCTTTTTTCCCAGTTTGCTGTACATTAGATACGAGTGGCTTTTGTTTTCTTCTTCCGGAATTGATCACATAATTGGGAGGCAATGAAGACAAATGGATAGATGAATTTATGCTTCGTTATGTTAACGCCGCGGAGCAATACGCCGTACTTTGATTTCTACATGAATGTCAATTATGTTTCTTCATGGGTTTCGGGGGTAGTGTGGTCTGACCTAGCTCGCCAGTCCACTCTTCGAGCTCCCTGACGATAGCCTCCAGATCGCTCACGCGGTCATCGAGCTCGCCCACCTGCTTGATGTACTTGTTGACCTCATCATCTGCCCCGGGGATCAGTACGTAAACTTGAGGTTCGAAGAATAAACGCACACTTCGTTTTGAGGTACTCAGCATCAGTTTCCAGCCCTTCGGCAGCATCGGCCATGCCTCGATACCGCTCCGCAGCATGCTTGTTGATGCGCACTAGGAGATCTAGATCCCCAACGGTAGCCTCGGTATCGAGTCTGATCAACGACTCCAGTGACTGCACCAATCCACCCATCAGTTTATTCGCATGTATTCGGCAACTCCAGCTTCATACCGCTAAGGTATCGTTAACAGCATTGGTGGGTGATCTCTGAGCTTGCGCCGCCATCTTCACTTCCGTTGGCGTGTGTCGAATGGGGGGAAGAGGATGGGGGGAAGAGGATGGGGGGATGGGGTTGGTCCGGGGGTGACTAAAGTGGCGTCTCTATCGGTTCGGGAAGAAGGGTCGGGACAAATCCAATCCATCGACTCACGAGGCGTCACCGCCAAGACCAAGACCCGACATTTTCTACAATTTTTTTTGTCTATATTTCCCGCCCGCCGCTGTCACTCACCCCCGCCATCGATCTCCCCATCACTCTCTCCCCCACCCATCTCGCTCCCGCACCACACGATCAACAACGACAATGTTCGGACGGACGATCCTTCGCCAGGCACGCTTGCTCGTCGCTCCCTCGGTACCGCGGGGCTACGTTGCGCCGCTAGCTGCCAGGCACTTGCGGCCCGCGAGCATGAGATTATACTCGACTACAGAGTCGGCGAAGACGGAGGAGCCCACGAAGGCGGAGGAGTCCGCGAAGGCCGCGGAGCAGCCGGAGGTGTCGAAATTCTCCGAGGAGCTCGAGAAGGCGCTGAAGGAGCTGGAAGGGAAGAAGGTTGAGGCGAGGGACTACAAGGTATATCTACTTGCTCACGCATTCCCACACGATGGATGGCTGGCTGATCAATCGCGGGTGTAGGACAAATTCACGCGTGCCGTCGCCGACTTCCGCAACCTGCAGGACCGCACCGAGCGCGAGAAGAAGTCGGCCAAGGACTTTGCGATCCAGAAGTTTGCCAAGGACCTGGTCGAGTCTGTCGACAACCTCGACCGTGCGCTGAAAGCGGTTCCCGAGAGTGCGCGCTCCGACCCGGCGAACAATAAGGATCTGGTCGACTTTTACAACGGATTGAAGATGACCGAGGAGATCCTGCTGAATACCCTCAAGAAACACGGGCTGGAGAAGGTGGATCCCATCGGAGAGGTCTTTGACCCCAACAAGCACGAGGCTACGTTCCAGGTTCCCATGGCCGATAAGGAACCCAACACTGTGTTCCATGTGCAGCAGACGGGTTTCATGCTCAATGGACGGACGATACGGGTGAGTTTCGTCATTCCCGCGCGTCATGGGAGATCACCTGCTAACCAGCCACGACACAATAGGCGGCAAAGGTCGGTGTTGTAGCATCAGCACAATAAACGGGGATAATTTACGGAAAAATAGGGCGTTGGTTTGTTGTCTTCCAGGTGTTTTGTGACTCTGGTGTTGTACATTACTCTACTTTTGCTTGTGTCATGGTTCTTGTGTTTATCTCGGTTTGTTGGTAGGCGGGTATTTGTACATAAACTTCCACTCTCACATCTCTAGCCGCATGGATATGCGGCCTTTCTCTCGGTAGGTTGAATGAAAAATGATCTCTACTATGCTCGGACCAATGATGAACGAAGATGGAACTTTTATACACTTTAGGGATATAGTACAGGTTTACTGAGAATTGTAGGAGTTCTATCGAAGCTCGACGCCGTATCTTTCGGTCAGTGCCTTGCGTACTGTCTCGTGCAGCGTATTGGTCTCCTCATTGGTAAGGGTCTTTTCCAGCGATCTGTAGTTGATCCGGAAGCACAGCGACTTCCTGCCAGTCTTGGGATGCACGAATTCGTCCACCTGGTGAATGTCAGTCCGCAGCCCACAACCCCAAGTCAATGGGGCCAGCTTACAATCCTAACATCCTCCGCCAAATCACCCGCAACATCTCTGACAATCTCCATCATGTCGTTCTCATGAAACTGCGAAGTCGATCCCGACCCACCAGCAGCACTCGAGGAAGTTTTGAGCCAAAACGCAACATCCTTGTAGCAGGGTGGGTGCTTTGAGAACGGCACGAACTTTGAGATCTGCCCCTCCTTGAACTGGCTCAAGAAGCGTGCATCGGTGGACCAGAAGAGTCGAATGTCCGGGATTCCGAAGAGCAGCATTGCGACTCGCTCAAGACCCATACCGAAGGCCCAACCAATCTTGTCGGGGACGCCTGGTGAAGGTGGTCAGTGTGGGTGCTTGGGAGGTGTGGGAGTGGTGGGAAGTGTACCAGCATTGTTAGAAATACTCTGCTGCACCACACCGCAGCCCAAGAGCTCCAGCCAGTCTCCTTGCCAGAAAACCTCCAGCTCCCACGAAGGACTGGTAAACGGGAAGTACGCCTCGATCCATCTAACCCTTAGTGGCTCATCATCTTCCTTCGCCTCACCAGCCGCAATCGCCGCCCTCTTCGCCTGCCCAAACACCTCTACGACCACCCCCTCAAGCGATCTCTTCAAATGCGTCGCAATAGCCACAGCCTCCTCTGCGCTATGCTCAGATTGGAGCGGATTTCCCGCATGGAAAACCGGCCCGCTATCCTCCACTTTTAGATTATGCTTCGGTAGCCGCTCGATATCCTCCCTGACCATCTTTGCCACGTCCCCGTCCTTGCGCGACCACATCCGCGCTCCCTCCATCTGGTGGAACACAGGGTAATGGCTTCGGTCGATTGCATCACGCCGGTACACATCCGCGCTGATGGTAAACCCCTCTTCGCCCGCAGAAAAGCTGTCCGCCTGGTGCGCGGACGTATGTGTGCGCAGCACTGTCTCACGGTTGATGTAGTACGTATCCGTCCTGCTGCGGCCCGGGTGGTCGGCGGGGAACCCGAGGGAATCGAAATTCTGCTGCACTGACACGACCGGGGAGAGGTTGTTGAACGGCTTGTAGTTTGGCGGCTGGAATTGCCGTTCTACGAGGGCACGGGTGATGGAGATCGGGTGTGTGGGGGACAGGTGGAGGTTGCGATTGATGCACGAGGCGATGTGGGGGGGTAGGTTCGTCCATTCATCGCGCGGGTAGGATTTGCCGGCTACTTCGATTGTTGAAGAGGAAGTGCCTGTGGGCGGTCAGTAGACGGTGGTGTGGCCGCGACTGCGAGCGACGGACGGACTTGTTGTGTAGAATGCGGGGGTGATCCGGCGGATACGGATGAGCGAGGTTTGGCCGCTGCGGAGGGTGCGCGTCGCGCTGTGGAGGAGGTCGGAGGTGTAGAGACGCATTTTGGGTGATGGCGGTGGTGGGGTTATGACATGGTTCTGAAGACTCGAGATTTATTCCAGAGTAGTAGTACACCTGGGAGTGCGCGGCTCAAACGAGCTTTTGCTCCTTCCGACCTTAATCCACCACAACAATTCATACCACCCACTATGCTGTCACGAATATTCCGAGCCATTGCGTATCTCGCGATAGTCCTGGCGTGTCTACTACAACTCGCAGCGGCAAATGTGGAGAAGGAAATATTCCTCGGCCCGCCGGCGTCCACAGATCCGGACGTGTCGTTGGCCGGCCACCTCGTCCCACAGCTGGCGTCCTCAGAACATTGTAGCAACTGTCGCGCGATTAGGACGCGACTGAATACATCATTTGTCGGGAAGGGGGTAGAGCACTGGGTTAGAGTCAATGGGCTTGAGGAAGGGAGGAGGTATGAAGTTAGGATATGTTGGGCCGCTACTGTTTGTACACTCTGCACATCGTTTTGGACGCTTCTGACGCGTGTCTGGCCAGCAACCGACGGATTTTACGCTGGATCTGTTTACTCCTGATCAAGTTCTGAGGGACTCGGCGTTGCTGGAGGGCATTCTAGCTTATCCCCAAGATGGCGCTGTCCAGGAGATCTCTGGCTCGAAGCTCTATCTGAGAGTCCTCGCGAAGACGGCATATGTCTCTTCGCAAAAATCCCGAATGGAGAACCCAGAGCCCGTGGATGTCGACATAAGTATACTCTCCAACTACCTTGGCATGTCTCGGCGATGCTAATGAGGCACAGTTCTGGACCCGTATTTTCTTAATGTTGTACCCGAGTCTTTACTCAAGATTATTCCGATTATAGTGATGGTTGCGGTGTTTGCATGGTGGGTCGGCGGGTGGATACATCGAGCTCTGTTGGACTTTGCGGTGAAATCGGCGGCGGCGGAGAAGAAGCATAGATGATCTCTTTGTATGTGTTATACTATACCACTCTAATTGAAGGCCACACTGGCCGACGTTCGTCATTCCACACGGCCTTGAGTGACATCGTATGTTTTGTCCCACGGTCCTCAAGCTCCAAGACCAGAAACTCTGGAAACCCGCAGCTGGATCGTCCCTGATCTTAACCAAGCTAATTCTAGCGAGCAAATAGAATTCCCAGAGTCAATATAGGCTGCTAGAGGGGTCACGTTCCCAGCCATTCGCTAAATCTTGGGTGCTCTTTGTGTAACTCCACTCCAGGCCATAGCTCCAGCTGCAAGCGCGACTGCATCACCACGACCATAGCCACGATCACCTCCGCATCATCCACGTCCCCAACCCGTCCATTCCTCGCAGAACCCCGTACAGCCGCCCATAATGGAGAAGGAGAGGTCCAAAGGTCTCTCGCTCCGCAAGCGTCGCGGCAAAGGCGACAAGAAACCAAAGCCGGTGATCGGCGCCCCACGGTAGAGCTCCCAGCTCCCTTGCCCGAGTACGTACTCACGCAATGGCACCATAGACAGATCCCAATGCCTGCCATGCCCGGTGCACGAGTCGGGCAGGTCACCACGTCTGTGCCGGCGCCGCAAGTTCGCAGTCGCGACAAGGAGAAGGTGTGCAATGGTCCCTCCGCGACGGCGATGGGATAGATCGAGGTACTGAGCCGTGTAGGTGGCGGATCTGGTGAAGCGACGGATGTCGACGCGGTTTCCGGTGCCGGGGGAACAGGGCGACGTGCCACCCATGCCATCGATTCCTAGTATGCCATCGATTCCAGCGGGGATCGGAGCGAAGATGCCAGTTCAGCCGAGGAAGGGGGAGAGTAAGGGACCGGATATCGACCTGAGTCAGTTCAGGGAGCCGGCTTTCGATCCGGAGAAGTGTGCGTTGAACCATATTCTGGGATTGATGGGGTCGATGCTGATGGGATGTAATGTCAGTCGTGGCGACGGTGTTGGCAAACTCGACCGACGAAGAGATCAAAGAGTTTCAGTGGAGGCTGAAGGAGATTCGGAACCGCACGTCGTCAGACCTGCAGAAGAACGTGTTTGTCAACCGGACGCAATTCATCGTTATCTCAAAGGAGATTGATAAGCTCAAAAGCGAGATGCGAGTGTTGCGCGGTCTGTTGGGGGAACTGCACACTACCACCGACTCACTGAAAATCGAAGGCTCATTCGGAAGCACTACCAACGATGTACAGGCACGAAAGCATGCGAATCGTAGCAGTGTTGCCGACTTGACGGCGCTGCATATGAGCCATCTTCAGGCGCTGTGGAAGGCCGTAGAAGGCGCGCAGAAGTTCCTGCCGTCGGTTCCTGGGCGTCATATCGTTCTCGAATCAAAACACTGGGTCGAGTTGAATGCTGCGACTTGGAAACCTAGGAGAATCGTACACATGGTTCTGCTCAACGACCACCTTCTTATCGCAACCGTTAAGAAGAAGCGAGTAGACGCCAGCTCCGCCCCCGCCTCATCTCGGACTCCGAACACCAAGAATGTAGCCGACAAGTGCTGGGGACTGTCAGAAATTGACATGGTGGACCTTTCGTCCGATGCCACACAGTCATCGAGGAAAAGTGTTTCGAACGCAATCAGCCTCCGAGTTGGCAAGGAAGCATTCGTTTACCAAAACGAAAGCTCGGTTAAGAAAGCTGAACTTCTCCGACAATTTAAGAAATCCCGCGACGAACTCAGAAAAGCGCTACGTGCTGAAACAGAAGACAACCTTCGCCGCCGCGACAGCGTCTCGTTCTTTGCCGGCCGCGATCCGAAACTACTCGAGCACGGCGACCTCCTCAACAGTCTCAGCGCACACGGATCGGGCCACTCAATGTTTACGGTCGAGGGTCAGTCGCGCAACCTGCGCTGGGTCGAAACGCAAATGGACGAGCTGGACGAAAACATTGCGCACCGCAAGTTCGAGGATGCTGTGTCGAGCGTGGGCAAGCTGCGTGCCCTGGCGGAATCCCTCGCCAAGAACAACTCTCTCATCTCGGAGCTCATTCATCTCAAGCTTGACGAGCGCGCTTCGAAGCTGGCGAATATCATCACGGCCAACCTCGTCGAGAATCCCGCGCAGAAGACTTCCGTCAAGTCCAGCATCCAGTGGCTGGTCAAACTAGACTACGAGGACCGCGCGAGGGAGGCCTTCCTGGAGGCACGCTCGGCGACCATCAAGCGGCGGACCAGGTAAGTAACACATCCTCTATCCTTCACATTCCGATTCTAACCCACAGTGCAGACAGGTCCGCTTCGAAGGCGATGTAGCCCTCTACATCTCGCAAGTAGCTCTGGTTCAGTTCACCCTGATTAAGAACACCGTCGAGATCTACAACAGCTGTTTCGAATACCGCCTCGCCAGCGCGCTGGTACGCTGGACCAAGGAACACATCACCACCTACATCGGGCTTTTGGACCGACAGCTCGCCACTGTCGAGCCCAATTCGAAGGTTTACGACGATTGCATGGAGATCACGAGGATTCACTCGACGATGTTGGTGGAGTGTGGACTCGACTTTCAGGAGCTGAGGAATCCGAACGCGAGGAAGTAGTACGGTGGGGAAGGGAGGAAGAAGGTACCGAGAGTACTTAGTAATGACACATTATGTAAATTTTACCTTTTGCTTCGCACAGGTGTTTAATAGCTGAAGAACGCTTGCGTTTCGACTACCGTATTAGCCACATCTCTGTGATTCATCCATTCGCCCAAGGACATTGTGAGCCCTCGCCCTCTGCAGATGACTTTAAAGGGACCTGACATGCCGCAACCTCTAAGCAGGAGTTTCGTGTATAAAACAAGGATAACGCACATAAATCGGGACCTTCAAGAAATCGGGACCTTCATCGAGTTCCGTCCCCGAGATGTACACAGCAGCTACTCCTCCGACACCGTTCCACATAACACCTCCGCATCACAGCCCTCGGCGGCATATTGTTTCTAATATTCAGCACGCTTGGATTTGGTCACTTTTGAAGTCATCAAGTTTTCTGGTCTGGGACGAAAGCGTTAACATATATTGGCTCAGGATGAGAGCTTCAGCAGGTACATACAGGTAGTAGTTAGGTTGATTCGGCTGGGCGAGCTATGTACCTACTCTAAGTAAGCTTGAGTGCTTGCACACGCTTTCTGCCGAACCCCACCTACGTCATCTCACCGTTGCCCTTGGACATACTATCAAAAGCTTGTCCTCTCTTCTCTTCTCCAAAGCTCCCACAATCATCGACCTCCATCATCGCCACTATTGTTATTACCACCGTCATCACCACAAACTACTTCACACGCACAACCAAAACCACAACCAAAATGTCTGGCCCACCTCCCGAAGTCCGGGCGAAGAACCAAGAGTGGGAATCCAAGTTCAAGGGCAAGGACATGACGGCCGCCGAAGTACCCTTCTATCTTCTCCCATCAAGAAACCACCTAACAAGTCTTAGATGAAGGCCGAACTCCCGCCTGTCCACCGCGTCGTCAAGCCAGGCATGATGATGACCCGCGATTTCGTCGAGAACCGTGTTAACGTGCATGTTGATGAGAAGGGAGTTTGTACGCACTGCACACACGGCTAGATTTACATATGCGGGAAGGAGAGGTCAGGTCTGAGTGAATACTTTGAATTGAAGCTATGGCACCATGTTTACCTACCCTACTGCTACTACTGCATCCCCAAAGCCCATCTTGTGACGCTCCAAGGAACCGGGTCGGTTTTGAACAGCCCAATGGTCACCATCTCCTCTGCCTGCATAGGGCAGGTATACGTCAACCACGCCAGCGTCCAGGCATATCCGACCCACTTTCCCCATTGAACATTTCCCCCACCCACTCGTCTCCACACTGCCACCACCCCTGTCTCCACCCCCACTCCCGCCGCCTGCATTAAAAAGAACCGCAACGCTCCACCTCCCAGACTCTTATCCGCCGTCCAGATCGCACTCGCATGACCCACCGCAGATATCGTGAACGACGTCCCGACCACTACCAAAAACCTTGCGGTCCCCTCCCTTATCCCCAAGCAATCTGCCACCGCCCTCCCCCAGGACACCAGTGAACTCCGGAGCATACGGTGCCACACCTGTCCCCACAGTCTCTGGACCGAGTACGCATCCCAGAGGCTACCAAACAGCGGCGGCCACGAGGCCTCGTCGTCGCCCAGGCCGACAAAGATGAGTGACAGCAGGAGGTACTGGAGCTCCATATACCCCCAAGCACTACCGCCGTTCGTCGCCACGTCCACGAGTCTCGCGGGAATACTCCGGCGCGGGTCACCCAGCGGACGGTACGCGGGGTGGTCAAGCGGGAGCATCCACTCCTGCTGCAGGACGATGGTGCGAGAAATATCGAGGAGGAGGTAGATCCCCAGGACCTTCGTCAGGACATAGGCCGCATACCCCCACCTTCCGCGCCGCCGCTGCTGAGCAGCAGTGCTTTCCACGACGGAGTTATTCCACCCCACATTGCGCTGCGCGACCAGGAGCGACAGCGTCCACCGCAGTTTCTTGGGGAGCGAGTATCCAGCCGCTGCGCCGGGCGGCTCGAGTTGCGGCCGGTACAGTGCCGCCTCCGGCGTCGGGCGCGAGAATACGTGGATCGTGAGCACGCGCAGCGTGAACACCCATAGCGTGGCGATGCCGTAGGAGAGCGCCGGGTCGGGGCTATAGGGCCGCAGGATGAGCGGCGGGAAGGTGCATATTATCAGTGCGAGGGAGAGCGCGCGACGGTAGCGGAAGGGCGACGCGAGGAGGGAGAGGATTAGGATGCTGTGGTGGAGGGGAAGGGAGAGCGGATGTTGGAATTTCCGTCCTTGTTCTTCTGCCATCACGGTAGTTGGCGTGAAGAGGAAGGTATAGGAGAGCTTTGGGGTTTATATAATGCAAAGGTGTTCAGACTGTGAACTATCTGTTACTATGTATCTCCCGAGTCCCGAGATCTGCATTGGAATATGCAGGGTCCATGAGTGATGCGGTTGTCTGGGGGCTAGAATCCTGGGTGCTCGCAGCCCAAGGTATAAAAATAGTCTATTCCTGATGAAGATGTCGGTCTCCGTCCATACGGCCTTATCCTTCACCAATGGAAGTGAGTGCGACTTTCAAAGACACGGAGTATGGCTGTGAAACGTGCTATATCGGGTCACTATTCGGAGGAAGCAATTCACTTGTCTCGTAGAGAAAACATACTGTTGTGACTAGATGTAGTCACACACAGAATGATGAACATAAAAACTACATGGAAAAACATTGCAAACCACATCTAACCCAGCCGTCTTCTTTTTATTATGCCGCACGACTGCCTTTTTGAACCTGCCCTGCCGAAGTACTTAATCACAACCCTCCAGCCCAGATTTCTCACTCCGACGGCGGTGCCATTCGCAGCACTATAAATCTAGTAACTCTACTGCAAGCAACCGTAGCCGCCATTGTACCCGCAAATCAAGCTGTTTAGTTGTTGTTGTCTATATCGCCACATTAGAGAGAATTTGAGGAACGTGGAATCGTAGTCACTCACCCTCCAAGAAGAAATAGTTTCCGCTCAGCTTCTGTTCCTGATCCAACTGCGAGTCAAGCTTGTTGATTCTGGGCCGGAAAGAGCTCTTATCACGTCGGAAGGTAACGTTCAAGTTCTTCAAGAACTGGTTGCATCCGGTCAACAAGCTCTGAGGAGCTGTTGCCATGGCGTCCACAGAAGGTTCACCCTCGAACACGATAACACGGTCGGCCAAGTAGGTAGCCATGATGAAATCGTGCTCGACGACGAAGGCAGTCTTCTTGGCGTGCATGATGAAGCGCTTGATGACACGGGCGGCAATGATACGCTGTTCGGAGTCGAGATAGGCAGAGGGCTCGTCGATGAGGTAAATATCGGCGGGCTGGCCGAGCGCCAGGACAATGGCGACACGCTGCAATTCTCCTCCGGACAAGTGCTTGACTTCCTGGTCGATGAAGTCGTCGATGCGGAGAGGCTTGTAGACGTCGGTCTGGAACTGAGGGTTCAGGAACGAAGCGCGGACCTTCTTCATGAGCAGTTCGCGGACGGTACCAGGGAACTTGGGGTTGATCTTCTGGGGCTTCATGGAGACGCTCATCTTGGGCATCTTCTTAGTGCCGTCGGGCTGCTCGGCACCGGCCAACATCCTACAGAAAGTGGTCTTTCCGGTTCCATTCTCTCCCATCATGACGATGATTTCGGAGTCGGTGAACTCACCAGGGTCGATCGAGAGGTGGAAGCCACCGAGCGTCTTCTCCAGCTTGGGGTATTTGAACTGACGTGACCGGTCGACCATGAACTCGTCTCCAGCTTCCGCAATTCGGAATTGCAGCGACTCTTCACGGAAACGCAAGTTCTCAGTGGGAATGTGACCGTCCAAGAAGATGTTGATTCCTTCACGCACGGAGGCAGGCAGTGTAACCACACCGTACACCGACGGCTTTCCATAGAGTACACAGATGAAGTCGGACAGGTAGTCCAGCACCGACAAATCGTGCTCGACGACGATGACGTAGTCGTCCGACCGCAGAAGGCCACGGATAGTGCTGGCAGCCTTCAAACGCTGCTTAACATCCAGGTAGGATGAAGGCTCGTCGAACATGTACCTAGCATAACCATCAGCCAACACCCAATAGCGACGGGAGTGCAACAACATACACGTCCGCTTTCTGAACACAGGCGACAGCAATGGCGAATCGCTGAAGCTCTCCTCCGGACAACTGCTCAACATCTCTTTGCAGAACTGGGCCCAGCTCCAAAACATCGATCATCTCCTGCATGTTATCCATCTGGCACTGCTGCTTGAGCAGCGCCTCGACACTCCGAACCTGTCCTCGAATCGCCTGAGGCAATTTGTCGACATACTGGGGCTTGACGACGGCCTTCAGGTTGTCCTCCACGACCTTGGTAAGGTAATTCTGCAGCTCACTACCACGGAAGTACTGGAGCGTCTCATTCCAGTCTGGCGGGTTGTCGTAGCGTCCCAAATTCGGCTTCTGCTTTCCGGATAGAATCTTGAGCGCCGTCGACTTTCCGATACCGTTGGTGCCAACGAGACCAAGAACCTGACCGGGACGCGGTGTGGGAAGACGATGGAGTTTGAACGAATTCGCGGAGTAACGGTGAGTGACTTGCGACTCAAGATTGGTGGGAAGGTTGATAATGTGGATTGCTATCGCCAAATGTCAAAAGCTGCACGCACGATTCAAGGGAGCAGAGGATGAAGCCGCACCTCCGAAAGGACACTTCTTGGGACAGATACCACATCCAATGCATAGTCGCTCGGAGATGAAGGCGATCTTAGACTCCGGAGAGACCTCGATGCAGAGCTTTCCTGTCCGTACGACTGGGCACGACTTTTTACACTCTTGACGACATTTCTAGCGTAAATTCAGCGACTAAATCCTCTCTTGCCACCGCACGGGGACGACTCACCTTGGGCTTGCACTATTGGATCCAGAAACGTCTCGGTCAGTGATTGCAATACGCGCGCGACCACTTTTGCTGCCGCTGTTCGAGAGAGAGCGCTCATACCTTATCCGTGCTCACGATGGCAATACTATTTAAAAAGTGTCAGAAGCGCCCAAAAGGAGGGAAAGCGGAATTGCGCAGGCCTACCGTGTAAGCTTGTCCGCCATTTTTCCAATAGATTGTTGCTGAGAAGACCGCGGAGCTGGGAAGGTGAGGGAAGTGGTGGGGTGGTGGGTCAGTGCGGCCGGCCCTTGTGTGGTTGCGGGGAAAAAGATCCAAAGTGGGTCTGAGGTTTGAGTTTGTGCTAGGGTTTATCGGAGGATCTGATATGACGTCCGCTTTATTGGCCGTTAAGATCGGTGCGCAGCCTTTGTTAACGGTAATTGAATTTACTGCTTCTTCACTAGCGACGCAGTTTGAAGAATTTTGGAAACAGTCATGGCGAGTAATAAATACGTTTACAACCTCCGAATACGGCTCCAGCTGAGCGGTGATACACGGCGCGTTCACTGCCTAGGAATGAGTCAATATGAGACGTCAACCGTCAAGATGACCTAGGGAAGTGACGTTTGTTCGTGTCCAACCTCCACAACGAAACGTGAGCCCTAAGCCTTAGTGGGACAGTAAGTCAAGTGAGTTATAGTGAATTACTTTACTATTACCAAGATACCATAGCGAATTGACTGTCCACAATCGAGTGAGGGCCAGAATTCATGATCAAACCCTCAATCACCAGCAGCCGGTACACAAGCATGCTACATACAGGTTACAAAGCCATTGGGAAACAGCCTGGGAGCAGAACAATATGGTCAGGACAACAAAGTGGCCAATTGCCACTGCCTAGTAAAGGATAGTGTCATAAACGTCATCCCATTAGAATCCAACGAGACCAGTTCAAAATCCGGTCTTCCTCTTCTTCTGCTTCCTGCTGGCGTGCTTTCCCTGCACAATCTGGCTCATGATCACAGCCTGACTCTGATCCTGACTCTGACTCTGACTACCCGGGGCCTGGCTCATCTGAACCTGAGTCCCCGCTAGCCTATCATCCAGAAGCATAGGTTGACTTTCACCAAACATATCAAGCATGCCATCATTGCCTTGACTGGCAGCACTACGCCCACCTTGACCCAACCGCTCTTTCTCCTTCCGGATCTTCCTACGATCCTTCCGATACCGCGGTACGCCCTTCTCGGGATCTACAAAGAACTCGAATTCTGCCGGATCTTCGCCGGCTTTCCAACCGTCTAGCACGCGGCCTATGCCTTTTGGGAGCGTGACACGAGTTTGAACGTGGGCATATGCGCGGATGCGTAGCAAATATTCGTCTTCTCCGTCTTTGCCACTGTCGATTGGCGATGAGGAAACCTGGGAGAGGTCCCGGGAACCGAGCACCTGGGAGGGTGGAGGCACGAGTTGTTCTGGTGTTGGCTTGAGGCTGATTCCAATGTTGGCGAGATATAGCTCAGTTGCTATGAGGCGAGATAGACGCTCGCGATGCAGCCGGATGCGGGGTGGAATGTTGGCAGGGAGAGGTGCAACTCTGGTGCCTACCAGATTGTCGTATAGATTCTGGATTGAGACCTTAAAAGAGTCGCCACCCGCCATGAGAGGACCAGACAGAGAGTCGTGAATAAGTGAATGGGTCTCGAAAAGATCTTTGATCTTCGGGGAATTAAGTAGCTCGTTGATCCCCGCTTCCAGATCAGAGAGCTTGTCAAAGAGTAGAGACGGGGTGCGAACATCGATTCTAAGAGGTAGACCGGTTAACAGCGAGAACTGTAAAAGTAGACTCGATGCTAGGGGACTTACAACGACGATATACCGAGATTACCGCGCTCCACTCGAGTTTCTAACAGCTCAGCGAGTGTTGCACAGTAGCCAGCAACTGAATTTGCTGAATCCTCATCCTGTACGGTGCGCAATGCTTCATCTCCCTGTTTGAATATGGAGTCATAAACCTCGGAGAGATTTGCCCAGCGGTGACTTTGCGATCCACCAGGCCCAAGAGAGGGTCCTCGATTGCCCGCAAATCCTCTTTCCCCCTCCGAATCCATATCGACATCTTCCTCCTCCTCTGACTCGGCGATATACTCAGTGCTCACGGCAGCACCGCCTGCCGGGATATCTGGAACCTCCTGGGTACTGTACAACCGCTGTGATATCTTCATCTCCTTATCGATTGCGAACCCTGCAAAAAAGTTCACATCGTTGGCCTCAAATTCGGCAGCTGGGCCGGTGGCACCCTTCGTGGTGCGGAGTGGACAAGGGAGGAAAGCCATATTGATGGCTGGTTTCGACTGATCGAACGGCGGCGACAGCATGAAAGCATCCCCCACCATAGCCGGACTCTGATCCATGCTTGTGCCCTGCGAGAACTGGTAGCATGTCGTCAAAAAGTTCAGGCGCGAGCCAACGACGGCAGTTGTCACTATTCCCGTTAATAAAGCCCACGGAAATATCCTGCACATGTCAGATGCTTACCATCGGCCGAATGAAGTAGCTCTAGATACATTGAGACATCATCACGATGTCGACCATGAGGCCAGCTAAGTAGGGCCCGTCCTGGTTGTCTTATGTCCACCCATGTGACATCTGATGATGTAAGGATATATGCATCGTTAGTACCACCATTTGTCGGGCTTCTTTGCATATCAAGGATCCAGCTTCTGTCACGGTCAACAGGAAGGACAATGCTTGGTGATGAAACGGTGGTCTAGATCAATCAGCAAAAGTCCGGGGGCTTCGAATGTATCTCTTGGATCTCACCCGTATATCAAAGAGGCTTGCTGTGTATCGATCACACACTATCACGGAATTCAGATCCCCTCCCCATGTGATCCGCCCCCATCCGTCTGATTCACGATCGTCATTACGTGTCACGCGGCCATTTGAAGTACACTTCAGCGTGAGGCCAGAGCCTTTCCGAGAGCGCTCATACGCTCCTTCGATATCCCATACACCCCAGTTTCCCTTCTGGTCAGAGGTACTGAATTGCCGGTTATACCACGGATTGAACGAAACGTCGGAATGACCATCTGAACCTAGTGTATTCGCAGTTACCAAGGGCTGTAAGCCCAGCCGGACCGCTGTTCGATGCCCTTGTGGATGCTGATATAGAACTTTAAACACCTTGGTATGTTTAGATGTCCGTACCGCAAGAAAGGCTACAACACGATTAGCAAGAGCATATGCGTCTGGGTGCACTGCAAAGCATACATACGGTTTACCGCATCCTCCTTATAGGGGTTTCCAGCGAAACATATCTGACGGATTGGTGATTGGAAGCTGTGTTGAGGGCCATGGGAGGAATGTACTAGCTGAGGCACCGAGAGAGCTACGCCGTCGGATTCTTTGAAGTTTCGGGCCTCCACTTTCATTTCCGCTAAGACTATATACTCGCCTTGGTCAAAAAAAACCCCCCCTGGTGCCCAAAAGAACAGATGCCATACCGAGATCTGAGCCAGTATCTCCACGGGCATACGCAGCCACGCTGATTGTGCGGTCCCGGTGGCCTACTGCCGTACCAAAAGCAAGCAAGTGACCAATGGCTGTATCGATTGCATTGGAATTAGCTGCCAGAAGGTGCGATTCCTCGAAGTAGTCTTCGATCCATTCCATGGCCGGTGCCATTTCTGGGACATCAACCGCCTACACTGGCCAAACACATTCAATCCGATTAGACCACAACATTCTCACACCCCACCCATTAGGACACCAAGAGTTTGTACCAGACATCGTTTCCACCGGCGTTTCCTTCTGCTAAGAGTTGCCTCGCCAGTATCAAGAACCATCGACCGGCGAACCACCTGCTCTTCGGGGCTCATGGCAAACAATCGGAAGCCCCCACTGTGTTGATGGGAGAAATGCCATTTCCGGGCTCGGGGATCGTAAGTCGGAATATTCATGGCCATGTGTGCTCGTTTTCACGCACTGGAAACCTCGATTGCAATTGCGCGCCGCCTTTCTAGAGAAAACCGCAGCGTCCAAGTCGCGTGTCTGAGTTTATCGCGTTTGCACCGTGCAGAGAAGACGCGATTTGCTCCATCTAAAACCACTTAATTAAACCCTGCGCCCCCAGTTCAAACTTCGCCTAGCTCAGAAAGTTTATCAGTTGAGCCGCATGTCTGCCCCACCAAAGAATTTTCACTGGCCTTGCCCCACCATTCGTTTCTTTCTCTTGTGTTTCGGACATCTCGAGAGGCATCTTTCCTTCAGACCCAAGCAACCCCCCGAACACCCGCAAATACAGAAGGAAAAATGTCCAAGTCCGATGTTCAGACCGCGGGATCTGGCCCCGAAGTGGTATGCTTATACTGGAAAATAGTTCATCATATCACTGTTGTTCTGACGCGCATATGACCTAGGTGGCCGAGCTCTTCGACACAATTTTGGTATTTGCGCCCAATGTCACAGTTGCAGTGACAACCCACTTACCGATTTTCTTCCGGTCTTAGGTGCTTGACTTTGGGTACGTTTTGCGCACTGTATCATCGTCTGCGCGCGGGTGCTGACGCTTCACTTTTACGTAGATCGCAGTACTCCCACCTGATCACTCGCCGCCTCCGTGAACTCAATGTCTACGCCGAGATGCTTCCGTGCACGCAGAAGATTGCGGAGCTCCCTTTCCACCCCAAGGGAATCATTTTGTCTGGATCTCCTTACTCTGTTTACGATGCGGATGCGCCCCATGTGGACCCCGCTGTGTTCGACTTGGGTGTTCGTTACTCTCCCCCGCTCGTGAAAAAGCAAAGGGCTGGAGTTGAAAATTTTCTAGGTCCCCATTCTCGGAGTCTGTTATGGTCTCCAGGAGATCGCCTGGAACCACGGACGTGACGTGTGCGCTGGTGATCGCAAGGAGTACGGTCATTCCATCCTGACCGTCACTCGCCACACCTCCGCCGCTCCCCACGTTGATGTTCTTTTCGAGGGTATCGACGAGAATCTAGATGTGTGGATGTCCCACGGTGACAAGCTCGGCGCCCTTCCCGCTGACTTCCTCACCATTGCTACCACTGCCAATGCTCCCTTCGCCGGCATTGCGCACTCGCAGAAGCCCATGTACGGAATCCAGTTCCACCCCGAGGTGACTCACACCCCCAAGGGCAAGGAGCTCTTCGCGAACTTCGCCATCAAGCTGTGCAAGGCCCGTCAGAATTGGACCATGGACAGATTCGTCGAGACTGAGATCGAGCGCATTCGTGCGGTTGTCGGTGAGAAGGGCCAGGTCATTGGTGCCGTCTCCGGTGGTGTCGACTCTACCGTCGCAGCCAAGCTCATGCAGAAGGCCATCGGATCGCGTTTCCACGCTATTCTGGTCGACAACGGTGTCATGCGTCTGAACGAGTGCGAGATCGTTCACGAGACTCTGACCAAGCACCTCGGCATCAATCTGACTGTCGTTGATGCCAGCGAGGAGTTCTTGACCAAGCTCAAGGGTGTCGACGACCCTGAGAAGAAGCGCAAGATCATCGGTAACACCTTCATCGAGGTCTTCCAGCGTGAGGCCGAGCGTGTCATGAAGGAGTCCGGTGGTGATGTCGATTACCTGCTCCAGGGAACCCTCTACCCCGATGTCATCGAGAGTATCTCCTTCAAGGGTCCCAGTGCCACCATCAAGACTCACCACAATGTCGGTGGACTGCTTGAGAACATGAGACTCAAGCTGATCGAGCCTCTCCGTGAGCTCTTCAAGGACGAGGTCCGCATCATGGGCACCAACCTTGGCATTCCTGAGGAGCTTGTCTGGCGCCACCCCTTCCCCGGGCCCGGTATCGCCATCCGCATCTGCGGCGAGGTCACCCCCGATCAGATCCGCATTGCCCGTCATGCGGACCACATCTTCATTTCCGAGATCAAGGAGGCTGGTCTCTACCGCGAGATCTCTCAGGCATACGCTGCGCTGCTGCCTGTCCGCGCCGTCGGTGTCATGGGTGACAAGAGAGTGTACGATCAAGTTATCGCACTCCGCGCTGTCACTACCACCGACTACATGACCGCCGACTGGTTCGACTTCGACGGGAAATTCCTGCGCAAGGTGTCGACTAGGATTGTGAACGAAGTTGATGGTGTCTGCAGAGTGCTTTACGATGGTCAGTAGCCAATCACCCTCCCACGTGTGATGTACCGTCGCTAACATTGCTGGATACCCACAGTTACTCAGAAGCCTCCTGGAACCATTGAGTTCCAATAGAGAAAAGTTGAAGTTTCTTCATTGGGTGGGGGTTCTGGGTGTTGTTTTTGCATTTTATAGTTTGCCGGCTTGGGTCTCGTGGGTTTCTTTACGATATATAGAGGGTTGGGGGGAGCACAGCTTCCTGTGGATAAATGGGATAGACTGATGGGATAGAATTCGTCTCACTGTGTTTAAATGTGTCCCACGAGCATCCAGCGAGTGATTGCTGCGGTAAAGAGTTGGTATTTGCCGTTCTATGAATTCCTCAGAGCGCCCCACTCCTTGCAAGCTCGTTCCCATGCTTCCTGACCACATCATCTAGCATGTCCCTCAGCTTCGCACATCCATCCACCGCCACCGCGAGCATCCCCTCCATCATGCCCAAATGCACACGACTCTCCATATGCAGCAACGTGATTCTCTCACTCTTCCCTAGCGTAGCGACAGTAAGATGCGGTAGCTCCCCCTCCTCGATGAAATTGACATCTAGCAGCGGATCCGCACTCTCTTCGTAGCTCCCCCCGCCTCCAGAACTGATCGTCTTTCCGGCCACGCCCGCAGACATGCCTACCACGTAGTCACTCATCGGAACGCCGGCATCGATCAGCGCCAGCGTCGCAGCATTGACACAGGTCGCCAGGACTCCGCCGTCTTGCGAAAGGATATGTAGGGAGATTGTGATTTCGCTCCGCGGGTGCAAGTGGGTTAGGACCGCCTGAGTAAACGCGCGCTGCAGCATAGTTCGCATTTCCTGCACTCTCCTACACCAATAGTCAGCCGCATCCCTTCCCTTCCCTCCCCCTCCCCCTCCCCCCTCGTAGCCCTTCCACTTACTTATCATTCCTCGCCCTCTTCTTCCGATCGGTCCCCGAAAACGCGGCATACGTGACCTCGACAGAGATGCTCGCGCGATCGTGCAGCTGCCTGCTGCGCTGCGACGCCTCTGTCGGTCCGGTAACCGTGCAGATCACTTTCGTGTTGCCCTGCTCGATGTACGAGGACCCGTCCGCCGCCGTCGGCTGCGTCGACAGTTGCGCGTGGAACCGTCGGAGCTCGTTCCAGCGCCGCCCGTCGATGCGAAGGCCTTCTGGGGAGAGGATTTCGTAGCGAGACTAGAAGGGGTTAGCATTTGGAAGGGGGGAGTGGGAGAGGCATGGATATACCATTGTGTGGGTGGGTGGGTAAGGAAGGGGAGGGGAGGGGAGGTATTGGCGGTTGCTGGTGGTCGGCGCAGGTGTGTTCGGAGAAATTGTGGTCACTTGCTAGCGGCTCTACGCAAAAGAATGCGTGCCGGCGCGTTTCGCCGATCCGAATGCGGGTGAAGCTAGCTTTCGGGATTGTAGCAAACCCGGCACGGAAAAACTTCGGCTCGAAAGCCACTCTCCGATGAATCAAGAGTCACGCCATTTCGGATTGTACTTGTACTGTGTACGGATAACACGGTTCGCACTATTCAAATCTCACGCCATAACCACGTATGTACATCGGATCATTCATTCACGGGCCATTCTAGGTATCACAAAAGAAAGGGAGCATGTCAAAAACAGAGAGCGATAAAGTTGTCATCACACGAGCGGAGCAGATTGAAGTAGATCATATCATTCCGGGTCAGAGAAAAAAGCGCCTACAGAGCATCCCATCGCGAGACCTCATTCCCAGTTTATACAGTTCCACAGTTCTCGATAGTGATGGTACCGGTGGTACGTCCACTGTTGTCGAGCGACTTCTCTTCCATCTTGGTGATGACGTCCTTACCGCCAACAACCTCGCCGAAAACGACGTGCTTGCCGTCAAGGTGGGGAGTCTTGACGAACTGGAGTGATGTGTTAGAGAGCTGTCTAAATAGCGCTGCAAGAAGGGGGGACAAACAGTGATGAAAAACTGGGAGCCGTTGGTGTTACGGCCAGCGTTGGCCATCGACAGCAAGTAGGGTTTGTCGTGACGCTTGTTGAAGTTCTCGTCCTCGAACTTCTCGCCGTAGATGGAGCGGCCACCGGTACCCTTCGCCATGTGAGCCGGTCTATCACCATCCTCTGCTACGAGGAATAACATACGTTTCCACGGGTGAAGTCACCACCCTGAGCCATGAATCCAGCGATCACACGGTGGAACTTGGACTTGATGTAACCCTGGCCGACTTCCTTCGCCTCACAGAGCTCGCGGAAGTTCTTGGCGGTCTTCGGGACGATGTCATCGTAGAGCTTGAACTCGATACGGCCCCACTGGTGCTCTAACAAAAAAAAGAGATGAGGTGTTAGCGGATGCAGACGGAGGGGAGATGGCCATGCAGGGTTTTGATAAGGCTGATCAAGGCTCCGATGCCCCGACCGAAGCCTTGTTTTTTGATGGATTTCTACATACTTGCGCCAGAGGGTTCGGTCCAGACGACGTCGAAGAAGGTGTTTGCCATGTTGGTGGAGGATGCAGGAGTGGAGTACTGGCGGAGGTTGTGGTGAAGGTGGTTGAAGGAAGAAGTTGGGGATTTAGTGTAGGATTTGAGGAGGGGTGAGACAAAGGGTCGTGCGTGGGATGCCGATGATGATGATAGCGATGCGGAAGCGCCTGCGAGGGGTCGCAGGAGCGGGGTAAAGTAACGAGCAGTGGCAGCCATGGATTTTAAGACGACAGTTTGGTTGGGAATGTGGATTGTGAGAGGAACAAAAGGAAGTAGGAAGGAATGAAGATCGAGAAAAGAAGAGCGAATCAAAATATGTAAGAGCTATGTAATGATCGATTGAGCCGAGCGAGAGGCTGCCGAATAGAAGGCGGAAGCGAAGATTTTTGATAATGGGTGATTGGTTGATTGATTAGATTGCGATATTTAAGATGGAATAGTTGACACCAGCCAGAGTGAGATCGATAAGATCCCACTGTCAATCGGCAGCCGCGCTGCGATAAACAGCTATGATTGGCGATAAGATGTGATCTGGCATCAATCGATCTGGCGTTGGCTTGGCTTTACCAGACGAGAGACAAATAACCACCCCCCAGCTCAGCGCGTCGATCCCAACGCATCCACCTTTCCTTCTTTCTCTTCCACCACTTCCACCCCACAGCAGCAACAACAACAACACTCGCAATTCCACCAACAACCCAATTCATCTCAGCTTCATTACTCAAAACCGCCCAAACAATTACCACAATGTCCGACATCAAGCCTACCGATACCGCCGTCACCGAGCAGCAAGTCCCCAACAAGGGCAAGGGCAAGGCTGTTGCTGAGCCCGTCGAGACTGAGGACGAGTCTTCCGACGAGGAGATGGGTGCCAGTGTAAGTTACACAGTCAATTAAGTTAGTCGCGCCTGTTACGCGATCGGCTGCTAACCTTCTGGTTGCTATGTAGGACGAGGTCATGGATCTTGAAGGTACGCTGCTATCCCACCTTCCGCAGCTCAGCGCCACCGCCACCGCCACCAGCGCACAGCTCAGCTCAGCTCAATTCCTCCTCCATAAACAGCTCCTAAGACATTCAATTTCTAACATACAATCCATCAAATAGACGTCGAGGAGGACGACCTTGCCGAGATCGACACGTCCAACATCATCCAGGGTGGCCGCACCCGCGGAGCCAAGATCGACTTCAAGGCTGTACAGGAGAACGAGATGATCGACGACGATGAGGATGAGGATGACGACGACTTCCAGGCTCCCAAGGAGAACCACGGCGACGACGATGTCATGATGGATACCAAGTAAAGGATCACAAAATACCTTAGCTTTCCTCCACCTACCTACCTTCTGTAACCTCACCTAGGAGGTAAATTCATCATCTCAACGGCGTTTTTTTCGTACTACTTTCCTTACATCTTCGTGTGAGTGTGTGAGTTCGAGAGAGAGAGAGAAGAGGGGTGGGGGTTTGGCGGGAGTTTCTTTGTGTTCTGGGACTCTTCTTCGTGTAGCACGTTCATTAGGCCTGTTAACGGAAGGGATAAACATCAATCGAAAGCTGCACTCACGCTTCGACTTGTCTTGCTTGCCTGGCTTCTTTGCTTGTGATGTAGCTCTCATTTTTTGATGGATTTTTACCTTGTGTTTCCTTCGAGCTCACGTAGACATCATTCAGATGTGTCGTGTATGTACATAGCTTTAATATGGATGCGCGGCGGCAAGCAAGTAAGCAAATAGCAGTCCTCCCTTCATCATAAGCGACTCCTCGTGAAATCCTCATACATACGGTAGGTATGTGCTCATTGTCCAAAAATGTACATGCATTCCGTCTCTATTCAGGAAACCCCCTAAGACTCCTCACGAGTTCACTGATATCAAACACGAGCCTCCTCATCAATTTTCCACCCCACTCCTTCCTCCTCCCGGCCTTTCCCACAAATACCACCTTCCCGCCATCCTTACTCCTCACGGGCTCTTCCGCCAACCCGCCATCCGGCAGCGCCACCACAAAAATCGTCATGTCGGCACCCACACACCCCTTCCACACAGTCGCACACCACTGCCAATGCTCCAGCGTCGAAAGGCCGTCGGTATCGAGCCTTAGCGCGGCGACCTCGCAGCGCGAGAGGACGTAGCGGTTCACCAGTACGATCTGCTGCTGCTGCATAAGCACGGACCTGATTTCTGGGGATTTCCGCCGCCAGCTGGCGACGTGAGTGAGATATCGTGCGGCGTCGGCATCATTGTCTCTTTCTAGCTCGCCGGTGCTGTCGAGGAGACCCTCGAGCTCGGCGTCGGAGAGGACCGTTAGGGGGTCGTCGGGATCGTCGATGTGGTAGAGAGGCTGCTGGATCGGCGATTTTTCGAGCTCGCGCGAGAGGAGGTGGTATAGATCTGATACCAGGTCCACGTCGTCGCCGTCGACGGTGATGATGGGCATGCGGGTTACAGAGGGCGTGCCGAATGGTGGAACGGACATTGATGAGAGGGGCGGGCATATGCGGCTTATGGCGCGGGCTTTTTCGAGGATGCTGTCGGCTCTGAGGGCGAACAGGTCGGTGGTACTTTGTGCGTCATAGTGTGGGATGTGGTGGTTGTGCAGGATTCCGCTGGGGGAGTCTACCAATGCTGTAGAGGGCGGATCTTCAGGATCGAAGCTGCTTGTTCGGAGGAAGTCGATGCTTGGGTCACTGCTGTGGCCAAATGATGTTGTGTATAAACTCTGCTGGAGGAGCTGTGGGCTTGAGAGGGATGTCGTGTTTGGAGACATGGGAGACGGGTTGAGTTTCCGTCTTTTTGAAGGACACGGCGGACTGAGAGTTGCCGCTGCATTGTCTTCGATATTTCGCAGACCAAGTTGTAGCAGCGCTTCAATTCCCGCAACCATTCCATTACCGGAATTTTCTCCCACACGGGGGTCAATTTGGTCTGTTGTATTTCCGCTCCTCTCGTCCACAGGTGAGCCATTGTCATCTAGAATTCCAGTGTTTCTCCTTGCAGTGGTTATAGTTGCTGCAAGAGTAGTTCGCGACGCCTGTAACGACTTCCGTCCGGAGGTTGCAACTGGGCTTGGTGAAGTAGGAAGAGCGCCAGTTTGGCCCCCACATATTGGGCATAACGCCGACTCCAGTGCCGGTAGTGGCGAAGTCGGGTCTAATGATGACGCCGAGGCAACAGCTGCTGCGGCCGCCTGTGCAGTCTTCTTAACGCTCCTCCGCGGTTGATACCGATACTGCGGGTACCTCTGTAGGTGCTGTCGTTTCTCTTCCTGTGGTGAAGCACGTTAACGGTTAAGTCCCATTCATATCAATGGCAATGCAATGTTGACGGACATCTGCGTGACTCTGCCACACCGCCTTCACTTCGTCGCTGCGAGTCTTCCACATGTGACCAATGATTTTGGAGATTTCTGGGTTCGGTTTCCCAGGGTTTTGGGCGACGACTGCTGCGTGGTGGTGTTGGCGGTAGAGGATGAAGGCTGTATTCGTCAACCTTCGTCAGTTAACATTCCGCACCTCAAGACACTGGGTTCTTTTGGACCAACCGTTACGTGGTCTTGGGATTCTCGTTGGTGCTTGGCAGAGACATATCGAGTGAGGTGAAGCAGAGCTTAACCCAAAGCCAGAGTTCTGAGAGTTTTGGTCGGCCTTTGCCATCGAGTCGGCAGGTATGTCGGAACTAGTGTTTGAAGGAGACGGAAGGTGCAGGGACGACACAGATTCCGGAGACAGCTGCGAAGGCGAGAACTGGTGTTGGGCTTGCTGTAGAGCCACAAGAGAATCCTCCAAGCTCTGGCCTTCATCCGTCTGCTGCAATGCCGATACCGTCTGTGCCTGGTGGTGATTATGGAGGAGGTGGTGATGGTGAGGGTGAGAATCATGCGGTACAACCATAGCCTCAATATCTTCCCCGGATATAGCAGAATGGTGCGCCGTGGACAGAACCGAAAGATTCACAGCGTGCGTCTCGTCGTCGTCTTCGTCGTCTTCTAGCAAACTCAATACACCGCTGGTGTCTACGGCAACACCGGCAGCAGTGATGGCTACTGGAGCCTCGGACATTACGCCCGTCACTTTTTATATCCCACGCCACCAAGCCGCCCCACCTCTGTGTCAATCCCTCGTCCTCCTCCTACTCCTAAAGGAGGCTGGATGACAGGTCGAGTTGAAACTTTGTTCACAGGCGCAATTCCTTTGTAGCGGGGGTTCTGTCAGCCCTGCTTGTTGAAGCCGGCAGGTCTAGACAGCAGCACGAGGTGCGATTGATTGATGGTTGGGTGGGGCCCGGCAAGAGATTTCGTTCGTTCGTTCGTGGCGCCGGCCTGCCAGCGAGCGACCGGAAACAAGTGGCGGGCGGGCGGTCGGGCGGGCGGGCGGGCGAGCGAGCGGGCAAAGATGGATGGTGACCTCACTTTCTGTAGAGCTGATCAGCAAGCTTTTCGCAGACGCCAGGGTTGGGGGGAGGGGCGCAAGAGGGAGACATTTTTCGCAGCAAAACACGGACTTACGTCAAGACGGAGGGATCATGGTTGCGCGCGTCTAGAATTCGCGGTTGTTGGACGGTGGTTGTCTTGTCGGATGGTGTTGAATTTCCACCCACAGCCGTATGTACGTAGCGCATGGTCCGTGGCATTCATTTTTTGCAGGGATCCGGACGATAAGGTTGCAGGAACGCCTTTCAAAGAACGGAGAAAACCTTCCCGCTGCCGCCGGACATCCGAAGAAAAGAGGGAGCGAGAGGAAGGAGCCTTCCGCGGTCCATGCGATCGGATTATTGTCATATGGCTAACGACGCCAGCTTCTAATGTATCTCGACCATTTTATCCTCACGATTTATCCAGACAATGCACTCTAACTGCTGAATACCACCTATCGTATAATACATGGACGAGTACCTACTGATCCGTGCGCTCATAGGATGGACTCGGGGGCTATCACTTCATTCGGCCCATGGCCGCACAGCCTGGCTATCCTTGCGCGGGTATTGCACATTGCTCATGCGCATGCAGCGCTGATGCCCCACCACTTCGGTATTCCGTGATCATGGGTTATGTATATACTTCACACGTAGACTGATTACTAGTACACTGTACCCATAGACATTATAACCAATTGGGCTATATATACCAAAAAAATACAGCCTTCAGACGCCAGAAACTCTCCCGACAGTAACACCATTACACCAACAGGTACTTCACGACCGACTTCGCCATGATCTCGTGGGCGCGCGGACCAAGATGGAGGTCATCCCTAGTGTCGACTATTAGCCGACGGAATTAAGTATGGATAGCTTCTGGACCGAACTCACCACATCAGATACGTCTCGGGGTGCTTGCACATTCCACTGTGCGCCTCTAGGCAAGGCTGCCGCACATCTTGCCATCGGCCGGTCCGCAACGTATCGATAAACCAATGTCCGGCGTCCCAGAGCATCACCGTCCCCGCCTTCCACCTCGCGGCCCGTTTCATCAGGCCTTCATTCCACTTCTGGGCAACGAAGATTGCATTGCGTAGCTCCGCTCCGGTGGTATCGTTCTTCAGCCGGTACTTTGACCACGCCGGTAGCATAGTTCTGTGCGTAGGTAATGGTCAGTCGTTGACAACTTTCCCCACCGGCTGAATCTCATGCTTACACGTCGATGGCAGTAGGCACGAGGACCTGGATCGGATCGGCCCAATGGCTCGCGACCCTGCCAATCTGCTCAAACATTGAATCCAAGCTCGCCTCGACGGCGCTGATGGCGTCTGCACGGCCCAGATACGAAAACTCCCAGACATCGTTTGTGCCGAAGAAGAGAGCGAACAGACTTGACCGCTCAGCTTCATGGCCGCTCTTTCGCGCCTCGGTCTCGAACTCGATCCACCTATCCACCTGATCGCGCAGGTCGGGCGAGGTCGTGTTGAACACTATGTTGTCGACGACGGAGCCGACGAAGCCGCGGGAGGGCGCTATCGGCGCGAACGAATCGCACGAGGCGTGCAGGCTCTGGCAGAGGTTCGAGGCCCATGTCGTCGGGATCGTGGGGGGTTCACTGCTGCTGCGCCGACGGTGCGCGCCAACTTCCGCGGCCGACGGGATCGCACTCGATTCGTCGCCGAATATCACGATGCGGTCCGGTAGCTGGCCAATCACTGCGGTTAAAACCAACGTCAGTATGTAGTGCGCGCGTCTTCGTCGCCGTCGGGGGCCCGGATCGGTCCACACCTTTTCGATATCGAATCCGAAGCGATCCGCAGAATAGGTAGATCAGAAACAAAAGAACCACCGACAAGGCGGAGGAGTAGAAACGAGTGCGAGCCTTCATGGGCAAACTATTCCGAGATAAGGTATGTGGGTATAAGGTATAACGATCGCAACAATAACCATACAGAAAAGCAAGAAAACGAGCGGACGGATATAGCAATCCATAGACAGAGGCAGAGACAGTGACAGTGACAGAAACAATCGTGCCAGGTGCTATTGCCGGTATGTAGGTAAAGTATGTAGCATGCGGACGCGTCTCCTGAAGGAAGAGGATACAAGAAGCGCATATTTCTGCCTCCTGGAATGACGCGGCAGACGCATTGATCGCCATCTCATTCCACAGTTCCACTTCCCTGCGGTTGGTAAAGTTGGCTGGCCGGCAGGCTTTTTGAATTTCGATTCGAGATGTGGCTGCCTGCCAACTGAAACTAATTGCTGTTGGTTGAAAGGGGTGGTTACACCCGCCACCTACCTGCCTGCTTGCTTGCTCATAAGTACGGTAAGTATGCCATATGTATGGGCTTGCCGAAGGCGGGAACCGCAATAACTATCAAACCAGCCCTATGGAATGGGAATAAAAATAGGAACATTCCATGCTGTGTGGGTTGGGGTTGCGAACATCCAGCGTAAAGCCTCCAACTATCGCACTTCTCCACCACTGACGAGGACGTGGACGAGGACGACGACGGCCACTACTATAGTAGGAACGGCATCATGGATTTTCTTTCGACGGCGTGAGGCCAGAAATCAACTAGTGACGGGAAGATGCCCACTGGTGCTCACGGGGTCTCTTCAGAGGAATTATGTATGGGCAGACGGATGCCAGAGGTCGCTGAGAAAAATACTACTATATAGAAAGCTGTTCGTCCATTAATCGACGCCCAGTAGAGTAGAGTAGGTATCATATCAAATTCAGCGTTGTGGATATCGTAGGTACCCATTGACGCATCGATGGGAGCAGGCAGCTCCAGTATTCCACTTGCTATCCGGAGATCGAAGCGGGTGATGCAGTGAAAGCTGTTCCGTAATTGTACCTGAAGTGGCCGACTGTTTGATAGATGCAGTGTCCGACATCCAACTTTGACGCCGAACGGGTTTCGGAATCTTCACACGGGACTTGGACGGGCTCCATATTCCGTGTGGATGTGTGATTGTTCGTGGCATCCTGTCATTGACCGATCGATTGCCTACCGGTAGTATGTACCGGTCGACAGCCGCCAGAAGCCGCACCGTCACCGCAGGTAATTTTGTCTCCATGCGTGTCTCCTTGGAGGGGAGCAACAGCCTTCTCCTCTGCCAGTAGTGCGTGTGAAACTCGAAGTTTGTGGACTGGTGCGAACAATCTCTCACGGCAGCAGACCTGTCACCTCAAGCTTCGCAAAGCGCACCAACCGACAGTCTTGCACGACAGCAACACGATCAGCTCCACCCCGCACGCTTCAATCCATATCGCCGCTTATCCAGTTCGTGGGCGTTCTTGCATACGGTACTGCGCGACAAAGGCAGGCTAGGATACTTATTTTTCATTTCGTTCAATTCAATTCAATTCATTCATTTTTCGCGATCGACTGGCTTTTTATTCCAACAAATCAGTCCAGCGCTCGGGACTATTTTTTTATTTTTATTTTTTGGAAGGGAGCGCTCGAGGCTTTCTCGCTTGCCCCAATGTTTGCCTGCTCCGTTCAGCCCGGTCGCTCTGCGTACGTAGCCTTCATGCTTTGAGGGGAGAGGGGAGGGGGGGGGGGCGGGGGAAGGGGGTTGTGCTCTGTGCTCTGACGGCCGGCGTTGGGGTGGGCAGCGGTAACCGACCGACCACCAGCAGCAGCTATGCAGAACAGGGGGCGCAGCACAGCACACACACAACACAACACATACACAACATCGAAATCGAAATCGAAATCGAAATTGATATGAGTGATCAAACCGCACCCTTCTTCCGTAGGGAATTTAACTCTTTCGATCCTCTGATTTATTTTTTCGAGGAGAACCAGATCGGAAAGGGGGGAAGCGACACGGGTGGTGGGCCGTGGTGGTCAGCGGTGGCCAGTCTCCGGTGGTGGGAAGGTTTCCTGCCGCAAACACCATGATTCATGACTCTGGGATCGAATGGCAAACATGAAACGGCGGCTCTTTGCAGCCAAGTGCAAGGCTCTTTTCTTTTTCCCGCTTCTCTCTCTCATCTTCTCTCCCCTCCCCTCCCCGGTGAGTGACTTCTCCGTCCTTATGTACCAGGCACTTCCTCCCCCTCCATCTCTCTCCCTCCCTCCCTCCCTCGCAAACACCCCCAGACATCGTTCTTCCCTTCTTCTTGAGGATCGCGCATGGGCTCGGTGGTTACTCTAGAGTTCGCAGAGTGGAGTGAGTACATTTGTTAGGCCCACATACACTCTGGCTCTCCACTCTATTCTGCTTGACTGTTCTGCCGCGAAAGCTGTCTGTCGTCGGTCCCTGTCCAGACACACTCGTCCGTGGTGCTTCTTGGAGGGGCCAAAGTACTTTTTCCGCGACGACGGGTTCTGGCCTCTGCCACTGATTGGCCCAGCAGTCAATCAGCGGCCGACTCACAGCCCCTAAATTGGAGTTGGTGTCTCTTGGCGTTACTGGAGCTACTTAAGCACCTCAGACCCCCAAACCCCTTTCCCTCCCCTCTGCTCTGCGGGCTCCGAAAAAAAAAATACCTCCAATTTTCCGTCTCACACCCTAAGCCCTCACCCACCCACCCACCCACTTGAACCCATCATCATCATCCGTCGCCGCCGCCGTCTACCCGCACCACTCGATCCACACACCCACCCACCCGCTCTCGATCGCCGCACCGCACAACAGAAAAAATAAAAAAGAAAGAAAGAAACAGAAAGAAAAAAAGCCCACATTCCCAAGGCGAAAGCGACGCAACTGAAAAGAAAAAAAGAACAGCAACACAGCGCAACGAATTAGAAAATTTAGAGAAGAGCGAGCAATTTACTTTGTTGCGCTCACCGAAGAAGAAGTCTAGAATTCGTTGAGCTCTCTTCTTCGATCCTTCTCCATCCGCATTTCTCGCTGGGTTTGTGACACCAATTTATTTCCATTTACTCGGTATTTTTACTTTTATTTTATTTTTATTTATTTTCTGTGTTTTATTCTGTTGATCCTACATCCATCCACATCGCCCACCTGGAAGCACTCGGCTTCACCTCTGCCTCGAGATACCCTGAAGCATACAGGCCGTACCATATCATACATCCTGTCCGTCTGCTCCGTTCATGTCATACCCGGACTGTGCCACCATTATCATATTCTGCGTCATATGTATTCTGCATACTCCCATGCCATGTCGTATCTGCTGTGAGGACACACAACTCACAACTCACTTATGTACTCACACCTTGCTTTCTTTGGTGCATGCGGGCTTATGCACGCTTCACCGCCATCACCGCCACCACCACAACCCACACCGCTACGCACTCACTCGCTCGCTCGCTCACTCACTTACTCCGTCCTCTTCTGAGGTCAAGGTGAAGTTGTGAATTGCAGGAGGCGGCGAAGGTGGTTGGTTTTTGTCTCGTCCTGTCGTGTCGTGTCACTCTCTTCTGTCGCTCCGTTCACTCCTCGCTCCGCTGTTCTCTTCTAGCGGGTTAGGGTCCACCGTGTTGTTTTACCTTGCTGACTCATTCCGCCGCTTCCAGTTTCGCGCTATCTGTCGAACCGGCGTTCCTTCACCTCCCTTCCCTCCTTTCATCCTCGCTTCACCTCCGTCTCCTTCAAATAATCTCACATCCTCCTTTTCAGCCTCGTTCCCGGGAGAACACCCACCACAACCACAACCACCACAACCCACCACCCACACCACTCACTACCAAACATCCCTCCCTCCCCCCCACACGCCACACTACTCCGTCTACCCCCCCCCTCCCCCCCACACACTCAAAAATTCCCTGTTGATACGATTACGAAGCGCGTCTCTTTTTTCTTTCTGTTCGGTTTCGCCAAGCTACACTCAACCACGCGACGACCCATAGATCTTTCTACAACTCCGTTCGGATTTCGATAAACTTTTTCAGCCTCATCTTCGACGTCAACCGCAACCCTCTACAACAACAACCCTTCACCCCCACAAACATCCGCAACACTCCGCTACCCACAATCACAACAACCCTACAACCTTACATCAAATAATACAACACCAACCACAACACCTGCGTCGCCATCGCCAAATTCTCACGTCGCACATCGTCCCTTCCCCCTCCCCTCCCCCTCCCCTCCCCCCCTCTTCTCCCCACCCCAAAACTACTCGAAGCCCGTCGTGTCTTCTCACGATTCTGCTGAACGTGTCCATCCCGTGGTAATTGCGGCCGGTGGACCAGCGAGTGCCTCTGCTGTCACGCTTGATACCTCGTCCTCAAATTCGGATCACAGTCCTCATCCTTTCATGGCCGTGATGAGCCCACAGCCTTCCATCAGTGCCCCAGAGAACAAAGTTTCATCTGCTGCCCCGACTCCTGCTTCGGCGGGCGCCGTGTGCACGGCATCGGACGAGGCGTCGGCAATGGACTTGGATCATTTCGGGTGAGTTTGCCCTGTTCCTCTTCCTACCCGTTGCCCGTTGCCTCTCCCCTGCTCTGCCCTCTCCCTTCTGCCACATACCTCCCTCCCCACCATTCTTCTATCTCAACCCCGCCGGAGAGTGGGATGCATGCCTCGTGCGTCACAGTGCCCTCGTGCACTGCTGTCTTCTGGGACTGTTCCGCTCGATGGTTGTGGTTGCGGTGGATAGATGAAGGTTGCGGTGATTGATCAAGCCGAGCATTGCTTTAACCTCTTTCCCTTTCCGAGTCGTCTCCTACTGTCTACCGCATGTCTATCCGTTGAAAAAACAATTGTATTTACAAAATTTCTCTCTTCAATTTTAGTTCGAAGTCAAATGATACTTCATCTGTCCGTCCGCCTTCATCTCCACGAGAAGCCGACCAAGTCGCCCCCGCCGTGAATGGAAACAAAGGAGTCGCTGCGCCTCCATCACCGCCGATACCAACTCCTCCCATCCAGCATGCTTCCAGCGATAACGGACAGGAGCTCTCGGACCTCCACATCACTTCGCCGGACGGCTCGGTCATGCGTACGGGCACTTTCGATAGGGTTTCTGAGGATCTGCCGATGAAGGAGAGTGTTCAAGACAAGAAGAATGGTGGTGATCAGGCTTCGACTGAAACTAAATCGGATCCGGAGCCAGAGGAGACGAAGACCGAGGCCACTTCTCCCCCGAGCGCTCCCGCCGCTGAGGAAGACGATCATGCGATGCAGGATGCCCCGCCGAAGAAGTCTGGCCGCGAGCGTGAGGAGGATGAGGGCGACGGTGAAGACCGTCCCACTAAGCGCGCGAAGACGGAAGATGCTACCGAGTCTAAGCCTGCGACCGCCTCCGCGTCGACTTCCAACCAGTACACCGGTCCGTTGACGCCCGCGAGAGCGAAGTTCGTATTGGCTGTGATCAGGAGCTTACGCCGCTCGAAGGATGGCAGACCCTTCTCGATGCCCGTCGACGCAGTAAAGTTGAACGTTCCTACGTACTACCAGCTCATCACCAAGCCAATGGATCTTCAGACCATGGAACGAAAGTTGAACAGTAACGACTACACCGACCTAGATTCTTTCATGAATGACTTCAAACAGATTCTTTCGAACTGCTTGACGTTCAATGGGGCCGATAATAACATTACGGCCATGTCCAGATCGATGGAGGCGTCGTTTTACCGCCAGATGAAAGACATCCCCTCCGAGGCCGTTGTCGATGTTGAGAAGCCAAAGCCCAAGAAGAAGGGCCACGTTCTCAGCGGTGCAGCTGCTGCGAGTCACCAGAATAAGGCGAGTGGTGCGTCGAAAACTACCACCAAGCAGTCCCACAAGAAGGAGCCCAAGCCATCGGCCCAGTCTCCCCCCGCTGCTTCTCCGGTATTCTCACTGCAGCCTTCGGGTATGCCTCAGATTCGACGCGATTCGACGGCGGGAGACGGACGACCCAAGCGCGAGATTCACCCCCCTGCGCCCAAGGATCTGCCGTATTCGACGAAGCCACGCAGGAAGCAGAATGCCGCCGAGCTGAAGTTCTGCGACACTGTCCTCAAAGAGCTTAATAAGAAGGCTCATGAAGGTTACGCCTTTCCTTTTTACAACCCTGTTGATCCGGTTGCGTTGAACATCCCTGAGTATTTCAAGGTTATCAAGCGCCCGATGGATCTGCACACCATGGCTGAGAAGCTCAAGATGAATGGCTATGAGAACGCGAACGAGTTTGAGCAGGACATGCGTCTGATGTTCAACAACTGTTACAAGTTCAACCCGGAGGGTCAGGCGGTCCACCAGATGGGTAGGCAGTTGGAGCATGTCTTCGATCTTAAGTGGAAGGAGAAGCCGCTCTACGTCAACCCGGGTAGTCGCTCTCCGCAGTCTGCTAGCCCCCCTCCTCCTGAAGACGAAGAGATGAGCGAGGAGGAGGAAGATACTCAGCAGCCCAACATTGCTGAGCTTGAAAAGCAGCTTGAAAAGATGAAGGAAGAGATCTCTTCTCTCAAGAAGAAGAAGAAGACTCCGCCTGCACAGCAGTCCAAGAGCCACAAGAGTAAAGCCCAGCAGGCTGCTGCTGGTGGCCGTAAGCAGTCGGGTGGCCACAGCAACAATCCTCCAGGGGCCCCTCACAAGAAGTCAGCCGCTGCTCCCAAGTCCAAGAAGGATGTTCCGTACATCTCGTTGGAACAGAAGACTGAACTCTCCGAGAGGATCAACCTTTTGCCTCCTAAGAAGATGCATTACGCTCTGGTCATGATCAAGGAGATGATGCCCGAGCTCGGTAATGTTGGTAACCTCGGAAATCCTCACGTTGTTCAATTGGTGGCTGACGTTTTTTCACAGGATGGAGCCGAAATCGAGTTGGACATTGATGAGCTTGATCCCCACACCTTGCACAAGCTTTACAAATATGTGTCGAAGAATGCGCCGGAGATCGCCAAGACCTATGTCCCGCCCCCACCTCCTCCCCCAGAGCAGACGTACGAGCCCAAGCCAAAGTCCAAGCCTGGTGCGAAGGGAAGGAAGAACAAGCCGATGTCTGCCGCCGAACAGGAGGCCAAAATCAAGGACATTGAGTCTCGTCTCCATAGCTTCGAGAACCCTGGTACCACCTTCACCCCGGCCGCTCCTGGTATGTTGTATTCCAATAGTAGTGCCGTTCCGGGTGCCGTTCCGAGAAATCCGAAGGGAGAGTCTAACGTCATCCCAGCTGCTGCGAATAATGCCGATAGCGAGTCCAGTGACGATGACGAGAGCTCCGGCTCCGAGAGCGAGGAGGAGTAATCCAACCTCACTCGTCACATCGTTTCCACGTCCTTTTTCCGCCGTGTAAACGCCGTCACAACGCATTTTCTGTTTTCTCGTTCGGTATGGCCTGATAATCGTTGATTCTTGTTGCCGTCTTTTTTTTCGTCGATAGGAACCGGTACATCTCTTTGTGTGTGGTGTGGCGTTGGTTGGTGCTTCCTTCAAATGTCCGTCCGTCCGAGAGGTTTCGTCTTTTTTTCTTTTCCATAACGCCGATGCTTGTTTTTTTTCGTCGTTTCTTCTGGGGTGTATCTTTAGTCGGGCGTTGATCTGTCTCATTTGGTTTGGTTGCGATTTCCGTACGTACCTCTTTTTCTCGCTCACCATACCTTTTTTTAGCAAATCCCAAAGGTTGAAGACATTGTTGCGTTTGTTGTTTTTGTCTTGTCGTTTTTCCTCGCTCTCTCCTTTCATGTATCGTTTTTTTCTGTAAAGGAGAGAGTGAGATTGGTGGTGTGCGTGAAAGGCATGGTTGCTTGCGATTGTTGTTTCCGCTATCATTTCCGAAGACTGGTGGATATGGTTCATGGTTAGTAGGTAGGGTGAAGACGGCGGTGTTATTAAAAACGGCGAACGGGCGGGACGAGGACCATACGGACGTGGACTGTATGGATTCCGAGGGCCAGGCGGACGGAACCATGCGAGAGGTTTGCTGATGCTGTGCTTGATTCTGCCGTTTCGATAGCTGGAGAGAGAAATTGGGGGATGTCAGTTACTTTGTGTCTTTTTATCTTGTCCGCACGTTCTTGTCTTTTTTTTCTCTTTCTTTTTTTTTCTCGTTCTGCATCCCGTTCACAAATGAGACCGGTGTATGATAGTTGATAGGCACAAAAGGAAAGTTTGTTGGTTGAGAAAGAAGAAGCAGAGAAAAAAAGGAATTGATTTCGAAGTGGGGAAGAAGTACAAGTAAACTCACCGTGATTGTTGTCCCAGTGAACTTTTTTTTTCTCGGCTCCCCACCTTGAGGTGCTGGGGAAGAGGCTCTGAGGCTCTCGCCGATCTGCTGCGGTGGTGGGCTAGTATAGTGCGGATGCGGAAGCGCGTCGTCACATCGAGGGAACGCAGCGTAACCGTCTGTATAGTAAGGAAGCGAGAACATAAACCATGACCAATCCTTTATTATAGTCCCTTGTATTCCGTATTCCGAAGCCCGCGTATAAGACTTGACTTAGTAGTAGGGGAGTAGCCTCTCTCGCAGTGGTAGACCAAAATTTTGTATTCAAAACCCAAGAAATCTCGCGCCCTAGGTGTATCACCAACAGTCAGTCAAGTCGTCAGTCAGTCAGCAGCACTCTCGCATCCCCCTTGTCCCCAATCCCCCGTCCCCCCATATAGAGTATTCCAAACGGAAGTGGCACAGCACTTACCTGGCCTCCCCCTCGTCACAACATCGCCTCCCCCTCCCCCCCCTCGTCGTCGCTGGTCTCCTCCTCGCGCTCCTGCATGCTGGTCTTGCGGAGGACCTCGTCGAGGCGCATCTTAAGCTCTGCGAGCTTGGCCTCTTTTACAACCAGGTGGGACTCGTCCAGGTCTTCGATTATGTAGGCGTGCCCGCCGTCCGTGTCGATCTTGAGGAGGATCGCTTTGATCGATGGGTCACTGTATAGGTAGGTACGACGGTTAGTTGGTTGGTCAAGGGTTGTGGATAATGTAAGGTGAGGTGGGAAAGAGGAGGGGAGGGGGGGGGGGGGGCGATGCCATTCAACGAGGACTCCTGGAAAGTGTAAGCATTATGGAAATTTTGGGGGAGGGGAGATCGAGGGGAGATATGGGGGTCATGGGGGTTGCGGACCTTTGTTGACGCGAGGCATAATGACTTATTCTTGCGCGGGGTGGTGGTGGTGAGAAGGTGTTGTTGGAAGAGGAAGGAATGTGGAGCTGCAAGCAAGTACAATGAAAGAAGTTCTGTCCGTGTGTCGTGGTAGAAAAGAAAGTAAGAAAGTCTAGGAGTTGTCAGAGTCGGTCGCCATGATATGATATTCACCACCCACCGAAGAGGTGGAAAGCAAAGTAGCAGCGCAAGGGAGGACAAACAAGGTTGTTGCTTATCCGAGAGCTCGAACAAGTTTAGCTCGTGCATCGCCCTATCAGATTTGGATATGCTGACATGAAGGGTGTTAGGAAGCGAGCAAGGCTGGCTCGGGTATCAGCCTTAGGTAGATTGACGAGTCGACGGGATCTATAATGACAGCGGCAATATATGCAAAGACGGTGGGATCCGGGATAGGGGGGCTTGGAACCTCAGCAATCGAGAGTGTGAGACAAGAGAGAGAATCGTGAGATGACAAGAGTAACTCCACGGCTTAGGCTCGTCATGTTACAGTAAGGTGTAGTAGGTTGGAGGTGTGAATTAAAGTTGCGGCGGGGTAGAGGGCTTGAGAGTTTGGAAATAGGACGTGGGAAATGAAAAGAGAAGTTTGAGATGGGAAGAGCACGTCCATGGTGTGGGGTCGTGAAGTGGAATGTGGAGTGAGAGATGGAAGTTGAATGGACGTTGTGAGGGGTGAAGTTGAGAAATTGAAGACGGAACAGAGGGGTGAAGTTGAGGGATTGAAGACGGAACAGAGACACTGAAGGTTTGGTGACGAAGAAGAAGGACCGTACGGCTGCAGGGAAGCTTCAGCGTTGAAGCCAGTTTTATTTTTCCCTATTTTCTTTATTTTCCCTGAAACTCATCTAAATCGGGCCGATTTGGCACGTGTGCATGTGTGCGGCCTTAGGCCGAGCACGACATTTGCCGTACATGAGAACAGGCTTGAATGCCGATCGACACTGCCGACATCTCTCCTCGGCCCTGCACTCTGTGACCCAAATGCCGATTGGTATGTACGGTATGTACCGTGTTCGGAAGCACACACGCGGGCTGCATTGTGTTTGCGCGGGCCGAGCGGTTAACTACCGGTAGGTTAATACCTCTTGCGGGCACTGCTGCAGGTATGTATAATATGTAAGGTAGGTAGGTACCCAACACAACACAAGAAATGCTACCTTGTCTACTGCGCCCCACCATCTCACACACGCCGCAGGAATGGGTATCGACACTCTACTTACATACGCCATACGCTCCATAAGCTCCATAAGCTCCGCAGCCTCGCAGGTCCGCAGCCCCCGGAACCTCCGCCAGAATGGTTGCACCGGCTCCAATGCTCTGCACCGCACGCCACTGCCAATCGTGTTCCGCATGGCGTCGACGGCACGACATCACACGGCCACGCTGTGATCCGGAAGCCCGCTCCTCCCGATCCCCATTCCTCACCACCAGTACTACCGAATCACGCTGGCCCGTGCGGAAAAGCCACACACACTCTCTACAGCACTCCACACACTCCACACACTCCACCCCGATTGCACCGATTGCCAGAGCTTGTGCTTGTGCACAGCGGACTACCTAGGTAGATCTCACTGGCTTTCACTGTCCATGCCCCACACCCCGCCCCCGATTGGAACTAAGGCCCCGTACATTATATACATATACTCTGAGATACGGTATGCTCTAGGAGGTGTACCCGCATCAAGTGCTCTTCCTCCGAGCCATGACTACGGTATGTACCTACATACAGTCAATTGTAGATAGAGACGCCAGCGATCGGCCTCACTCCGGAGGCCACATAGCAGGAGGAATCCTCCGTCCGCTAGGAATAGGTATGTAGCAGCGGATAGCTTGTTGGCCAATTGCGCTGGAGGCCAGGTGGTGGGAAGTGGTGGGAGGTGGTATGGGAGCGGGATCGGCTGGGTCCAACTCGCAGGCTCGCAGCGGTGTCACTCGCTACAATCCGTGGACGGTGGACGGTGGACGGTGGATCGCGGAGCATGGTCCGTGCTTTCCAGGTGGCCAATGGCTGGCTGAGGAGCTTGAGACATATGTACCAGTAGGATGTATCTCGTCATTGCTCGTCGGAAGCAGCGCGGGATGGAATTATGTACTCTACATACAGCCCGTATGTGTGCATACTCAGAGCAAAGAGCTGGGAGGGAATGGGTCAAGGAAATGACTGTCCAAGTCACTAAGTTTGAGGCGGGCCTTCTGTCTCCGCTGTTCGGTTCAGGCCATGAACTCGACATCACGAACTTGGAAAGGCCACCTTGGCTACCTACTACTTATACCAGTACAGTGGCGATGAATTATCCGGCCCCAGCTATATGTGTCTGAAACCCATACCCATATATATGCCGTATGTATCATTATTGACAACCAAATACCTATCTTTTGATGCTGGATGGCGCTCGTTGCGTTGGCATGTTCCAGAGTCCCAGACAGACAAGCTTCCAAAGTCACTACAGTTTTTACGGTCTCCAGCCCATTCTTTCCACCATCACCACCACCACCACCACCAGCACATCGCAGACCCACAAGAAATATTTTATGTACTCTACACACCTACCTACCCAAAGCTCCACGGAAGCGATCTCGGATTCCATTGATAGCGATCCCGCAGGCCGCAGCCTCTGCTAGGCTCTCTCTCGATGGCATTGAGCTGGAGGTCATGGTACCTGGCATTGACACTGACACTTCACCCGTGCCCCGAGCCGCACCTTATTTGGACGTCGATTCGACACGCGATTGCATACATAGCCTCCAATTGGGATTCTCGAGGCTATGTATGTACCGTATCCAGCCGGCCGGAAGGAGTGTGCCGTGCGCCAGAAGGAGAAGAAGAAGGAGAAGAAGAAGGAGAAGGAGAAGAGGGGGTGCCGCCGTCTCGGCTCCCCTGGACTCCTGGAGAGGCGCGGCGCAGGTGGGGCGAGTATGATATACATAGAGTGCATAGGAGGTAGGTAATTCACCATCACGCATCGAGTCGATCGTTTGTCCGGGTGCTGACGCATAATTGTGTACCTATTACATACTACCTATACTATAGACACATACCAAGGGATCGCATCGCGACTCGAGGCCGCGAGGCAAGGGCCGTCCACTGCGGCATTCTGTACCTATGCAATCTCGCTTCACCCACCGTCCCCCGTCATCGGCTATGTAGTACCGGTATATGTAGGGCCTGAGTAGTAAGTATCCGGTGCCTGGCATGCACAAGGGTGATGATGGGTGGGATGTTTTCCTCCCTCGATCCCTCCCCCCCACCCCTCCAGCCCTCCAGCGCGAACAGCTTGCCTGCCAGGCTCCAGCCTCCGGCGGGCGCCTAGCACCGTGAAAACGGACCCCAAGTTGTTGCACGGCTGTTGGGTTGGGATTCCTACACCGACGCATTCGATGCGACCGAAAGGTAAGCGCCTCGGGTTATGTATGTAAATGTGTGTACCAGCTGGAGCGAAAGCTCCTTCCGCATCGATGGGCGTTGTTTTTGTTTAATCATCATTGCGGTCGAGGGTATTATTATGGTATGTATGCAGATGATGTAGGGTCGGCATGCGAGAAAGAGAGAGAGAGAGAATAGGCCTGCATGCGAGATCCACTTGCTGCATAACTGCGCGCACGGCTGAGAATGCCGAAGTGACGGCGGTGACGGAGGTGATGGAGAAGATGGAGGAGATGGACATTCGAGAGCGACCACCAAGGGCGGATGGGAAGTTCCACCTCTCGGGGGGATGGGTGGGCACTGGGTCTGCATATGCAAGCGCCCGGTTTAGGCGTTCGATCCCCGGCGGGAGAGTTGGGCTCGCTCTGAGCGACTAGAGCAGACTCAGCAAGCAGCAAAGCAGCGGTCGTGCGACTCGCGAACTCGCTCGCTCCGCCAGAACAGGTTCTCCGGAAGACGAGCAGCGTTGTCGTCGTCGGGAGCGCGATAGTGCCAGAGTGCGAGGGTGAGCCTTCTAATTATACCCCCCCGGTCCCCGGCTGTCAGCAGGTTCACTAAGTAAGCAACTGACATGTACCTGCTAGGCCAGTTGCAGCGGACTCTTACCTACTCGAGCCTGCCAGTTACCCACTCCGCTCTAGGTGCTCGCCCTGCCGAATACGTGTGTATGTATCGTCCCCAAAAAAGCCACCCACGCACACCCAACCCGCTCCCACTCACACACACTCGGCCAGGCGCACGATGCGGACTACGCGGAGGCGACGCAAGGGAATAAAAAACTGGTTGTTGGTGTGCGCTGCTGCGTGATGTAGGCAGCCCGCGCCCGGGACTACTCTGCTCTGCTCTACTGCTCGACTCTGCTCGACTCTATATATCTGACTGCCATCCACCCCCCCTCCTCCGATCCTCCTCCGGTTTGCGAGGTTTGCGAATTCCTCGTCTGCTTTCCTTTGTCCCTTTGTTCCCTTCATCTTCCTCCTTCCTCCTGCATGCTTCGACTTGCACGCGAGGGCCCATAACCCCCAATCAGGATGTTGCCACTGCTGCGAAAAACACCGACCATATGTACCCTGCCCTCGATGGCGACCGTGATCCTGGCCGTCGTCCTTACAGTCGCTGTCTTGTTTCCCGCCGTTGCTAGCGCCGCCGTCGATTGCGGAATCCAGCCACTCGTCCTTCTCGGGAATACCACCACAACCGACACGACCACGACCGATCATGCCGGCCGTGTGAATGTTCAACTGGGCGAGGACAGCGGGTCCGGCCTATGGATGTCGGTCTCGATAGTCGATGATGCCACCTTTGTCAATGTGAGGAATGGGAATGGGAACGGCACCGACACGAATTCGCTGCGGTTTTCGGGACTCGATGTCAAGATTGAGGAATACAATCTCACCTACGTCGAGAAGAAGACCGACAGCGATCCGTCGTCCAATATCATCGGGCTGGTCAGTTTCTTTTCTTCCTTTTCTTTTCCGTCTCCACGTCGGGATGGCTGGTTGCTTTTCGGAACCGGAGCTGATGTCACCGCAGGGACCGGACTCGACGTTGATTCGAGAGCTATACGAGGCCAAGATAATCCCCAGCCGCAGCTACGGTCTCAGCTACGATGCTAGCACGCTGTCGATCGACTCGCTTGTCTTGGGCGGCCAAGACAGATCCCGGTATAGCGGGAGTCTCTACGAATCAGAACTGGCCGAACCAAACGGCGAAGCATTAAACGTTGAGGTCGAGCGTATCACGCTCACCAAGGAAGACGGCGAGCAGGTGGTGCTCGCCGCTCCCGCCGCAAACTTCACGGCGACCCTGGATAATACCATCGACCAACTGGTACTTCCCTCGCCCATCGCAGCCGCCTTCCAGCGCGCCGTTGGCGCTGTCGTGGCCGACTCAAGCCACCTGAACAGCTCCGAAATCAAAGTACCTTCGTCCACTCAGTATGGCCGGATTTTACGATACTCAAAGTCATTCGGAGGAAGCCTCACCATAACCCTACGCAATGGCTACAACGCCACGATTCCATCGGAGGTGCTGAGTCGGAGTCTCAACACGACCACTGAGCAAACGGTTCGGATATCCGCTGTCCTCGAGGCAAAGTCTGGCCAGACCAGTGGGGTCTTTGGCGCAGCGTTTCTGTCACAGGCATACCTCTCGGTCGACTACGAAAGCATGAAATTCTACCTCGCGAATCGAGCGAACGGCGGAAATATGGAACTATCAACGTTTGGCTGCAGCGTGTCTACGTCCAGCACACCGATAGTGATAGTCAGCGCAACACCAAGCACTACCGACCGCAGCAGCAGCAACAACGGCAGCAGCACCAACACCCACATCCTCGGTCCCGTCCTGGGCAGTCTCATCGGCGCCATAGTAATCCTGATCGCGATCCTCTTCCTCATCAAACGCTACAAGCTCCGCAAGAAGACCGAAAAACAAAACAGTCTTGCGGCGGCGGCGGTACCGACAACATCGTCGCCAACGTCGCGCGGGCTGGGAGGGTCGGATGATAAGCAACTGGGAGAATATAATCAGGTGGCTTCCTCCTCGCAACTGTGGGACGTGGAGTCGATCCGTGCTGAGAGTGAAAAGGGCATATCCTCTTCCGGCGGCGGTGTTGGCGCTCGGCGAGGGCACAATGGCGGGCTGGGGCTGGAGGGCATACGGTTACCCACCACGCCGTCGAGAGTGAGTCTTGCGCCGTCGACGATGGCCGGAACGCCCGCGAGGAATAGTTACTTCACGGAGGATTTTCATGATATCGTCAGGACTCCGCCGCCAAGATCATAGTCACTATGCATTCTCATCTTAAAATTTTTTTTTTTCTTATGAGCTTTTATCTACCCCTGTTGTAGTATACCTATTTCTTTTCTTTTCTTTTCTTTTCTTTTCTTTTCTTTTCTTTTCTTTTCTTTTCTTTTCTTTTCTTTTCTTTTCTTTTCTTTTTCTTTCTTCTTTCGTTTTTTTGGCTTGGGAACGGGACGGTGGGACGGACGGGAGTTTTGCTGGTTGCTGGTTGCTGGTGCTTTTAAGGGAACTGGAGTTTTCTATATGCTTTTGCACTAGATGACAAGGGACAAGGGACGATTGTGTAAATATACCCATTATGGTGGTGGTGGTTGTGGTGGGGGAGGGGGGGCTTGGAGGTCTAGAAGTTGAGAACTTAACTTGAGAACTGGAGATATTACCGGTACCGGTACTCTACATACCCCCGGATCATCATCGAAAAAACATACCTACATAATACGTCACTTCCGCTGATGCCGGGCGGATATGTATGTCTCGAGTGAGTCGTGAGGGGAGTGAGTCGCTTGGAGTTGGAGCAAGGCAAGGCTGCTGCGGCGCACGGTTGCCTAGACTGGCAGACAGACAAACGGAAGACAGGCGGAAGATGCAGTGTTTCTGCGTAACCATTATCAGTCCGTATTACATCTCCCCCCGTTCAATGTCCATTCTCAGTGCCCAGTTGCTGTTGCAATTGCTGTTGTAGTTGCACCCATCGTTGGGAGCATTCGCACTGTACACACAGAGGGGGTTCCAAGAGCTCGTATGGTTCCAAGAGCACTCGTGTGTGTGTATGTGTGTGCCGGAGGAGAATAGGTAGAGCAGGTAGAATAGGTACTAGCAAGTATTTCCGGTGAGCCCCGTCGACCAGCCTCCACTCGCAGGCCCACAGGCCAGTTCCAGTCTCCCAAACCAGTGCAGTTCCGTCATAGTCCAGTCCCGGTGCCAGTTTACAACGAGCCCCAGTCCACCCCCAGTCCCACTCCCAGTCCCAGTATGTACCAGTCCACAACGAGTCAACGTTAGCCCCCCCCCCCCGGCCCCAGCCCGGCCCGGCTCAGTCCTGGCCCAGTCCTCGTCCTCGTCCTCGCCGCTCGCCGCTCGGTAAGAATGGTTAGGTAAGAATGATTAGGTCTAGGACTCTCTAGGGTGGAGTTAGGGCAGATTAGAGCAGAGTAGAGTATCTACATAGAACAGAATGTATAGAGCAGAGTAACTTCAGCCCCCCGAACTCCGGTGGAGGCGAAGCTCGAGCTCGAGCTCGAGCTTGAACTTGAGCTTGGGCTTGGGTTTGAGCTTGGGCGTGGCACGTTCGTAGCCTCGTAGGTACATAATTAGGTACACAATTCAGAACATGCTTAGGAACATGCTTAGGAACATGATAAGCATACTTGGTACATACTTGGTACTCTACATACTTCTACCTGGTAGCTGCCGCTCATGTTGTGCGCTCCACATACCCAAATACCTATTGCGAACGCTGGGACGGGAGGATACGAGTGTGTGGGTATTTTTTCTTTCTTTCCTCCTGCGCACGGGGGGCTGGGGGGCTGAGTGCGGCGTGTGCTCATCGCGGAGTTATATCCAGCCAGGAAATAAAGATGGAGGAATCAGTTTGCGTGGGTGTGCTGGGCTGCAATTGCGGGGAGATCTAGAGTAGAGTAAGTCGGATGTGGTGATTGAGCCGATTGGATTGAGCATACATAATCTATTCACGTTGCTGGAGGCCCGATGGGGGCTGGTTACATGGCATGCACTGTCATCACTCGGTGACAATGATAGTAAGGTATTCTCTCTTTTCCCGCGTGAATTACTGCCGGCCGGCCGCACTGCAGATCGCCCGTTCGACTATGTATACATTTACATACGGCCGAGACATATATGTAAAGACTCACCCACTACCTCTTCTTTCCCTGGCGCTTATCCTTACTCTCCTTGAGCAGTCGTCTCGTCTCGACCAGCTTCATCTTCTGGCCACTCTTATGTTTTCTGAGCGTCATGAGGAAGTTCTTTTTCCGCGACTTCTCCCTGTTGGTGGTGGAGTGCGGCTTCTCGCCCAGCTTTTTCCCGCGGTTGGATGAGTATTTTTCTCGCCCTTCGCGGCCCTCCATCACTGCCTCTACGCGCGCGTCCTTGTCGGACTTGCCGCGCCGGAGCCGGCCTTCGATCATGTTCTTCTCGACGGCGTCTTCGTGACTGTTTGGTTGGGTTAGTTAGCAATCATGTAGATGGAAGGTGGAGTAAGGGAGTGTGCGTGTGCGTACGTCAGCTTCTTGCCCATGATCTTCGCGAGTCCAGCGGCCTGCCGCAGCTCCTCCAGCTTCGCAAAGTCTGCGGGCGTAAGGATCTTCGTCGTAGCGAGCATCGAGAGCTTCTTCTCCTCCGTCTTGACAGCCTCGGGTTTCACCGCCTCATCGTCATCATCACCAGAAAGCTTGACCTTCTTCTTCTGCTTTCTCGGCTCGCCCTCGTCCTCACTGTCGCTGATATTGATGTCCTCGCCGTCGCTCTCGACATTGACCCAACCAGCACCGTCCTCGTCGTCGCTGGAGTCGTCCTCAACCTCCCACTTGGCCCAGGCATCCTCTTCGCCCTCTTCCTCGTCCTCGTCGTCTGTATCCAAGCCAAGCTCCGCCCGCTTGGCGGCCTTCTGCTCTTCCTTCCACGCTTCCAGCAGGTCGAGACCCTCGATGGTACCCTCCTGTTCCTGACCATACCGCAGCGTAGTGTGCTCAGCCATTCCCATGCTCGCGACCTTCCCGCGGTCCTTGCGCTTCAGCATCTCTGGCGCCACCTCTCTATACAGGGTGATGAGCGAGCGGGCCGCCATCATGACACCCTTATCTTTCGAGCCCTTGTACTCGACCAGATCCTGGAGGAGCGTAGAGTCCATAGCCAGCGGCGCACGCGCACAGATCTCGCGGATGGCATTTAACCCCGCGGTTGCGACCTCGCCCGCTACTCCCTCCGACACGAACTCGACCGCGATCTTCCGCACGATCGGTTCCAAACAGTCCGGCGGCACCAGATCGTGCGTGGCTTGGGCCGCCACGATCAGGATTTGTGTTACGTCCCGCTGGCGGGGGGTCAGGTATTTGAGGAGGTGCGAGTATAGGCCTAGTACGCTGAGCTTGTGCAGTCCCACGAGACGCGAGACTAGTTGTAGGACCAGGATTTTTTGCTCCAGGGTGAGCTTGTTGTTGCGCGAGAGGTGCTTGGAGAACAGAAGGTCGGCGAAACCTTGCGGGTCATGGAGAAGGTGAAGGGCGGAGAAGTTGAGGGGGTGTGGCTTAAGCTTGTTTTTCTCTTTCTGTTTGTGGTCATTAGAGGCCATTTATCGTCAAGAGGGTGAGAATGTGGACGCACCTTCTTCAGCTGCATCTGCGCTTTCTCCAGTTTCTTCCACGAATTTCCCTTCTTCTTGTTGATTTGCATCTGATGCTTCACCCGTCCCAAATCCACAGTCTCGTCCTCACTCTCATTCTCCAGGTCCTCCCTCTCCTGATCCACGCCCAAGAAGAATCTGATACCACCGCTCATGACCTTCTGATTGGCACTCAACGATGCCTCCTTCATGATCTCGACCGTCCGAGCATCATCCCACACACCACGCTTCCATAGCTCTCTCGTCAGCTTGACCGCCCACAGGCCCGCAGTGGACGTATGATCCTCCTTGCCCGCCTCGACCAGCTCAAACAGGACTGCCTGGACAGCTTTATTCAGCTTATGGTTTTTCGTCTTGTTGTTCGAATTTTTCAGATCTGTGACCACCGACTTGTAGATCTGACCGCGCAGCTGTTTACTCGTGGTGGTAGTGAGGACTGGGAACAGCGTCTGCAGCAGCGCCGAAGAAGTGATGACATCCTTATTCCGCATGAGAACGAGGGACTGGACAATCTTTGCGCGTAGGTCATGGTCGAGCGATCCATGGTTCTTCAGCAGCAATTGCGCCAGGTCGTCGGCAAAGGTCGAGGTAATGTCGGGGTACGAGGAGGCGACCGCGGACATGAATCCGATTAGCTCCGTGAACGCCTCGGTATTGGCCGCCGTCGGCTGCGAGATGAAGATTAGGCGCTGCGATTCGTAGTGCCCATGCTGCCGCAGGAACTCCTCGCGGTATGAGGGTGGGTCGCGGCGGATCAGGTTTTGGAGCATCGGCCTGCGAATTTGCGCATTAGAGTTTTTTGGGGGTTTTTTTTGCGCAAAATTGCTGCTGAATGAGTTGGATATATTTACAGATTGTGCAGCTTCTGCAGGCCCGCGCGCTTGCGCTTCATTGTGTCGCTCATGGTGGGCGAGTCTTTGTGGTGGCTGGGCGAGTTGGTGGTGGGTTTCGGTGGTGGTGAAGTCGCTGTAATGGTAGGTCTGATATCCCACCTTGCCTTACACACAAGCTTCTTCTTCAGTCTGCAACATAAAAAAAATTGCCAGAAACTTTAGTTTCACAGCCGGGTGAACTTCTTGGCAAGTGACGTTAATCGGTTAGTGGCGCCAGAATACCCCCCATCGCCCCAAAGGCCCAGCCGGCTATCAGCATACCCTCTCTCGCTGTTCCGTCCCCCATCGATCGTCACAAGAAACTCTCCGCTCATACACACAAGAAATTGCCCACCATGCCGATGCCCGTATGTCACACCCCCAATCGTCACCACCATCACCGGAAGGAAGGAGTGAATGAATGGAAAAAACTGACAATCGGCAATAGAAGCAGGAACAGAGTGGTACGATAACTACCCCGACGACGACGCTCGAGATACCCGGTTTTCGTCGAGCAACAGAAGACTGATTGAGGATTGGCGATTGCAGCGCACACCATCACCCAGCGGATCCGCCAGCTCAAGAAGATTCCCCCGGAGTTGTTCCCCATTGGTATGTTTCCGCTGTCGCCGACCGGCTGGGAGTGATCGACTGTGGCTAACGAACGAATTCACAGGTATCGTCGTTGGGTACGTCGACGTTGCAGTCCACAATTCATGATCTACAGTATAAGCAACTAACCTTCGCTCTCCGCGGTTCACAGCGCTGCCCTCGCCAGTGAGTCTCACTCGCCTTCCCCTTCCCGACATGTCTAACGCGGAGCAATAGTGGCCGGATACTCCATGTCGCGCAAGTTCTTCGTCGACAAGACCCTCCGTCTCAACCGCTCCTCGCGCGACCAGCACTAAGCGCGCACTTCCGAATCACATGTAATGATATCCGGTCGGAGGTCTGCAGCACTGGAGGAGGAGGAGGAGGAGGAGGGAAGGGCATGCTAGTTTTCATTGTAGTTTTGTTCCGAACAATAACTTCTATTCTTGCCGTGAACTGTTCTCGTTGTTTTGGCTGTTTCAGTTGTATATGTCCAATAGCATCATGTTTGCATAGGTATCTGACCGCGCCATCGGGATCCCATGAGTTCTAAACCCGCCGCCCCCAACCCAAACCTGAGCCATCCCCCGTTCTGCCCTGCCCACCCGCTCGCCAGCCCGTTCACTCGCTCGCCGGCTTCGGCCCAGCAAGATCCAGCCCCTCCAAGCCCTGCATCGGATCCACAGCCTTAGCCATAGCCTCCGCCTTCGCCGCGTCCGCGGCCGCCCGGTCCTCGTCAGAGACTTCATACTTTCTGATCCAATCCTCCTGTGATCCCGCGACTTATCAGCTCTGCCCTCAACCCCCTTCCCCCTCCCCTTCCCCCCCAAACCCCGCCCCTTCGCCCCCTTCCCAGAAAGATAGCACATACCTGCTCCCAAACCGCGACCTTACTACCGAGTACATTACCCACCTCCTTCGTCTGCGGCTTCGCGATGGCGACGCTCAGGGTCCTTCCGGCGAGCGTAGCCTGGTCCATATTATCTATAGCGGCGGCGGCATCATCTGCGCTCTCGTACTCGACGTAGCCGAACCCCCTGTGTCCTCCTCCTCCGCGCTCGTTCTCGCTTCCTGGCAGGTTCACCTCCACGATCTCGCCGAAGGGCAGGAACGCCGCGTGTAGGAGGGGTTTGGTGATGGAGTTGTCGAGGCCACCTGGGGAGCTGGCGTCAGTGGATGGGAGGGGGGAGAGAAGGAGAGAGGGGGGGGAAGATACCAATGTAAATGGTCGATTTGAGGCGCGTGGCGTCGGTCATGATTGTGGTGTGGTGGTGTTGAATGTTCACATTTTGGGGAGCTGGTGGAGCATGGTATGTAGGCTGCTGGTTTGGTGCGTATATGCAAGAGCCGCGTGTGCCAAGCACGAGCAGAAATCACGAATGGGCACTCGAAGTCACGGTTCACGTACATGGCCTTAATTCCTTCCTTCCCGAGTCCTTAGGAAATGTATCGAATAAATTGCAGATGGAAAAAGATACAGAAAAAAATCAATTGCAACACCAAATACGCAACCCCCACTTATCAAACAGTTTACGCCTCATCTAGTTGCTCCTCAAACTCATCCTCGGAGCCGACGGTGTCACCAGCTTCGCTCTTGCCGCTGACACTCATGACACGCTTGAGGCGGTTGTTGACGTACTGCAGCACCTCCTGGTCGTCACGCTCCCTAGCCTTGCGCTCCTCCTCATCTTCCTCCTCGTTGATATCGCTCCTGGCGTCGATGCTCCTCGCCGTGCTGTGGCGACGGCCCATGTACGGACGGGGCTTCTTAGTAACCCGTGAGAAAATGTCGTCGAAGTAGTGGTTAGCAGCGGCGCCGGGAGTACGGGGCGTATGCGGCAGACGACAGTTCACACCGGAGTCGTGGATCATCTTTGCGATCAATCCGGTCCATCCGGTCTGGTGGGACGCACCGAGACCGCTTCCAGTGTCTCCATGGAAGAACTCGTGGAAAAAGACGTACTCGCGCCAGTTGGGGTCGTGGTCGAGCATTTCGCTTCCAGCGTTACAGGCACGGCGACCAAAGTCGTCACGGGCAAAGATATGCTGCAGACGGTGCTGAAGCTCTTCCGCGACTTGGCCCAGATGCATGAAGTCTCCTGACCCGGTGGGACACTCGACCTGGAATTTACTTCCGTAAAACATGTGGAAGCGCAACAGAGATTCGATCAGGAGGAAGTTGACACAGAGCCAGATGGGCTGTTGCAAATAATTAGTCGCTCGTTTCTTTGGCTGGGGCTACGGAGTACTTACACCACGCCAGTTACTGTTTCCTCCGAACATGGAACTATTGGAATCTCCGGGAACGTAGTCGACCGTGAAATCGCGACCCTCAACGTTGATGGAGTATGGGTTCTTGTCGTGGTACTTCGAGAGCGACCGGATTCCATATGGACTCAGGAACTCATCCTCATCCAACATCTTCTCCAGGATTCTCTTAAGTCTGTCTTTGCTGACGAGGGCAAGCAATAGTCTGTCACCCTTTCCACGTCTCCGCATACTGGCAATGTTTCGCTCCGCAACATCGTTCCTGTTCTCGATGAACCAGTCGAGGCGCTTAGTGAATTCTGGGAACTTCTGGAGAGTTTGCGGCTCGAGGGTGAGAACCGCGAACAGCGGAATCAATCCGACGAGCGATTTCACGGGCATCTGCTGAGAATATTCGCTGCCGCGGGAGATGGCATCGTAGTAGAAACTATTACCCTCGTTAGCCTCTTGTCCGATATATGCTCACGATGCCATGATTTCATACCCATCTTTGTCGTTCCACAGACTCTTCTCTTTCTCGCCATCGCGGTAGGTCATGGCATCACTGATGAAGATGAAGTGCTCGAAGAACTTGCTTGCAATGTCCTCGTAAATGCGGCGATGCTTGGCCAGCTCGAGAGCAATGTTCAACATGTTCAGCGAGTAGAAGGCCATCCATCCAGTGGAGTCAGCCTGCTCCAGAGTACCACCACCAGGGAGCGCTTCGGAACGGTTAAAGACACCAATGTTGTCGAGACCGAGGAAACCACCCTCGAAAACGTTGTTTCCGTCAGAGTCCTTGCGGTTGACCCACCTGAAATAATCAGCTTGAGAAATTGGGACCAACGGAGTAGATTCTCACCAGGTAAAATTGAGCAAGAGCTTCTGGAAAACACGCTCCAAGAAATCGAGATCCTCGTGACCGTACATCTTGCGCTCAATCTTGAAGATTCTGAAAGTGGCCCAAGCATGAACTGGCGGATTCACGTCTCCGTAGTTCCACTCGTACGCCGGAATCTGACCATTGGGATGCATGTACCACTCTCTGGTCAACACATCCAACTGCTTCTTCGCAAAATCGGGATCGATCATAGCAAGCGGAATGCAGTGGAACGCGGTATCCCACGCGGCAAAGAAGGGGTACTCCCAGCAATCCGGCATACTGAGGATATCATCCAAGTACATGTGCCTCCACTTGTCGTTCCTGATCTTCTTTCGCTCGGGGGGTGGCGGCGGTTGAGTGGGGTCACCATTCGCCCACTGATCCCAGATCAAGTGGTAGAACTGCTTGGTCCAGAGCATACCGGCGAACGCCTGTCTCTGGATATTTCTAAGATCATCGGTCATTGGCAGGGGCGAGATGCGCCAGTAGAACTCATCCGCATCATAACGCCGGAGCTCGAACATATCGTCGAACAGCTCTTCGTCGATGCCGATTTCATTCTGGACACCACCTTTCTCGTCCGCGAACTGGCGGGTCTCAACCTTCCTGGAGAGCTTAAATCGAACAACCGCACACCCTCCCGGGGGCACACCCTCACCCTCGTCGAAGGCATACCACGCACCCGCCTTAGTACCGGTCTGAGCTGGGTTGACAGCATCCTTCTCGTCATCAACGATGTGGCGGTGGAACGCATCCTTGACAAAGTCAGTCTTGTTGTCGACACCGTAGAGGCCCTTATAGTTGGTATCGTTGTCCGTGAACAACAACTTGGGAATGACATCCGAAGATTCCGGGCTGACACCGGGGGACGGTGATAGCTGGACGACACGTTCGCCGAGCTTCCAGTGCTTTGTTTTGGCGATGAAGTCGCCTTCCGCCTTGATATTGGGCTTCTTCTCGGGTCCCTCGTGGCCCCAGGCCCAAGTGTTTCTGAAAGTAACCTGTGGGATGATGTGGAGAGGTGCTGCCTCCGGACCCCGGTTGTATGCCGTGACACGGAAGAGAATCTCCTCCTCATCGTCGGTATCCTTTGCCGTCTCGATAAAGATATCCCAGTAGCGGTCATCACTGAATCGCTGTCAGCATCGGTGACCACAACGCGGGAAGGGATAGCTCACGCGAAGGCTCCGGTGTCCAGAATGTTGTATTCAGGCACATCTCGGCCGCGATTCCTGCTCTCCTGACGAATTTCTTCATATGGAAACTTCTTCTGCGGATATTTGTATAGATACTTCATGTAGCTGTGCGTGGGCGTGTTGTCGAGGTAGTAGTGGATCTCCTTGATGGATTCTCCATGGTTTCCCTCGGGATTGGCCAGACCGAAAAGTCGCTCCTTCAAGATATCGCTGTTCCGCCCATCAGCACCTCACTTTGATGATGAAGCAACGATTGATGCTACATACTCTTTCTCGTTCCAGAACGCAAAGGAGATGCATTGAAGCGCATGCGAATCGGAGACACCGGCAATACCGTCCTCACCCCAGCGGTAGGTACGAGATTTCGCCTGATCGAAAGGAAAGTCTGCACACAGTGATCAGTACCGAGATGTTAAGGTTCGAGTGCTGGCGTCGAATAACATACGTGCCCAGGCATCACCGTTGGCCCTAATTTGTAGTCAGAAAGGCTCGTATGTTTGTTGACGATGGAAGGTATCAAACTTACGAGTAGTCCTCTCTCACGGTTCCCCATTGACGTCTGTATCCATTAGACACTGCACACCCAGCAATTTCTCTCTTCCCCCAACTTCTGAGGACAACTCACTCGCTGAGGTACGGTCCCCATCTCTTCCAATACTTCTTCCTCTCCTTGTCCTCCTTCAACCGCTTCTCCTCGCTGCAAAGGTACTCGTGCTCTCCGTGCTTAACCATTGCGGCAGTGAACTTGGTTGGCCGATACCGAAGGTGTGTTGCTCTGTACAGTCAATGGAGTAGATGGAGAGAGGGGGAATTGGGGAAAGGGAGCTCTGGGAGGGGGGTTGAAGAATAGATGAGTTGGATTGACGTGACTCTGGCGGGGCAATGGTAGCAAGGTGACGTTTTTGGCGGCGGCGGGGTAGGGGCAGCTCTCGGACTTAGCACCGTATAGCACGCCGGCAAGAAAGCACCCACTAACCTCTACGTAGATAGCCCTACGGCATTGCACTGCACATACCCAAGTACCTAGAGCACCTAGAGCACATCCCATACATGGCCATTACTGCGTACACTGTTTGGGGGGGGGGGGGGGGGGTGGGGCATCTTTGCTTTCTGTGCGTTGTTCCTGGATATTGGAAACAATTTCTGTCGATATGGGAAGTATTGCATGCGAAGTTTTGCTGATAACGGGGGCGCCTGCACATTCCGTATTTGCCCATCGAATACCATCGAATGGGGGATATGGACTGGAGGCAAGCAAGCCGCAAGCGCCCCCCTTCGGGTGAGCAACTTTTGGAGCCCCCGTATACCTCCGCTTCCACTCTACGGGGAGGCGGGGGCTTGCAGTAGGCGGGTCAGATTGTGTTTCGGTCTGCAGCTACCGATGGTATAGCGAGGAGAACGTGTGTTAGAAAGTACTTGGGCATGTACTTTGTACCAGTACTTCATCACACTGATTGCAACCAGATTTGCATTCCGAAGCACTCTGCAGGGCAGCACGGCCAGAGCGGGCTTTATCTATTTACAGTGTTTTCTCTTCATGGGCCTTTTTTTTTCTTCATCAAAGTGTGGCTGAGGGGGCTGACCGAGACTTCGAGAGAGGGGTTGCTCTATCGATAACGGTGGCCGGCCGTCCTGCCCTGCAGGCAGTTCAATTTCGAGTTTTATATCAACTCGCCAAGACGGTTCGTTTGCGCGGGAGGGGTGATGTCATCGTGTCGTAGTTATCGAATCAGACAACTCGGCTTATCCGACGGCGCACGAACTGAGAGAAAAAAAAGAACGAAAATCTTCGGAGGCGAGCCGTTAGCGTCGTGTAACCTTTTCCGTAACGGCCGCTATTCTTCACTGTCTATCACACGGCCCAGCTCCGTCTCTCGTCCAATCACTCAGCCCGGCCCGCAATATCCCCCCAATCAACGACCAAACCATCACCACCAGACAGTCCGACAATGCCCGGCAATACTGGTGGGGCACGCTCAGATGCTGCATTTAATCCGTTGCTAACGTGGTATCGATGCGAGTAGCAAAAGGCAGGGTCACCAAGCCATCGCAGAAGACTCGCAAGAGCCGCGACAAGAGGGCCGACGGTAGCAGCGACTACGCCCCGTCTCTTCAAGATGGCGATGAACCCGAGTCGCAGACTCTGTATGTTTTCTTATTTCCGTCCCCATAAACTTAAACCAGCATGTGCATGCATCATCCGTATCAAGATCGACCGTCGACTAACGAGAGGACGGAAAAACAAAAACAGAGATGTCATTGAGAAGAAGGGTACGCGATGAGGTTTAGACCAGACCAATCACTCGGGCACCCAGTGCTGATAGGACTGCAGTCAAGGAGTTAAAGAAAACTGCCGTCGCTTCCAAGAACCACGCCGAGAAGTTCAGGAAGAGAACTGAGGCCGTGGTGCAAGAAACCATCGAGGACTGGAAGACCCACCAAGAGAAAATGTAAACCAACTTATGTCCCTCAATAGCAAGTGCGAGGTGTTGACTGGTCATCCGTACATAGCATGAAATCTTCTCGCGAGTGGGACGAGGAGCTCAACGCTGTTTTCGAGAACGCCCTCGCTGGCAACAAGTCTCTGGAAACGCTTCAAGAGTCAATGATGTCGATGGCGCAAGAGCTCACTGAAAAGCACAACGCTCTCCAGAACACCATCTCTTCGGCGTTGAACCGCGAGCTCATCCTTGGCGACGGCTGGCAGAACGACGGGGAAGACGCCATTCAGGTTCTCTCCGAGCTCACCTCGGAAGAACAGGAATCGGTTGAGAAGCACCTCCACCTGGACGACGATGGAGAGTACAGCAACGAGGGATCCTGGATGGATAAGGTCAAGAGGTCTGAGAAGGGTATCAAGCAGGCTTTGAGAGCTGTTCCGGTCCCGGTTGCACTTGATTAGGGAGGGATTGACCATGATTGCTATTTTCTGTGGACACGAGCTGATTTGACGGATACTTACATGCTTACTTACCGTACATGAGGGCAATAGTTGCGAGGGCATATACAATAGGTGGAACCGAACAATTAAGAAAAAAAAAAGTGATGGATACATCACCATATGTACCTGCACCCATCAGAGCCACAAAAAAAAACATACCGCCAACATCAACATCAAAATCAACACCTACCGGCCTCGAAGCCCAGTATCAACGCCGACTAAAAAACCACAACCTACTCCACCGACACCCAAGCCCAAAACCGCGATCCGGGGCACCAACTCTCATCAGCCCAACACTCTCATTCTCACTCGCAGCATGAAACGACTTAGTACTCGCCGCCCTCCCAAGAAACGGCAGAACAGTCCTGGCCAGCAGCGACTCGCTATTTCCATTTTTACTGCCACCGCCACACGTATCTCTTTGTGTCCAATCCGGCCGGTCGTAGCCGGAAACCACTCTACTCCTCCATCGAGATTGAGTAGCTGTGTCCTCGCCGTCGAGGCGTACCCGAATTCTGGCGTGCGATGACGTCGACGTTATTGTTGTTGTCGTAAGCGTGAAGTCCTTCGCGGCGGATTGCGGACAATGCTGCTGCTGGCGGTGGTGGCGGTAGTGGTAGCGGGCGGGCCCGTCACCGGTCCTGCGCCTTTTGCGGGTGGTAATGGGGCGCTGTGGGGGGTGCTGTGGATGCGCGGGGGGTCAGTATCTAAGTATCTCCATCGCCATCGCTAGAATTCTGCCCGGAGTCCGGACGAAGGTCGAGCTTACTGGTAGTGGGGCTGTCGGGCTCGGGGGTGGCATATTTCTTCTTCTTCTTCTTTCCCGCACTTCGTATCGTAAGCAGCATTCAACATCCAGCTGGAGGGAGCGGATGGGGGGTAGTTTTAAATGCCCCCCCTCATCTCCAGCGCAGACGGGCGGGGGAGCATGTGGACAATCCAATTTCCACCAGCGCTTTCATCAACATTGAACACAGTGGACAGTGGACAGTGGGGGAGGGAGATGGGATCATGAGTCACGAGCTGCCTACCTACAAGACGTCCTATGCTACACGAACCAACTTAACAGGAATTTCCAAGGTATGTACTTGTAGATGTAGACGCGAGTAAATGTGAAGTACATAGTGAAATGACATAGTGAGCCGTCATGAGGCGTCGTGACTCGTGATATGGCTGGGGAATGCCTGAGGAATGCACGTACCCGCGGCGCGGTGACTCCGGTTGCATATTGTGGTACATACCGTCAGGACTCAGTGGGTTTCGTGAGGGGGTGTGGAAGGGGGTGGGGAAGGGGGTAGGGAAGGGGAAGCAGCACAAAGCTTGGAAGGAGGTGGATAGGTACATGTTACCATCCAGCTCCGGGATGGGATCTTGGCCAGGTCTCGAGTCTCGATGCCTGTTTTCTGTGCAGTGTAGACAACTTTGTTTTTGCCCGGGAGGGTGGGTGGAGGGGGGGTGGATATCTGCACTCCGCCCGCAGACAGACAGACAGGTACCCCAGACTCACATGATCCAACCGAGAACCAAGTATGTACCTACGGCAGTGGAACCTGGAGCTGCAAGACGGCGTAGATGTCCCGTCGTCTCAATAGTCCAAGCATCGAAGCCATATTTCGGGGGGGGGAGCTCGGGGGCATATATCCGCCACGGTCACGGATCCGTAAACCAAACCAGCGTTTCGGGAGGTTGGTCGGCCGGCACGATTCTCCTGTATTTTACATCTCCGATGGGCGGTACGGTATGTAGCACCGCCGGGCACGACCGAGCCTGAGCCTTCGGGGCTTTCGGAGCCCCATCCGTGATATTTAGATCATGGAAACAGGAGGCCGTCCAGGATTGATCTCACCCCATTAATTACATAAGTACCTACTGCTGCACACAGATTTCCACGGATTTCCCACACCGCTGGCGACTGGATGGCGGCAGTTACCAGGTAGTAGAGTACTTGGTACGATACAGTTGCGGCGGCGGCGGAGAGAAGCCCGTGGAGCAGAATGGGGTGGGTGGAAGCACAAGAAGAAGCCAATGTCCCTCTGAGGCCTTGGGGCCTTACATAGTCTTGCAATTCCACTTCCACCGCCCACGGCTGGATTTTTACCACTGTTTACCTATCATAAACCTAAGTACCTACCTATCCATCCACCCCTTCAGGCTTCAGTCTTCAGGCTTTTGGTTTCTGGTTCATCCCTTCTGGTTCATCTCTTCAAGTCCATCCACTCCTTCAGGTTCATCCATCCCTTCTGGTTCATCCACTCCTTCAGGTTCATCCACTCCTTCAGGTTCATGCCTTCTGGTCCATCCATCCCTTCCAGTTCATCCCCCGGCCCGTCCCGTTCACGCCTCATGGTTCGATACCAGTTGCTAGTATCGTTATATCCCAGTATATCCCAGTATATCCCAGTACCTAAGCCGCTGGAAGTGCCAGGAACATCCGAGCCCCTACGAGCCGCTGGGTGGGTTGGTTGGCTCCGGTTTCGGTTCCAGTTCCGGTTTCGGTTCCGGGTTCGACCTCCGACTCTCCGAGTGCCGAGTGATATTCTGTGGGCTTCCTTCAAATCGCCTGGCAAGACGTCAAGAACAAGAACAAGAAACGGACATGTCGCCGGCTTACGGGCTTCATGATGACGGCGGGCGGCGGTGGTTGAGGACTGTGTTATTTGGTTTTTGGTTTTTTTTTGGCCGTGATGGTCTCCACAGCTCCGCTTCGAGGAACGAGGAAGAAACCTCCAACCCTCAACCCCAACCCCCCGTAGCGGCGTCGCGTGAAGCAGTGTCCAGTGCCGGGTGTAGTGTACCTAGGCGGGGACGCTCGTTGGCTGAACACTGAGCAGTGCTGTGAGAATGCTGTTACCAGAGTTCACGGAGGCGGGCCTGGCGGGTGTGTGTCGCAGCCTCAGTAGAGTAGTGTCTGCGATGAAATCCCCAGAGCTGTACACAACTTCACTTCACATCTCATCACTTCACTCGCATTTTATCATCGATACCCAAAGTTAAAAGGTGTCAAAAGAATATGCTTGTATCTATCTACCTTTTACTCCTCGGTCAAACGAATGAACCGTGAACGGAGAACGAGTGCAGAAAAACAACGGCCCAGCGGCAGTAACTAACCTCCCGCAGCAAACCAAAAGCCAGAAACCAAAAGCCAAAAGAAACCGAAAAAAAACGATTGAGTACTCCTTCAGTCCATGCTGGGTTCACAAAAGAAAAGGAGAAGGGTAAGAGGGGAAAAAAGGAAACACCCAGGGACGCCGCATACCAAAAATAAAAAAGAATATAAAAAAATAAAAAGAAAAAAAGGGTAAAAAGAAAAGAAAAAGGTACAATCACATATTCATCGTACATTTCCATGGTAGGAGATTAACAGGTACCCAAGAAGAAAGAACAAGTTCGAAGAAAAGAAAAGAAACTCAAAACAGTGATGTGGATGTGGATCACTCGGCGTGCAATGACTCCTCCTCCATCTCCTCAATGATGGAGCTCATCTTCCCGCTAGAGGTAGAGCCGAGGCTATCGCGGCTGCCCCTGCTGCGCAGCATCCTATCCCCGTCGTCCCTCCCCTCACCATGAAGCGGCGAGCTCATATCCCAACCGACCATGCCACAGAACTCGTTCCAGAGCCTGCCATCGCAGATGCCGCCACAGCCCTTGGTCTCGAGCAGGTTCTTGGACTTCTTCAACCACTTTGAATCGGACATCTCACGACGGCTCGTGGCGGTCCACAGGGGCACGCACTGCGAGCTGTAGACGTCGGCGCCGATGGTGCCCTGCACGAGCTTGACCCACGCGGCATTCGCGTGGTGGCCCAGGAGGTCCGCCATTTCCTCGTTGCGGTCGACGAGCGGCACTAGCATGCTGGGTGCCATCGGCTCCATGGGGATGGTGGCCTCGATCTCTCCCTCGCCTGCGGCGGCGTTGCCATCGTCGTCCGAGACGACGGACGGGGACCGCGAGGAGCAGGTTATCGAGATGGTCGAAGAGACCGATTGGCGGTGATGGTGTCTCGGACAGATCTGCTCGCCCTCCTCCTCCAGTCCTCCGGGGAATATGGGGTCGGTTTCGAACGAGTGGGCCGAGTGGGCCGAGTGGGCCGAGTTCGTTGGGGAGTACGGTTCGTTGTCGTTGGGGGCGTGCAGTTCCTGGTTGGACGTGTTGAGAGCCAAGAATTTGGGATTCGACGGGGACAGGGCAAAGTCGACGGATTGGCGACGGTGGCGAAGGGGTGACGTGCTGTAGATGGGCGAGTGCGCGTGCGAGGTGGCCGAGTGCACCGACGATTTGCGGAATATCAACATGGGGCTGCCCGCCAGGCGGGACGGTGATGTCGATGTCCCGCTGGTGGAGGCGGTGTCGGCTTCGTGCACTGAGAGGTTGCTGAAGGACAGTGGCATCGTCCGCGGGGACATTGCTGCGTCCTGCGCTGCATCGCTCGACGCTGGATAGAGGGAATTTGGGATTATTTCGGAGCGGTAATTGCTGCTGCTATTGCTGCCGCTGGGAGGTGCGGACCTGAAGGTGACGGTGGGAGCACGAAAGGCGTCCAGGTAGGCTGGGAGTCTTCGGGGGCTACCCTGTGAATCCATTGATGTGGCAGGAGAGGATGATTCGGACAGTGAATTTGGGGTTGACGAGAGTTGTGGAGGAGAGACGGGGAGGACGAGAGTCTCCATCATTGTAGTGCTGGGTGCGAAAGGGGAGGGAGGGGGGGTTTAAGACCTGACTGGTGTCCGGAGGCTGCACGGAAAACAGCGGGAGGATTGATGACTGATAGACAGGCGGGGGGCGATACAAGATAGCACTAAGGGCTGGAAGCTGTTGGCTAAGAGAATTGTGGGGCAATGGGATTTCGCTGTGGGGTACACAAGGCTTCCTGGATCCTCCGAGGGTGACTTTTTGAAGGCTAGAAGGAAGGATGGATGGATGGGAGGGTGGGGCAGCTCGAGGTCCGAGTGGCAGAGTGATTTAGGGGTTTTTCGATATGAGGTGTCGTCGAGGGCTTTTGTACTTTCTTGTCGAAGCTGCGGGAAGGCAGCCAAGAGACAAGGACAAGGAGGTAGTGCGAGTTTTGAGTTGACTCGAGGAGGAATATCAGGGCAAATCGGAGCCGGCACATTCTGTGGGACAGAAGGTAGCTGCAATCTGATGTAGCCAGTTCGGCTGCTGGACGGGGAATTCCCGAGATAGAAGATACATGTCGCCCGTTACCAACGTACCAGAGACTCTACATAGAGCGTGCGGGTAGTTGGTACATTGAGTAAAGTCGAGTAAGCAGATTCGAATACATAGAGTAACTAGCCCGTACCTTGCCTGCTCGTTCCACCGGCCATTGGGGCGGGCGAGCCAATGGTGAGTCGGCGCGCGGGAGGCATGTAGGCACAACAACAAGAGAAGGAGAGTTTACTGGGTGTTGTGTTGTGGTTGTGTTGTTGTGGGTGCACGGCTTTTCCTTCCTTCCCTAACTATGATCTCATCCCCAAGCAAGGCCGTGCAGCTGCCAAAAGTAAGTCCCCAGCCCGCAATTGCTTTTCCCATTGGCCGAGAGATCTGGCAGGGGCCGGAAGTGCATTCCATCGACCTCGCGTCGTTACACCCAGGTATGTAGCCTTTTCACTCTCCTCCTTCGGACCTTCTCCTCCACGGCGGCGACGACGACGCGGGAGGGATCGGAGGGATCGGGGGGAACGGAGGGAGTTTATTGTTTCATCGTTGCGATTTCCCGGGGGCAAAGACCTACCGACACGGCGAACTCGGAGCGTGACGGCCGCGAGATGGGCAGATATTCTTACTCACGCTCGATCTGGAGAAAGCTTGATGGCAGCTGGCAGCCAGCTTCGTTGTTTTGTGGCGCATTCCACCGCCCAGTCGGCCAAGATGGGATTAATCTAGTAACTATTCCTGCTTCTAGTATGAGGTGGTTACCTGGTACATATGATGATACTCAAGTACCAAAGTTCTCACTCCATTACCGATGAATGGGCAGCGCGATCTGACTGACGGGCGGACAAACAAAAGAAAGAATGCCATTGTTGGGTGGGTGGATGGGACAGGTCCAAGGCTTTCTTTTTCTTTTCTTTTCTTTTCGTTTCTTTTCCAGGTTCCAGCCAAAAGAAAAGAAAAGAAAGGAAAGGAAGGGAAAGAAAGGAAGGGAAAGAAAGGAAGGGAAAGAAAGGAAGGGAAGGAAAGGAAGGGAAGGAAAGACAGGAAAGGAAAGGACAGGAAAGGAAAGGACAGGAAAGGAAAGAATGCTTGCTCTCTCTCTCTCTCTCTCTCTCTCTCTCTCTCTCTCTCTCTCGATCCCTCGTCAGTTCCACGACGGAGGGGTGTACGTAAGCACACATGCATCGCTGCCTACCACTGACTGCGAGCTTATCGTCCGCGTTCCCCGTGGCCGTGGATGGTGCGACGCCTTGACTGCGAGTGTATGGCTCGCCACATGCCTCACTCACTCCCTCGCAGCAGCAGCGTGCCAAGTGGCGCAAGTGCAACGAAGCCGCATAGCATGACACCCAAGCGATTCACTCTAAATCAACGCGTGGTGTGGATAAACTAGTGAGTTCACTAGCAGAAGTCTGAAGGAGAAGTATCCAGCCACTCAGCGATCAACTGCCAACTTGTGCTATGTATGCTGTGCTCACTGCTGTGGCGGAGGCAGCACAGCATACCTAGCATAGCAGCACCACCATCACTATGACGAACGATGCGCGCAGCACGCAGCAGCAGCAGCAGCAGCAGCACCACCACCACCACCACCACCACCACCACCACCACCACCACCACCACCACCACCACCAGAATATTCCCTGCTCCTATCCGCCGGGCAGGGCAAGGAACGAGCACGAGCACGAGCACGAGCATGAGCGGGCGCACGACCATAGGCAAATCATGATTCCTCCCTCCCTCCCTCCCTTAGCCCCCCCTCTGCCGAACAAAGAACCAAAGAACCAAAGACCCAAAGAACTAGCCAGCCAGCCAACCAATCCGGCTCTCGCAATCGCCCGCGCCCGTCGCCATCCCTGCTGCCGTTCCCCTAGCTTTTTCTTTGGCGGACTGACAAGACCGACAGACTGACTCGTCAGCTCTCCCGCCGCCCACCCCGTCACTAGTCACCAGTCACCAGTCACCAGTTCCAGTCACCAACTAGCAGCGCACTCTGGTCTCCGGAGTCTGGAGTCTGAAGATTCTGGAGATGGACTTCCGAACACATCCATGCATAACTACATAAGGCAGAAACCTCCAGGCCCCAACGGCCCAATAGTCCATCAAAGCCGATAACGGATACTGCGCGGAGTAAAGTAAAGTAAGTAAAGTAAGTAAAGTAAGTAAAGTAAGTAAAGTAAGTAAAGTAAGTAAAGTAACCGTTATGTAAGTACCGACCTGGGATGTTTGAAGGTGGAGGGTGGGTGCGACCATGTTCCAAGGCGATTGGCGACTGGTGACTGGTGATTGGTGACAGGGCGAAAACGGACTCGCCGGAACTCTCGCCCATACTCCCATGTCAGTTCGAGTTCGAGTTAGGATTCGACCTGCGAAGCGAGGGAAAGAGAGGCGAGGCTGCGCCACCTTCGAGTCTTCAATCGGGCTTCGCCGGACCCGGGCCGGGGCCGTTTTGGTGGGCATATGTACATATTGGCATTGGCTTGGACACTTGGACACTTGGAGTGGCTCGATTCGAGAAACGACACGTCGCCGGTACCTATCATAGTACCTAATACCTATACTACCGTGAAGTGATATGTTTCACCGTGAAGCTATGTTTCACCGTGTGGAATAGAGTAGAGCACATTGATACCGGTAGCCACCTAGCTGGCGGAGATGGAGCAGCGATCAGGTACATACTAGTACTATCTGCTGGTACTATCTACTCTACTGGTACTACCAGTATATGAGTACTAACCATTGCGGGTGCGGGTGCGGGGAAGTGACAGCTCTGGCTGGCTGCCTGCAATCGTGATTGGAACCGTCTGACTACTCTGGACTACTCTACATGCTTCGAGGATCCGGTTCGAGTTCCGCAGAGTATGATACCACGTTGACTTGCGGAGTGGAGTGGAGTGGAGTGGAGTGGAGTGGAGATACTCTATCCACCAGAGACCAGAGACATTTACAGTGCCTTCTTGGGGCGCTATAGGTAATAGGTAGTAACCAGAGTTTGGTGGTCCAACGGAACGAAACAAGCCTGAACTCACCGTATGTATTGTACGTAAAAAAAAATACACCGTATGTACTAGATAGTACCGCTCGGCACTACCGACACCGATTGATACTACATGACACGACATTGAAGTTCGAACACCCTCCACCAGCACTCGCCGGTCGCAAAACCGGTGCCCAGGAGACCAGCTAGCCAAATGCGCGCGTTCTATGTACTAGTTAGCTCGAAGTGGTGGCGAGTACCTAGTGTGCACTGTGGGCTTCCCGTTGGTTGGTGGGATGGCTCCGTTTCCTCCCGGCCGGGTGGTGTGAGTTTGCTCCAGTAGAGGCTGGGGCACGTAGAGGCCTACTTATACATACTTGGCCATGAGACGCATGTTCACGAATCACGGCCCATCAGCACAATCCTCGATCCTAAGCCCGCCCGCCACAGGTACATGGACTATCTTTCCGAAGTCTCACTACATACCCGTAGTACCGTACATAGTCGTGATCCTGAGCAAACGTCAAGTTCATCCAGACGATACTTACAGTGGTAGGTAGGGTAGCCATGCTCATTGACATGAGCCTGAAACAAACCTCACAGTGGAAACCCCTTCAAGACCACCATCACCAATCCATCTTGGATTCTTGGTGAGCAGGTTGCGTGCCAATGGTCATGGAGGAAGGAGGGAGCCCATGCGGCTTGGCGGGTAGGGCTGTTAGCCTGTTAGTGCGGAGCACCTAGCGCTGTCCGGAGCCGTCGGCGTTCGGTACCGACCGTACCTATGGAGTGTCGGTAACGGTATCGGGTTCGGGATCGATATGCGGATATTGACTCCGGGCCTCCGGCACGGGCACGATGTGGGCACAGGGGTCTAGCCGTAGTCATGAGGTCTCCGTGGACGAGGTTCAGACTGGAGCCGCGGAGATGCTTCTCCGAGCGAGCTCAAATTCAATGCCATGACGACTAGTAACTACCGGTATATCAGTATTTGTATGTATGAAGGTATGTATGTACGGGATTCGAGCGGAGCGACCGACCGACCGTGGCCGCTTACAAGGTACCGGTACCTTGTGGATGCTTGATGCTTGATGCTTGGTGCTTGGTGCTTGGTGCTTGATGCTTGGTGCTTGGTGCTAGATAACTACCACTCGCAAGGTTAAACTAAGCTATTGACGAGTGCTAGAGAGAGAGCTGCGCTGATAAACATAAATTCCGTCCCGTGGAGGCGTCGCCGCGCGAAAACCTAGTGAGAAGTCCCCGGTTGTCTTTCCCGTGGCCACCACCGCCAGGTATGAGATATAAGGTATGTGCTATTTTCACGGACAAAGGTTACGCCCAAACACCCCGGCCGGCTAGGCCATACCGTACCGTAGGAAAGACCACGGCCGATGGAAGACCGTGCTTACATACCTACAGTACTCGAGCTCAACGAGATCATCATCCAATCTCACACCCCTCCTCCGAGTCCCCTCCCCTCCGCCGCCCCCATGTTGGCGCCACAATGTGGCTATGTACGTAGGAATGTCCGCATCCGCATCCGTATCCGTATCCGCACGTCGATCCCATCCCATCCCTTCCCTCCCCAACTGCAAGTCTGCAACCGGCGAGGCGAGGCGATTGAATCGCCACCTGAGCTCTCGGCACTAGGCACCGAGTCACTAACACATCGGCCGAGGTCGAGGCCGGCACCACGCTCCGGCAAAGTTCAACGGTTCAGCTAGGTACTAGGTAAGCACTTGTGTATGTAGATACTTGGGTACTGTAGGTACTGTGGTTACTCGACTTCTCACCCGGTGCAAACCGAGAGAAGACGGGATTCCTCTGAGTCCTCTCCTCGTGAGTCGTGTGTAGGTATGTAGAGTATGTGTGCATTGTGCAAGCCATATGCAAGCCATATATGCAAGCTGCGTGTATGCGTGTAGGTATGCGTGTAGGTATGCGTGTAGGTATGCGTGTAGGTATGCGTGTAGGTATGCGTGTAGGTATGCGTGTAGGTATGCGTGTAGGTATGCGTGTAGGTATGCGTGTAGGTATGCGTGTAGGTATGCGTGTAGGTATGCGTGTAGGTATGCGTGTAGGTATGCGTGTAGGTATGCGTGTAGGTATGCGTGTATGCAAGCCCAGCTGCACTGCACCGCACCGGCACTGAATCCTGAAGGCTGAGCGGACTGGTCGTGGATGGTTATGTGGTTACCGTTGGTCAATGACTGCCTTCAGTCTGCGAGTCGAGATACGGTACTCAGCTCAGCTCCATCTCCATCTCTCAACACAACCGTATTATCTCAGATAACTGACCGGTCAGTGAAATGGATTTAGCGCCATGAAGCGTGCACTAGCGTGAATCGAGTTAGCGCCGGCGCAGCAGTAGAACATCAGTCGATGAGGTTAGTGCGGCTGAAACTCCTGAAGCATCGTGGGAATGGCAGATGTAGAGAGTTGCAGTACATTCGACAAAGATCAAGTCGAAAGAAATCACGGAAACCATAATGGAGAACAACTAGGCCACCTTTCCTACGAAAATAGCACACGCCGACAGATTCTTATCAGAATTCGCAGCTCTTGTTCTTACATCTACGGCTGAATATGCTCCTGACAACGACAGTGATGAAGATAACAATATCGGACTGATCGCTCGTCAAAGATGTCTACAAGGCACAGTGGGCGCGCTCTTGACAGACTCAGTTGACGCGTCCTCAGCAGCAGACTTGGTGGGCGCGCTCATGGCAGGCTCAGTGAACGCGTTTTTGCCTGGCTCAGTGGGCGCGCCCTCGGCAGGTTGAGTGGTGTGCTCTTAATAGGTTCGGTGGGCGTGCCCGTGGAAGATTCAGTGGACGCATCCTCAGCAGGCTCAGCGGTCACTTTCTCAGCGCGCATGGGAAAAGGTACGTGTTCCAGTTGAACCAGTAGCTAGACGCCAGGAGAAGCAAGCGACTGGAAGAAGTAGGTAGGCGGAATGTAGTTGTAGAGCTGTTTGCTAACATTAGCGATACTGAAGATGATGATGTTAGGGAAGTCTGTTGGAAAGAATCGGTCTGAAGTTGGATGCTCTGCATGTGTAGAAACATCACGGGGATTATGCGCTAATAGTTTGATACTGACTAAGCGCCAAGTGCCCCAAAACCTGTGTGTAACGGCGTAAACCAGTTAGAAAGCGCACCAAGCCTGCGGGTAACAGCGCTAACTGCTCAAACTGACCGGTCGGTTATTACGGTACTTTCCCACCCCCCTCTCACCTCGAGAACAAGGTACTAGGAGGTACGGTAGACTGTAGACTACTTGCACGTGCTAGAGGGGTGGGATATGGTACATAGCCTCGCACCCGCACGCACGCCCACAGCGGTTGACCACAGGCCAGTCGTCCGATCGCTAAGACTTCAGGCATTGAGGCGGGAGGAAGGGGGGGAGGGGGGGAGGGATCGCCATGTACTGATAACAAGTGCTGATTCCTGGTGAAGGGTTGGGGTTGTCGGCTTGCTTGCGGCGCCGGATTTAGTAATTACCTCCAGTGGTTCGGAGGGGGGCAAGGCAAGGCTGATTAAGGGCGGCCTGAGGCGGCCTCGGCCGCGGCGAAAGAAAACGAAAGAAAAAACGAGAGGGAATAGAAGGAAGGGTGGGGGGGGGGGGGTAGTGGGCGGCTTGTTATCGTACATTGTACATTTTACCAGCGAAGTTTCTGTTTCTGTTTCTGCTCGGGGAAAGGAGGAAGCACGAGGAAGTACGAGGACGCAGGAGGAAGCACTTGAAGGCTTAAGATTGTCTGCGTATTGCATTTCGCAAGCAATGTGCATCGCATCAATCCACGCGTACATACGATACGTACGAGTCACGACTCACAACTGCTCTGGCTGCTCGTATGTACGGTATGCATGGGGCTGCAGTCGGATCGAGTCGAGTGCGTTGATAACTGGACGTTGAGCAAAAGAAAGTCCACGACTCGACGAGCTGTCAACTCCCCGACCGAAAGGCGGGGCACTGGGGCTGCCTATCGCCCAGACTTTCCTCACTCACTCACCCAGCAGCCTAGGTAGCTGCATTCGTCATTCGCCGCTCCGGATGATGGGCAGATCAGCGCGTTGCATTGGATCTACTACCTAGTACTAGTAAATCTACATCGGTGTATGTACGAGCACATGTAGGGGCAACGTACTCGCAGGAAGGAAGGGAGCTTGGTCATTCTGGATAGGCGGAGATATGTGTCTTCACAACGTCTCACTCATGCACGGCACCTCACGGGAGTTATTGCGATTGCGATTGCGATTGCGATTCGATTCGGCACAGTGTGCGGACTGGGCTGGATAGGGCTCGATCGTATGTGTTCCCCCGACGAGAATCCTACCATCTACCTCATCACGCATGCGTGCATTGAGTTTGAGTGGCCCCAGCTCCATCACTCGGATCCGGCTTCACCGTGCCGTTCCAGAAATAAGCTTGGGCCGCACACTGCACTGTGCACTGTAAACTGTGCAGTGTGCAGTGCGAATCGTCGGTTCCGGGAGTATGGCCTGACACATCGTCCGAACCCACCTACCGACCAACCTTCAACCACCTACCCACAACCACCCCACCCCACCAAAGCCGACAATCTTAAGAACGACCCTCGAAGAGTCGAAGCACGAGCTGGACGTTAGACGATCCCAAGCGTTTTCCCTGACGTTCAGATTATCATTGAGTGGCAATGCCTACTTACTCTAGTTTTTCATTTTTCGTTTTTCTGTTCTTGAGGGATGAGGGATGAGGGATGAGGGTGAGGGATGAACACCGAGCGGCGAACATCATTCCCGGAAACTGTAAACATCAGGTTTTTTCGTGCTGGCAACTGGAGTAGCGAGCGAGACCCGAGAGCGATAGGCATGTATGTATGCAAGGGCTTATCGCCGAGACCCGTGGAGTAACTAGAGAAGAGTAGGAATGATGGTCTTTTCATGATTTTCAGCATGTGCGTGTGCGTGTGTGCGAGAAGTAAGCGAGTGGACGAGGGCGAGGGGGGGACAAGTGCAGGAATTCTAGATGTACCGTAGTCGGTGCGAGGGGGCGAGGGCCAAGCGGCCGGTATCCCCGAGTCCAAACTTCAAAGCGGCCGTTCCCAGAGTTTGCACAGGCCAGTTAAGTGAGCACTGAGAAAGTACCTATGATGAAAACGCCTTGTTGTTTGGCCGAGGGAGGTCCTCCATTCCATCAACCACAGAATCCAGAGTCCAGACTGGCGGAAACCATCCTACCTGGGCAGGTTCCTACTCGACCGTCGACGGGGACGGGGACGCGTTGAAACTTGGAATTTTGAAATAGGCGGCCGATCACTCCGCCCCCGCCCCCGCCGCCGCGGTCGATACCTACTTAACCTACTGGGTATGATATTAGGTATGATATTAGGTATGATAGCATTCGTCTCGCCACCGTGGTCCACCGCCCTTGGGTATTCGCGCTTTTTCGGACCTACTCCCAGGGCAGTGGATCGGTGAGACGGTGAGACGGTGGGAAAGGTGGAAGCGGTGGGAAAGGTGAGACCATTAACTTGCGAACTCTGCTACCTACTACCTACAACTTGCCAGAAATATACACGGACTCACATACGCCGCTGGCGTAGGTACACAGTACACTACATACAGCGCTAGAAATGCAAATGGAAATTCTGGGAGTCGAGGCCGCCGAGCACTCTCCGCCGTTCACTGCCCACAGTCTCTCCACGGCGAAAACCTCCCGTCTGCAAGGCCGAAACCGGAATGGCCGCAACTAGAATCCAGTCTGCCAGACCAGATACCATACCAGACCAGATACCATACCAGACCAGATACCAGCCCAGCCACCAGTCCAGCCCAGTCCAGCCCAGCGTCCGATATCGATTCACCACTGACCACAGGTCCACAGATCTGTTTCGAACCGCAGCTGCATCGATAGGTACTCTAGTCTCTGGGTATATCACTCATCCCGAATTCGCCCATTCCACGATTCTGCCATACTTCCTTAGGTAAGGTAGGTATTCCGCCGCTCCAATGCGGCACGAGTGACATCCTATGATACATGGGCGAGGGAGGGGGGGGGGGGGGGGGGGCAGAAGCAACACCTCCAGAAGCAACACCTCCAGAAGCAACACCTCCAGCAAAGCAACAGCTCCAGCAAAGCAACAGCTCCAAAACCGGACGCAAAGGCAGGTAGCCTGGCAGTGGCATGGCATGGCGAGGATAGTGGTGGTGGGTGGTGGGTGGTGGTGGGTGGCGCCCACCCTTCCCCGAAACGAAAAAAAAGATGGGAGCAATTTCCACCACCACCACCACTACCACCACCACACTGTACTCTACTCAACATACCTACTGTAGCGGCTCCTCTCCCGCTGCTGGAAGACTCCCTTGCATTAGCGGCCGTTCGGATTCGGTGGGTATTTACTTGTGTACTTGTACATGTTAGCTACATCTTACCTAGATGGTTATCGGGGAGCTGTAGTTTACTCTCATACTTACTGACATAGGTAGGAGGAAGGTGTGGAACACTAGAACGAGAACGAAGCAGTGCAGTACCGTACAGTGCGGGCGAGTAGGTAGTAGGTAGTCTACCGCTATTCGGCCCCGAGCGGTTCGATCTCCCTCCCAGCTTTTTTCAAAGCCAATTCGATCAAAGGCCGTATGTAATTGTTTCGAACGAATGTGCGGAGCTCCGTTGCCAACTTACCATATGCCTCACCACGGCTGCACTCACACCACCAGCACCACCACTACAACCATAAACACCACAAACACAAACACAAACACAAACACCCAGCGCCAGCACCAGCACCAGCACCAGCACCAGCACCAGCACCAGCACCAGCACCAGCACCAGCACCAGCACCAGCACAGCTCGAACCAACGGCCGTGCTGCAGGAGAGATGCAAACAGTACTGGCAAGCGCACTGTGCACTGTGCACATCTGGATTCTGCCCCCCGTACATATCTACATCGATAGTTTCTCCACATCTCTGCCTCCGTACATACACATACGCACATAGTTTCTCCACATTTCGGGAGCCGTTCAGACTGGCTGGCTGTCGGAGCTGGAGCTGGATTTGACCGGGTAATCTTCACAGGGTGGTGCTGCTGCTGGTGGTGGTAGGTGGTAGGTGGTGGTGTGAGCAATTATTTCCCTCCTGCTCCTGCTCCTGCTGCTGCTGCTGATCCTTGTGTCATATTGCGAGTGCATATGCGGGGTATGTATGTGTGTGGAAAGAGAGTGTCCATGTATGTAGAGTAACTCCGGGTGCATTATGTAGGTAGCACTGCAGCCAGCCAGCAGGAGTTCGTTGAACGTTCATATGATGCCACCCCCCTCCACCCTCCACCCCGGGGGGCGGAGGCCCCTTTTGTTCCCGTGCGCCTAAGCCAGCGCCCGTGAAATACTCCAGACGAACTATCCATCTACTTTAGAGTACTGATCCTTCCGGAGGGAGATATATGCGAGTACCTACATCTTATCGACAGGACACTTCTAAAGTCCAAAGCCAGAATGCTTTTCACGTTTGGGCTGGTCTTGAGTTGGTTACCTACCCGACGACTCGACGACTCGGGGATCCGTAGAGTTCCCATTCCCGGCCGAAGTGCGGGGGCGGGAGAGATAGAGAGAGAGAGTCTGGAATCTGGATACCGGCGGGGGGCTCTCGGACACACTCACTCACACTCACAGCCGCCTGACGGGCAATCTGGTACCGGTATATCGCGAGGAGACTCACAACTCACGAGTCGCCACAGATCAACAGGTTTCCTTTCCTTAGCTAAGCTTGAACCGACGCGCACGTCCGGCGCTTGAATCCTCAACCCGCAAGGAAATAGAGTAACTTTTTCTCTGGGGAGGGGGGTGGAGGATCGATATCGGCACGGCGAGGACATGCAACAAGATCCAGACACGGTCACCCTGGAGTTTGGAGTCTGGCTTCCGCGGCCGGGTGGTTTCAGTCTTTCGGTCTTTTTTCCCTTTCCTTTCCTTCCTTCTTTTTCGTTCTTGGTGTGGTGTGGTGTGGTGTGGTGTGGGAGGGCGGATCCTCTAGAGGAGAGTCCATGTGTGGTACACCCTCCCTAACGAATGCTGCGCTAACCCCGACCAAGACGCGGGGTAAAAAAGACCAGCTTCTTCGCCCGCCTCGTATCCGAATTGCAAAGATTCTTGGTGTCTTCTCCCGCGGCGTTAGGTAGGAGGTCTCGCGAGTCGCCGCGTTATAGATGCGGTACTCTACTCGGGGGACTCGACATGGCTAACTAACTGGTGGTGTGCTGGATTCCGAACCCTGTGGCTTGCTCTAGCGTGTCGTGCATGGTCAAGGGATGCGCAGCGCAGTGCAAGGTTGCAGGCAAAGTGGTTGCTCTAACTATGTGGAGAAGTTACCGTACTTACCTAGAGTAGAGTGGAGTTGAGTTGAGTTGAGTCCTTAGTTGAACGGTAGCCCGAGATATGGGTGGCGAGCTATCAGAGCACTAGGCACTCTATCATACATACTGCTCTCGAAGCGATACTTTCTTTTTCGGGTTTCGGTTTTCTTTTTACTCGAGGGAGACTCGAGAGATGCACCTGACCGATGGTTGCACTGTGCATAGCGTTGTGTTGTGCGGTGAGGGACCGGAGTATGGCATTGGTAGTGGTACATATAGTAGGACGTACGGCCGAGTAATTATTGTTATTGCATCGAAACCAGAAACGTGCCTGCTCTCCGGTCAAACAAAGAAAAACCACGGACGTAAAGACTGAAGGCCCATTGACGCCAGGGGAGAATGAGGTGGAGTAGGTACTTGCGTACTTGCGTACACACCGGTGTACGCATTGTCGGTGGAGTAGGTACCGTAGGTGAAGAAGTAAGAGGTAGGTACTTGCTCGGGTACTGAGGAGTAGTTAGGTCCTGAAGGTAGAGTAGAGAAGGTAGCTCTACGGTACCTGGGAAAGTACTCTAAAGCAACAGCTCTAGTATTCGGCCTAGTCCGAATCGAAGTAAATATCGGGAATTGGAATCCACAATTGCTCCACCGAAAATCCTTGGTGAAGCAGGTGCTCGACGCTGCTGGGCTAGTCATCCGGAGCCGCTCCTCGCCTGCAAACGGAGGTTCCGTTTGCGACCTATGTAAGAGGTAAGTTAGAATGCACGATGGAGCGATTTAGTTTTAATTTAGAGTTGCCGGTTCGCCCGGCTCTTCACGAGTTTCGATGGCTGCTGGCTGACTTGACTGGCTGGCTGGTGGCTGGCTAAATGGCTGGCTGGCTGACGGTGTGTGAGTGAAGATCGAAGGAAGGAAGCCGGCATCGTGTGTGTGCATTGCGTGTGCCGTGTGCACAGTACATACGGGTACAGCATGTTTGCGCGGGTACGTAGGTTGATGATGCTGGTGATGATGCTGATGATGGTGCTGAATCATGATGATGGCTGGCGTTCACCAACAGAGTTTGGGGATGTCGGGAGGTTGACTGCATGCGCATGGACCAATGCGGCGCCTGATGGTGATGACGATGCTGCTGCTGCGGTTTCTGCTGCTTCTGCTGCTTCTGCTTCTGCTGCGGTTTCTGCAGACATCGTGATGGTGAACGGTAGGTACTCTACTCGTACACGTTCATACGGCAGTCCCCGTCCCTCGACCATGCGTAGTCTTGGATCTGGTCCTCACTCTCTCCAGGTGCGTAGTTATGTCCCCAAGTTGGCGTTGGCATGTCCTCGGAGTGCTTCGATCCACCTGGACTCCGACCAAAACCTCCCACAAGCTCAAGGCCAGGGCACAGTTCCCAATTGGAGTCCTCTGATGGCAATCCTTGCAGGAGATGCAGCACAACCGCGTCCATCCATCGTCCGCCGTGATCGTCAACTTTGTCCACCATCAGCGCGTCCAGAGAGAGACGAGCAAGATGGCCTGGTCCGTGAAGTGGCTGTTGGAGGGTATAAATTCTGCGGATGGGGTTTGGGGACTATATGATAATAGTACTCTACTCACCTGTCTCCCCCACGGTGAGTGCGAACCCCGTAGGCGTGGAGGCAGATGTATGGAGTACCTACCTGCCTACATACGCCAGATCACCGTTTTCCATGCACCTCCGAGTCGATAGAGTACTTTGACAACCATGGCAATCCGTCGCTCTTTCGTCGCTCGATCTCTTCGGGAAGCTCGTTTGCCGTCTCTGGCTGTTGTGGATAGCATGTGGTGGTAGTGATGGTGGCAATGGTCGTGGTCGTGGTCGTGGCCACGGTATTCGTGGTGGAGATATGTACCTACCACCCAGTACTTACTCACCTACTCGGACGGCCGTACGGAGACGGCATTGTATGTCGAGTACCGTAGCCACGATACCTACCATAGCTACATCGTCGTGCCTGTCCGTCCAGAACGTTCTCAGTTCTCAGTTCGGCCAGCCCATCATCTCATCTCCACACCCTTCCCTCCCTCCACACACCCACTCATACACACCCACACACACATCGTCTCTCCCGGGGGTAACCTCATCCCCATCATCCACCTCTTCGCATTCCCGCGCGCCCTTGCTTGCTTGCTCTTCTAAGACTCAGCTTCGCCCCTCCTCAGACAAATATCGTACTCATCTTCCTCCCTCAACACCCACCATCTTATCCTCGTTCCAGCTGTCCTGTCCTGTCCTGCCCTGTCCTGTCCAGTCCTGCCCGAACTCGCCCGCCCCCGCCCCCGCCTTGCCCTGCCCGCCCGTTCGTCTCGTCTCGTCTCGTCTCGACTGGCCTGCCTCACGTTCTAGGTTTGCTCGCCTCGCCTCGCGTTCCTGTCCCCCCACATTAGCCTCCGTGCCTGAATCCGTTCGCCTACTTCTTCCCCGCGCATCACTAGACAGCACCCGCCAAAAGCTTGCCGTTCTATCCCATACAGCTCCAGTGGCGCCCGAAAAGAGGCTGTGGCCTGATCGGTGTCATTCGTCGTCTCTGCCTCAGAAATCATCCCCCCCCCCCCACCCTTCCCGTATCCCTCTCCACCTCCCATCCTTCCCTCTGCTCTTCATCCCTACCTGTGCCCAGCAGCTTTTTACCGCCTGTACGATGACCTCCACCAACTAGCTTGCACAACATCATCACCACCCCTCCACCCCCTGCCCTCTCCTCTCTCTCCTGTTCTTGACTCGCCGCACGGGTCATTTTTTGTCGTCTTCAGACCGCTTTCGAATCGGTGGCTTGTTTGGCCTTATACATAACCGTCGCATCTTCGACGTCATTTATTCTCCGTTCTCCCTGCCGTTGTTGTTGTTGTTGGATCCATTGTCAGTCACTTCCCTCGAGAACGCGACGGAGGAAAGGCGCCGTTTTCGCTGTCTCGTCGCCGCCGCCACCACCTCCACTGCCACCACCGCTAGAGTGAACAACAAGAAGAAGAAGGGGAAGCAGAAGGAGAAGAAGAAGAACGAGAAGAATAAAAAGAATTTCAGCGTCCAGGAACCCCCGTAACTGAAATATACTCCCCCTCGAAGGCAGAGTTTTCTCTCACCAGACTTTCTCTCGTCCGTACCCCGTACCCCGTACATTGGCGCTTAATCTTGCTGTTGTCCGACCTCGTGGTACTCAAACATCTACGGTTCCTGTCGCAGCCTACCTGCTAACACGATGCGATTTGTAGGCTGAAAATAGCTCGGAATTGTCAGCGCTGAGAAGGCTACACACAAACCCTCCCGTATTCCTTCTACAAACCCCTCCTCGTGTGCACTGAAGGAATCTGTTGCGCTCTCTTCTCTTCGCTTCTGTCTCTCCAGAGGGTTCGACAGGGCCGCACATGCGGGAGGTGAGTTGCGCATCCTTTTAGTTAATGCACCGTTGATCAGCGAATCCTGTGCCCATGCGTGTTCCCTCCAGCTAATATTCGCAGAGTCCCTCGCGCCGTGTTTTAGACAACGAGATTGGTTGCTACATTTCCACCACCTCCACCACCTTCTCCTCCTCCCCCTCCTCCTCCCCATAATAATCGCGCGACAACGATACACACGTTCTGCCCCACCTTTCTACCCCAGCTTTCTTCACCCTTACCGGTAACAACGCAGGGTCACTGCGATACAATGTCTGGCGCGCCATCCTCAACAACGCCTCGGACCAACGACATGCCTTCCTCGGACTCTGCGCGCTCGTATCTCGAGAAAGTAGCGTCATCCCTCGCGAACAATAATCATGCATCCAACGGTGTTCATAAGGGGGTGACATTCAATACTTCCGGCGGTGGTATTCCGGACGGGGCGGCGTTCCGCCACCAGTCCCCCGAATCCGACGCGGTCACCTCGTCCGACGACGAAGAACAGAAAAACCTCGGTTTTTTCCCCAAAGGCGCAATCTCCCAATTGTCATCGAGGCGACCGTCGTATGCTGCCGAATTCCACACGAGGCAACGCACGTACTCCATCACTTCGGGAGGGCCACTGTCCCCGACTACCTCACATCCCTCGACTCCTCAGGGCGACACTGCTGCATGGGCCGCCAGCGTGTCCGGTCCCGGTGCTGGTCCCGGTGCCGCGCCGAATACCTTGGCTCCGTTCTGGGGTGGTTCCATCTGGAATCCGGACCCCTCAAGGAAGAGTCCCCCAAAGGGGCTCAATATGCCGTCGCAGCCCCCCAATGGAGTCGCACCCAATGGCCACCCTCTTTTCGTCGGCAGCGAGGCTCTCCCGAGTCCAACCAGCATGTCGGGGAACAATAACAACAACTCCGAGTTCCCCATCCCGATTCCGCTCCAACCGCAATTTAGAAACTACCGGTCCATGTCGTTCTCTGTCGGCCAAATGGATCTCGAAGACCAGACGCGACCGAGACTGTCGCCCCCCGGTATGCTCGGCAGCACTGCTGGTGGAGGTGGAGGTGGAGGAGGTGGTGGTGCTCGGCAACATACGCAACCCGGCCTTCAACACAGGCCGTCGAGACCCAGCTTACTTTCGGGCGAGCAGTTTGCCGACTCTCCCAGTCCTCTCCGGAGCGTGTTCGAGACGGAAGACGAAGAGAGCATAGGACCACTTGCTCAGAGCAGCTACTTTCAAGGCCATCAATCGGGCTATTCCAGGACCAAGTATGACCCCACACAATTCAGGGGTCGCTCTGCCTCCGCGGCCACCATACCGGCCATGCACCACCTTGGCGCCTCCGGCCATGCGCATAGAGACACCGAACGGGTAGACGAATACGAATCGGCATTGGCTGAGGAGGATGACATGGATCTTAGTCAATTCAACGAGCATCGGCGCTTCAGCGAGGCACCTAGAGCCATGAGTTCAATGTACCAGGGTGCCGAAAACCAACGTGTGGAGAACCTGCGTCAGACCTGGCAGTCAGGAGGCCTGTTCGGAGTAGGGGATTCTGGAGCTCAAAGCAGGCGACATTCATTTGCTGGACTCGGTGCGGAGTTTGGAGGCAGCGATCTTCTCGGAAAAAGAAATGTTGCCTCCGGTGAAAGTGCCCTCACGGGCAGAGGTAACTATCTGTCTCTAACAGATGTATCGGGATTTGACAATTCTCGCAAAGAACCGCTGTACGGCGGCGAGGCCAACCGCATGCAGACCCGGCAATCCTTTTCTTCGGCAAAGACTGCGATCTTGGGCCCATCTGCTGCGGCCTCGCAACCGCAGCATCATCTTCAGCACATGTCAGGATATGCGTCGAACTCCCGCTCTTCGCCTTCGCCCACTGCGCCTCATCGGGGCATGATGGGAGGGATGCCCATGCTTCCCCAACCACGCAGCCAACAACTCCTCTATTTCGTCACCTTCAAGGCGTATCGGGGCGATGTTTTCTACGTGCAGGAGGGCACTGGTCTGCGTGTTCGTGTTGGCGATCTGGTTATCGTCGAGGCAGATAGAGGCACCGACCTAGGCACCGTCATTGCCGAGAACATCAGCTGGCAGCGAGCGAAGGAGCTGAAAGAGCACTACGCGAAGGAACAGTACAGTGTCCTGATGATGTATGCATCGCGGCGACCAACCCCGGGTGCCACCCCAGCAGGTGCCAACGTCAACGGAGCCATTAATCAGCCCTTCTCGAATGGAAATTCGGGCAATTCCATGCAAGGCCACGGGCACGGGCACGGGCAAGCCCAAGAGCCTCAGACGGCGGAACTAAAGCCCAAGATGATCAAGAGACTTGCTCAGCCTCATGAGATTCAGACGCTTCGGGACAAGGAGGCGAATGAGGCCAAGGCGAAGCGCGTGTGCCAGCAGAAGGTTGCCGAACACAGACTGCCCATGGAGATACTCGATGCCGAGTTCCAAATGTGAGCATTTCCCTGACATAGCAAGCCTTATAGGATCCTAATTTTTCTGTGGGTGGGTAGGGACTGGAAGAAGTTGACGTTTTACTACTTTGCGGATTCCTACATCAATTTTAATTCTCTCGTCACGGATCTTTTCAAGGTGTATAAGACTCGCATATGGATGTCGGCCATGAATCCGGCCTCATTCGCTCATCCGGCCGGATTGCACCAACCAGGATCCGGAGTTCCGCCCAGTGGTCCGCTGGGATCAATCGTGGAAACCTCCAACGATGTGCTCCACACACAGTACGGAAGTCAGGCGCAGGCCTATCCGGCGTATCAGACAAGCTCAGCGGGCGGCTTGATGGGAAATGCTCAACGCGGTGGCCCGCAGCAGCCCACTCTGTCACAGCAGCAACAGCAGCAACACGGGTTCCCATCCCGCAATTCCCCGGGCGCCTCCGATTTTAATCCTCAGAATGGATACAATCCGGCGTACTTTAGTGGCCACTCCCAACAAAGCCCCTATGATGGGCATGGGCATGTGCACCACGGACATGGGCACGGGCACAACGGTGCTGGCGAGGTCTGGATGGGGCTCCAGGGACTTTCCCTCAATTCTCATTAATACCTCGCTTTTTTCAGTCAGCTTTTTTCTCTCGCCCGGGTGTGATCTGGGTATAATCGGTTTTTTTCCTGCCTTTGGCTTCAACTACGTCTTCTCCGCGGTGTTTATGATTATTACGGGTCGAGACAGTACATTCGTTATATGCCCCTTTGCATTTCATCAGTTCCTATGGCATTTGGTGTCAATTCTTTCTGCATACTTATGTTCAAGATTGGAAACCCGAGAATTGGAGTTTGTCCTCGTTTTTTTTTCTCCTGCGTTATGTTTTTTTTCTCCTACAGGTTACTGTACTTATTGCGGTGGGAATTTCCTCGTATACACCCAAGTTGTCTCACTCTTCCTCTACTCAACTGTCATCCTTTTTCTTTTTCGCGTTTTATACACAAGCCAAAGGCCGCCTGGGTTTTCTTTTTTTGCTCCACAATATCTCTTTTGGTAAGCAGGGTAGATTGGTTGGGTACTTGTTTTTTCTTTCTGCGGGACCGATACTTATGGGCGGAAGAGGATGGGGGCGAGGGAGCACGATCGGTATCCCCTGATGTGCGCAGCTCTTTCTAGGGTCTGGGATAAACGGGCAGAGAGTATCGTTTCTTGTATTTTTTCATTTTTTTCGTTTTTGCTTTGCGGGTAGAATGGGGGCGGAATACTTGATTTGCTTTTTTTTTTGAACTATGTTCCCAGTTTGTGTAAACCATTTCGTATGCTTGGTACTTGGTATCTTACTTTGTTGATTTCTTGAGAGCTCTAGGGGTTACATGTGTGGGGGAAGAAAAAATACGTCTAAGAATTTGGGGAAGATTTGTTGTGTTGCGGTCTGCATAATGAAGGACAGACTGGTCGGAAGTTGGGAGTTACATATGATACTTTGTCTTGCTTTTTTCGAAGTTCTTTCTTTCTTTCTTTCTTTCTTTCGTGCTTTTCCCTGTTCCTGTTCATGTTCCTGTTCTTGTTCCTGTTCCTGGGCGTTCTACTTATACTTCTCATACTCATGCTTCCTTCTTTCTTTCTTTTTGATCTACTTTTACGCACGCACGCTCGTACAACTCTCTGCTCTCATATGTTTTCTGTTTCTGTTGCGCATACCGGGACCGCAGCTGCTGGATTCAGGTACCTATCATACACTCGTTAACGTTTTTTCTCTTGCAAGTTGCAATACAATGACCGAAAGCCGATGGGGTTTACTACCCGGGTTACCGTTTGATACTTCTTCATCCAGTGAATTGTTTCGTTTCGTTGGGGGTGGTGGGTTCCACTACATTGCATTCGACTGTTTCCGATGTTGTATAGGATGTAGGTACATAATGTGGTCTACACCAGACAACTGAACTATGGTGGCCCGTCTCCTCCGATTCCACTGATTCCCCCGGTTCCTCCGGTTCATGCTCGGGGTGTTATACTCCACCGCGGCGTGCTCGGCCCGCTCCCCGCTGGGGCGCGCCGAGGTGAGAATTCCATATCCCATAGCCCACAGCTCCACACCGCCCCAGCGGGTGTATGGGAGTATGGGAGTATGTATGGGAGTATGGGAGTATGTATGGGAGTATGCTTGTGTGCATAACAATCGCAAGGGAAATTGCAAAGGGGATTGCAAAGGGGATTGCAAAGGGGACTGGCACTCGTATACTTGCATTGCCCCTCCTGAGTCCTTGTCCGCCGTGCTGGATGATGACCCGCTCGCTCGCCATTCCCTCTGAACCCACGGAACCTTTCCGCTAGACTTTCCAGCTGACCGTGTATCTACTTTTCTGGGACAGGCCGGGGCGGAGGGCAGGGAAAGCCACATCGGGCCGCTCGATGCAAGTCGGGTTGGACAGTGGCGTGGAAACGGCGGGGGTGAAACGGGGTGAAACGGGGTGATATCGCCATGATCTACATAAGTCGCATGAAATCAATGAATGAACAAAAAAAAGGGACCTTCCAGCTGGATGTTAATGCTGGTGTTCAATGCTTCCGATGAGCTCACCCCGTTCCGACTTTCACGCCCAGGTCTGCTCCGTGGTCGAGTGGTGCTGACCGGGGGGAGGTCCGAGGGGTGATGGCGCGTGATCCGGCCGGTGTGCTGTGTGCTGTAGTTATGCTGTGCTATGAAACGCAGGCTCGAGTTCCTGACTCCTGAGGTATTTTTTTCTATCTCTCTCTTCTCGAGAAGCTCATTGTTTCCCTTTCGTACCGAGGCTTCCACAGGCTTCGACTCGATGATTGAATTCCAACCGTCGGAATCCTCCGGTAACCCCACCGCCCCCACCAATTCGTCGCTCACCGAGCGACGAGCGACGAGGTGTGTCTGGTGTCTGATGTCTGCCCCTTCCGGCAAAACTCAATGCTCAAAGCTCGGTGTTGTTCGGGGAAGTACGGGTACGGGTACATATACGGGTACATACAAGTACGGGTGGTTGGAGGAAACTGGGGTGTGGAAGATATTCCTTCGTGAAGTGAAGCATACAGATGTCCTTCCATATATGATATGCCATCAGCTACCTACCTACATAGATAGATTGTCCCACCAGGGCATTAGTCGTGTCAATTGTGTGAGCTATGGCTGTAAATAGTGTGACAAACATTGCGATTTCAGGTTACCTACTTACTCACGTACTTCTGGATAGGTATCTGATATTCGACATGAACAGCGTTTGACTGTGGTTGGTAGGTAGAAGGCAAGAATCCATCTTCCGACAAGGACTTAGGAGATGGCAGCTTTTGCGACTGTCCGTACCATCAATCCCATCTGCTTTCCTCCTCTTGGCTGGCTGGCTGGTTGGCAAGCATGCGGTCCTTCTCCATGTATGCCTTCATCCTCTCCTCGAGTAGGTATGCATGTAGGTAGTTTTATCTCCTTCCTCAACACATATGGGCATCTACATAGGTAGTTCTTCCCGTCCCCGTCCCCGCAGAGACATTTCGGCCGGTGCGGAAGGACGAATACGATGATCAGGCGAATTCCTAGAAGTTGCATCACCCGGCCAGCGTCATACCACTCCTTCGGTATATATGTCCGGCTCCGGTTCCGCACATTTGCACATTTGCAACATCCGATTCGCCCGTAATAGGCTATCTTCCGAACACGGTTCCCAGCTCGAGCGAGCGAGGCCGTGGGCCGTTGGTCGACGGAGACGTCTCCGCAGAACCGAAACACCATCCGGGTGCTGACGCGGCCGACACATCCGAGATGCTGTGCCGGTCTTTGTGCTGGTACAGGCCTTACCGGCTGGGCCGTTCGACGGTCCGCAGCCGTGACTCATTTATCGAATCACCGTCGAGGAGTCGAGGAAGGCCGGGGGAGGTCGGAATCTACTGCCAGTGGGCTACTTGCGAGTACATACATGCATACAGCAGTAATCAGTGCCGTCCTCCGTGAGTCGGTATGTGGTCGAGTGATGGCAGCTTACAGCTTCGGAGGAAAAGTACCGTATGTAGTTTGCTCCTGAGTCCTCCCTTGCTTTGCTGGAGCCTGGAGTGGATAGGCTCAGCTGGCAAGATGACGAGTCAATACCGGTAGTTACTGGTTATCCCTTGAGCGCTGACGGCGGCGGATATCATGGTATGTGCATACGAGTATACTCGGAAATTCCGGAGGTGAGCTACAGCCTACCAGGTATGTACCTACCCTCTTTGAACGGAGTTTGGAGCTTAGAGCTTGGGGCAAAGAAAACCATGCCACCGAGACCGAGAAGACGCGGATAAGTAGTACGGGAGGAGTATGTTACATAACCTCGTTGCCGCCGTGAAGTTTGAACACGGAGCGAAGTTCACGATTCGCAGAGCATTGTTTGCACGTACGTACAAATGTACGAATATCCTGGGTACGCCGACGATGCCCTACCCGTCACCGGAGATCTAGAACAGCGGCACATACCTACCGGTAGGTACTAGTTAGTACCGGTGGTTAGAACCGATAAGTAGCTGGTCTAACGATTCCCGGTTTATTTACCGTCCGGTTCCTCCGTCCCGACCGGATCGGCCCAGGTCCGAGTCATGCGGCGGAGTCGACGCCGCAACCGCAACCGCCAAACCGCCGTCGGTGCGGTGGCCTCGTAGACGCCCAGCGCGTAGGTAGGTGAGTGGGTAAATAGCCCCTTCGTGTGATCAGTGACAGTGAGTCCGACCAATCGCGGACCGCATCTTGGATTCTTGGCCCATTTACTCATCTTCTCACCCACTCACCTACTCACCAACTCACCTACCCACATAACTACATAATACATACCGGTACCTACCGCACGCCGAGACGGCCCCACAGAGCGGTATGATATATACCCACCAAAGCCTCCCTTCTCCCTCTTTCTCTGCACCTCGATCCTTCCCCTCTCCCCTGCGTTTAGCGACTTCGCGTGTAGGCATTGTACTTATACCTATAGATGATACATCTCTACCGCCCAATTGGGCGGCCGGAGCACTGCGCACTCTACTCCTCATACATACTCTCTTTAGCGGAGGTATTCCGGCCGTGCAGATCCGGGGCCGCCGGGGCAGCCGGGGCACCCGGAAGGAGCGCACGTGGACGTTCGACATGTTCTGTGTAGAGTACCGCCCAGTGTCCCGGGAGATACGGAGGCGGAGGACCGTCGCGAACTGAGCTGGGCTGGGAAACAATGGGCAGGACCTCCGGAATTCTGAGTGGTGAATGGTGAAACTTGAAACACCGGGAGCTGTTGCGGAGGCCTGCGGGACTCGGGAGGCGTGGGCTATCTATAGAGGACCCAAGACTCAAGTACTCTAACTAGAGTCTACAGGTACTCTATCGTGGGCACTGGCCCGGTAGGTACGGTATGTATCTTCGGTACCTAGGCCATCTAGTTATCTGCCTACCCCAGCTATGTACATACTATAATTCCCTACGGCCATCCTTCTGCCCATCTGCCCGCCCAGTTGATTCCCCTGCCGCCACTGTCACCCTCTACTCTCGAGTATGTGTGTATGGATGTACGGTACCTATAATGTAATACCCAGATACCCAGATGCTCTTCGGATCGGGAATCGGGATGGGTATTTTTGGTGGGACAGAATCCTAGATACCGACTTCTGAGTATGTAGTCCACTATACACACCTGGCTGAAAGCCGCATGGGGGGCCGGAGTCCGTATTCGCGTTCGAAGAGCGCGAAAGTGGCGCTCCTCGCTCGGCGTCCAATGAGCGGTCCCGGATGAAGCCTCACAGCAACCTCAGGAGCGGAAGACTGTGGAGAATCCTGGCTACTCCACACTGCGCTAAAGGCCTGCTAACCACTCTACCTTTGCTAGGTAAGTCCTCATAGAGTAGAGTAGCCTGGTAGGTAGATAGCCCGCTTCCATCCGAGAGATGCACCAACCAGCGCTCGATCACTCTAATAGTTATCATATGTGTGTATGTAGCACATACCAGGGAGCCACACGATGAAGGGGAGAGGCATCACGACACTGCCGGCGTGCCCGTTTCATTGCATACCGTACTTAGGTAGCTGCGTATTTGCTTTTGTCCCCCCATCGGCGTCATGTCTTTTTTTGCCCTGAGCAGTGGTGGCATCTTCTCTTCGCCTGGCTGGCTGGCTGGCTCGTTGGATGCTCTTCTCTTCTGTCGCTGTGGCCTCCGTTCCCCTTAGTTCGTTACATACAAGCCAGTCCCCACCCCCCCGGGCCCCCCAGTCCCGCCTTCCACGAGCTGAGAGAGAGCAGTGGACCCGTTATCACTTCACATTTTCCCGCGATCGCCTCACAAGACCACCCACGAGCCGGAAATCAAGGGTCTTGCCAACCGCTGCCCCTCGTTGTCGTCGGCTCTCAGTGCCGCTATTCCCCACCCTTCTCCCTATCCTCGTCCTCCCCGTCCTCCTCCTCGTCTTCCTCGTCCTCGTCCTCTTCGTCCTTTTCCACGTCCTCCTATTCATCCTCCTCTTCGTCCTCCTCGCCCTCTCCGTCGTCCTCGTCCTCGTCCTCCTCCTCCTCGTCCGTCCTCGCCCTCGCCCTTGTCCTCCTCTTCGATCCTCTCTCTACGTCTACCGCCATTACCGGCTATTGTAAACACTTCTAGCATTGCCGTCCTGCTTCGTCCTACCAACGTCCTCCACGCCCTCCTCATCACATCAAAATAAGAAGGCGCGCCGATCCCCCGACGGATACAGTAAACCGTAAGACGCTTGGTTACGCAAACTCACGAGATACCATCGATTCACCGGGTTTGGCCTCGGAGTGAAGCTGGCGGGGCGATATCAACCTACTACTCACTTAGAGCTACATACACCATCCCGCCAAAATTAAAAATTAAAAATTAAAAATTAAAAAAATTCCCCAGGTTTGTTTTCGACGGTTCGTCACATCTGTTCGGCCCAACGTCGCTTGTCCGGTCCGTTCCGCAGAAACGACCCAGTCAGACCAGCTCATCGGTAACGGCGCGCTTGGATCTCGCTCGGCAAGGGAAAAAAAACACCGAGACCACAGCACTGGTAGCTGGTAGCTGAGAAAACTGCTAGGAGTGTTCGCAGCTATCGCCTGCGGTTTTCCGGTGTGCGTGTGCCACTGCGTTGCGTTGCGTTGTTGCGTTTATTGCCAGTCGTTGGCCCTTGGTCGTGGTGGTAGTGGTGAGAGATATACAGAGAGAAAGTCGAGCGCTCGGACTGCAAAACCCGCCATCATATCATACCCACCCTCGGTTTTGAAAAGGACGGTGGTGGCGTGGTTGAAACGCCAGCTGGCTCACGAGGCAAGTGTCTCTTCTTTTCTTTCCTCCGCCCCGACCTCCTCCAGTGGACAAAAGTGCATGAATATAAAACGGACGATGGTATTGACTTTTCCGCCCGTACAGTGCCATCCCGTAGTTCACGGTTCCTGCGGTACTAAGCCATCCAACAAAAGTTTCCCGAAGTTCGAAACAACCTAAAAAAATATAATGATCACCGCATCAGGGGCCGGTGCGGCCTTTATAGCCGTGCCGCCAAAGAGACTAAAGCCAAAGCCCAAACCCAAGGTCCCACCACCGCCATCGTCCTCGTCGTCGTCGCAGTCTCCATCCTCTGTCCGCCGAGATTCCTCCGCCACCAGTTCGACAGCAAGCAGACATCCCCTTTCCAATACCCCCGCTTCTCCCACACCGTCAACATCGTCAACACGCTCGCGACACGTCGATCCAGCACTCGCAATTGAGTCCCTGCTCACGAGATCACGACTGTCCACATCCAGTCACTGTCCGACCGCGTCATCGGGCCCAGGCTCACTCCTGGAAGTTGGGATAGAAGAGGACGAGTGGACAAGGGGCTTTGTCACGGGAGACGACTTTCTGTCGAGCCTTTGCCAGGAGGACCCAGTCGTCTCACCCAGGCCTTCGGCATACATAGCAGCCGGAATCAAGGTCAACAGTCCCAGTGGCAGCAGTACAAACACCATACGGGCCGCCTCTGCCTCCGCCGCTGCAGATAGCCCCCCAACAGACGCGCCTGTTTCCGCTGCCAGTTCCAGTGGACCCCGAAAGCTGCGACGTCCCAGGCCCAACAGCCACCCTTCCTCGTCGCCATCGTTATCGGCACCAACGGAAGACTTGATAGAGTCATCGAAACCGTCGACGGCACACCACGGGCTGGGAATATCATCGTGGAACTTCGGAGGTGGGAAAGCGCCACGGTATGGTGAACGGCGACTGTGCAAAGATTCCGGTAAAGTGCGTCTACCGCCGCATTTGTTCGGGTTTCCCCCCTCCTCCCTCCCTCCACCCCCCACCCTCCAATGCGACCATGAGTGTTGACCTTCGGTGACCCCCTCCCCACAGATGTCTACTGTCCGCGATATAAACATAGCCGTCGTCGGCGCGGTGGGTGTGGGGAAGACGACTTTCATAGAAAGGGCATACGATTTGCCAGCGCCGGCGAGACACGGCGACGTGCACTCGCTGGCCATGGTGATGGACCGAACACCGTGCAGTGTGAGCTTGGTGGAGGTTGATTGGAACAGAATCGACTTCGACAAGGAGCAGATGCAATGGCCACGGGTGAGTGGGCTTGGTCCGGTGAACATGGCGTTCCGCACAGCTGCATCTGACACAGACGAAAAGGTAGCGGATGGACAAAGGATACCATTCATCGATGGTGTTCTGCTGCTTTTTGACCCGACAACCCCTCGGACAGTCGACAGATTGACCGAATGTCTGGGTGAGTTTGCCCCGCACGTCCCGCACGTCCCGCATCCCGCGTCCCCCCCCCCCCCCCCCCCCCCCCCGCTTATGAGGAGAATACGATTACTGATGTCACTATCAGAGGCATTCGATACGGCCCAACTTCCTGTCTGCCTGGTCCGGACTAAATGTGACGTCTACGGGCCAGCCGCAGCGGGTGTTGCAGCAATAATGGGCGACGGGTACGACCACATGCAGAGTTCTGTCACGGCACACGATAGCCAGAAAAGGTGCATGGCTGCAATATTGTCCCTGATATCACGTCGGAACGGTTGGTCCTCAAGGAAGCTTTCATATTCATCGTTTCTCGTTTATCGCCAATCCGTACCCCTCCCCTTTTTTTTTACGAGATGTTGTGAGGGGAGGTGAGCTGGCCCCTTCCCTGTACAGACTACAGTGGGCCACACTCTGTACCACTTTCCGGATCAGCATGGGGGTGAGTGGGCCATGCAACAGACAGCCAGGGCGTGGAGGCTCCCCTACCAGCCGACGATCGCCACGAGTTCCCTCCACATGGCATGCGCTGCACTTCCTCTCCGACCTCGTTCTCCCGTCGACAGTTGACATTTGCTCTGTTATTATTTCACTCCATCTGACCGACCGCTTCAATGCTGACGGGTAAACGCGTCTTGCCAGAAAAAACCGGATCCCCGCGGTACCTAAATGGTCGGCGACGCGCCAACTCCTCGGCCGCAAACAGCCGAGCTGCTTCTCCGCGACCCTCGACGGGCCACAACCGTGCCAGTTCCGAGTTCTCTTCAACATTCCTAAAGGACGGGTCGGATGCAGGCTCCATACATGGTGCCAGACTACAGAGGCCACCCACTGGCACGGCGCTGGGTCAATCGTCGAGCAACTCGGGCCCCTCTTTATTGCCCAACCCCCAAGCCGTCGAAAACTCGAGGCAGCAGAACTCGAACTCGAACTCGAACTCGAGCTCGAGCGTCGCACCGCAAATCACTCTGAGTAGTTCCGGACAAACGCCGTTCTCGGAATCCGTGCAGAGTCCGTTCATCATGCGCAAGACATCCAGCCAGAGCTCCTTGGGCGAGTCCGAAAGACGGCATTCCTACATAGATACGGACGACGAGAGTACGGACTACAAGGATCCGGACGACATTCCGATCCTTGATCGCGAGGATGGACTGGACGAGTTGGAAGAGGAAGACAAGCCTGCACCGAATCGGGGATGGACGTGGGATGAACTCGTTAATCGTCTGTTGAGCCAGCCCATGTCTCGGAGCGATCAGACCTTCGTCGTCATCTTCCTATGCTTCTACCGCAAATTCGCATCGCCGCGAGAGCTACTCGGCGCCATCCTCGAGAGATTCCGCGCTTTGGACACGGAGGAGAAGATACGGGCCCATCGAATAGCAGCGCAACTCCGGTATTGCAACGTCCTCCATCAATGGGTCACATCGCACTCGGTCGATTTTGCGAGCTCCAAGACCAGGTTGCAGATGCTAGCATTCCTGGATTCGATCAGCACAGACCGGAGCTTGGCTCTGTTGACCACTGATATGACGAAGAAGCTCCAGGGACTAATCGAGGATGAGGACGAGACTTGGGGAAGGACCGATGCCGAGTTGGATAGGAAAGCTAGCCTTCGGAGCTTTCTGACGACTTCATCAGCGACCTTCCCAGATAAACCGTGGAAGCTCTCACTCGACAACCCCGCTACGCTCCAGGTCCCGGGATCAGATAAACGATGCTCCGACCCTAGCGATGCTGCATCCGTTATGGGATCACCCATGGGCCTTGTGATCAGCAGAACCGAGTCCCTACCACCCCCGGCCACCGGCTACCTTAGGGCGGGGTGCCAGTTCGAGCTCTTCATGTCGATTCCGGTATCGGAGGTGGCCTGCGAGCTTACAAGGATCGATTGGAACGAGTTTTCGAAGATCAGACCACGCGATCTGGTAAGGCACATCAGCGTTTCGCCGGAAAGTCGGGAAAACTCGCCGAACCTAGCGTGCGTCAACAACATGATTAGCCATTTCAACCACGTTGCCCACTGGGTGGCTAGCGTCATTCTCGAGAAGGCCAAGCCGAAGCATCGAGCCAGGGCGCTGGAGAAATTCATGGAGATTGCTTGGGTACGCATCACATGTTGCATCGTCCCCCTTGACATCCACGATCGATGCTGATGATACCTGCTCTTCCCTACAGACGTTGCGACATCAAAATAATTACAATTCGCTTGGCGCCATCATCGCTGGAATCAACGGTACCGCCGTTCACCGACTGAGTGCGACTCGAGAACTAGTTAGGCCGGAGATCCACAAGAACTTTATGCGGCTGGAGCTATTGATGGGAACGCACAAGAGTCACAGTAAATACCGACTGGCCTGGGAAAACACAACGTCCGAGAGAATACCGTTCCTTCCGTTGCACCGGCGCGATCTGGTATCGGCAGAAGAAGGGAACAAGACGTTCCTACAGGACGGTGAGAAGATCAATTGGAGTAAATTCCAGGTCATGGGCGAAGTCATGATGGTGCTCGTAAAGGCCCAGGCCTCGCCGTACAAGGACTTGGTGGGTAACTCAGCAGTTGATAGTATGATCAAGAGCGCCGCTACGACAATGAACGATGATGTATGATCGCACACCCACTCTCTCCCTCTCCTCCCTTCGCGCGCTTGGCCTCTGGGACTGATGATTTTCGACACAGGACTTGTACGAGCGCAGTGTTCAACTGGAGGGCTCCGCTGCAGCGGGCTCAAACAAACCTCGACGGAACTGGTTCCAGCTCAAGACGAACATTGACCAGCGGTGATGACGGCTTTTTTGTTTTCCATCTTCCATCTTTCTCTCTCGCATTTTGTTTCCTCTAGGTGCCATAATGATTTTGGGAATTTTCGCAGGCGTGTGTTTTTTTTATTTTGTCGTCATTTGTTCGCTTCATTCATGTTGCTTGCTTGTTTTGCTTTGCTATTCGGATTCCGGTTGTGATACCTACTTACCTAGCCCTATTATCTTTCCGTTCTCCTCCTCCCCCTGGCCCTGGGCTCGGCGTTCCTTCTGCTGTGCTTCTGCTGTGATGTATTTGCTTTCGGCTGGTTGGTTGGTTGGTTGGTTGGTTGGTTTGGGTATCGATCGATTGATCACATCTACTCGTACTCTCGCTGTCCGTATGATACTGTCCGTACTGTCCATTGTCCGTTGTTCGCGTCCGTCCGTACCCATCCCAGTTTATATTTACCTTTTATGTGCTCGTTGATTTTTTTGCAAAGAAAAAGGGAGGAGGACGGACGGTGTGGATTGGATTGGATTGGGAAGGGAAGGGAAGGGAAGGGAAGGGAAGGGAAGGGAAGGGAAGGGAAGGAAGGGGAGGGGGCGTTCTATCTGGTGTTTTTTTTTCTTCTTTCTTTTCGTTTTTTCTTTTTTTCTTTTTTTGGACAGAGTTGGGGAATTGAAGTTGCTTATGAATCATGATATACCGTTTGAGATATACCGGTTGAGATCTAGGTACTCTATGTACTCTGAGTATGTAGCAAATATGTAGGTGACGGTGACGGCGGCAGGGGAGGGAGGTGGGGGGGGGGGGGGGGGGGGGGGGCGGGGTGGCTTGTGTGTCTTTTTTTCTTTTCTTTGTGGGGGGTGAAGAATGGAGAATGGAAATCAGAATGGACATCATGTGCAGTTGAGTTGCGAGTTGCGAGTTACGAGTGATGATGGCCGAGTGATGATGGTCGTGGATGTTGATGTAGAATGTGAGATTGCTCGAAGTATCATAATTGAGTTGATGCTTCAACCCCCACCCACTATCCATAAACATCACCCACCATTCAGTCCTCATTCGTAACGCTGAAATTCGCACCCTCGGATCTGGTCGCACGAGATGAGTGAGATAGTTACGGCTCATCTACAAGAGGAGAAAAAGTCACACGTATAATTAAGCACCTAAGTACCTGTCACCAGCGATGTCAAACAAACAAACAGCAATTGATATATCTAGCAAACACCATACTACCTACACAAGTACATAACGATGACAAACCCCACAGCCCACCAGCAGCAGCAGTAGCAGCGAACGAGCGAGACAACAAAATCCAAGAACTCCCAATAGGATAGGTACCTGGTATGTACCCAACAAAACCAGACAACACAACACACACAACACACGCTCAGATCTGCATGAACCATCCCTTCTCGCCCTCCTCCGGCTTGACATAGCTCCTTTTGACGATATCGTCAGCGCACGACAGACGGATCCTCTCCGGGGTGGCGGGGGAAACGAGTGACAGCAGCTCGTGGCAGCCATGCTCCCTTCTCGCCGCCTTCAGCGCGTCCCTGATGGCAAAGAACACGGCGCTGGCCATGAACAGCGGCGGCTCGCCGACGCCCTTACTGCGCTGGATGGTCTGCAGGTTTTTCCACTCGACGTCCTTGAGGAAGCTGACGTTGAACACCTGCGGGATGTCTCTGAAGCCGGGGATCTTGTATGTGCCGGGCCCCTTGGTGGCGATGTTGCCGGTGTTCCGCAGCCACAGCATCTCCTCGGTGGTGAACAGGCCCTGCCCCTGGATGAATGCGCCCTCGATCTGGCCGTAGTCGATGGCCGGGTTGATGCTGCGGCCGATGTCCATCTTGATGTCGGCGCGCAAGCACGTCCAGTCGCCGGTTAGGGTGTCGATTTCGACTTCGGCGATCGCCGCGCCTTGCGTGAAGTAGAAGTACATCAGCCCGACGTTGGGACCCCACGTGTAGCCGATGTCCGGTGTCTTGTAGAAGCCGTTGGCACTGAGGTTCACACGGTCAAAGTAGGCGGCTTTGGCGAGGTCCTTCATGGTGGCGTCCGGGCCGAGCTTTTCGCGGTAGGGCTGGAGGCGCTCGTTGAGTTGGACGCAGGCGTTGTGGATGGCGTAGCCGTTGAGATCACTCGAGGCCGAAGCGGCGGTGGAGGATGTGTTGGCGACGGTGTTTGTTGCCGTCTCCGAGATGAAGACATCGTCCATAGAGATACCGAGGGTTTCCGCGGCCACCATAGTCATCTTGGTGTGCAACCCTTGACCCATCTCAGTACCGCCGTGCGCCACGAGCACCGAGCCATCGTGATAGATATGCACCAAAGCACCGGCCTGGTTGAGGAAGAGAGCAGTAAAACTGATTCCAAACTTGGTGGGAATCAAGGACAAGCCCCTCTTCTTCCACTTGTGGGTCTTGTTGAACTCGTCGACGGCTTGTCGACGAGCATCAAAGTCGGCCTCTTCTTTGATCTGGTTAACCATCAGAGGAACGTGGTAGTCCACCAGCTTTTGGTTGAAATGCGTCAGATCGCCCTCATGGTAATAGTTTATTTCCTTTTTTTAACAAGTCAGCTCCCATTTCCATACATATCACACAAGTAATCTTACCCTCAGCTTGTCAACGGGAATATCCAATCGATCTGCCACTTCTTCCATGTACGACTCGGCGATAAACATTCCCTGAGGCCCACCGAATCCGCGGAATGCTGTATTCGATACCGTATTGGTCTTGCACGGCCGTCCTCGCACGTCGACATTGGGGATATTATAGCAATTGTCGATATGCGACAAGGCACGATCCGAGACAGCGGCGGAGAGATCTTGCGTCCACCCCGCATTACAGAAAACCTCTGCATCCAGGGCAACGATCTTTCCACTGTTCATGACTCCGACCTTCCAGTGGCCCAAGAATGGATGCCGCATACCGGATGTGGCGATATCGTCGTCTCGGTTGAGCATACATCGGACGGGACGTTTGACCTTCTTTGCAGCAAGGGCAGTGATACCGGCAAGCTGAATTGACCTGGTCTCCTTTCCTCCGAAACCACCTCCCAGACGCTTCACCTTGGCGACGACCCTGTTGGCCGGAACACCGCAGACCTGCGCAACGTACGTCTGTGTCTCGGTCGGATTCTGCGTGCTGCTCCACACTTCAATTTCACCGCCCTCGGGCTTGGGGATGACAGCGACGGCTTGAGTCTCTAGGTAGAAATGTTCCTGTCCGCCCATCCTCGCCACTCCACTGAAGACGTGATCCGCCTTGGCCATAGCCTCCTCGATCGGATCACCACGCCGGATGTACCGGTAGTGCTGGAAGAAACTCTCCTGCTCGATTGCCTCCTCGATGGTGAAAATTGCCGGGAGCTCTTCGTATTCGATTCTTACCGCACGAGCACCAGCGGCAGCTGCTTCCTGCGTCTCGCCGAGGATCATCCCGATGGGCTGGCCCGCGGTAAAGACCTCATCGATCGCGAAGAAAACCTCGTCGCACATTGGCGCACCCCACCAATTCGCCTCCGGCGATGGCAGGTCGGTGTGATCCACGTAAGACACAACGCCAGGAAGCTCCAGGGCAGGGGTACTGTCGACGCTGAGGAGTTTTGCGTGGGCCCTGGTACTCAGCACGAGAGCGCCGTAGAGCTCGTTCACGGCCCGGGGAAGGTCATCGGTGTACTGCGCTTCACCGGTCACCTGTTTCATGGCGGCAACATGCTCCTTTGACTGTCCGATGACACGCTTTTTATAGGCCTGAGCAGTGTCGTGATCCCGCTTGCCGGAAGAGATGCCTCTCGAGATCTCGGACACAAGATCATCCGCCTCGGAGCTGGTGCCCTTGACATCTGCAACCGTGTCGTGCCAGAATCGGTAGAAGAATCCAAAAGCGAGTGATTTCCTGTAGACAGCCATTCCACCCGGGACTCCGTAGCTCAAGGGGAAGTCTTGTTCCAAGGCATTCATAGCGCCCTCGAGGACCTCTAAGCTGCCCCATTCTTTGCCCACCAGGAACTCCATTGTCTTTTTGGCCTGGACGGTTGTCGGTGCCATACCTCCGTATGCGAAGTTCACGGACTCCACCAGCCCTGCATCGTCGAGCGATACCCGTAAGGCGGCGGTGACAATGGCGATGTCGTCGTCCTTCCGCTTTGATTGTTTGTATGCACGCAGGTATTCGCCTTTCTCCTTGGCTACAGGTATTCTAATCTCCGCAATAACAGCATCTATCGGGAGGGCAGTCATCCTGTATCCCTTGAAAAACTCGCCCATGGAAATCATGGTTTCCTTCTCGAGGCTTTTCGTGATGATGGTGCTGTTCGTGGCCAGGAAAACCGGATTGAGATCGGAGATGGGAGACGCGGTAGCAAGGTTTCCTGCGGGCGTGCCCACGTTCCTGATCTGCCGTCCAGCAAAATACTCAAGCTGCTTGAGAATAGCTTTGAAAGGTTGTCCCTTCGCCGCTCCATATTTCTCGATCGCCTGTCTTGCAACAGCCTCGAGATCGGTGAGGGTGATGTTCCCGCCAATCGATAGATACTCATCCTCGAATGAGAACCCCTTCAATTCTGGAATATCGCCGACATACACCGACACCGTGTACTGTATATGCTTGAACTTGATCTCGATTTGGGTCTCCGAGGAACCGCCAATGATCTTTGCCGACGGCAGCGCCGCCTTGAGCTGCAGCAGCTGCTCTAGCGTCATGGGCCTCAGCCACTTCTTCCTCTTATTTCCGAAAGCCAGCGGCTTGAACTCGTGTTTTCGCAGCGCCGAGGGGAATATCAACTCGGTCTCGGGATTGTACTCGATGAATCCCGGCGGTGTGAACTTCTTCGTGATGGGCGCCTCTGCGATTTTATTCTTGCAGCAGCCCGCTGGCGGCTCCCCGTCTTTGCCCTGCATGCAGCATCCTCCGTCCGAAGGGCCGCATGCCTTCTTGGGGGTGCTGGAGGAGGTGCTGAATGTCTGCGCTGCGTCAAGTATAGGTCTGTAGCCCGTACACCTGCACAGGTTTCCATCAAACGCCTCTTCGACATCGGTTTCGGTAGGTTCGGGGTTATTCCGCACGAGGGCATATAGACTCTGCGCAACGCCATGTCAGTACCTGCCACCCTCAGCTCCACGCCCCGCCCCGAGCCGCGGTCCGACTCACCATTACTATTCCCGGCGTACAGAAGCCACATTGGGATCCGTGCATCTTTGCGATCCGCTCCTGCACGGGATGCGGCTTGGCCGTGTTGCCGATTCCCTCCACGGTGATGACATGCTTTCCGTCGACACTGACCAGCGGCGCCAAACACGCATTGACCGAGGCGTGGTATATCTTCTTCGTCGTGGGGTTGTATTGCGAAACGACCTGGCACGGACAAGTTCGACATCGTCAGCCCCCCACTCCCCAAGCCAGGAATTGCTACCATCACTATCGGCATGTGGGTGGATTGATAGATACGCACCACAGTACAAGCACCGCAGCCGCCCTCCGCGCACCCCAATTTCGTCCCCGTCAATCCGATACCTCGCAGGTACTCGAGCAGCGTGACCTCCGGGTCGATGGTATCGATCTCGACCTTTGTTCCGTTGAGGTAGAAGCGTAAGGTGTCGTCCCAATCGGCCACGACCGATGCCAGGGCCGAGAACCCCTCCTTCGCCACCGCCGGTTCCGGGCTCGCGACGACGACGACGCCTGGTGCCATGGGTTTTAGGTTTCTTCCGTGTGTTTCGTGATGGAGTAGAGACGGTTCTGGAGGTGAGAATGCGAGTAGTTGGATTGTAGGTTGAGGGCTGATGGTGGACCAGTGGTGGCACACGCCGCTATGCTGTGGATGCAGCTGGTAACTATAGTAATCGATAAGGGACCAATCAAGGATCCCAAGCTACCGGTGACTCGTGAGGGGTGTCGTGGTGCTATACGGTAGCTAAGCAAGCAGATATGTAAGTACTTCTATACCTATAGGTAGAGTAGATATCGCCTCCCGCGTTCGGGAACTGGGTGAAAACAGGTAGGTGGGATGAGAGAGCTATAGGTAGGTGGGAAGGTACCTAAGTAGATTTGTAGGTGCCTGGATATCTGTAGATGTCTGCAACGACGATCTTCTCGGGTGTCGGTCTCAGGGTTTCTATTTACTTGAGTATGTATATTGCCACTGACATCTGAGAAGCCGTGACAGGCCGCGAGGCTTTACTGATTACCTATAAACCATCACGAAGACGGCGCCAGCCTTACCGACGCGGTGGCCGCCACACGGATTGCATTAGCAAATGCCGTTCAATTGCGAATGACGGCGGCGGCGCGAACCGGTGCCGGTGCCGAAGGGGAGCTCCGGCTGGAGACGGGGGAACCGCGTTGCTTTCTTTTTCCTTCATCCTCCAGATAAGTCAAGTAGGTAGGTGGGTAAGTATCTCTATCGATAAGTTCAGCATGGTGAATCTGATAGGTAGCTATCGAGTAAGAGCTTCTGCTAGGTAGTACCGCATGCGTACTGGGTAGACTTCTTCTTCAGGCTGCTGGGACGCTCCTTCTTCATTCTGCGACTGACTCCCCCGCACGACAGGCGGTTAGTAAGCTGTGCTGTGGAGAGCTTCCTGGCAGCGGTCATCCCCGCCCGTCGGGGGGCGCCGCGCCGCCGGCCGTAGTTGACCACTACTTGCTGACCTACCCCTCCACCGAGCCCTTTATGTACCACCTACCTAAGGTACTCTTACTTATGGAGTACCGAAGGTATCTAGGCTGCGGCAATCCAAGCGAGAAACACTCGACTGCGATCATACTTACCCATCCAGCGTGGCCTGCGAAGACCCTGCCTTGTCGTACTCCTCCCGTGGTAACAAAACCGTACAGGATTGGCCGTGGACCATGAGGGATGCCCCCCCTCCTCCGGGATGTCGTGCTCGACTCGCAGCCCGGAACATCTGACGCAGGGCCGACGGGCGAGCCGCGAAGGGAAGTTTCCCTTCCCTTCTTTTCATTGTGACAGAGATAAGCCACCTGACAGCGGATACGGTACCGGTACGTACATATAAGGTGCGCACTTTACCGTGGCAGGGAGGGCGCTTTTCGTTCCCGAGACAGCTGGGTAAAGGCGTTTATTGCACTGCGTGGCGGTACATGCTACAAACGGCGGAGTGGTATGGTAAAGTATCTAGAGTACCTACCGTAGGTACGGTATGATATGTACTCTCTCTACCACAGAGTGGATTACTCCCATGCACATGCCTTTCGAATTCACGCACGCTCAACACCTCATGGTATACACAAGTACTTGCTCACCTACTTATCCACGAACACCCACCCCACCACCCACCACCCCTCACATCTTCTCCTCTTGTCCTACTCTACAATTATGGTGGGGGACGCCTAGTCCCGATGCAAAAACACCCCCAACTTTGACACCTATCTCCTCCCCCAAAACCACACCAAATTCTTAACGCTCGTTATTAGTCGATAGATCATGGTATTTTGATTCATTCAATCACGAGTTTTAAATTTTAGAAAGCGTGGTTGATTTTCCTTTGAATTTAGAAAAAAAAGTGATTTTGGTGGGGCGCTCCCCCGAATGTACCTCTCCTAACCCCCAAGCCCCTGCCCTATTCCGGATTAGGAAGGTGCTAGCTCAAGAAGCCACATATGAGCCACATATGAGCCACATATCACGGCCATTTTGAATTACATAAGCATCATTGAGTGTGCCCGAACCCATGGACAGCCCGATCGGGTGAGTTAAGGACCATAATAGGCTGAAATGTGGACTAAATAGGCCGAAAAGGGAATTAAAAATGCCATTTTTTGCTAAAAAAAATCTCAAAATCGCTATTTATTACCCGTTTTGTAATTAAATTCGATTTTTCCACAAATGTCCCACTACATCGCGACCAGGAGTCCCCCACTATATTTCCCGCTCCATCAGAATCGAGACAAAGCGTGCACCCGCCTTAGCAATAATTCTCCGTTCGGATCGTTTGGAGCAACTGTCCGACGCTAGGCCCGCTATATATCTAACTCTGAGTTGTCGCGTGCTCAGCCATACAAGCCTCGGCCGGCAGCATATCCGCAGAAGAGCAGCGCAACCCTAGTTGGGTAGAGCAAACATGCACACATAGCGGAGGAGCTATATCTTCCCCTCGCAGATTCCCCCTCATCTGCCCCCCCTTCTCTCTTCTCTCCTCACCCCCGGCCCGCCGCCTGCCTGCCTGCTGCCTCATGTATGTACGACGGCAGGGAGGTATGTAGGCAGGCAACTGTGCGACGGCTGCATGCATTCATGTGTACACAGAGCGTCACTCGATTCCCGAACCCGCCGAGCGGACGGATGGATCAGTGCAAGAGCTTCGCCGAGGTACGGGTTCGTACCTACACGGTTGACGTGGCTGGCGGAGTCGAAGCGGACGGAAGTACAAGCCCGAGCAGACATCCCCGCACCAAGATCCCCCGCGCCTCTCCGACTCACTCACCCGCCCCAAGCCCCCTCCCGTCCCTTCCCCATCTATCCCCTCCATCCGTCCCCATCCATCCCCATTCCACCCGGAATCCACATGAACAAAAAAGCAACCGCCAAATCCCGCCGATTCCACTCCACCCCTCATTCCCATTCCCCTTCCCCGCTAGCTGCACCTGACACGAGCAAAAAAAAAAAAAAAAAAGATAAAAAAAAAGTAGGGATCGACGGATTCGATGCGGCCACTCAGGTCTCGAACGCTGCGCGATGACGCAAGTGGAGTGGAGCGGAGGGAAGGGAAGGTCCCGGGAGGGGGAACGGGGGAGGGGGGGCGGAAGAGGTGGATGGGGGGGGCAGCCGAGTAAGCGCCTTAGGCGCCGTAGGGTGATGGAGGGGCAGTGGAGTGGGAGGGGAGTGCGGAGTGGAATGGGAGGGGAGGGGAGGGGGTAGTTCGCCAGCTGAAGACGGGCAAGACAAGACGGGCTGGCCCTAGTCCACCCTGGCCCATCCCGGCCCTGGCCTCTCCGTCTTCGGCCTTTGACGTGCTCGTGCAACCCACCAACCGGCCAACCAACCAACCAACCAACCAGCTGTAACTCCAGCGAAATGCCTCCTGCCGGCGGTACGACGACGACAACGAAAGGGAGAACGGGGAGAAGGGGGAGGCCTAGAAGTGCAACGGATCGGTCTGGACCTGATGATCCGGCCGTTTTTGACGTCAGAGAGCGAGCTGCGACACCCGGTGCGGGATGGATGGATGGGTTTGGGAGTCACAGTTGCCTTCCCCCCCCTCCTCGTCCCCTCACCCTACCCTCCCCTCCCTTGCCCTCCCATCCCCCTCCACTCCCATCCCCGGAACGGAATGAAATGAAACATGTCTGGACTCTGGAAGCCTCGGGGAAGCCATACCTCCATTCATTATGCATGCATACCGGTACTCTACTCTACCGTACATAGCCGCCGCCGCGCGAGTGCGCATGCAGCGTGTAGAATCGCGGGGATGCAAGCCCGGTGGACGGAAGAGATGAGATCGAAGGGGCCCTGGGCCCCACCTCATGATCTCACGATACACGTACCGACCTACATCATACCTAACCTACCGCGATCACTGCGTCGAAGGCTTCCCGGTATCGAATATCGATATCGATGGCGATATCGTATAGCACAGTACACTACATCTACCGCAGAATCTACCAGAATCTACCGCCCATCCCACTCAGTTTCCACAATTCCCGGGTTGTGATGCGAACATCGATTCGTCCAGTCACATCTATCCATCTATTCGTTCGTGCATCCATCCACCTATCCATCCACATCTATCCGTTCATCCATACCCATCTGTCCATATACATCCATACATCCATCTGTCTATCCATTTGTCTAGGTATCTATCCAAGTATCTATCTGAGAAGTATATAGAAACTTATCATGTTATCATGCCCCGCAATACCTACACAATGAATGCACCATACGACTGTAAACGGCAGAAATACAGAGACTTCCCACCACCACCACCACCACCACCACCACCAGCAACACCACCACCAGCAACACCACCATCCCCTCTTCAACCGGCCCCATCACGAATCCCAATTATTCAACGCACACGCGCACGGGAAAACGGGAAAACACGGCCCCAACCCACAACCACCATCGCCTAGCTCTCGCTCTCCCCACCTAGGCCCTAGGCTGTAGGGTAGAGTAACCGCCCATGGAGGAGCGAGGAGGTGCCCCTTCTCCACCGCCATCCCATCCGCACATCCATGTGTGACGTACCCATCCCATGCCATCCATGCCGCCCATGCCATCCATGCCATCCATCCATGCCATCCTTACCCCTCTTCCCATCCATCCTTTCACCACCACCAGCACGAGAAAAAAAAGGAAAGGAAGTGAAAGAAGGAAAGGATAGGAAAGGGAAGGGGCTCGGCAGTATCATCATCAGCATCATCACAACCATCACGGTATCACCATCACCGAAAAAGTAAAAAAAAAAAAGAAAATATATTCCTACAGTTCAACAAAGCACTCATTCCATTTTCATTCATTGTGTTCCCCCCAGTTCCCCAGTTCCAACTCAACCATCCTAGAGGTCTTATGTAGGAGGTTTTTAACTTGACTTGACTTGATGGCGAACGTACCGTACTACGGCAGATAGGCATAGGCACATCATAACCCAGTGAGCAGAGCGTTTCAACTTTCAGCACCCGTGCATCACCAGCACAGCATCATCGAAAAAAAGAACATAATCAAAAAAAAAGAATACATATCAAAAAGGAAACATTTTCACATACAGAGGAAGAAAAAAAAAGTCTACTGCGGTATGCAAACCAGCACCCTGAACCATCCAACCAGACCAAACCAAACCTCCTTGCCCCACCCCCCAAAATAAAAATAAAAAGGAAAGCAAAGCAAAAAAGGAACAACCCCGTGCGCGCATATGGAAGTGGAGATAGCAGGTAAAGGGGAAAGGTGTGATAAGGTAGGTAGGTCGGTGATATGGGAGGTAGCCCAGCCCATCCGAAAGAAGTGAAAGCAGACCCAAGAGTGAACAGGAACAATAAGGTGCACCCACAAGGACAACAGGGACCCAGGTGAAGGGATGAGTAGACGAACGGATCGGAAGAAGAAGACAAGGAAGAAGAAGAGAAGAGGAGGAGGAAGAAAAGAAAAAGAAGACATTAGGTCCCCACGAGAAATCCCCTCGAGTATGTGAAGCATGTAACCATTAGGACTCATGATGTAGTTCTAACGATTCCCTTTGAACAGAGCACTTCATGATGCAAAGAAAACCCAGAACAGGCGGGGGGAGAAAGAGAAGAAAAGCAATACAACAATACGCCATGAAGAAAGCAACAAACAAAAAGCTGTACACTTTCAACAAACGCATCAAGCCTCTTCCTCAGGAGGATACACCTCATCAAAGAACTGCACCACCTTCTCGTACTCATCGCGCATGCCTTTCAACGCCTTCGCAATGGCGCTCAGACACTTCTCGTTGTCGGGAACGTGGAGAGTACCGGTCTCATCCTTGTTTTCTCCGAAATGCTGCACCTTTTCGCAATAGTCCTTGATCTTGACGAGACCGAGCGTAGCTGACGAGCCTTTAAGGAAGTGGCCCAACGAGGACAGCTGCTCCAAGTCCTTCTTCTGGCTGTTGTTTCAGGTGAGTCAGTAATCAAATTCGGAAACAAAGCTCGGACGAGTCGAGGTGGGGAATGCACTGACATGGAGGTGTCCATCTGGTCAAATGTCTCTCTCGCCTGATCCAAGAAGCCGGTTACGATCGCACGGCTGAACTCGTCGCTTCCTTCGTCGTCCATCTCGCGGATCTGCTCAAATGTGGCCATGTCTATAATTTCTTCGACCACCAACGCCTTACGGACCACAAGTCAACATAAACATCCCGACATTCCCGACTATGACAGCGACGACGAAGAGGAGGAGGAAGGTGAGAGGGGAGGAGGAGGAGGAGGGTGAGAGGGGAGGAGGAGGACGAGGACGAGGAGAAGTAGGAGGAGGAGGAGCATTGCAGGAGCATACAGATCGTACCTTTTCAGGAGCAGCGACCGGAGCAGCCGCAGCTGTTGGTGAGGTCGGGGGATCGGCAGCGGGAGGCATCTTGTCGGTGGTTGTGGTGGTTGAGTTGGCGGGGAAGCTGCAGCGGACCGCAGCGGGGTTTTGAAACGGTGGAAGGGGGGGGGGGAGGGGTGGAGGGTTCAAGCGAGGAAGTAAGGAGATTGGAACGGGCAGGGCCTTTTTTTTGGGAAAGTAGAGGCTCGTCGGGGTGTTTCGTCTCCTAGAGAAGGGTGGTTGTCGAGGTTCGCCTTGGTGGGGTCGCGGGAGAGTGGGGGTGGTTGTTGCTACGCAAGACAGCCCTCGTCGCCAGATGATTATTTGTAGGGAATGGTATTGTGGAAACAACGAAGACGGTCGAATGCTGTGGATGTGACACCAAGCGGGTATTCCCAACAGCGAACCCTCAGATGACGGGGGGACTAGCGTGACTAGAGCGGGCGAGCAGAGAATCTAGAGGCCTTTTGGGGGGAGGGGGGGTAAAAGTAGCGGTGGAGGTGTTGGGTTACTGTTCACTCTTTACCGCTTTCCGAGTAGCTTCCGAGTTGTTTGTTGTGCTTTCTGGCGAGAGCGGGAACGGCAGACAACAGCGTGATTTGTTTTGTGATATATGTATTTCTTCTTTATCGAAAAAACAACGGAGTAGAACGAGTTAGGTGAATTCCGCCAAGGTTTGTTTTAGGGTGGAATGGGGGGGGGAGCGAGGGTGGGTGAGGAAGCGGAGAAGGAGGAGGAGGGTGGTAGTGGGTGGTGGTGGAGGAGGAGGATGGTGGATGTGGTAGATGGCTGTGGTGGTGGTGAGTGGTGGTAGTGGTGGTAGTGGTGGTGGGTGATAGTGGTGGATGATGATGGTGGTGGTTAGATGATGGGAAGGGCGGGTTTAATTGGGCTCACGCTCGTGCTGAGTGACGAGTAACGTGGTAACGGCACGGCGTCGGGGGAGGATGAGGGGTGGGTTGCGAGCTAAGGCGGGGTGGTAGCAGTAGCAGTGGGTAGCGGTGATATAGCGGACGTCGCGTCGGAGGAGTGGGTAGTAAGTAGCCTGACTACTACTCTGGTGAGGAGGAAAGGCAGGGAGAAAGAATGGGGAGGCGAAGAGAGGGACGGAAGGGAGAAGGAGGAGGAGAGGAGGAGGAGGACAAGGAGGAGGTGGGGGAGGAGGAGGAGGAGCTTTGTCTGTCTGTCCGTCCGCCTGTGACGGAGGGGATAGATTACTCTACTTGCAGAGCGGATGAGCAGTAGGAGGAGGTTTGCGGCGACGGCGGCGGCGGTGGTGGTGGTGGTGGTGGTCTTCTTCTTCCTCGTCGATTGTTCGATTCTTCTTCTTCAGCGTCCTCGTCGATTGTTCGATTGTTCGATTGTTCGATTCTCTCTCGCTTTCGGTGCCTGCCTGGCTGACCACTACTGCTGCTGCCGCTGCTATACGCGTGCTGCTTGTCGGAGGAGCTCCCGGAGCTGCGGCGACATCAGCAGGAGGACGAGAAGAAGAAGAAGAAGAAGCGGCGATGGCCGTCGGAATGGTGTTTACGGCGATATCGATGCTATATTCCCATTGCCATCCGCCTGGCCTGCCTGCCTGCCTCTCCTTCAACTGTGCCCTTCGTCGCCCCGTCCGCGTTGCTCGCCTGCTCTCACCGTCGTCATGCAATCAACCTTGCCTACGTCAGAAATCCCGAGAGGCTCTGGCTGCGCGGTCCAGACTTGCACATCATCCACAAACACAGACAGAACCACATGCACGTTCGAGAACGAGGCGCCGCCGCCGGTCAGGGAAGGTAGATACAACCCCGCTTGTTGATACGTAACCGTCCCCTCCCCTCCCTCCATCCCTCCCGGCACGATAATCGATAGAGTAACCGGCCCGAAAAAGAAACTCCCTCCCACCATCCCACACTCGAGCGCGAAATAAAAAAGGGGAGGGAGGGAAGAGAGAGGGGGGGGCGGAATCGACTCGGACAGCGAAGTCGACGTCGAAGCTGTGCCCAGCCATCTACCTAATGTACTCTAGCTAAGTACCGCCCAGCTAGGTAACTTAGGTACTTGCTTAACTCACTCTACTTCCAGTACGGCCGGCGCTGGATGCATCTGCATGAGTGAATACCAGCGCATGCTCACGTGATCGCTGGCTTCGACCTCCCGAGTGAAGGCCGACTCGGGTGCAGGTACCTACTCCGGAGTACATATCGGTAGTGGTAGAATCGCAGGATGTAGAATACCTACATAGAATCGTCAATGCATCCCACCCCCCCCCCCGGGAGACGCTGGAAAGCCCGCCATGGCCCTGGAATTCCGTGCCTGCGTTAGATACATACTCTACATCTTACCTACCTACTCTGCTCGTGGTCTTCGGCACGGGCTGGGCTGGGGGGAAACTGCGGAGATCATGATCAGGGGTGACCGCCTGCCTCTCTCTTCTCCGTCCGTGAGAAGCTACCCAATATGGCGTGCCTTCTGTGGATCCGTCGGTAGGACGTCCATATAAGGCCTTCGTATGCACGGTGCGTTAAAGGGACAGCAGTGCCAGTCGGTCTGAACGTCCTTCCCTCCCTCCCAGCCCAGCCTCCTCCTGATCCTCCTCCTCCTCCGCAGAAGCTCCTCAATCCGAGTTCCCGTCGCCAATATCCCTTCCGACGGGTATGTACCGTATGCTCAGATCCCGACCAAGAAAGTGGATACCTACCCATCGGTATGGACGGACTTCAACGCGAGGAATGGAATGGAACCAGCCGGATGGATAGGTACCTTGGTGGTTGTGGTGGTTGTGGTGGTTACGGTGGTGGTGGTAGGCAGCCTGAGCGAAGACATCCGAATTCCGGACCTGTTGCTGATGCATCCATCTACAGGAATGGGATAAACCTGTTCTTCTCCTCCGCGGAGTCCCATCAATCTATTGGAGCAACTCCTCATCGGTGTCGCCTCTGTTTGCGCTCCTTGCTTGTGCTCGGTATCTGTCGTAATACCGTCCACACTTGCACCAAGCAGACACTCCCAAAAAGCAGATACTCTGGTTCACACTCCCGCAGGACAGACACTCTGCTTCCAGCTTCCACCCCCTTCCGTTCTCGCCAGCGGCCAGCGGCCACTGGTCCCTCACCACCTTGAGCTCCAACTCCAGCTTCAGCTCCCGCGATCCATGGTGCAAGCCCGCAAGAATCAAGATCCACGATCCGAGATCCCAGATCCACGATCCAAGATCCAAAATGTCGAGAGGAGAGGAAACGCACCACGGCCGACTCACCACGACCACCACCACGATCACCAGCACTGCTCGTATGTATGGTCGAACCACAGCCCACGACCCGAGCTCCTCCCGTTTCCATATATACACCCAGCCATCCGAATCTCTTCGTCCATGCCACAACCAGCCAGGCCTACTCTACCTATTGACGAAGCCGAAGCTCCAGAGCTGTTGTCTACCGGACACTGTTATGAAACATAGAGCAGAGTACCTATCGTTGCCGACACCGCACCGCACGTGGAGCGAGCAAGAGCGTGGGGCTGGCGGGCTGCTCGGCGATGCCGATACTCTATTATACTTCCACCTAGGGGGACTGACAGCGGGCCAGCGGGCCAGCGTTTGTCCCCACATGTACCCTCCTCCTCCATGCTCCTGCTCCTCCGACTTCGAGACGAGGGCGTGGCGAGGGCGAGGGCGTGTGGCTGGCTAGCTGCTCGAATATGCCGATACTCTACTCTACTCTATTACACTTCCACACAGGGAACTGACAGCGGGCCAGCGTATCCTCCTCCTCCTCCATCCTCCCCCTACGGCTTCGAGGCGAGGGCATGTGGCTGGCTGCTCGGAGATGCCGATAATCTGATACTCTATTATACTTCCGCCCAGGGGAGCTGACGGTTGTGACAGCGGGCCAGCGTTTGCGCCCCACCAGTTCCCAGTTGACCGATATCATACCCATCCCCCGATCTCGATTCCAGAGATTCTCACATCCCCTCGATTTCAGAGATCCCCCCCCCCACCAGTCACCCAATGGCCAATGACAATCCCACCAGCGCCAGCCAAAATCCCTTCGGTATGACGCGATCCAGATCCATTATCAGCTCGTCCTGGCTTCGTAGGCTGGTAGGAATCTGCAAAAGATCGCCGCACAAACCCCTCGACGTCGACATTGACGTCGACTTCCATACTTGGATAGATAGATAGAGCAAGCAGATATCACATCATATCTAATCTATAGCACCCTGCACATCACTATAAACCACACGACAACACGGCAACACAACCATTCCATTCGCCCATCCCCCCGAATCCCAAATCCCGAATCCCGATGATCGCAAAACAACTGGCGTTATGTAGTCTGCACTGTACTGCACTGCACACTGCACTGCAGTGCAGTGCACGGCACTCTATCCACGTAATCAGGGTACATATGAAGCATATGAATGCAGGAGGAGGAGCAACATATATTTCCGTCTACCTGCCCGCTGTCATATGTATGATAAAAGTACACGCTCGAGTATGTAGATACACGCTACACTGCTACAGGTTCCATCTAGCTTCTATCCCTGCCGCCGTCGCCGCCAAAAACAAACACCCAGAAGAAGAAACCAGAAGTAAAGAAGAAGAAAAGAACAGACAGATTTTTTTTCCCATTCCCAAACCCGAAACCGCTTAAACAAAAGAATGAGGAATCATGAAAGAGAAAGAAGAAGAAGAAATAATGATGGCGTCGTCGTTAAGAGGGGAGGAGTATGTCCGCTTGGACTGTGGACTGTCTATTGGGTGACCTTGTGGATGGACTCGGCGAGGTACCTGTGAGGCAGAAGGGGATGCACATTAGCGGACTGGACCGGTTTCGAGTATGGTAATAGAGTAACTTACTTTACGTTTCCGCTGGTGATACCGGCGACCGAGATGCGGCCATCGCGGGTTCCATAGACGGAGTACTATATGTGTGTCAGCACGGGCTTGCAGTTTCTCGGGATTCGATGCTGTGGGTCTCACCTTCTTGGCAAGAGTGTCAACCTGCTCAGGCGTCAAGCCAGTGTAGGCGAACATTCCAATCTGGGAAGTGATGTGGGACCAATCGTGCTTGCTGCCAAGCTCCTCGAGGCTGTTCTTCAGGACCGCCCTCATGGTGATGATCCGGTCGGCCATCTCCTTGACCTCCCCGAGCCATTGCTTGTTGAGGGCCTGGTCGTTGAGAATTTCAGACGCAATGCGCGCTCCGTGTACGGGAGGGTTGGAGTACATCGGACGAACGAGGATCTTGATCTGCGAATCGATGCGCTTCTTCTCCTCGGCGGATTCAGCCAGGATAGAGAAGGCGCCGACACGCTCGCCGTAGAGACCCTGCATCATCATATTAGCATACTCTATAAGCGCATAGACATCTCCCACGATAACCGGGTACCAACCATGTTCTTGGCGAATGATTGACACAGCGCAACGTGGTGGCCCTGCTCCACAAAGTAACGCAGCGCATACGCATCGGTGTTGGTATCGCCCGAAGCGAAACCCTGGTACGCCATGTCAAACAACGGGAAGTGCCCGCCAGCCTTGATGGCATCGCTGATGGCCCTCCACTGCTCGGGAGTGGGGTCGATGCCTGTGGGGTTGTGCGCGCAAGCGTGGAGAAGGAAGATGGAGCTCGAGGGGGCATCCTTGATATCACTCAAGAGTCCATCAATGTCAAGGCCAATAGTTTCCTTGTTGTAGTAGCTGTAGTTCTTCACATCCAGTCCACAGGCGCCGAAGATGGCCTTGTGGTTCGCCCATGAGGGGTTGGGCAGGTACACAGTCTTGGTGTGAGGGTAGAACCGCTCGAGGAAAGCGCCGGCAATACGAAGAGCACCGGTTCCGGAGATGGACTGGGTGATTGCTACGTTGTCGAGGATTGGGCTGTTCTGTCCGTATGCGAGGACGGCGGCGGCCTTGGTGAAAGCAGGTACACCGGTGATGCCAGCGTACTCCTTGTCGAGAACCTTGTCTACGATGCGCTTCTCGGCGGCACGAACCGAAGGCAGGACGTATGGCTTGCCGTTGTCGTCACGGTAGGCGCCGACACCTGCAATGACTCAGTCATCTACGTCGACATACGTGATAGATATTGCGACAAACCGAGGTTGATCTTCTTCTCAAATTTGTCGGCCTTGAATGCCTCAGTGATACCTGCGCCAATGAGTACGAGCTTCACCAATTCACAGAACGAGTTTCATACCTAGAATGGCCTATCCCAACGACAGCGACGGCAACAGTTTAGAGACAGCTTTTTCCGGTGGGACGGGGGAGATACTCACATCCTACAAAGTCAATTGGTTAGCACAATGGTCTCCATGGCCAGATCAAGCAGCGACAACATACCGGAGGACCCTGGGGAACCTGACTCCAAGTGCTCACGGATCTGGACGCAGCGACCATCTTCAGGGCAGAGGTCCTCGCCGACTTTCCGACAACAGTTCTGGCAGTCGACAACATTTTCGCTAGCTGTGAGGAACTTGGAGAACCGTAGACAGAGAAGATTGAATGCGTGTGCAAGAAAGAGGACGAAGACGAGGAAGGAGAAGAAGATAGCGATGCCTGTTGTAATGAGAAAGGTGACTCTCTGTTGTAGTTGTGGTAGTGGGAAAGGTGCTTCTGTCTACCTTGGCGGGATGACTTTGAATTTCCGGGTGTTTTCCTATCAAACGCGCACTAGGGTTTACCTAGAGTACGTGGGGTAACTAGAGTAGTGGGTGGCGGCTGAAAGGGTTTGGAACCGGAACCGGGAGAGACACACAAATGGTTTCGTGGGGTTAGGTCTCCGGAGCTGCATGAGTGAACGAGAAAAAAAAAACTCCAAGTCCATGACCTGAAGGCAAGCTGACCTGCATCTCGCCTCGCCGTCCTCTTTCCGAGTTGTTTCATAGATCTTTTTTCTTCTGTGAAGCACAGTCAAGTCAAATATAGGTTGTAGATTGCTAGCAGGAGTACCTGCTTTTCGTCAGGCCCAGCTCCATTTTTGCCTAAATCTTAACAAACACAAATGACCAACATCGTGAACACGTTTCTTTACCTAATTCTTCCCTAGATCTGTGTGCTCGATCCCATACAGATCGGTGACAAACTGCTAGTCTACAGACGACATCCCACCTCCCCGCTGCCGACTTAACCCCAAAACGGTGATAGTTTGCGAGAAGTACCGCGGTCTCCTCGGCCCTGCCTGCAGCTTCCCCGCCGAGGGTCATAACTATGGCAGATTCAGCAGTTTTGAACCCTCATCATGGTTATCTCGGCATCACACGACAGGCGGATCAACAGTCCTAGCGGAGAAACGAAGGACCGGTGGATCCTGCCGCTAAAAGACGGTTGGTCCATATGTTGCCGGTATACACGCGCATGAAGGATGGCCAGGCTCGCTCTCATATTTCTGTAAAATCGTCGCTCTCATATTTCCCCCATATAATACAAATTAACCCCAAAGACTGAAGAACCATAGCTCTCCACGGTATCATAACGCTTGAATTCGAACTCGCTGCTATCTGTATTTGTATATTCACTGTGCCGGACTTCCTACCTAGACGCCGGGAAGTTCTTCCTGTAGTGCGGTCAGCATGTGCCATATGCCCGGTCAAAGAGAGGTAACCTACGTGTTCAACAACACACCCTTAACGCTCCTGATCTCCTGTTTGACCTTCAAGATCGGGTCATCCTTGTCCTTGTCGCTGCCGCCGTATCCACCGAAGTTGCTGGCGAAGATGTTGCTTGACGCCGCCGAATCATAGGTCAATCCCTCAAGGTAGCTCGTCAGATCCTCCAGCAGGAAAGTGAGCTCGTTATCGGTCCCGTCAGAATGGCTCTCGACAAGCACCTTCATCTGCGACGTCAACTCCTCAAGCTTGGAGTCCGGAGTCATGGCCCCACCACCCGCCTCGTCGTCGTCGTGCCCGGACAGTGATGCATTGGTCTGGGTAAACGCATCGACGTGGAAGAGCTCACTCGGATCCGAGATATCGGACGATGCGTCGGAGTCCTCATTCTCGTCGCGGGGACGCGTCAGACCCTTACCGGCGATGTAAGACGCGGGAGCGAGTTCGAGAAGTCGGGTGTTGAGCTCGTCGAGGTTCTTCTTGACCGTTCCCGACAAGTCGAGACGTGCCGCCGTCAATGCGTCGAGCATAGGCTGAACGACAAACTTATTCGCGCCGTAGACGGTAGCCGCTGTAGCAGCACCGAGGTATAGAGAGCTGACGAGTGTTGCGCCAGTCATCAGCGGACGAGGTCCTGCGGGCGGAGGTGGCGCAAGCCATTCGGGATATGTGAGGATTGTAGGGGTTGGCTGCATCTGAAGAACTGGCTGTTGCTGCGGTGGTGGGGGAGGTGGAAGTGCTTGAATCTTTTATAATCAATCACCAGCCCTGTAGATACGGGTTTGGGCAATCTTACCTGTGAACTCTGGCTCACTACTGTCTTCCCCTTGCCCTTCGATCTCCTCCTCCTCTTTCCATTCCCATTTCCATTTCCATCAGCTCCATGGACCTTGAGTATGAGGTCCTGGGCCTCGGCGGCAGTCAGCCCCTTTGCCTGCAGAAACTCCTGCTTCTCCTTAACCGGCGCGTCGCGCACGCTGCCGGTTTCTAGGAAGGTGATCGCATCATCGAGCAATTCCTCACGTTCACGATGATCCTTGGGGGCGTCGTCTTCCTGTTGAAGCGGAGAGTCGCGCGGTGGCGGCGACGAGTGGACTGTCTTTAGCTCTGCAGGCAGCTCTACCTTCGAAACGCCTGTTGGCGCTGTTGCATCCTTAGGCTCCGCAGTTTCCGGAGTTTCTGGTACTGTTTCGGCTACTGGCGTTGGCTCAGGTGTTGCCACTTTGGCAACTTCGGGGGTGGTGACTTCTTGAGTGTCCGCGACTGCTGGAGCGGCCACTTCTAACTTTGTCTCTTCCGCTTGTTCTGGTTGTTCTGACTCCGTCTTCTGTGGTACCACTACTTCTTCTTCGACGGCATTTGGCTTGCTGTTATCGTCAGCCATTGTATTATGTTGTGAGGTAGGTGGTTTGTGGTTGGTGAAGATGGCTGGGAGGTTTGTCGCGGTTGTTTCGTTGCTGAGCTGTTTGTTGCTGTTGCTTGCTGCTCGACCTCGGTCCCCGGTACAATCACGCGCTTTCTTGGCGCTCACTTCCACACTTCAGCTGTGTTGGAGAGCGGGAATATTTACTACTCTATAAAGAATAAGGACAGCGATCGAGACGCACAGGTCTCTACTTCTACCTAAAGTCACCAGCTATTCCTACCGCAATACCAATTTCCTCCTGCCGGCACGGCGGAGGAGCCAAAAAAACACAGTAGATGCATTTCTTCACGTGCGCTTTTCCGAGTGAGTCTGGATGATTCATTTGCCAAGATCCATCTGCAGGGATCTTCGTCCTCCGTACTCGTGTTAGCGTCCATCTTAAACTCAACGCGAGACTCAGTTCAACTCCCCAAACAACCGCGTGCCCAACAAGAAACACATCTAGCAACCGAATTACCGTAACAAGATGTCGCCAAAGCAAACCAGAGCCCCAACTAGCTCGGCTAAACGAAGGAGGTATGACGACGACGAGGATGAGCAGTCAGATTCAGAACTCAGTGATATTGAGGACGAGATCGATACGACGCCCGCTGAGGTCACTGCGCAAGAAGACGACGATACTTCAAGTGACGAAGACGAGGAAGACATAGAAGAGGACGAGGCGACTAGCGACTCGGATACTGCAGACGGGGAAGTCGAAGAATCGTTCGTTATCCCCACTGAAGCTGCCACTTATTCCAAGCTTTCATTTATCCTGAGCTTCCACTCTCTCACCGCGGAACCCACTCATACCACCTCCACTTCTTTTGCTTTCTTAACCACATTCTTGCAGCACCTCCTTTTTGCAACCATCCCATTCTTGCAACCACTTCGCTACGAATCGTACTAAAGCTCCTCCTACTTCTCAACATCAGATACATTTCCGAAGACCTAGTTTCGGACGACGAATCAGACATCATGAAGACGAGACCATCTGCGAAAGGCGTCGCTCAGCGCGCTGTCACCCGTGGCACTCGCGGCAAAGCTCCGACCAAGGTCACCAAGAAAACTCCTTCCAAAGTAGGTCCACGATCCGATCCCATGTCGCCACCACAGAGGCTTCGGCAGCTCCCCCCAAGGACTCGATCCTCGGCAGCAATTGGAACCAGGAGCTCATACCAGCAACAGGGAACCTCGAAAGGCAAACAGCCCGCTGCTACCACGGGTAGGTCTGGCCCAGCTACAAAGTTGAAGATAGGTAAGGATCGTCTGCGGGAGGTCACTTCTACTTGGACCCCACCTCCTGATACCGGCGCTCGGTCTTTTACAGCAATGTCAGCCCCAAGTGTCGCACCGAAGACGACCGCCCCCCGTGGCAGAAAGGTCATCCAAGAAGAATCTGACGACGACGACGACGACGATGACGGTGACGACGACGACGACATGAAGGTGGACGACGAGGAGGTAGACATCGACGACGAGCTCGGGGACGAGGATGCCGAAGGGGAGACCGACGATGAGCTCATGGATTCCGATGACGATGGAACCACCCCAAACTTTTTAAGCAGGACTGGTACACCGGACATGAGCCGCTTGACCAACCGTCAGCGCACCAGAATGGGTGACATCACCACCGCAGATCTGCTAGAGCTCCCGAGTGCTTTCGGTATGAATCCGATATCTGCTTCGACTTTCTCGGCTGACTTCTGGACAGAAAAGCCGGGCACCAACAAGGCGGTGACGCTCTCTGCCCAAGAGCAAGAGCTCAAAAGGGCTGAAATGGCTCGCCGTCGCAAGAACCTCACCGATCAAAAACTAGAGGAGGAGAAGGTGACAATTCTCTTCTTTCCTCTCAATATTGACTAACACTATTCTTGAATAGATGGACACCATCAACCGCCTTCTCAAGAAGCAGACCCCCAAGATGCGTGGCAAGGGCAGAGCCACTGGTGATGCTACCCCCGCGGACCAGGCTGACTCCCTCATGGGAGATGGCCCGCAGCGTCCACCGGTCATGACCCGCTGGGTCAGCAATAAGACGGGCGTTCGCCTTGCGGTGCCTGGAAGCTGGTTGGCCGGCCCCCTATCCAAGCAGTTCGAGCCACGCCAGGAGACCGAGAGCATGCGTGTGGTCAAGAGGAAGCTCGTCGAAGAGCTTTAAATCTTTTAACAAGATTTCCTCTGGGACCCCGTGCCTCGTGTCGGCCTGACGTTGGCATATAAGTTGTACGATAAATGAGACGAGGAGTCTCGGTCCTTTTGAAGGGAGTTGTCTGTCTCACTGGATAATTTCCTGTTTTCCTGTTTTCTGTTTTCCTTTTTTCTTTTTCTTTTTCCTGTTCCTTACTACAAACTGGCGCCTTATAATAGAGCACACTTGCGATCATGAAATCTCGTTCGCATTGCTCTCAAAGTGACCAATCAGCTGTGCACACTTCCATATTTATACGCCTTCCCCACATCATGGTACCACACCTTTCTTTCATTCCCATTTCTATCACCCTCATCGACCTTGTCATGCCGACTTCCAGTCTACGCTGGCTGATCCTCCAATCTCGAGATCCAAACTACCACTCTGCCTTTGTCTACGCAGTCAAAACAACAAAAATATTTTGTCGTCCCACATGTTCTGCACGTCTAGCTCGCCGCACAAACGTCGTCTTCTATGACACACCCTTGGAAGCGGCAGCAGCAGGCTTCAAAGCTTGTAAGCGGTGCCACCCGGAGGTGGAAGGATGGCATCCAAAGGGCGAAGCCATGGTGCAGCGTGCAAAGACGATCATTGAGGCGAGCTCGGAAGAGATCCCGCTAAAGACTCTGGCGGCGAAGGTGGGCGTCACGGAATGGCATTTTTCAAGGAGGTTCAAGAAGGAAGTGGGGATTACGCCGAGGGCTTATTATGGGGTGGTTTGTGAGCACCGGCGGCGGAAGAGCATTCCGACGACGGCACAGATTGACGATGATCATGGAACGGAGGAGAATACTGAGGAAAAGGTGGAGGCTGTTGGCACTGCGGAGGAGTTGTGTGAGGAGTTCACCAGGGACGAGTTCCGAGAGTTCACCATGGATGAGTTCGTGGATTGGGATGGTGGGGGCGGCCCGTGCGCTCCTTGCCCAATTTACGCGACGGAGATCTGTGCAGAGGTTTCGTTTTGATATTTACGCGACTCTCCCATCTCGTCTCATCCCTTCCCTTCTCTTTGCCGCGTTCCTTGATGACTTTTCACCACACATCCTCCCATACATGACCAATCAAGCAACACCCCGTCAAATCGCCATGTCGCTCGTGAGCTGCCCCGTCTGCGCAAAGGAAATTCCAATCCACTCCATTAACAAACACCTGGACTCCGGCTGCACTGAGGCTATTCCCCCCGCCACCGACGTTGCCACCTCAAGCTCTAGCTCATGTTCAGCTCCACCGCCAGAAGCAAACCATCAGAAGAAGTTGGCCAGTATCTTCTCCACACCTTCGTCGAAGCGTCAGGCACCTACAGCGCCCCCTGTGTCTCCTTCTCCGGCAGCAAAACAAACCGCACATCCGACCACGGGTCCTCAAAAACGCCAGTTCAACCACGACTCCAAACACATCCCGAGCCCCACCGATGAAACCATCGCGCCGCCCACAAAACGGCAAAAAGCCACCGTCACCCTCCGCGATGCCATGCCACTGGCTGAAAAGATGCGTCCGCAATCTCTCGACGAAGTGTGCGGACAAGACTTGGTCGGAAAGGGAGGCGTCCTCCGTGGCTTGATCGAGGAAGGTCGCGTACCCTCCATGATCCTGTGGGGATCTGCCGGCTGCGGGAAAACTACGATCGCACGCGTCATCGCCAATGCTTCCTCCTCGCGCTTCGTAGAGATCTCGGCGACGGCTAGTGGCGTCCAGGAATGCAAGAAGATCTTTGCTGAGGCGAAGAGTGAGTTGCTGCTTACTGGACGGAAGACGATATTGTTCTGCGATGAGATTCATCGGTTTACAAAGAGCCAGCAGGATGTGTTTTTGGGGCCGGTGGAGAAGGGAGAGATTACATTGTGAGTGCGTATGGGCCTTTGGCATGGCTTTGGAGAATTGCGGTGCTGATGCTGAGGAAATTCTGTGCAGAATCGGTGCTACTACCGAGAATCCCTCGTTCAAAGTTCAGAGCGCGCTGCTTTCGCGGTGTAGAACATTCACGTTGACCAAGCTTTCGCAAGTCAACATGGAACGCATCGTCAGGCGAGCTCTTACCGCCGAATCCCCGAAGGATCCCAAAGGCGTCCCCATCACACCACCTCCGCTAGACAAAGAGATGATAGCGTACCTCGCCCGTTTCGCCGACGGCGACGCAAGAACGGCCCTCAACCTTCTTGAGCTCGCCATGAACCTCTCTACTCATGCCGGCGTAACAAAAGATGATATTAAGAAGAGTCTCACATGGACACTCGTCTACGATCGCAGCGGGGATATGCACTACGACACTATATCCGCCTTCCACAAGAGCGTGCGCGGCAGCGATGCTGACGCCGCGCTGTTCTGGCTGGCGAGAATGCTTAACGGTGGTGAAGACCCGCTGTTCATAGCTCGCCGGATGGTGGTTATCGCAAGTGAGGATATTGGCCTGGCTGATAACTCCATGTTATCGCTCGCTACGGCTGCCTTCACGGCTGTCCAGCAGGTCGGCCTGCCAGAGGCTCGCATCAACCTGGCGCATTGTGCGGTGGCTTTGGCCCTTGCGAAGAAGTCGACGCGTGCTTATAGGGGCCTGGGGAAGGCTATGGACGTGGTGGGGAAGGACCCGGTGGTGGCTGGCGCGGCCGTGCCAGTACATCTCCGTAATGCGCCGACGAAGCTCATGAAGGAGTTGAATTATGGCGTTGGTTATAAGTACAATCCAGACTACAGGGATGGAAAGGTTAAGCAAGATGTAAGATCGCCCTCCTCCCCATATTTGATGTCCATTTCGTTGATAGCCGAGTAGTACCTACCAGAAGACCTCAAAGGAATGAAGTTCCTGGAGAATATCGATCTGGGAAGAAGAGTCGATCCAGATCTTGACGACGACGAGGAGGAGGATGATTACAGGCCGCTTTGAGGTGCATTATTGAGGGTTGTATTTGTGGGATCATAGCTTCTTCCACTGGTGTTTTGGTGTTTTTGGCAGATATCCACCCCGTCTTGCATGTACCGGTAACATCATAGAGTTTTTTTATTTTTTATTTGCGGTTTTATGGATAAGTTTCAATTGAAGACCTGCTCATTCTGCCGGACCGTGAACTTCATCAGACCCGACCGGGAATGAATCACGTTGCATCACCCGCCGTACTCATGGCGTCATACGCCAAGGCCGCATCGCAACCTTAAATCCCCGCTGCCGAACCCCGTGGGAGTCATCCCGCATCCATCCAAGTCGTGCCTGGGCCGCGGTCCACAACTCCACCACCTCCACCTACTATCTCCGCCAATGCGTATAGTAACCCGCTTCCTCTGCCGTCAACCGCTCCTACGAACCTCTCCTCCGCCCAGAATCATCCTAAGACTGATGTCTACTACACCACCAATGGCGCACAAGATCAAGCCGGCAGCGCGCGTCGACGGCCAGAGGAAGGATGTGTGGTCGATCGTCAACGAAGCGGCTGCCGCGGCGACGAAGGAGAGGCCCGTGGTTAATCTCGGCCAGGGGTTTTTCGTACGTTGGGACGATAATACCTTTGTAGGGGAGACGGGGCGGGGCTGACGGAGTGCGGTAACTAGGGATACAATCCACCGGAATTCGTGATCAATGCGGCCAAGAAGGCGTTGGAGAGCGTCGAGTGCAACCAGTACTCGCCGACACAGGGACGGATGCGCTTGCGACAGGCGATCTCGGACTCCTATTCCCCGTTCTTTGGCCGCACGCTGAACCCCGTCGACGAGATTGTGGTCACCACCGGGGCGAACGAGGGGATGTTGTCCGCGTTCATGGGGTTCATTGAGCCGGGAGATGAGGTGATCGTTATGGAGCCGTATTTTGATCAGTATATCAGCAACATCGCCATGGCGGGTGGGAAGGTAAACGCGCTGTGGTGTGAGCGTGTGATGTGAACAGTTGTTGAGAGGTGTCTACGCAGGTGGTCTATGTTTCGTTGCATCCGCCGGAGAAGGGAGACACCGAGGTTTGTCCAGCCAGTGAATGGAGACTTGATCTGAAGGAGCTCGAGGAGAAGATCACCTCCAAGACGAAGATGATTGTTCTTAACACCCCGTGAGCTCTTCACTTCGCGTAATGGAAATAAAACTAACGTATCTAGACACAACCCCATCGGCAAAGTCTTCAGCCGCGCAGAGCTCGAGGGCATTGGTGCGCTCTGCGTAAAGCACAACATCATAATCCTCAGCGATGAAGTGTACGACCGGCTCTTCTACACGCCGTTCACTCGGATCGCCACGCTCTCCCCCGAGATCGAGAACCTTACCATCACCGTCGGCTCCGCGGGCAAGAACTTCTACTGCACGGGCTGGCGCGTGGGCTGGTTGATCGGAAAGCCACATCTGATCAAATACGCCGGTGCAGCGCACACACGTATCTGCTTCTCGTCTGTGTCTCCACTGCAGGAGGCAGTGGCGATCGGTCTTGAGGAGGCGGATAGTGAGGGGTTCTGGGAAACGTCGAAGAAGGACATGAAGGCAAAGATGGATCGGTTCAATGAGATCTGGTATGAGCTCGGAGTGCCATACACGGAGCCGGATGGTGGTTACTTCGTGTACGTGGCCCCGTCGATCCCCACATGAAACGACACTGACGTGGAAATGCCATGCAGGTTGGTGAACTTGAACAAAGTCAAGATTCCCGAAGGATACGACTTCCCACCACATGTGGCCGAGCGACCGAGGGACTTCCAGCTGTGCTGGTTCCTGATCAAGGAGCTGGGCGTTGCTGCCATCCCCCCAACAGAGTTCTATACCCCACAGCATGAGAAAGAGGCGGAGAACTACCTCAGGTTTGCGGTGTGTAAGAACGATGATGTTCTAGAGGCTGCGAAGGAGAGGCTGCGTGATCTGAAGAAGTACATGTAAGGTACGGCGGCCGGCTGCGTCTCATTGCGGTAACTTGTATATTGATGTCCGTACGTCCGTTCTGTAGAATCACTAGAAACCGCGGGATTTACATGGATGAAGTCTATCTCTTGTATAGTTGCGCGGAAAAGAGGGTAAAAACTCGAATAGGAAAAAGCTTGTCGATTGGTTTTAGGAACCACTTTATGCGACCCGCACGAGCGGCCAATCTAATGGGCAGATTGTCGTCCACATCCCGCATTCGGTCTGCTCTCAGGCAGCCAGAGAGAGAGGGAGACTTCGTAGGTATGTGGCCTGAACTACCGGTCATATGTAGTCGCGGGCGCATATGCAGTGGTTCGGGCGTCCAGTGTGCACTGTCCACTCCACAAATTCATCGCAGCTCTATTTTGGGAAGCTTCCTTGCAAATTTTATACTGCGGGATATCTAGTCGCCACGCCCTACCGACTACCGGAGGTGAAGAAAAGAGAGGGAGAGAGGGAGCGATGAAACGCGTGACTATTTTCGAGATTGGGGAGATCTGCTGTGCTGCGCTGTGGTTTGCCGCCGCGGGGTGGAGATGAAACGTGCGCACGCGTGACTGGGTGGACTGGGGCGGACAGACGGACGGATTCGTTCCGGAGGGGTGGACTGGACTCTGGAGGGACTGTGGCTGGACGTAATTTCGATGCGAGCACGGGATGCCAGTGGAATTGATGTCCCTCTCTGGGGAATCCGAAGCGGCTTGTTTGGAGAAAGAGAGGACTTTCTTCGCTATCATCTTCGCAACTTAAAATCAGTGCCTCTCTCCCGCTTCCTCCTGCAAGATCCAAGCATGGATGCTCTCGGGAAATAAAAGCGATCGGATGGCGTTATTTTTGGGACGGGGTGACGTTGGAGGCGACGAATGAGAGCGCGAGGAACCAGGGGCGCGCAGTGGGCGCTTTGCGGCACACGCTAGGGGGAAACAAGGCGATATCTGCAAGACACCAATCGGCAACGTTTATCTGCTAGGTTGATTTGCGGTGGTGATGATGATGCTTGGGAGAGAGTCGGCTGAGGAAGGAGAGGGGTTTCTTGCCTATTTTCGCGCTGGCCTATGATGGTCTCGGGACTGTTTGATACACCGGCTGGTATTCGAGCTGCGAGCGAAAAATCGCCGCACTCTCCCACATTAAATATCTCCCCCGCTCTCCCTCGACATGTTTCTGGACTTCGGGTCTTGCTGATATCTCGCCGCCACCGCCTTCCTTCCCTCCACCCCCTCTCGTCTTGTCTAGTTGTGAGCTGTGCTTCAATTCAGCTGAACTCGTCAACCTCCATTCAAGCTGGAAAAACAACTGACAAGCTAGAGCACCCTATATTCGATTCTCACCTGCTCGCCGGTCGTTCAAGTTATTTCCTTCAAGTTCATCACCTATAAAACCCACAAAACGAAACACATCGCGCGCATAAGGCCGTCGACGATCCACCTTCTCTAAACCTCTTCATCCTCTCTTTCGACAAGAGTCACCAATCTTCACCACACCCGTCGGACCATTGCACAGTTGACTGCGCATATCGGATCGAATCCCATCCCCATCCTTCGGGACCCATTTCCTATCGTTTCTCCTTTGTTACTTGTTTCCTTCTCTTCATATTTGATTTTTATTCAACAATGGCTGGCCTGGTTACTTCACTGCGGGGCAAGATATTCCCGGGATCGAGCCCGTACGACGACAACATGAAGGGCGGCGCACACCCATGGAGAGACGCTCCTTCATATGAAGACGCCATGAACGTCAACAACTCTCGAAGGATCCCACAGACCACGCCAGAACTCACGCCGTACCTCGGAGTGCGTTCCCGGCTGTCACAGGTGTGGTTCAACAGATGGACCGTGCTGCTGCTGCTGATCATGGTTCGGGTGATTCTCGCCACGGTATCCCTGGACTCTGACCTCGAGTCGGCGCGGGACAAGGCTTTCTCGGCATGCACGGGTGTGGAGAGCATGGGCACTGCGATGGCTTCGATGCCGTTCTACATGGCCAATGGTGTCAACGAGATGGCGGCGAAGGGGATCGAGAGTGCCATTCGTGCGCTCGAGGCTACCTTACTCCTCATGATCACCGGAGTTCAGGAGATGGTTGTGTTCATCGTCAACCTGATCACTTCTACCTACGTCTGTCTGATTACCCTCGCGGTGCGCGGATCTGTCGGTGTGATGGTCGATGCTCTCAAGGAGATTACCGATTTTGTCAACAATGCCATGACAGATATCTTCAACAGCGTCGATGGCCAGGTGCAGACCATCGAGGATGGCATCAACAAGGTCACGAGTTTCCTTGAGAGCATACCGAACTTCTTGGGCGGTGGGGTCGATATCCCCGACGTCAACCTCCCAGCGTTGGACAAACTCAAGGATGGTCTCACTATTCCCGATGACTTCAAGCAAAAGCTGGACGACATGGAGAACAGCATTCCCACTTTCGAGGAGGTCAAGGAGGCCGCCGGAGATGCCATCCGGATTCCCTTCCAGTTGTTGCTCGTCAGTATACCCACTTGTCTGTACGATACCGAACGGATTGCTAACTTTGCGTAGAACAAGGTCAACAGCACCCTGGGCATCTACGAGTTTGACCGCTCCGTCTTCCCTGTTCCCGCGAAGGAGAAGCTTACCTTCTGCACCGACAACCCGAGCATCAACAACTTCTTCGACAACCTGAAGGACCTTGTGTTCAAGGTCAAGAACATTCTTGTCGGTGTCATCATCGCGCTCGCACTTCTCGTCATGATCCCCATGGGTTACCGGGAGTGGCACTCGTTCCGTACCACCAGACGCCACGCCTTCCTGCTTTCGGACCCGATTCGCGCCTTTGACCCGGTCGATGTCGTTCACATCGCCTCTCACCCGAACTCCTCAGTGTTCAGCCTCAGGATCTCTAAGTTCTCCAAGTCCAACCGCAGGCAGACTCTCATCAGGTGGGCTGTTTCTTACGTGACATCCCCCGCGGCGTTGTTTGTGCTCTCCCTCGGTGTCGCCGGTCTCTTCAGCGTTGCATGCCAGATGATCCTCCTGAAGCAAGTCGAGGCTCGTACTCCTGGTCTGGCCGAGGAGATCGGAGAGTTTGCGGGTATGGTCGTCGACAAGCTCGAGAATGCTTCCAAGCAGTGGGCTATTGGAGCGAACCAGGCGCTCAATACCACCAACGCTGAGCTCAACGACGAACTTTTCGGCTGGGTCAAAGAGGGAACAGACTCGCTCAATGACACCCTGAATACCTTCGTCGATACCATGCACGATGGTGTGGACTCCTTCTTCAAGGACACGCCTCTGGCCGCGGTAATCAACGAGGTTCTCAACTGCCTGGTCACCATCAAGATCCAAGGCATTCAGAAGGGCCTCACCTGGGCCAACGAGCACGCGCAGATCACCTTCCCGACTCTGCCAGAAGACGCATTCTCTCGCGGTGCCTTGGAATCCATCGGCTCGGATTCGGACCCTGCTTCTAGCTTCCTGTCAAACCCCGGCTCGGCGGCTACCGACCAGATTACTGATGTGGTCGTGAAGCTCACCAACAAATGGGAGAGTTCCATCAAGCAGGAAGCGATGATCTCGGCAGCAATCTTGGGCGTTTGGGTCGTCGTTTGTATCATTGCCCTCATCCGCACTGCCTGCCTCTGGTTCGGACGCGAGCTCGTCCGTGGAGAAGGCGGCGCCGCCCCATTGCCCCAGCCTCACCTGTTCACAGGCGGTATCAGTGACGGACAAGGAGTCTACGGAAAGTACCAGACCCAGACGCAGCAGCCCAACTTCCCTACCTTCGGTCCCACTCCAACTACGCCTAATGGTCCTCCGAGTCCAGAGGAGTATCCAAACGAGAAGAGTGCGCACATCCAGATGGGTACTGTCAACAGCGGCCTTCCGTATCCCACCGAGCCTTCCGAGGGCACGCCAGGAAACAGGGAGTCGTTCCATCCGCGAGTTTACTACAAGCGGTCGGTTTGATTTGTCTGGCCCGGTCTGTCTCATGTATGAGAAATGTTCATGATCCGACATGTGTTCTTTGAGTTTCTTCTGTCTTCGTGTCCCGTTTGTACAAAAGCATCCTCCGTTTTATTCCACTACCATTGCATTGTTGGGTCTTTTTCTTTGCTTTTCTTTTCTTATCTTGCATAGCGTGGCATTATTTCCCTTTTTTTGGTCTTTTTGAGCGGGTTCATTTGCATTTGTTGGTGCTTTGTTTATTCTATGTCTACGATGAACGATCTAAGAGTAATAGACCCTACTGGACTGTTACTCATGTACTATTACCGATTGCGGTTATTATTATGGCTGGCTAGGGACGGGAGTGGGGACAGGGTGGTGAATGGAAGCGGAGGGGATATGGTGTGTTTGAATAATACTCATTCGTCCTCATGATCAATATCTCTCTCAACAAGCACAAGTGAACACCACGCAAACGACCCACTAAACACCCTCATCACTCGTCCCTTCCACGGGCCCTTCCACCCCCTCCACTCACTCTGCGCCCTCTCTTCCCCGCCCAACTGCCCATTCTCATTCTCTCCAGCTGCCCACACCTCCCCCTCGACGGTGAGCATGAGCACATGCCCTGCGCCCACCGCCACATCCACAATATCCACCTCCCCCACCGGCAAGTCCACCAATGCCACCTCCCCGGGCACACCCCCCAGCCCCTCCACCTTTCCGGCGCCCCAGAGGTACACATCCCCCGACTCGGCGAGTGCCGCACTCATCCCGCCACCACTCGCAATCCGTGTGACCACGAGCCCATCCAGCGCCGCAACAACCGCGGGCACCTCCGCGGGCTCGTCCGCCGTGGGCTCGCGGCCAAGCGAGTGCACGCCCCTCGCATCCCCCCACGTGAACACCCGCCCTTCGGCCGTCAGCGCCGTAAAGCTGGTTTCGTTCGCCGCTAGCTGCGTTATCGCGCGGGTCTCGATGTGATGTTGGACCATGTTCTCGCCGTCGGCCCAGAGGCCGTACGGTGTTGGCCGCGCGAAGGAGAGGTCGGGCCGGTGGAGTTGCGTTGTCCGCACGGTGGCCGGGGAGGGGCTGTGGATCCAGGCGATCCGATAGGTTCCGTCGTGGGCTAGGTGGGAAACGTCCGAGTGATGCGGCGTGCTGATCATGCCCTGTTGGTTCCCGGCGAATAGGCCGGTGGCCGTAGACTGCGGATCATGGCCATCGGTGCGGTCCTTGGTAGGGCCACGCCAATAGAGTGTACCGTCTATCACGACTTGAGCAATTACGACTGTCAGTGTTCGATCTAATATGGCTTGAGGGGGGGAGAACACACGTCCGAGGTCACTCCAGCCGACAAACACGGGCTCCAGCGAGACATTTGCAGTTACTAGCAGCGCGGGCGTGTAGATATCGTCCGGGAACGGGTCATCGTCGGGCACGAGTTGCGAGAACGCATTGAATCCGCTGCCCCATAGCTCCAGTACCATTTCTGCGATGGTTCAAAGCTGGTTGGTCGTGAGTCGTACAGGATTTACCCTGTCTTCGCGATAGTTAACCGTCGCGTCCACCCCACCCACCAGGGTGTTTCGTGCACCGTGCTCCCCACCGGCCAGCCAGCGACATGTCGAAAATACCCCCAGTCCCACCAGCGGCCATGTTGTACCCCACCTCGGCGCACTCCTTCATGACGCTGATCGCCGACTCCCTCCGTCTGCGCAGCGAGACGCTCTGCATGGCGTTTATCTACACGAACAAATACCACCACTTCCACGCCTCCTCCGCGCTCCCGTCCCCCGCCGACCCACTGGACCCGCACGTAGCGTACCCCACCCCCTCCCCGCCCTCCCTACCACCCACTCACCCTCACAGACCCTCGCACTAGCCTCCCTCTCCCTCGCCACAAAAAGCACCGAGTCCCCGCGGCGCCTTCGCGAGTTCCTTCTGCCAGCATACGCGCTCCTGCAGCCGACCGCAGCGCCGCTGACGTTCCCGTCGACGCTGTACGATGCGCTGCGCGCCACCCTCGTCACCGCGGAGCTGATCCTGCTGCGCGTCCTGCGCTTCGATATCCGCCTGCCCCAGCCGCTGGACTACGTCCCGCGCTTCCTGTCGAAGGCGCTGGCCCTGCCGGGGACAGAGCACCTTGAGGGGCTGGCCGAGGACGAGCGAGAGGAGGTCAGCGTCGTGGAGGCGTCAGAGACCGCCCTGGGTAGGGAGGTTCGCGCTGTGGTCTTAATGGCGGTTAGGGATTATAGGCTCGTGAATCTTTTCACGGCCCGCACCGTCGCCGCAGCCTGCTTTTTTGTCGCGGCGGAGAGGATGGGTGTTGTCCTTGTGGGCGTCGACGAAACGGGGAGGGAGGAGTGGGTGAAGCGGTTGACGAGTGGGAGGGTCGAATTTGAGGATTTTGAGGACGCGGTGGAGGAGGTGGGGAAGGTACTGGGGCAGCCGCGGGAGGAATGATGATGCACATACGCTTCTTCACGTTGGAGTGCCAGAAGATTATTTGATCTACATATCTGGGAGCCACAGTTTACCCATGTATAATTTTAACAATTAATTTTCGGGCGTTCCGGATCTATCATATGACACTCACAGTCACCAGGGACAATCGAATGCCTTTGAATTTCATGGGGAATATTCACACCAACTGCATTAACAAGAGCAGTAGGTATTTCATTGATCTACCAACCCAAAACCAAACTGCTCCAATTTTTCCCGCAACTGGCAACTAGCACATCTAAAACCTCAGATCCCAACCAATCATCGGCCCGATCTTCGGCAGTTCCTCAGCCACACTCTGCACATCCTTATCACCACGGCCACTGAGGCAGATGACCAGGTCCTCGTCTTTGCCCATGGTCTTGGCGAGCTCCATGCCTCCATAGATAGCGTGTGCGCTCTCGAGCGCGGGGATGATACCCTCGAGCTCGGACAAGTTCTTGAAGCCCTCGAACGCCTGGGCGTCGGTGGCGGCAATGAACTTTGCGCGCTCCGTCTGCTTCCACGAGGACAGCTCTGGGCCGACGCCGGGGTAGTCGAGGCCGGCCGAGACGGAGTGGGTATCCGAGATCTGGCCGTCGGAGTTTTGCAGGACGTAGGTGCGCACGCCGTGGAGGACGCCGATCTTGCCGCCAGTGAGAGTGGCCGAGTGCCGGAGGGTGTCGACGCCATCGCCGCCGGCTTCCACGCCGAGGAGCTTCACGGTCGGGTCGTTGGTGAACGGATAGAACATTCCTACGCAGTTCGAACCGCCGCCGACGCAGGCGACTACGGCGTCCGGGAGCTTGCCGCGCGCGGCTTGCAGTTGCTCTTTCGTCTCGTTGCCGATGACGGATTGGAATGTGCGGACGATGGTGGGGAAGGGGTGCGGGCCGATGGCGGAGCCGATGATGTAGTGGGTGGTGGAGAGCTGGGTGACCCACGCGCGAAGGGCTTCGTTGACGGCGTCACGGAGAGTGCGAGTTCCAGCCTCGACGGCAATGACCTGTGCGCCGAGGAGCTTCATGCGAAAGACGTTGAGGGCCTGGCGGCGGACATCTTCGGCTCCCATGTAGACTGTGCACTTGAGCCCAAACTTGGCGCAGACGGTGGCAGTGGCAACACCGTGCTGGCCAGCACCGGTCTCGGCGATGATCTCGGTCTTGCCGAGGCGGATAGCAAGAAGGACTTGACCAAGGGCGTTGTTAATCTTGTGAGAACCGGTGTGGTTAAGGTCCTCGCGCTTGAGCCAGATCTTAGCTCCGCCACAGTGCTCGGTGAGCCGGTCGGCGTATTGGAGGTGCCCGGGACGGCCCATGTAGGGGTAGTAGGACTTGTACTCTTCCCAGAAAGCGGGATCGTTCTTGGCCTTGACGAAGCCGGCTTCGAGCTCGGCGAGACAGTCCATCAATGACTCGGGAACGTACTGACCACCGAATTCACCAAAGCGGTCGGGAATTGCCTGGTGGTGAATGTTAGTATGTGGATATATGGACGTGTGGATAGGATGGAGGAGTGCATACGTTGGGGTTGACATCTCCATCCACGTTCAAAGCCTCGATTTGATCCAGCAAACCAGCCTCCTTAGGAACATCCGCCTCGGTGATCACAGCAGTAGGGTGACCCTCCACATTCTCCACAGCCGCCACTTTCGAAATCACCTCTTCAATACCGACCACCCTGGTCTTCAGAGTCATATCCCGTCCGGTGATCCCGGCAGTGTATTTCCTGACAGCCTCCGGCCGCTCGCCCTCTGCAGCACGCTCGAGAACGGTGATGTACTGCGAGCCAATGACAACACCGTCGGCGATCTCTCCAACGGAAAGGAAGTGCTCCCGCGTGGACACACCGAATCCGACAGCAATCGGGACACCGCCGGAGTAGTCGTGCACACGCTTGCACAGCGCGGGAAGACCGGTATCGAGCGATCCAGTGGCACCGGTAACGCCCATACGTGAGACAACGTAGATGAACGAATCGGCGATAGAGCATAGGAGCTTCATGCGTGCGGGCGAGGTCGAAGGCGCAATCAATGGCACGTAGCTCATTCTATACTACTATTAGTTACTCAGTGGCATGACTATTTCCCAGATTGGGAGACAGACCCCTCAGCAGCGCAGAATCCTCGGAACTTGATGGCTTCCTCCGGAGGGAAGTCACAGACGATGAAACCGTTGACCCCCGCGGCCTTGCAGTCGCGGATGAGTCGCTGCTCGCCGTACTGCATCATCGGGTTGTAGTATCCCATGAAAAGAACAGGGACCTTGAGACCCTTCGCCCTGGCATCTCGTACGAATCCGAGAGACTGCGTTATCGTGACGCCATGTTTAAGCGCAATCTGAAGTTGTGTGAGTCACAACCATAACGAAACGTAACTCCGGAAGGATTTACGGTATTGGCTTTCTGGATGGTAGGACCGTCTGCGATCGGGTCTGTGAAGGGGATTCCGAGTTCGATAATGTCTATAGTTCAGCGCAGGCGGACAATGTCAGCTCAGCGGTGAGACAAGAGGGTTTCCTCGATTAAGGTCGCACCTGCACCACCCGCCTCCATTCCCAGCATGATATCGGGAGTCTCCTGTGGTGTAGGATATCCAGCAGTGAAGTATGCGACGAGGGCCCTCTACACAAAAAGAAGCCACCGGAGTATTGTCAGAAACGGATCAAGCTTGAAAACGTCTGCCTATGACGCCATGGCGGGGCACCAGAAAAAAAGGTCTGGCGACTGTCAACGGAGTTGAAAGGAACTCACTCTGCCCTCGTCCTTGCACCTCGCAAAAGTCTGTTTGATACCGTCTGCCATGATCTGTATGAGATTCTGTTTGAGACTCTTGAAAATGTGTTGTCGCTGTTGTTGGCGGGGTGGTGTTGAGAGCGAGACGAGACAAGCGGGTCTTTTTGTAGCTCCCATGGGCCTCATCTGCCCCACCACCGTACTAACTACAATACGGTTTCAATCGCGGCAAAGCTCGCCGCCCGCCGCCACCACTGGCGGGGTTAGGGGTGGATTTGGTGAAAAAACACCAAATCAAACGGCCGGCGCGCCGATTGTCCCCCCTGTGCCTGCATACAGCCGTGGTATTTGGTGATATATCACCAAACGCTTCTCGCTTGGGCGGTGATAGATCCCCCGGCGTAACGGGGGAGGCAGCTATGCAGGGCGGATGCGGAAGAAGAATTCTGATTTGCCGCTTGATATAGGGAGTTTAAGTCTTCAGAGTGGATCGAGACAACACGCAATAGCCCCGGAAGAGCAGGAGGAGTCATAGGGTAGGTACTCTACCGTAGAGTTCCTTCCTTCCGTGAGGACAGGCTTTTCCACGATCTGCAGAGAAGCGGGTCGACGTTCCTCCCGCTTATCTGAGGAACTAGAATACCGGTAACATCATACCAGCTTGTGGATACTTGGTTACATACAGCCCCACTAGAGTAGGTAGTCATAATTCGACGTCTTTGCTAGCAAGGCAATCCGGCCACTGCTCAAGCCACCATGATCAAGCGGACTTTTGGCTCGCTAATAGTCGTGGGCATTGGAGTGTTTGCTTTTCACGATCCGCTTCTATTGCCACCCAGCATCGTACAGAAATCCATGGAATCGCCGGGGCCGAAAACCTACTTAGCTATGGATTCAACTGCGCACTTTACGCGCGTCCATCTCCGTCGCACAACCTCACCTCACAAGTTACAGCATCCCAAAGTAAAGCTACACCCCGGGTTCACGAATGCGCATCCTCCCACGACCGTCACTTCTACCTCTCTTCTTTGCCCGCCCCCGGACACTGCGATTCATAGCAACTACAACTTTCCACGCTCCTCCGCCTCCTCCGCCAACGCCCCCGCTCACGAGGAGACCCCCGGCAACACTAGGAATCATGCCCGGCGGCGGCAACTCCCCGGTCACGGCGACGTCCAACAAGTCGTTCTACATGCGTGAGCTGCCGAAGGATAAGCTGGTGGGGTATGACACGCCGGAGGGGAAGGAGCTGTTTAAAGATGCTCTGTTGGGCGGAGGGCTGGAATCGTTCTTTCCGCTTTCGCAGCAGTTTTTGACGGTGAGTTTACCGCTGCTGTCGTGCATTGGGTGTGGCTGATGGGTATGCCATGGGAAGCAAAACGAGCCAGCTTGTAAGTGCACTTGAAGATGAGAGAGGCATATCTAGTGAACGCGATTAACGTCCCCGGACAGTCTGTGGCCTGGGAACCCTCTGCATGATTCTCAACGCACTCAAGATCGACCCGGCAGCGACGTGGCGTAAGCCGTGGCGTTGGTTCACACAGGAAATGCTGGACTGCTGCCGCCCGCTGGAATGGGTGAAGCAGAACGGCATCACCCTGGCGGAATTTACCTGTCTTGCTAAGTGCAACGGGCTCGACGCCACCACGCGCTATGCGAACCAGACAACGTTTGAGGAGTTTGAGCAGGCGGTCAAGGATTGTACGCAGAGCACGGATCAGCTGTTGGCAGTCTCGTATTCCAGGGCGTCGTTGGGACAGACGGGGAGTGGACATTTCTCGCCGGCGGCGGGGTATACGCCCATGAACGGTGGGATGGTTCTGATCTTGGATGTGGCGAGGTTTAAATATCCATCATATTGGGTCCCCATCCGTGCCCTTTTCGAAGCTCTCGTTCCACCGGACAGCTCCACCGGCCAGCCACGGTATTCCCTCTCCTCCTCTTCATCCTCCTCCTTTTCCCATCAATACTCACCCCCATACACAGCGGCTACTCCATCCTCCGGCGGCCATCCAAAGCGCAGCCCACACCAGCCCTCTTAACCCTTAACGCCACCACACCAATCTGGCCAACCCTGTACGAACCGCTCGCCTTCGCTGCCTCCAAACGCTCCTCCTACTCCTCGCTCATCAGCGAGCTCGCGCGAATCCTGGCGAGTCCCAGCGGCCTTCCCACCGTAACCTCACGCTTCACTACGACCAATGGCACCTCGGCGCTCACGCGTTCGCCCAGCTTCGACGTCACACTAGGCGCGCAAGCGCACAGCGACTACCGGCGGGGCGTAGCGCGGCTTCACCGATACTTCGCCGAGAACTCGACGCTATATGCTGAAATCAAAAACGCGGACGAGCTCTGGAAGACGGAGATCACAGTGTTCATGCTGGCGTTGCTGTCGTCGCGCGATCTGAAGGAGCGCATGTCGGAGGAGGTGAGGAAGCAGGTCGAGGAAAGGTTGAGGAGCGATCTGGAGGATGAGACTATCAAGGCCGAGGTGGCCATGGTCAGGAGACAGCTGGAGAGTCTGACGGATTGTTCGCTCGAGGAGGGGAGCTGCTCGAGGCCAGCTGGAACATGTTGTGGCGCGAAGAGCTGCAAGTGATGGATATCGTTGATTTTGTACCAATAGTGATGGATTGATCGCGTAGGATTGCAGAATGTATGTACTTGGACTATGATACGTGCTCGTAGCCCTCATGCAAGTCCAATAGTGATTCCGTATTGAGACATTAATTTCAACTGGCAGAGGAGGTACTGCTATCGACGCAATGCAAATATTTAGATGTGTGGTTAATTCTCGGGTAATGTAGGTAGAAAACACCACCATACGGAAGGCAGGAGCCGTTGCGTATTACGCCAAATTCACCATGGAGCAGACAGACGCGAGTGATGTACAGTGAACCAAATCTTAACTCCTCCCAGTCCCTAGTAAATACCCCTACAACAGCAGTAGACAACAGTAGTAGACAACATAAGAGAGAACAAGATAATTTACGAGAAGATGCTATGTTCGTACGCCCTCCAAACGCCAGTAAAAAAAAATCTCTCAATCAGACCAAACAAATTAGATAGAATACAAAAAAAAGCAAAAAAAGAAAGAAACCCCCGCAATGCATCCCGGGTGGCTTTTTCAACCACCACGGCTCAGGTCGATGTACCGAGGACTCGCTAGATGTTATTAGTACTAGATTTTCTGTTTCTTGGTTTTTGTGGTACTCACCGCTCTCGTACTTGTTTGCAATGTACTGCGTTGGGTCCTTGGCGAGCCATTTTACAAACTCCTCGATGTGGTCGCGGAGCTTGCTCATGGCCTGAGAGTCCATGTTGGTATGGGCCAGCAGCTCTGGCATTGAAACTGTTTCTCCGTTAGTCGGGTTGGGATAAAAAAGTAGTAGTGGCTGCATACCACAGAGCCGCAAGAGGTGCTCGGCACCGTAGATGTCGCTCGGATCTTTGTGGGGGTGTTCCTTGCGGATCTCAAGGAACTGCTGTCTCTCGAAGCGGTAGAGGAGGATGGTTCCCAAGCTCTTGTCGAAGTAGAGCTTCAATCCCGCGATGATCTCGTCGAAGATATCCGACTCGGCGCTTCCGGGGCGTTTCTTAGGTAGACTGGCCTTGTACTTCTGGAGGATTTGCGTAACGTTCGGATCCTTCGGCAGAGGCACCAGCTGCTGATTCTTGGTGACGTTCTCCCAGTCGTCCACCAGAAGCGCCTTGAGGGAATCCGGTATGGCGATCCTGACGTCGTGGCGCTTGAGGTAGTCTTCCTCCTTTTCAATCTCCATCTCGCGGCCTCGCTTCTGACCACGCGGCGGGAGTGTGGTCCCAGGGTCTTCGGACCCAGCCTTCGAATTGAGCTTTCCCTTTGTCTTTCCGTCGAGCCCTCCGCCTGCTCCTCCGGCCACACTTCCTCCACCCGCGTTGGTCGTGGCTCCGGTCTTGTTCTTTGACGGCTTCGAGTTCTCGTTGAGTTCCTTTTGCATCCGAAGGTTTTCCTCGTTCATTTTACGTAGGCGATCGGCGGGCACAAATTCATCCCATCTGTATGTTCGCGCAAGTAGTGAGCCTTCGTTAGTACTTATTCTAGCTAGCCTCGTATTTTTTTTCGTGGCGGCATCCTGCGCGATCCTTGCCAGGCCGTAGAAACGGTCGGGGAGTCGGGAAGTCGGGGAGTCAAAGGAGGGAGGATGAGAAGGGACACTCACGTATTCTTCCAGCCTTTGTAGTGAATCTTATACTTGGTAGGTTCCTTCTTATCCTCTGGCTTGGTGATTTCAAGCACCTTGGCTTCATACAGCATAGGGCCGTGAAAACAGAGGACGCGTTCCTGAACGTCGTAAGTAAGAACTTTCTGCGAAGCTGCGGGAGGCATGGTGTTCTAGGTTTCTTTTCTTTGTGGAGGGGGATTAAATCGCGGGTAATGAATGGGGTGATTGCCGGTACCGATATGGGGTGGTTGGGAAGAACTGGGATGAGAGTATGTGGGGAGGGGTTGTGGATGGGGTTGTGGATGGAGGGTTAGTTGTATGTAGAAGGCGAGTGAGTTGGGAAGTGATGGATGTGGAGATAGAGTGGTTGTCGCAGGGAGCCGCGGTATTGAATGGTTGCTGCAACAGCCAGAGGACACGAAGATGTTAGTCTGTAGGTAGCTGTGGGACTGCAAGAGCGATGGATGTTGAGAGTGTGGAGGGGAAAGCTATGATGGGTGTTTAAGTTAAGTTGAATGATGGCTGAACAGTCAAGCGAATGGAATCCACAGCAGCCCTCTGGACCCGCGCTCTAGTGTCTTTTTCTCGTGATTCACACGCGACGACGCGTGCCGCAACATCCCGGGTGAGCCAGGGGGAAAGCTTACCCTCTCATCCAGCACGTGAGAGGACATTCTGACGCGACACTGTTAACTAAAGCTTCTGTCCAACTAGAACTTGCTTGGTTACTCTACTCCAAAACGAAACACATCTGACCCACGAACCACTCTGCAATCTCTTCGACTCAATCGTACAGACTCCACCTCCCTTGACTCTCGCATCCGTATCATCGCGCCCGGGCAACTATGTCCTCCAAGAAAACCGCCGCCACCGAAGCTCAAATCCTCACCTCATTCCTCCTCTCCCGGTCCACGCTCAAGGACATCATCAGCTTCCGCGAGTTCGCCGAGCTCTTCCCGCGTGAGAAGCGCAGTCATCCCCAGGTGAAGCACCTCTACCGCGTACTCTTGTCCCTGCGCCAGCGACAATGCGAGCAGGTGCGGCGGAAGATCCAGAGTGAGGCTGCTACGGTGATTAAGCGCGTGAAGGAGGGGAGGAAGGGGGAGGTTGATGAAGAGGCTATGGTTGGAATTGAGGTGCGTTTCTACCTTGCGTCGAGTGGGAACAGGGGAAGGCGATGCTGATGGGCAATAGTTGTTCGGTGCTGCGCCCGAAGAGAATATGCTCCCGCTCAAGGAGCTACTGAAGCAGATGGAGCGTGCGGCGGACGATTTGGAGATCGAGCAGGTGACGATAGGTGACGAGTGCGATCTGATACTGGAGGAGCTACGGAATATCGTTGGAGATCTCAGTGATCTGCGGTATGGAAAGCTGGCGTCTTCAGCAACTGAGGAGCAGGTTACCAGGGAGATCAATCATCTCGTGTCTGTGTGTGAGAACATCGGGGGTACTGCCACCGCCACCTAGAGACGTTGGATCACCGTAAAAAAATCTGGGTCGTGACGGTAAATGAGATCAAAGAAAATCTGCACCAAACCGGCAGGATTACAACGCGTCCGGCTGGGAAAGGAGGGTGGGAAGGGACGGAGGAAGGGAGGGTGGGCAGGCAATCCGACGTATATCTTGAACTTCACAGTTTTCGACCAGAACTCTTCACGCCGAATAAACCCCAACTTCCCAACCGAAGGCCACTGGTCACCCGCTATGTACCGTGCGCCAGCACTATGCTTTCCTACTTCCTGAGATTTTGAACCCTTTCCCGTGAGATTTGCTCTAAAACTGATGGAGAACGAAAGTATAATCTAAAGGGTAGGCACCATTGCGGTCCATCCGGTTGTCGAGAGGGGAGGGCGATGGGGCAACCTTGTTCCAGAGAGTCACCCAGCTGCTGATAATTGAGAGGGCTTGGAATGGGGAGTTGGATAACCCCGTTAGTGTTATTACGCATGGTGAGGTATCTACACGTGCGAGACGGGATGAGTCTGTGCTGAACTATCGATAGCCGACGGGAGAACTTCAACGGATATGTGAAGACGCTAAAATAACGCATCCTCGCTGAAGTTCAACAAGCTATTCACACCCAGCAAATGTAAATACGGTCGATCTAGAACGCCCTCTAGTTTGCAGGTAGGCGATAAGTTAGTTAGGTGTCAATGGGAGTCTGAGAGCACCGTGATGCGATCACGATGTATTTTCCGCGCACGTACGTTTAGCCTTAGGCTGGATAGGGGCTAGGTATAGGACTGAGATTGGGAGAGAGCCGAGACCTGGAGTACATATGAAGTTTCGATTTGGCGGTTTTTTGGCTTTGGGGCATCATGGGAATGGGAGGTATGGGCAAACAATTATGGTATGTTTGCAAGTGAGCATGAATTTTGACCGCCTGTGCGAACCACCCCATTCCCGCGCCCAATACATGGCGCATTCATATCGACGTAACTAGAACCGAAAAAGAGAGCACATTCCGCCAGCTCCAGAGAAACTCCGACCAAGCTTTATCTTCCAATCCATATCTTACAATTGCTATCCAGAAACTTGCGCTGCATAAACGACAGAAAGCCCTTCACAACTACGACACACGACAGCCCGCTACTCCGCCTATTCCATCCCACGTATACGGTCGTACGTTAAAAAAGATAGCTAAACAAGATCGTAGGTAGATATTGAAATTATCTTCCGGTAGCATCACCGACAGTTCGTACGGGCATGTTTCTGGGGGCGGGCTGGGTGCCCATGCGGGAAGCGGTCAGGCGGCTCCTGTATTCGAAAGAATTGGTTAGCAAAATGGATACTCAGGAATATTCATCAGTGGCAACTTACGTGAAGGTCCTGCCGATCAGCGAGATTCCAACCATGAAAAGCCACTGTGGGATCATCTCATAGTATTGAAGAGCCTGGGAAAGGATGGGTGCGTAATCCTTCAGCTGGCCGGTGATGGGATGGAAAAGACCGGTCCAGGGCTCGAGATTCTTCCATTCCCTCTCGGTGTAGAGCTTGGTGTGGTATGCGGGCTGTTCGTTGATCTCGGTAATGTTCTTCCACATGGGAATACGGCGGAAATCAGTGGTGCCGTTGTTGACGTACGTAGCGACATGGTAGAAGACGGGGAGCTTGTTAGGCGCGTTCAAGAAGAAAGTATGGCACAGTTCTGTCGCCTCGGGCGCAGCGCAGTCAATCTTTCCGAAGTTCAGCTTCGACACTGGTTTCACTATCGACATCGCGCGGACGGTGTCCTGTTCCACTAGATTAGCTCCATACGGTTCCAAGACCCGCCCGCAAGAACACATACGTTGTAAACACCATCCCAATAGGTAACATTCTTATCGCCAGTTGAATTCGCAGCAGAAGTAGTGAAGTAAAAGTACCACTCTTTAGCAGCGTCCTCACCCGCAGCAGGATCAACGGCGACATCGATGTTGTTTCTCCAGTTCTCGGAGGTAATCTCATACGTGTTCTTCAGCACTGGCGTACGACTCGGGATCGCGGAGCCAAGCGGCTGCTGAAGCGCTCCGCCAAAGGCATTCTTGAAGAAATCGCCAAATTGAGCGTTGACAGCTGTCGCTGCCAGAGATAACGGGAGCAAGAGTGAAACGGCGCGGACCATGACTGTGATTTTGATGGGGTTAAGGTACGGAGGGCGATGGAAGATGCCGATCGTAAATCGTGAGACAAGGTAATCCCGTTGGGTAAATGGGAGTTCGTTTGAATGTTTGTTTGTCTGTGGGCGTGTGTGGAGGCAGGTGAGGTAAAGGTTATGGTGGTAGGTGCATACGTACGCGATGGGAGGATCTGTGTGAGGGTGTCACTTGTGGTGGGCGTGGCAGGGAGCAAAGGACACAGCGTACGTAGCGGCTATGTAGACTCCGGTCTGGAGAGCTACAATAAATGTAAAACCCTACCGAGTAAATTTATGAGGAAATACAACTGCGCATTCTCCATGCCCACCACCAGCCTTTGTCTCCTACATTCTGCATCACTTCAAAAGTATTCACAGGCCGAACCCCACAAGACGCTCGAACGGCTTTAGGTCTTGGCATCCAATTGGGTTGAGTCACTGTATCTCCTTCCATGAAGTTTCACTCTCACGGCAAAATTCCTGTACATCCTAGCAGCTATTCGTCCACTCATACCATGTAACAAGTGACGTCACTCTCTCGGCCCTCGACGGCGTATTTCTGGAGGAGATCCGGGTATGTCAGACTTTGGGGGAAGTCAGGAAACTGGCTAGGACTCAGAGCACCAGTACCAATTGTTATATGTGTGATGAAATGTGGGTGGAAAGATTATATGAGTGTAAGTGGTGGGTTCTTTGTTGTGTGAGGTTGTGGAAGAATGGGAATTTAGAAAAGTAATTCTGCCAATCACTATATGTCACTTGATTATTGTATTCCGTTAAAATGGAATCACCTTGGGCTAACGTCTATTGGAATGCTCACCAGAAGTTGTTTGTCATAAGCAGTGCAATGCTTTGCAAAGCCTTGCACAGTTGAAAGGATTTACCTGATCCTGGAATAATATTTTAGTTATTTAGGTATCAGGCGGGGAATGGAAGGCGGCATGATAAATCGACCGCTGTTTTTCAGTTTTTCAGCTTTCAGTGATCCTGGCCTCAATTTTCCTAGAGTAGGTACGTTCCGCAACTCGCTCATTTCGAGCGAACAGTACGAGCCTTAGTCCGTCCCCTCTACCTTGCACTGCCCAGCATCAAGCAACAGTAGGAGACGAAGCGCCGCTCGCCCTCCACGCCGAGAGGATCAAGTCCACGATCTCGGGCATACCCTTACCATGCTTAACCTGGGCGAAGATGGTAGGCCCTCCCTCACGCATCTTCCTCGCATCGCTGTCCATCACGTTCAGATCTGCGCCGATCAACTCAGCCAGGTCTGTCTTGTTGACGATTAGGAGATCGGACTGCGTGATTCCTGGTCCGCCCTTGCGGGGAATCTTGTCGCCGCCTGAGACATCGATCTAGAGAAAAGAGCAATCGAGTGAGAATGCGTGATGTGTCAGTCGAAGGAGGTAAAGGACATACGACGTAGATGATGTAGTCTGCCAACTCGCGTGAGTAGTTTGCGGCCAGGTTGTCGCCCCCGGACTCAATCAAGAGGAGTTGGGTGTTGAACTGTTGGTGCAAGTCCTCGAGTGCGTGGAGGTTCTGAGAGATGTCCTCACGGACTTGTTTTTATTCTGTCAGTGAGATCGGGAGGGTGGTGTCGGAGAAGGGCCAATACCTGCGGCATGCGGGCATCCTCCGGTCTCAATGGCCTTGATACGTTCGGCTGGAAGAGCTTCGTGCCGGACAAGGAATTCTTGGTCCTCCCTGTGGCCAGTTTTAGCTATTGGTCCAAGACGCCAAAGGCGAGCTGAGCTTCAACGGATTACCTCGTGAAGATATCGTTCGTCACAGCGGCAACAGAGTACTTGTCTCGCAGAGCTTTGCAGAGCGCAAGCATCAATGCAGTCTTTCCGGATCCGACAGGTCTAGATACAGCTCAATGTTAGAGTTGCTCATATGTTCTCCGGCCTATAGGGTGTTTATACCCTCCAATTCCAACAGTGAAAGCCCGCTCGGACCAATCTCTGCCCTCGATAATTGGCAGTTCCCGGCCAAGGTATGATCCAGGCCCGTCAAGAATCTCGTGGGAGTGGCCGTGGTCTTGTACATGTCCGTCGTGCGAGTGGCCGTCGTGGGTGTGGTCCGCCATCGCAAAGGGTATAAAACTACTGGGAAGAATTGAGTTTTCTGAAGGAAAAGTGACGAATTACTGAGAGATGAATGAGATGAGCGATGTCAAGATTCAAGATGTCTGTCTCTAATTCCTCAGCCAGCGCCGGGATATGGCGGGGTTGCATCGACAGCGGGGTGTTCCACCACTTGGCGGGCTAGACTAGAAGTGATTAGGGCTCTTCACCACTCACACGCGACAACCGACAAGGCAAGGGTTGCACCAAGCAGAAAGAAAAAGTTTGAATTCATATTCACCGCCCACCGCCTACCCCCACCAACATTTCTTTCGCCAGAACAGCCACCACCAACAACCAATAACGTGCGCCATGGCCTGCCTCAACTGCACCGCTCGAGCTCTCCGCCTTTTCATTCACGGCCCTCCGCCCACGATTGCATCCCCACTCCGTCACAATGCCCTCCGAAACCCACTCGCACTACAGGCCTACCCAAAGCGACTCCTGCAATTTCAGCAACTCCGCCGAGAGTCAACATATGTGACGAATCATGAGCAAGCACAGGCCATCGGCACCGACGATGATTACCTCCCCTTTGTAAATACTTCGACTGCGGACGAAGGCGACGGCGATGGGGTAAACCTGGTCGCTCAAATGCATCGCCTGCCTCCGCCACCGCCGCATATGGAGCCGGAGATCGTGCTCACGGGTGAGGGGAAGGAGGGAAAGTTTGCAGGAGAAGTTAAGGACAGAAAGAATCGTCCCCCCGTGCGGGCAGCGCTTCGGGAGAAAGACAGCCACAGCACACAAGGCGAACCTTTGCCAGCAAAGAAGCCACGGACTCGAGCATTCACAAGCAGTTATGAAGCAGAAGAGCGGAGGTTGGCTGCTGAGGAGCCAGAGACGACGCCGGTCGAAACAGCGAAGACATCGTGGGGTGATAGCCGGAAGGGCAAATGGGATTTACCACCGGTCGAAGACGCCGTATCGCCGCCGATGACCGAAACAAGGCTCCAAAGCTACATCAAATCTGCGGGAAAGCGCGAAGTCGAAGCATGGAGAGTCCAAAAAGCGGCGTTGGCGGCGAAGTTCGGTGCCACGGGTTGGTCACCGCTGAAGAAGCTCTCTCCCGAAGCAATTGACGGAATCCGGTCCCTTCACGATCACCATCCTGATATGTTTCGCACCCCAGAACTAGCAAAATTGTTCGAAGTCTCCCCGGAGGCTATCCGGCGCGTACTAAGGTCGAAATGGCGGCCGACGGCGGATGAGCAAATGGATAGGATGGAGAGGTGGGAGAGACGCGGACGCGCGATTTTCAACACCAAGGTGGATCTCGGGGAGGTGGTGACCAAGTCGATGAAGAAGAAAGAGCGCAAGTCGAGGGAGAAGACGCGGGAGCAGAAGTTTGGTGGGTCTCTGATGGAAAGAGGTGCATTCTCGGACCGGATCTTGTAACGAGAGACTTTGGACAAGTCAGTGTGTATGATTCATATTGGTGCCTCTAGCGATTTTGGCGGTGATACTCGACTCGGTCTAGTGGTCCGCGGTCTATGTAAATGATACTGATACTTTATGCGAAAGGCCCGATGTTGTGTTGGTTCATTTGTTCATTTCGTCCCATTGACTTGAACTCCGGAGAATTGCTGTTCTCAAACATGAATCGATCGTCATTGGGACTGCGCTCTTGTGATGTCCTCATAGAATAGCACTCGTGACTCATGCGAGTATGTAGCGCATTTAAAAGGACCGGAAATTGAGCAGAAGTTCCTTTTGCCGACACTTCCTCTAGCGACACGCACAATACTCTGCTCTACCTACATCCTCCTCTGTACATATGTACATACGGATGCTTATCCACCGGCGCCTCGGCATCTCCTCCATCTGCAGCCGTTATCCCATGATCCACTACTACCAGGTAAAGTTTGCCACTGTACATGAGCTGGCACTCGGCCTAACCCGTTTCTAGAACCTCCCACCTATATAGCCCCCACCTACTGCCGCAATTAATGATTAAACAAAAAATAAAACCCACCTACTGCCATAAATCGATGTTCGCTCTCTCCTCCCCCCCACCAACTGCCAGTGCATTTTCTATTAGGGCGTCCTATTCTTTTAGAACAGAGTAGTTGCCCGGGCGGCGGACGGGGGAAGTTGTTTGCTGCATCGAGCCAGTAACTTTCTGGACTGCAGACAGGACTAGGTAGAGCAGGAGTAAATACATTTTGCCGTGATACCGGTAGACTCATAGGGATGTACAGTAGACAGGTCGCATGCAATACCCACTTATGAGGAAACCAAAAAGCAAAAACCCCCACCCGTCGGTGAATACTTCACCCATTCGGTAGTGCCCAGACCAGATTCTGCACCTTTTTTCCCTTCTTTTTGCGCCCGGTTGTTCGGCAAACGCTCTGGCGCCGCGCCCAGCCCGGTTCAGCTCGCATGATATGGCCTGGATGCCTGCCAGTGATGGATACGATGACCGGCTCTCCATGATTTCCCCCGCAATTTCACCCAGCAATACTTATCGAGACGGACGTTTTCGATCAGCTACCCTACCTATATAACTGAAGATACCTACTGGATCAAAAGAAAAGCAGATTTCAATACCATCTACCTACGTCGAGCGTGTACATATTTTTCACACTACCTATGTCATCGAGATCACCGCCACCGTCGGCGGACAAGGAAATCCTCGATCTATCTTCCGCCTCCAGCAGCTCAGACTCACCAATAGCCTCAGCTCACCTCCTCCCAAAGCTACTCCCTCCAGACCGTAGCATAACACCCGCCCCCGATGGCCCCATCTCGCCGCCCACCAGCTTCCTCACGCGTACGCGCGCGCGTCTGTGGTCGAACCGCGGGCTCTTCCTAATCCTCATATCGCAATTCTTCGGCAGTCTGATGGCGCTCACGGCGCGGCTGCTCGAAATCGGCCCGCAGAAATTCCACGCGCTCCAGATCCTCTTTGTGCGGCAAACCATCACTGCGGCCGGCTGCTTTTTGTGGATGTGGTACCGCAGTGTTCCGCATGCGCCGCTGGGCGCAAAGGAAGTGCGGTGGTTGCTGGTGGCGAGAGGCCTGGGCGGATTTTGGGGCGTGTTCGGACTGTATTATTCGCTCACGTATCTGGATCTGTCCGATGCCACGGTGATCACGTTTCTTGCGCCGATTGTGGCGACGTGGGCCTGTAGTGTTGTCCCTGCGCTTAAGGAGCCGTTTACGAAACATGAGTTTGGCGCCGCCATGGTGAGTTTTGTTGGTGTTGTGTTGATTGCCCGCCCCGGGAGTCTGTTTGCGAGTTCTGCGGGAGAGGTGGTGGCCGAGGAGAAGAAGAAAAATCAGGGTGGTGGAGAGGATGTAACTCCCCATCAACGCCTGGTCGCTATTCTGGTTGCGCTTGTCGGAGTTCTTGGAGCTGTAAGTATCCTGCTCCCTCAACATAATCTCTCTAATAGATAAATGCAGGCCACTGCATTCACGACTATCCGCTGGATCGGTAAGCGCGCACACCCGCTCATCGCGGTTAACTACTTCGCATCGTGGTGTGCAATCGTAGCACTGGTCTCACTATTAGCCATACCACAAATCGGCGGGATCATCTGGCCGGTGTCGTGGTACCAATGGTTACTACTCATTGGTATCGGCGTTAGCGGGTTTATCATGCAGTTTTGTCTCACCGCCGGACTGCAGTTGGAGAAGGCGGGACGGGGAACGAATATGGTGAGTTTAACTACTGGCGATTAGTGGCGAGGAAAGAGCTGATGAAAAAATAGGTTTACAGCCAGATGCTGTTTGCCCTGTTCTGGGAGAGGATTGTTTGGGGGACTTCGCCCGGCTGGCTCAGTATCGCCGGCAGTGCGCTGATCCTCAGTTCCGCGGTGTATGTTGGCACGCGGAAATCGAAGGAGAAAGAGCCACCAGCGCCTACCAGAGATGAGGAGATCGGGTTGATGACGGATGTTCAAAATGATGAAAGTAGTCGTTGGGGAAGCTCCGAGGACCAGAGAAGGGCATAAATGGATGAATGACTTTTTGGATAGACTCCAATCATGATTGAATGGATATACCTCTGTATTTAGAAGCACTCTTAGTTAGGCGGCATTTGAGCCCTTGAAGCAGTAGATGACGCACAAGAAGAACATGAAACCCTTAACGCCGTTACCAATATACAGGCCTGAAGATGAAGAAGCAATTGATACCTCAAGCTCACCGTAGCCCCCGCACTCACGCCTGCACCTGCACCCCTGGCCTCCACCCATCTGCAATCTTTTTAACCTCTGCCAGAAACTTCCGGCTTTCAATCGGACGCGTCTCGTCGTTATCAAAGAACGGATTGCAAACGAGTGAGATATACGCCGTCTGGATGGCACGGAACACCTATCCACACACCCATAATTAGCCCCTTGACCTGTCACCCGTCGCTCGTCGCCCCTCTATCCCGTACATACCCCCTTCATCTCTCCCTCCCGAACGCCAATGCCCTCCGCATCCACCCCCTCCGAAACCGGCGTCTCAACGGCAACCACAAACTTCACGCCGGTATTCGTAATCCATCCATACAGCGCGCAAGTATCGTCGACGGCATAGAGAAGACCGAAATCACTGTCACCGCCTGCCTTCGATGGCTGCCGCGCTTGGAACACATCGAGCGTTGTGTTCACGAGGAAGTGGTACGAGAGCGTGTCGCGTCTGCTGGAGGACGTGGGGTAGGTCGAGAGGTGGAGCGGCGAGTTCTGGAGAATGTTAGTAGAGAATGGGGAGAAGGAGAAGGACGAGGAGGACGGCGGGACGTACTTTCTTGCCGATTATGGCGATGCAGGTGATGCGCGGGGTTGTCATCGTTGCTTTTATGGTTGCTCGGTGGCCGTGGAGCTGGTGGGAGCTTGGGTCGGTGTTGTGGACCCATCAACCCGTTGGCGAGGCGCTAACTACGCTAAAACCCGTGGATGCGAGTGATGATATGTGAGTCTAAACCTCACTATGCACCGAAGGAACCTGAAGCAGCACAAGAGCTCCATAGTACATGTTCACGAACTACTCTACAATTCCTACAATCTCTGCTGTTGTCAATGTTCAAGTACTTGGATGCAGATGGAAGCAGTCTCGGTAGGAGCTCTTCATGTTCTACGATTATTTATCTTTGATCACGGTCCACGGTCTCATCATCAAAGAAAGCACAAGTCATTCAAAAACATCTATTGTACACTACTCAAGTAGGGGGAAGGGGGGGTGTGGGGGTCGCCAATCCCCACAAACCCACGCTGACGTTAAACGTCCAGCGTCGGCGCCGCACCAACCTCCATCCTGTCAAGGATGTAGCCTGGGACCTTCGGCTCCTGGCCCACCAGCGGAAGCTTGGTGCTGATGACCGCCATCCCGGGGAATCCCTCCCTTAGGAGGAGTCCCCCGAGATGACTCTCATGCTCGCGCCACTCGTACTCGGACGGCATGGAGTCCGGGAAGTACGAGTGGCGGAACTCAGCGAACGCGCTACCGAACTCCATCTCGAACTGGTCCTCGATGACGCCCTCGGGGAGAACCCACCCCTGCTTCCTCGCCCAGTGGCGAACCACACGGAAGAGAAGGATGACGCTTCGTCGGTCAAAGTCCCAGACCGCGCGCTTGAGAACCGCGTGGAAGCGGTTGCGGAGGGTCTGGGAGCCGAAGACTACGGCCTTGAAAATGTGCGGCGGCTGGTTCCGCAGGAAGCCCCGGCCGAAGACTATGTAGTCGAAGCCCGGATAGTCGTGGAGCACAGTCGTCTGCCAGTAAAGGTAGACATTCGCATTCCCCCTCGTGCGGAGAGGTCCCGAGTACATGGGCGGGTGGTAGTCCGTCCTGTAGGGAAGCCCATCGAGGCCGCAGAATTGCCAGTGCCCACCGTCGGCATAGCGGCAACGGTCGTCGCAGAATCTGGTGGCACTGTTGACACCGCAGATTAGGCATACGACCGAGTTCTCGTGCGTGAGGAGCGCCCGGCAGTGGAAGCACTGGAATTTGAGCGAGCCGAGGCGGGCATCCTTGACGACCGAGAGGAGCTCAAGAGGGATCTTCGGAAATCCGAAGTAGCCGACCATGTCGCCTCCGGAGATGTGGTATGCCGTGCCCCTGTGCTCAGCAACGTCTCTTGTGCCGTTATACCAGGGCGGTATGAACACCTGCGGCTGGTATGGAAGAGTGAGGGCGTTCGAATAGGTGAGTCCTGGAGGTGGTGCCATGGACTGGCTACACTGCTGGGAAAGTAAATTGTACGGACCAAACTGATGGGGGTGGGGATTGGCGGGGCTCCAATGCATCCTCTGCTCATTCGGAGCTTGAAGAAACCCATTATTCTTGGGACCACGGATTCTCTGGCGGTTCTGACCATAACGACCACCGCGGCCACCGCGGCCACTAGGGCTACCGCCTCGCTGAGCATACTGACCACCGGAGGATCTGCTCAACTTGCCATGAACAATTTCCACAGAGCAATCTTCGCGGTCGTTGTTATTCCGGTTGTCCTGACGAGAAGGTGCCAAGGAGCTAGAAGGCGAGGACTTGGATAGCAAAATCCGAACACGGTCTGCAAACCCAGGTCCTTCCTGAAGACCTTCTCCCGTTGCGTTGGGATCCTCAATGTAAAAGCCTTGGGCCGAGATAGTAGGGCCAGTAGTATACTTCTCAGTATGGATGGTAAGGTCATCGTGATGCTCCTCGACTATGATAGTAGGTATTTCCAAGGTCGAAGGAGCCAACGGTTCAGCGTGGGATTCCCGATGATTGCATTTGGGTTCTTCGAGCCCGGAAGCCTCCTTGACCTTCAATTCGACCTCCACATTCACTAGAGGCTTCTCCGGTATCAGCAGCGCATCATCAGAACCAATTTCGATAGCTGATTCCTTCTCTGGCTCGAACAAAGAAACTTCAGAGCCACCCTGGACAATATGCAACTTCTCTATCACGGGCAAGGAAGCATCCGAAACAGCGTTAACGACTAGTTCCTCCTTAGAGACGAGTGGATAAACAGCGTTGACGTCTGGTTCTTCTTTAGAAGTGAGCGAGACAACATGAGTTCCAGCGGCGGAAGTATGTTCCGTTTCCAATATGGGCGAAGAACCCTGCGAGGAAACTTCGGCCACAGGTTGATTCTCGACGAGTGTAGGTGCCCCTATAACATCTTCGACAGTCTGGTCCGTCTTCGCGGCGGTTCTCGGCGGCTCTGGCTCTTTAGGTGGAGCCGTTGTATCATTCTGAATGGAAGGATTGACAGACTGTAGCTTCTTATTTGCCCTGTTCTTCTTTTTGGGACGAGGAGACTTCTTGCGCCTACCAGCCTTCTCGACAGGTGAAACATCCGGACCCGGCGAATTCATGACGATGCTCGGTTTAATCTGCTTCTTCCAGAACATATGCGGAATTGCGATGTAAACCTTCGATGGACGATGAGGTTTGCGATCTTGGACTTCTATTACAGCAGTGTTCGGGATAAGCGCAGTAGAAGCCAGTAGAAGCCTATCATCGACGAGATTAGAATTTTCGTCTTCCAAAACAATAACCTCAGGAGAGTGGCCCAGGGCCGGAGTCTGTAGCATTTCAAGGTCTGTTTCGACTGAAGCCCCATCGCACTCAATCTCGACGTCAGCATCAGAAGGCAAGACGATCTCCTCAGACGCTTGATCGATGGGGTCCAGGACTTTGGAAGCTCCTGTGGCGCCAACCGCTTCCACCGTATCGCCAGCTCCAGAAGTCTGTGTACCGCAAACTTTGACAATTCTATCTGATTCGACGGAGTGAGCGACATTCTCGATCTCGACAGTCTCAGTGAGATCGGAGTTCTCGGTGATCACAATAGCTTCGTCGACTTCAATGTTTTCGATGATGCCGGTGACATTGGGAACTTCTACGCTCTCAGTGAGATCGGAGTTCTCGGTGGTCACAACAGCTTCGTCGACTTCAATGTTTTCGATGATGCCGGTGAAGTCGGGAACTTCGTCAGTCTCGGTGGCGACGATGTTGACAACATCATCGTCTAGCTCGGCGATCTCAGAGTTCACTGCCGGGCCTATAAACTCGGTAGTACCCTCCGCCTCGTGACTCTTTAAGGTCTCGATACCAGAGCCTCCACATTCCTCGGTATAGAGATATCGTTCCGAGTCCTCGGCAAATAACTTGGCATCAACATAGACAGATGCGCCTGATTCTGATCCAGAGCTGCTCTTAGAAGAGCTCGAGCTCGAATATACTGGCAAGGAGCCTGGTATCGCCATGAGATCTTCATACTCGGGTTGGCTCAGCTAGAGATGCATCAGTTAAAAGTACACTGGAGGGAATTGGGTATGGAGTTCCAGAATGAAGTTCACTTACATTATGATCTTCGGGAACCAGATTATCCCAAACTCCCTGGTGCCGCTCGAGGAAATCCTTCTGACTCTCAGAATGCGGAGTCTCAGATCCGAATCTTCCGGTATTCTCTTGACGGAATGCACTGGGATTCCACAAGCATTTAAACATCTTAAACGGAGTCGGAACAGGGGCAGCATCTTTAGCGGCGTCCTCGACCACCTTGGCCGTCATTCCCAGCGCTTCCGGTGAGCCCGACAAGGATCCCCAACTGCTGCGAGCATACCAGGCGCGCATACCGCTATGGACCCAAGGGGTATCGCGGATCCTGGCCTTAGTGAGCTCACGACGAATTTGCAACTTGGCGGCCGCATCCTCTTTCTTCTTGTCTGTCATGGCCGGCACTTCGGGATGTTGAGAACGCCACTGGCGAAGTTCAAGATTCTCCCACAAATTATTGCGTGGCTTGTGGGTACTGAGAGCGAAAGGATTCTCTGTGGCCAAATGTTCCTCCACCGTGGACGCATCTCCGGAGGTACTCAGGACTGATTCATCAAACTTGTTAGCACTCCACTTTTGAACCATAATATAAGCAGGGAAAGGTTACTTTTCTCATCATGAACAAGTCCGCAAGGCTCACCCATGACCAGTTCTGCCTTTTCACCCTCGGAAAACCGATCAGGAGTATCCGATTTGAGTTGCTGGTCCACCGCAGTAAGATTTTTCAAGTCCACGCCTGGAACTTTAGAGATCCCCTCGGCCAGATCTGTATCGCCAACGATGGCCGTGGCGTAAGCGCATCCTTCATCCTCGCTCGCATCAACTGGCCAGGGTTCTTGGGGATCGGTCATGATCACATCGTCCTTCTCATCTATGAAGGTCATTGTAGCCTCACTATCGCCGTCCATATCGTCATCCATGGAGATTTCCGTAGAGGCATGCAAGGTGAACTCCTCCGCTGAATCAAGTGGCATCGTAACAGCGTCCGTCTCGGTCGACTCGTCAACCGTGGCCAGGGTATCAGCAATTTGGAGTGCTTCGGCCTTCGCCTCCTTCTTCCGGACCTGGTACAGCGCTTTACCATTCTTTCCCCTGTGGCTCTTTTTGCCCTTCTTTTTGGAAGGCTTCTTGGACTCGCCCTGTGGGCCGGATGGGATGGTAGTTCTGGCAACACTGAATGTGCCGTCGAAATTGTTCTATCGAGCATTAGTTCAAGCATCCAAATGGGAAGATTTTGATCTGGGCGACTTACCTTGATTCCCAACGGATTCGCCTCGGAGACCAGATCCGCAGAAAATTCACCACTGATGACTTGCCACAGCTCCATGACCTGGCTTGTGAAACGCATGGCGAAGGTTGCTCGTGAAAAATGTATCATGGCCTTAAGGCACATAATGTTATCCCCTTTGTACCTGCCGTACTCGTTTTTGTCGTCAAGCTCAGCGATCCAGTGACTGATCGTCTGGTCCAACTCGTCGTTTAAAGGGGGAACAGAAGCATCTAACTCCATGATACCCCGCTGGATAACATTCTCAATGAAGGCAATGAGCTTCCCTCCATTGTTTTCCAAGAGCTGGGGAATACTGAAGTCGAGCAAGTACTTGGCATATTCCTCGCCTCGGGGGGTCTTGTAGGTGCCATAAAATGCGCTAAGCAAAATTATCTCACGATGGGCCGGAGTGATCCAGCGCATCCAGTAGGACTTGAATCCGGATCCAATGATATTCCACCAGTGAATGGCTTCGCTTCTGAGGTTGTATGTCTCATCGACCACGGCATCGTTCATAAGTCCTGGAAATTGATGTGATTAGCATTCAGCCGCCAAATTGAAAGCCTAAGAATAGTTTCAAAACTTACCATAGATGTTGGCGTGGGGGTCGATCATGTTTTCGTGCTGGATGTTACGGGCAACGAGGGACTCGTGAGCGAACCATGCTCCGACTTGAACCGTATGACGAGCTTCAGCGGGAAATGTTGCGGTAAGACGGTCCAGTTCTTGAAGGATCGTGGCTTTAGCCCTAGGACTAAAGAGACCCTGGTTGACAGAGGTCGATGTATCGTTAACACGAGGAGACATCTTGAAATTGCGTGTGATTTGAAGGATCTAATCAACAAATGTCAGCAATGATCGGATGAAAGCCGCGGGAATTCTCCAGCGTATGCATCACCCAGCATGACCATCGTGATCACCGACGTCAGCACATTAACGGATATGGGAAGACGGGGAACTTGCCACAAAGATATAGGTAGGATAGGTGAGGATTCGTAGCGACTAAACAAAGAACATCAGTTAATCCGAGGATGATACAAAACAACAAGCAAGGAATTGAGTGCATACACGAGTGTTGCTAGCAGAGGAAGATGTGTCGATCGAGGTCGAAGGCTGTGTAAGGAAGTGAAAGGAAGTGTGTTGCAAGAGTGAGGGGTGATGCAGACAGTAACTGTGGGTAGTGAAGAGGAAAGGAAAGAGAGCAAGAGGGGTGGGGGGTGGTGGTGGTTTTGTAGTGGGGGTTCGTTGGGGGTTTTGAGCCCTAACACTAGGGTCTCTCATGGACTAGTAGTATTGTCATCGTGATTGATTCTTCAAGTGATTGGGTGGTTGGATCAACTTTTGGGAGGTTTCTCACGATGCTTGGTGTCATCGAGTGATAATTGTGATTCCGCAGCCAAACTCGCCTCACGCGTGCAACGGCTGCCCCGAGCACCCACGAATAGTCCGATGGACTCGGGAAGTTACATGGAGATATCAGACGCGTACATGTCTTCCGCATTCAGTTGCAGCGGAGTGCGAGTAGTGCAGAGTAAAATCAGCGAGTTCATCCTATTTTCTGAGGTTATTTGTCTCCAGTAATTCACTACCATTAGATCATGTTCTTGGATGCGTTTGAATCCACGATTTGTGAGTGTAGAAGAAAGCCCTTCTTTCACTCCTTCAATTTTTCGCTTTTTGCAGAGTAAGCAAGTACTGTATGCTTAAAAGGATGTGAGTTCATGGTATCGATATGATAAGCATTGCAAACGGTCGATTACATAGAAAAATACTCAAGAGATACTTCGGTGACGCTCTGTTTTTACATCATCAACTCGACTAAAACGCGTATCCACCGTGCAGTTACAATCAATCATGTGTGGATACTAATGTATCTATGTCGTAAATTTAAAAAAACCCCCCGATTATAGTAAGCACTGCAGTTTGACAAAACTGAATGGTAAGAGAAATGTCCGAATGATCTGTCATGTCTAAACCCTAGTGTGACGTTAAAATCGCCAGATCCGGTGCTAAGTCATCACCGCAACGAAAAATTAGCCTGCAACCAATCGTAGCCCTCCGCAGACTCGAGCAACCAGTGACCACTTTCCGATCACAAAGACCCACCCCCAGAGAACTTGTTCTTCCAGACACTACAACAACCACAAAGCAGCAGCAGTAATAACAATAAAAGTACTCGGCGGCAGCAATCGAAATACACCCCACTTCCGACCGTTGCTGTCTCCAACCCGTTTTCCTCGTATTCACTCTTCAGCGATGGCAGACCAGAACGTCGCAGCCCTTCTCGCCGCCCTCAGTAAGTCGACCCACACGCGTCTAGCCACATCGTTCCGCCTGGACGTTACGTTCTCTAACGGATATCTCCTCTCTAGCCGGCGGTGCTCGACCGGCGGCAAGTACTCAACTTCCTCAAGGCTTCCCAGGCCTCCCAGCCGCCCTCGGAGCTTCCACGGCCCAACAGCCCCAGCAGTCTGTAAATTCGCCTCCGACTGGCTTTGCGCTTCCTCAACCGACTGCCTCTGGCTCGCTCGACCTTAGTAAGATCAAGCCGACCGCGTCTGGACGGGTGTCTCTCGACGATGCCCTCGCAAAGGTGAAAGCCAAAGCCGCGGAGATGGGAGTTCACAGGGACCCCAGTAGCACTGGTACGTACTCACGCCGCTTTGTTGACAGGGTGCATTCACATCAGAGATTGTGTGTGTCGCCCGGAAGTTTCTGCAGACTAACATTGATACAGCGCCTCGATATGACGATCCAAGAGCCCGTTACGGTAGACGCTCTCGTTCGCGATCTCGATCACCGCCCGCTAGACGTGGCCCCGATCCATATAGGGATGCGTACAGCACTTTCCGCGACGAACGCCGAGGACGCACAGGCGCTGAGTATGGGCGCGACCGAGAGCGCTCGTTCAGCCCCCAACGACGCGGCGGAAGCATCAACGCCTACTCCCCACCCCCGCGGGGAGAACGCTTTGGTAGCCACAGAACGCGATCGCCGCCGCCGGACATGGAACAGATTAACATTGATGCATCTCTGGTCGGACTAATCATTGGACGTGGAGGCGAGAACCTGCGACGTGTTGAATCTGAGACTGGTGCGCGAGTGCAATTCATGACAAATGGCCACGACAGAGACAGTGGTGGTGAGAGAGTCTGCAACATTCAAGGAACACGACCACAAATTACTGCCGCGAGACGCGCAATTGATCTTATCATCCAGGAGAACGAGAAATCTGGTGGGGCGGGTCCCCCAGCTCGCAAACCAGCACCTGCTCCTAGCGCATATGGAGGAATGTCGCAAATGAACCAAGGTCCAGGTCCTGCGGGTCCAGGAGCGCCCAATTTGAGGGACGGAGGTTCGTTTTCAAAATCACGTGGTGCATACACAGTTTTCTTTCTGTATAGTATGGCCATAAGAGAGCCCTGTAAACTAACTCATGCAATTGCACGCAGAAGAGAGCACACAAATATTTGTTCCCGATCGAACTGTTGGTCTCATTATCGGACGTGGCGGTGAAACTATCCGTGACATTCAAGACAAATCCGGCTGCCATGTGAATATCGTAGGCGAAGCGAAGAGTCAGAACGGTCAGCGGCCTGTGAACCTCATCGGCTCTGCCCAAGCCTCGGAATACGCCAGGCGGTTGATAATGGAAATTGTCGAAAGTGATACCAACGGTGGGCCTCCCGGACCTCCAGTGAGGGCGCCCCCATCTCAGCAACAGCAGCCGCCGCCGCAGCAGCAGCAACAGCAGCAGCAGCAACAACAACATTATGGTGGGGGTGGTGATGGTGGTGGTGGTACGGGTCCCAGAATTACAGAGACCATAAAGGTGCCGATTGATGCCGTCGGAATGATCATTGGAAAGGGTACGTTTATATATTCCCTTCTATTGCGTACCGAGAATGAGAGCGAGCTTGAGGACTAACTATCCGTTGAATCTAGGTGGAGAGACAATTAAGGAAATGCAAAATTCGACTGGGTGCAGAATCAATGTCTCCAGCCAGTTCAATCCAAATGATCAAGAGCGTGAAATCTCTCTAGCAGGCAACCGAGATGCTATTGCGCGTGCACGCCAGGCCATAGACGAGAAAGTCGAGGCATCGGTAACCCCTCCCTCCCATCCATCTATCTGAAAGTGAAAGAACCATAAGTGTAACTCTTTTCCCCAGCTCAACAAATCTCGCAACGGACCAAGAGGAGGAGGCGGTGGAGGCGGTGGTTACGGCGGCGGGTCGGACGGTGGCCATCAACAGTCATGGGGTGGATATGGAGGCGGTCAATCGGCAGCTGCTCCCACCCCGGCTGCTGCTGTTGTTGTTGCCCCAGCGGCAGATGATCCGTACGCTGCGTATGGCGGTTACCAGGCCTATTGTGCTATGTACTATGCCGCCGTGTTGCAGCAGCAAGCAGCAGCCGGAAGTGCGCCGGGCGCTTCTGGTCCGCCTGGTACCTAAGCATTACTATCACTCTCACCCAGCCATCGTTCTTCATCATTTGTCGTCGTCATCCTATCAGACAAACATCACTGTCGGGTCCTTTTTTTTTGCACGCGATTACTCTTTCAGCAAACCAACCATCCAACCCGGGGTGACGTGATACGAAAGACGAAAAACGATGAACGGGAATGTGCTTGTGTTTGTTGGGAACATTGAAAAAAAGTGAAAGTGCTGTGCATGTTGTGAACTTGGTGAACTTTGGTGAATGATGCTTGCAACATCGGATGGAAATTGGCTTTTTTGAATGGATATGATTTGGTTGCGCGTGTCTTTTGTCTTCTCGTGTTTTTACTTAATCGCAATCTGGGGCCATCTGCTCTGTGTATGTCTGGTTTCTTCTGTCCAGCCCCTTCCTGGAGGAGGATTCTTTGTTCCACTGTTGCGCAGATCGTGCTCTGCCTACTGTTTTTGGTTTCATGATGGATTCATGATTTACTTGCTTGTACTTATGACGGTGTATGTTACTCTACGGTACTGCTTCACCGGTGTATTTGGGTACATATTAGAAAAATGATGTCTGTTGGGCGTGACCTTGGACTGAAGGAGGGTTAAGCTCCGAGTTCCGAACAAAGAAATGTCTGGTGTCATGTCCCGCTAGACACGCAGCAAATTTCATGCGACTCGAGCAAAATTGGATATCACAGGTACAGATCGACATCACGTGCGAGCAGCATCAAACTCAATGGAAACAATTATTTGATTCATTTATTTTCTATTTGCAAGTCTTCTGTATTCCTAGATTCTTCTCAAAGTCAGCGACAACTCGTGACAAATGTTATGTGTGCAAAAAAGGTGAGGAAGGTTCAAGTTCAGACTTCCAAGGAAGGTCTCGCGGCGGTCAAAGCATGCTAAGATGGGTTCTTAAGCGCACACTACCGAGGAAACTGCGAATGTAGGAATGGTATCATCAGGAGGAACCTGGGGGGGGCTGCGCGGGGATATAGAATGATGATGCGATGGAATACGTACGGATTGTCAATTTGCTGTGTGGATGGTGTTATGTGAGAAAGAAAACCTGTCTTAAAAGCATGTTAGCAAAATCCTAGATAGTGCGATACGATGAGTGAGAAAGTTGAGGGAAGGCTTCAAGTTCAGTCGAAAAATTACTGGCAAGTACCAAGTTTCCACCGTAGTGCAAACCCGAACAGCATGTAGCTTTCTTCATGGTCGATTACGATTGGGAAAGAAGTATGTGCATAGATCATCAATTGAAGCGGAAGGGAGAAAGGAGTATGCAGTAGATGCGCGGTGAACTTACTAGTCGGTATGTTTGCTGTGTGTTGTTGGTTGGTAGTGATGATGGGGTTGTGGAGAGGGGGGAAGGAAGCGTGGGTTTTATGGATGAGCGCCAAGAGGCAGCGGCCAAAAAAAACTTCCACTAGTCTAACTAGGGCCAACAGGGCTGGCTGCTGAGTAAGTGCGCCCATAGACATAATCGGTCACTCGATTGATGTCAATCGGCAAAATTTCCGGCTCCTCAAACGAATCCGCACGCGAATGGACGGTAACGGCAGCAAAGAGTCGACAACCGCACCTTCAAGCTGCGGCCATCTCGGGATGAATCGATGTAAACCGCGATACTATTAGGATAACTGTGCGCTTTGGTTTTGACTGCAGAGCTACTGTCCCAGCAAATGGATTTCGATCGGCTGAAGATCCTGGCTTGAACGGGATTACTGCCCTTTTACTCTCTGCTTCTTGCCGCTTGGGAGCCAGACATACACTTCTTCCTAACCGAACTTTCGGCTCATCTTCCTTCATGCTCGGATTGGCTCTGTGTCATGTATTTCCGCACTCTGGCTCTTTCTGTTTCAAACCATCATCGCAAGACTTTTCGAACGTCGGAATCTGGTCAGCTACCTAAGTATGTAGTTGTCGCTTCCCAAATCGGCCTTTCGGTCTTATGTTCTCTTACTACTGTAGCACATTCGGCCTCCCTTCCCGGCCCGTTGAATCACAAGCTAGCACTCGGCATGGTTACAGCTACCGTGGTTTCCGGTAACAGGCTCGATGTCCCCCATCCTTCCGCTGCACGACTTCCCCCTCCGGCTGGAATCCGGCACCTCCTTCGGTCGCATATCCACGGCCACAGCACGCGATTACTGCCATTGTGGTCCCGTTTTGCGTCGGATATAAAAAAGCAATTTAACCACCATTGTCGGCTGCACCACTAACCACATTGGGAAGTATTAGTGGCCTTTCGCCATTCGAATTTATGTATCCCCCTGATTGTTCGCCTCTGCTGCAGAAATGGAGAAGAGCTGTTATTCTTATTCTCGGTCTTTTCTCTGCCTTTCCGCTCATCAGTTTGCCGGTCGCATTGTCGATTTTTCCTGAGTCCTCATCCCGAAGAGCGCGCTTCGCTCACGAGAAATCAACTGTCGGACACCAAGCAGATCCCTCCAGCCACCCAAACCTTGAACAGACGAGCCGCACTGGTCTGGCCCGACCTGCTGTTATAACTTATATCGCCCCAACCTTCAAAAGCCCCTCCATCTGCAATCTGCCCTGCGCCTCTTGTCGATTTTTGCCAAATCCCCAAGACTCTGCTATTACAGCCTTCTGGTTCGACCAAAAGACCTTTCCTTGTTCTGCCGCCGCCGCGGTCGCGCGCCACACAACACGTCCGCTTGAAGGCCCTTGAAAATCCCGAGTTTTAGATTGACGATCCATCGGCCGCCATCGCTCGCGCGTTTGCTACCCGAAGCCGTCCAGTGCTCGTTGTGTCGTTCCCGCGATCTCGATCCGCTCTCCGACGTATCCGCCCTCGTTTCCTCCAGCTGTTGTGATCAGAACCCATAGGTGCCACCCGTTAAACCGTACCGAAGGTTCGCGCTCGGAAGCTACAGCTTCTACGCGCGCCCCCACCGGCATCACGATTATCTTCGCCGACAGCGCGAGTCGAGAAGATACCAGCAGACGCGATTCGTCCTGCTTTGTCATTACGGCGGCTTAATTCGAATTTAGCTTTCTCTGTCCGATAGCGACAGAGGAGCCTCCCACGTACCTCCGTACACCATGATGACGACAACCTATACGCATCCGAACCAAATGCAGGTTCAACAGGGTCCTCAACAGCA